TTCTCGACCCGTTCTCGGTCCCGAATTGCATGGTCTAGAGATGCGGCCCTGTATCCACAGTGTCATCAGGATTCATTCCGATATCACAACGTTCGATCAAAGACGAAGGGAACTTGAGACAGGTGATCTAGAGTTCAGGTGGCCCCACTGAGACTGCCTTCAGTGCTTGGCTCCTTGCCGGCTGTTGCGTTGTCCTTGTTGCCCTCCGCATCAGGTTGAGCTGCTTCACTGGCGGCGAAGCTTTGCTCAAAGTCATGGATGATGTCGTCGATATGCTCGATACCGACGCTGATCCTTATCATGTCTGGTGTGACGCCCGAATCGATGCGTTCTTGTTCAGTCAGTTGTTCGTGCGTCGTTGTCCATGGGTGAATCGCGAGGGTCTTTGCGTCTCCCACACTAGCGGCAAAATCAGCATCAGAATAATCCTCGGGGATGCAGGCTCCTACTTGGCCAGGTTGGAGATGAGCTTGAAGCCGTCCACGACTTGCGAGCCGGCATCAGCGCCGCCTTTGATACCGAAGCTCAGAACGCCGCTGTGAGTCTCGGTCAGTTCATTCAATACCGCAAGCCCAGCGTGAAGATCAAACACAGAGCAATTGCAAACAGGACTGGAGCTTACCCAAACCCGCGAGGAAGGTACCTCTTCGCCAGCTGGTGGTGCGGGTGACTCTCCAAGCCAGGATATGACACCCACGCAACGTTCTTATGTCCTTCTAGCCATTTGGCCAATTTCAGAGCATTCTCAGCAATACGCTCACACCGCAAACTCAGAGTCTCAAGACCAAGGATGAATTGCTGGGCATTGAAGGGTGACATGCAGGAGCCCAGATCACGCAGTATCTCCACTCGGACCCGGATAATGAAGGCCAGAGGCCCGAATGTGTCGTGGAACTTCAGGCCGTGGTATCCAGGTGCAGGCTCGTTGAACTGAGGAAATCGCTTCGCGTGTTTCGCCCAGTCGAATTTGCCCGAGTCGACGATAATGCCACCGATGGACGTGCCATGCCCACCGATCCACTTAGTCGTACTGTGGACGAGGATGTGAGCGCCGTGCTTGATAGGCTGGGCATAGTAGCCTCCAGCCCCAAAGGTGTTGTCCACAACTAATGGGACCCCCTTGGCTTCACAGACTTTGGCGATGGCTTCAAAGTCAGGCACGTTGTACCGGGGGTTCCCAATCGTTTCCACATAGACCGCCTTGGTCTTGTCATCAATGGCCGCCTCAAAATCTTCCGGCTTTTCCGAGGTGAGAAACTTGGTGTGAATGCCCAGTCGAGGGAACATGACCTTGAACTGATTGTAGGTGCCTCCGTACAGGTTGGACGTCGAGACAATGTTGTCACCAGCATGCGCCAATGCAGCGATGGTCATGAACTGCGCCGATTGACCCGAGGAAGCTGCGACAGCGGCCATGCCCCCTTCGAGGGCTGCAACCCTCTTCTCGAGCACATCGACAGTCGGGTTCATGATCCGGCTGTAGATGTTTCCAAACTCTTTCAGGCCGAACAGCCTAGCTCCATGTGCCGAGTCATTGAAAGTGAAGGAAGTGGACTGGTAGATTGGGACAGCGCGAGACTTGGTGTTGGGATCTGGTGCTTGACCGGCATGGACCTGAAGGGTCTCAAACTTTTGCACCCAGTCGTCGGCAGACATCTTGGTGGATCTTGGTCAGGCCGTGAAGGAGGAAGGCGACCACGCTCAAAGGTAGGCGAATCTGGGAGCGAAGAGCGGCGATGTTCAGCGCTCACGAAGGCCGGTTTGGCTGACCAGGCACAACAGAGAAATTCTTGCTTCGCCGTGTATCTGCTGCTACTGACGCTGGTCGTGGAGTTTCAGAGTCTCTCTGCTGCTATATGAAGGCGAAGATAAGAACCAACGTGTAAGCACGAGCCACTACAAAATTCTGCGTGGGAAGGGAGAATCGAGGAGGGGTTCCTCGCTTTCTCACCTCAGTCTGTGGGCTATATCATCCTCGAGCTTTCCCCGCATCAGAGAACGCGGTCCTAAAATTGCGTGATCGGTTGCCCGTCCCACGCAACGATCAACAGCAACCTCGCATTCGGGGACTGGAAGCCATAATTGCAGGGACACACACGAAAATATCGATGGTAGCCCACGCGCAATCACGACTGTAGCATGCAGGGCATCCCAGCTGCTCGCATCGTATATTAGCAACCACAAGAAGCTGCCCCGGAAACGTGGGGGGAGCAGCACAAAGGCATCTTCCGGTAAGCTCGACACAACCCTGCAGGGCAAGACTCTTTTTAGCTGAGCGAGCAGACTAGAGCGGATTCGCGAGCTTGCCAAGGTCTGGTCACGAGTGCCTTCTGGGGAATTGGGAGAAACGGAACCATTTTGCTGTGATACGAGTAGTTCGAAGGAAAGATGGAATTTGCTTACTGGCAGTGGTGTTATCCGAGGCTGAATCCGGCCATCTGATTGGTCATTGGGGCGTCAATGCGTTCGGCTCCGATTCAGCCACGAGACGGAGAAGGACGTCGGTTACATAAGCCACACGAGCCTGAAGGAAGACATGGAGAATCCATGACGACTGTTCAAAACGGTCACCGCCTCTGCTCTTCTGGCAGCATCGCAGCAGCGGATGGCTGCGTGAGACCAAAGGACTTGAAACCCCTCTGAATCAGAGCAATGGTTCTGCGGCTGACACCCAATGCAGCCTTGAGTCGCATGATGCCGTTGCGCGGGAAGAAGCCAGCCTTTCTCGAGTTCCGCTCTTCGAAAATCTTCATCGTCTTCGCCGTTTGCTGGTCTGTCTTTACAGTAAGCACTCCCTAGTATCGGTGGGCTTACCACTTGTTTACCATTTCCCCAGGATGTCTTTTTGTATGGAGTTGTCGTCCCCGTCATCCCGTTCGCCCTCCAGGATCGTGTCCACATCTCCCATGGCGACACTCAGCATTGGGTCTCGGTTCTGCTCTCCGTATATGCAGCTGGTCTCCTCTTTTTCGCCCCAATATGTGGTATCCTAGCGGATTGGACCAGCCATCGGCGAGGCCCCTTTCTCGCTGGGCTTGTCCTCCTCTCAGGCTCAACCCTCATGCTTTGTTTCGGAAAGACTATCCCTATCCTGGTGGTTGGCAGACTGTTGCAAGGCATCTCGGCTGCCGTGGTCTGGGTGGTTGCCTTGGCTCTCATGGCGGATACGGTCAGCGAGGCGGAGTCCGGCCAGGCCATTGGTTATGTCAGCCTTGCAACGTCCATGGGAGTCTTGGTGGCGCCGTTGATTGGTGGTGTTGTATACGAGAGGTCGGGATACTACGCCGTGTTTGGCGTCACATTTGGCGTGATCGGCTTCGACATCCTACTGCGGTTGGCCTTGATCGAGAAGAAGATTGCAGCCAGGTGGCTCGAACCCGCGTCCTCAACGGCGGTCGAGTCAGCTCCGGCTGCACCGGTCCAAGCTGAAATTGAACTCGAGGACCGGAAAGAGTCCACGGCTGTCATGGAAAAGAACGCGGCCGCTGCAATTGCTGAGCCGCAGAACAGACAACACAAACGAAAGCTCCCGTCTATTTTGATCCTCCTCAAGTCCCGCCGCATCCTGGTGGCATTCTGGGGCAACCTCGTGGGTGCCATGACCTTTACAGCCGTTGACACGACCCTCCCGTTGTATGTCAATCAGATATTCGGCTGGAATTCCCTGGGCGCTGGGCTCGTTTTCCTCGCTTTGGTCGTACCTGGCTTTGCAGGCCCATGGATCGGGCACCTGACGGACAAGTACGGGCCACGCTGGATTGCGGCCTCGGGGCTGCTCATGTCGGTACCGTTCTGGGTGCTGCTTCGGTTGGTCGACCACGACACCGTTGGTCAGGCCGTGTTGCTTTGCGCGCTCCTGGTGCTCCTCGGAGTGGCAACTTGCCTTCTACTGACTCCATTGATGGCAGAGTTCAGCAAGGTGTGCGACGCGAAGGTGAGGCAGGAACCCGATGTCTTCCGGGGCAAGTCGGCCTACGCGCAGAGTTACGGGATTTTCAATGTTTCATGGGCTGGAGGAAGTCTCCTCGGCCCGCTGGTGTCTGCTGCAGTCAAGAATGGAGCGGGCTGGAAGACGATGACTTGGACAATGGCGTTGTGGTGCGCGGTGGGCATCTTACCGACCGTCTTGTATTCCGGGGGCATGATCACGAAGACCAAGAGACCCACGAGTATGGGGCGAGTGCAGGCAGAGAACAATGTCTGATCGCGCTGTCTGCGTTGGTCAGTCAGATGTTAGTTAACAACAAGAACGCGGTTCACGCGGTTCACGCGGTTCTGACGATGGTGCCACATGCGGGCTAGTCGACTTGCCCAAACCGTTTTCTCCGATCCAATCGATCGTGTTGACGCGCTCGCTGGCGATACGCGTTCGGCAAATCTCGACAGTTTCAGCCTTGGCTCTTCTTCTCGTCGACGTCTGTCCATGTTTCATCTCGTCCTACTTCCTCCTTCTTCTGTCATTGTCAAACATTGGTCTGGCCTCACGCCGGTCGTGGCCGGCCACAGGTCGTCCATGCACGTAATCGTCTTCGATCAGATGTCAAACAATCAATCTTGCTGTGCGCCCCGAACCCTGATTTCCGATATCCCGTTTGCGAAGCGACGAACGTCCACTCTTAGTTACAAGATCCGGACTGCTTTATGAATACTTGTCTTGCCCGTCTGCCCTAGCCCAGTCGCCTGTAGAACCACATTTTGAAATAATCTCTCTTCGACACCCGCTCTGGTCAGCGAGTCGTCCTGTATTAACACCCGAGATACTGAGTGCAGTCCATTTTACACAACGGCGAGGACATCGGCGTTGCTCTTCCATCAACCCATTTCTCGCGACAACATCATCTCTTCCATCCTCAGTCTCTGCTCGTTTGTTTCTCTCTAGGACCAAATCTTCTCCAATTACAATACACCAAAACTTCGGCCACCAGTCCTGCTCGCCAACTCCTTCCACCACTTCAACGGCCAGAGCAATCCAGTGCCTGCTCGGCAACCTGCCCGCCAGAATGTTCCTCGACCCAATGCTGACGGTCCGCGCGCTCCAAGGCGTTCTGGCTCTGATTGCCATGGCGCTCGGAGCGACCGGTAGCGCCCCCTTTGTACTCATTTTTTGATCGCGCCACAACTAACATGATCATCAGTCGCAAACGTGCTCAACACCCACGTGCCACTTGACATCGACGTCCCAGCCGGGGTGGTCTTCTACATCTTCGTCGCGGTCTTCACCCTCCTCATCGCGGTTCCTTACACGATCCTCACGCCCCGCTACTTCCCGGTCCTCGCCCACCCTTTCGCCATGCTTGTCGCCGAAACCACAACCTGCGTCTTTTGGCTCGCCAGCTTTGCCGCGGTCGCGGATCGAATCCGGAAGGCCGACCTCTGCGGTGGGGATGGCGCCTGCTCATCTGCCACCGGCAGTATCGTGGTCGGCGTTTTCGAGTTGTGAGTGAAATGATTGCCACCCCTGCCGCCCCCTTTCCGGCCCCTTCTGACCCCCTGTTATGCAGCATTCTCTTCGGAATAACCAGCTTCTTCGCCTTTTCCCATCTCTTCCTGGGAGGCAGATACGGCCTTGACAAGGCTGTAAGCAACAAGCCGCCGATCCAGGTACATCGAGCTTGGACCGGAGCCGAGCGGGTTTGAAAGTGCGCGAATTGAAGCCTGGGTGAGGATCAAGATGAGTCCGCTCCTGAGTAAGAGAGGTTCCCAATAAGATAGTAGGGCAGAGTATTTTGTGACAAAATGCATACCGCAAAGCACGTCTTGCCAACGGCGGCTGCGAGACGTCTCGTCCCCTTTCTAATAATCGTCGTGATTTGGCAGTCGCGCAGGCCTCGACGTGTGCACTTCCACTCTCGGAGAGACGGCATGTTTCTGCCTCCGCCTGCCCGGCTGTTTTCATTGTGACGTCCAGTTCCATTGCTCTTCTCGGCTGTTGTGCATTCGCCTGGCCACTCAAAAGGACACTCACTATCCGGTAAATACTCGATTGACTGCACAACGACAACCTGTCTTGTACGTTCTCTCCCAAGCCTCCATATGTACGTTCTCCTCCCAGGCCTCCATATGTACGTTCCGTAGTGAGCACCATGGCCATTCGACGAGCACGGCGTGAACCGACCGTTCTTGCACTGTTACTGCATCGAACTCCATCGGCCTCGCTTGGTATATGTATGGCTGTCCCGCCTGCGCTGGTCATGTCATCCCATCCCAAGCAGCACCGCCACAAAGCAAGCAGGCACATCAACTCTGAAGACCACTTTGAATCTGTGACGCGGAGGTGTTCACTCACCAATTGATGCCGCCACTTTTAGAACCAGTTCGCGGTCATCAGTCATTAGTCACCCGACAAAGGCGTCTGCGACTCCCGCTGCGCCCTCTCGATCACCCAACGCGAAAACGGACGCAACCCGAGAAGCTCCCCTTCTTTGCCTCCGGCTCCGAAACGCCGCAGCCCGCCAGCACACCTCCCACTCATCCGCCAGCCGGTCCAACCAGAGGAACTTGCGCATCAAGTCCTCGGTATCGGCCCAGCACCTCGCCTCGGGCAGCCGGGCCGCCAACCTGTCGAGCACGACGTGCTGTTCGGGCGACGCGTCCATCTGCGTGTCCCACGCGCTGGCCACCACCACGGCACACCAGTACAGGCACCGCTGGAGCCATGGCGGGCGCGGCAGCTCCGTGTTCTCGTTGAACGCTTCTAGTATGGGCCGGAGTGGTCGCGCCAGGGGGATGTGGAATGACATTTGGTTGTACAGGTGTAGACAGAAGGCGAGGAGGGCGCGGACCATTTGCCCCTCTGGCGGCGTTAGCGGTAGGGCTGAGAGGCATTGGAGATCGTAGATTGCGCGCTGTATCGTCATGTCGGGGCGAGTTTGTGTTGGTCCTGGTGCTGATGCCGGACTTTCATCCGTTGCCGGTGGTGGTGGTGGTGGTGGTGGTGGTGGTGGAGGAGGAGTTGTCGACTGGTCTCCAGGACCTTCTCGTGTCGCGATCCAGGATATCAGCTCCGTCAACCTGGCTAGAAAGCTGATGATCTCGATGGCCACGCAGCGACTTAGCGCCACTTCCGCAAACCCTTCGGGCAGCCGGGCGATCACGGCACACAGGTCCGGCGAGAACGGGTGGCCCGGATACGTGAGCGTGCTGATGCGGTGGCCCTTCTCATTGATCCGACTGGCGTAGCTGGGCTGGTGGGCTTGAAGGAACGAGGCCATAACGCCGAATCTGGAGGTCTATTAGACATGCGACACCACTTACCAGGGGGAATCCGGGATACCTACGCCAATGCTCTACCCCGGACGAAGTTCCGGACGTCACCGTCGCCGGTAGTCGTGGCTAGCATGCTCTCTAGGGCGCGGAGGTGAACTTCGAAAGACTCTACGTCGTTTATCATGTACTGCGGTGATGAGATGGGATTAGTCCATCGAATTTGACGGCCCGGCAAGGGGCAGCGGTTTGGGCTGGGATAGGACGGGTTGATTCTTACATTGAGCGTCAGAAATGTCGACATAGTCAGCAGGACGAGGTCCTGGCTGGGAGGGTGTGGCGCCACGAGCACATCTCTCAGCTCCTTCATGGCTGTTCCGCGGTGTCGAAGAAGCATCTTGTCGGCGAATGGCTCGGTGCCTCGTCTGAGCACCCACGCCGCCCTGGTCATGGCGATGGTTGCCTCGAAGAGCATTGAATCCTGGAACGCCAACGGAAGGATCAGCGCTAGAAGCGCGTTCCGTCCATTCTGGACGCTGAAAGCCTGTGCTTGCTGGGGGGCCCATATCTGGATGTCTGCCAATCCGCAGCGTGAGTTACGCCGAATGGGTGTTGCCGGGTTTTCTGAGACGGAACAAACTCACAGTAATCTGCCATGAAACGAACCCCCTTTGTGACCCTCGCCACTGGATATCGCATGAAGGGATCGACTCGATAGCCCGCATCGACTGTGAGCAATGGAGACGGACACCTGCTGTTCTCCGAATCATCATCCGTATTAGGGTCTCCGTACGAATTGTTACGTGAGAGGTGGCGCGTATGTCGCCGGATGAGCTCTCCTCGTCGGCTGGTCATGGTTCTCAGAACAGATGGTCGCCGTCACGGTGCGGCGGCGCATCTCCTTGAGACTTGTGGGTTACTCCTTGGTTGCTCAGTCAGGGGTGATTGTACATGGTGTGTATAGAACACGACCGCGGCGACAGCAGACGAACACTAAATGGGAAAACGTGTCGACTCCGGAAACGTTATGCATAAGCGCAGCCGCATCATCGAGCATGGAAAGTTCCACTCCTTCCAGAGACCCACGAGTTCGATTCCTAGAGACCGAGGACTAAGAACCAAGGACCAAGAACCCATGGCGCACCATGCGGCCAGCCATCGACACGTGTTCGTCCACCCCCATGCAAGCCACAAGGCTCTCCGCGAGTTCGGATATCGTAAATGATGGTGTCAGAGCCTCTCGAGCGCTCGGAAACAGCAGCTTTAGGCTCGTCTGCACCCACGCACAGCTCTTGCACATGCAGGCTTGGTAAGCAGCGGGTTGAGGCGACCTGCACCGCCCACCCAAACTCCAGTCGTGGGAGGCCGACGACATCCAGTCCTGTCAAGCGATCGATAGACTGTTCCCGGGACTGGCCGATCGCGGCCACAATTTGGCGCTTGGTCTGCTTGGGAAACGTGTCTGCCATCGCTGCCTCTCGTGTACTGTAGTGGTAGAAAGCTGTGGCTTTCAGCACACCCCTTGGAGGCTCGACCCTTGCGTGCAACTCCGGCCGCATGGTTGACCGGCATTTAGCATGATGCATGCTCTTACGGGATTAGGGAATCCCGAAGAATAAGGAAACCAGCAAGTACCCCTTTGGGAAAACAAAAGCACCCTCCCGTCGACCGATGCAGCGGCCGATCGACAAGCTCGTGAGTAATCAGATAAACGAGCTTCTGGCGTCATGCCTTCTGGTGTCAGGGAAGAGCGAGTGACCGATCCCACCGTGGCAAGGCAGAGGGCAAAGTGCAAAGGACGTCACCGCTCTGCCCATACGAGGTGAAGTATAAGGCCTCCCTTCTCGTCTCTGCGGGCAGGATGGCACCTCAATACACGACGACGAAGCTCCATCTTTGGAAGTGACTTCCCCGGGAGGGAAGGGCCCACGAGCACCTGGAGCCATTGTGAGGCGAAAATTGGAAAGCTCGATCACGAATTTACCAGCGATGGCGGGAAACAACATGGCTTTTCTATGATCGACGACCTGATCTCGCCTTGCTTCGTGTCAGGGCTTATTCAGCGCTATTAGACATGCATCTCATGAACAGCATGTCCGCCCAATGAGATACGCAACTTGGGGTCAATTCAGGATGTCCATCTGCACGGTGGGATCCTTTCAGCTCTTGGGACAGCTGACTCAAATCAAGGTGGCCTAGTAGAATGCAGGGGCCGAAGCAGTCAGAACAGCTCAACTGACTATCTCGATAACTCAAGTGTAAATACGTGGCGAGCCGCAGCCGTTGAAACGAAGGAAAGTTGCTCAGGACGCTGTCTTTCGGCGCTCAACACAATGGCACCGTTCTTACAGGGAAGCCGGCTGGTAGTAGAAAATGGTCTGGCGTAGACCGAGAGCTGCAAAGCTTGATTGAAGGCAGCTCTTCGAATGGAACCAAAAATTCCTTTTCAGCCGCTAGCTATTGTATTGTGTAGTTGATTAGGCAAAATACCGTCGCTCTCTGTGCACCAAAAGGACAAAATGTGAGAAATGTAAAGGCGCTGTACAAGATTCCTGGTCGTCTCCAAGCTGCATCCAAGTGACGGGCTCTCGCTTTCTTCACCCCCAGCTGCTGATTGTTAGGAGCAGCTGGCAATAGCATCACTGCTGTCGTCTGCACCACACATTTCCCCATATATCTCCGTGCCAGGCCTCGCTACGTCGGTCTCAAGAGCGGAAGGTCAAATAATCCGCAGCCTATTCCAGCAAATAGTCAGCACAAACTCGAGTACGTCTATTCAACAAAGTTGCTAGAGGTAGGAGCTATCAAGCCTTCTGTGCCCTCGAGGTACAAAAACAGAACGTTGCTTACCTTGTCGATATTGTAGTCGAATTTCTCCAGTGCCGCGAGACTCTCTTCTCTCGTCCATCCCATCGCAGTCAATCTCTTGAGAATCGGATCGTCGTGCTCAGTGCCTTCACTAAGGGCACGACCCGGCTGCGGACGCTGCGGCTTCGGTTGCAGCGACGCAGCTGGCGGTGATGTAGCTGCGGGTACAGGGGAAGCGGGAGCCGGTGCGGGCGTCGGCTTGTCTGATGTCACCTGCGATGGTGAAGATGAAGGGACTTCGGCGGCTTGCGTCTGGATTTGAGGGAGCTCCGATACCGATTGCGAAGGCGCATTGTTATTCAAAGGTGCGAAGAGTGCATCCCAGTCATGGTTGGCAGGCGACGTGGGCTGTTGCGCTTGCTGAGGCAGACTGGGCGCAGTCACTGCCGAGTAGAAGTCGTCAGGAGCCGACTTTGGCGCCCCATTAGTGGCAGGCCCGGGTGTTGGAAATTGCTGATGGCTAGGACGCGGAGGTGAATCAAATGTTGGGTCGAAATCGGCCGTGCCGTTCTTGGGCGGACTGAAAACCGACCCTTCATCCTCGTCGTCATCGTCATCTTCGACAGGAGCCGCGCCTACCCCTGAAAATGCAGAATCAAAATCAAATGGCGCGGCTTTGGTCGGCGGTGGTGCGTTGGCATTGTGATCTGATGGACTCCTTGGATGAGCTTCGGGCCCATAAGCCGGCGGGTTTCCACTCGGGGGCGATACAGGATCAGTAGAGCCACCGGCTGTAGGAGATGGTGAAGTAGGATCCTCCCGCTCCGGTAACAGTCCCTTGTATTCTCGAGGGAAATGTGTAGGATTGTCGCCAGGAACAGAGTCGCCATACGTAGGTGGGGACTGTTGCGACTCTGGACCTGGCAACGAGCTTGCTGTCGACGCAGGCTCGCCGAGAGGAGGACGAGGAGCCAAGGAATTGTTAGAGGGAGGAACTTCGGGCTGCTTCCCTGCTTTCACTTCTGTTGGGCTGTCTCGGGGTGGTGATCTCGCGTTGAAATCGTCGTCAAACTTCATAGGTGTTTCATCCTCGCTGTACTCGCTGCTCTCGTCATCGTCGCCGCCAAGTTCCTGAATGGCTGGAAATTCCTCGCCACCACCAGTTTTGGGGTGACCAATACCAGCAAAGGCAGAATCGAAATCAGCAGCTTTCTGTGATGCCGAACGTTGATGGGCAGGTCCACCAAAGAAGTCATCGAAGTTTTGCTCCGGGCTTTTGGAGGTGCTTGGAGGCTGTGCGTTGCCTGGTTTGTCGCCATTTGCGGTGGCGGCGGAAACCTCTTCTGCAGCAGTTGCGGCAGAACCAAGCCCAGCGGCAGGGAAACTCGCATCAGCCCCCGGGGTCTGTGTTCTTGAACCGGGGAAGGCGCCGGGGATTTCTCCAGTGGTGTCAGCGGATGGTTTGCCAAAGGTATCTTCGACGGACGCTTCACCAGCGGAGGGCTGAGGCAAGGTTCGTCGGACGGACTCTTGTTCCTCGTCTGGCGCTGCGGCTGTGAACGGATCTTCTGCCGGGTCCTTATGATCTGTCGGACTGGCCGTCGATGCCGTGGGGGTTAATGCCTGTGGAGTGTCATTGGGGCTGACTCGACTGGTTGGTCCTGCCACTTTGACGGACGAACTGACTGAGTCCTCCCTTTCGAGAGGTCTGCGAAAAGGGAGTGCAGCCGAACTGATCTGTCGGGACTGAGGCGGAGCTGGGGGGTCAAGATCTCTAGGCGTAGACGAGACATCCGGAGACTCGATTCGAGGAGCATCTCGTTGTGCTGCAGGTGGCGACGCTTGGCTCGAGAACGAGGTAGCTGGTGCGGGAGCTGTGGCGGTAGCAAACGAAGGTCCAAAGATACTGTCGAAAGCACTCTGGCTGTCCTTTGGCTCGGTCTCCGTGATGGGCGGTGAAAACGTCGTGTCTGTATTCTTCCTGAAGAATGGATTCGAGTTTGCCGATGGTGCTGGGCTCGCCACAGGAGGGCTTGCAACAGGAGGGCTTGGGACCGCCGGAACAGGGACGTTACGGGCCTCCTCCAACTCCTTCCTCGACGCCTCCAGTTGCCGGGCCGATTCTTCCGCCTCGCGCAGAGCATCTTCAACTTCCTTCTGGGCAGCTGCTATTTCAGCTTTAATTCTGTCTCGCTCCGCTTCATTAGTCGCCAACTGCTTCTTGTTGATGGCGACTAACCCTTTCTGTTGCCTCGCGTCGGACTTGAGCTTCTCCAGCTGCGGCTTCAGCTGTTCAATCTCTTGGTTCGTCTGTCGTATGCGCTCCTTGAGCGACGCGTTCTCCCGTTGATCTGACTCTAATGCAGCACGAAGTTGTTGGTGTTGCGATGATAGGTCTTGGTGTGTGCCGTCGATCATGGCCGCATCCGCCTGGAGTCTTTTGACCTCATTCTTCGAGGCGGTCAGTTGTTCCCTCAGCGCCTTGACTTCTTGGACCTCCTTCTCATATAATGATCGGAGTTGGGCCAAGCGGCCTTCGAAAGCTTTCTTTTGCGCAGTTGTACTGTTCAACTCTTGCTCGGTTGTCTTCCTTTCTCCATGTAATTCGGTCATCTGCTTCGACAGGCTACTGACTTGGTTGGACAGGTTTCCTAGCTCGCTAGCCTCGTTCGTGATCCTCGCATTGACCGCTGGATCTGCGTCGCCCAGGAGATCCTCGGCTGGCGCTTGGACCTGTGGCGCAGGAGATCCTGTCGACTGAGGAATAATGCCGCGGCCGAACGAGCTAGTGGGCACAAATGGTTTGAAGGTTGTAGAAGTCGTCTGTGGCGTAAGCACACCCGGAGGATTGGCGAAAGGTCCAGCATCGGTTCCGCCAGTAGATTGTGGAATCTGAGGGGACGCAGCTGCGGCAGCGATCGGAGCTGGACCAAACGCGTCGAGACCGAACAGGTCATCAGCTGCGGAACGTGGCTTTGTCGGAGCGGCATTTTCGAAAGCTGGGGCAGTCGGCTGAGGCGGCGGAATCTGCTGTCGCCGCATACTGGGAGGGACAAGGGCTGGAGGCAGGCTAGACGGCAAGATACCGCGTCCGTCCTTCGTGCCACGTTGTTGCCGGATCAAGTACATGGCTACTGCAAACTCGTCCCTGTTCAGTTGGCCCTCCGAGTTGATGTCGGCCAAGTCCCAAATCTGCGCGAGAATCTCCTCGGGGAGCCTGGCGTTACCAAAGAACTCCACTGCTTGGTCCCCAGTGATAAATCCCCTCCCTTGGCGGTCGACTGTAGCAAAGATGGAGTCGAAGCGAGCTTTATCGGCCGGACTGATCGCCCACGGTTCTCCCGTCGACTGAGCAGACAGCGGAAGGGGCGTACCGACTTGTGGCGCTCTCGTGATTGGGCTTTGCGGCCGCGCATTGTAGACCGCAGGGACAGCGCCGGAGCCTGGACGTGATCCGCTACCTATACGAGCAGCTGGTCGTCGCGCTGCGGCTTCGAAGAGACCTGGAGGAAGTGTGCTGGGGACTCCGCGCATTTGGCCAGACTTGTAAGACGCCAACAGATGCATGGCAATCACAAATTCGGTCACGTCCAGGGTTCCCCGGCCTTGAGTATCTGAAAGACCCCATATTCTGCCCAACACTTCGTTTGGCAACCGTGCTCTTTCGAATATCTGCTTAGCAACCAAGCCAGACAGCAAGCCGTTCTCAGCGCCTGATTTTTCAAACAGGGAGGAGTATTCTGCGATTTTCTCCGGGCTCAGTGCGGGTACACGAATAGGAGGAGGACCCGCTGGAGTTGGGCTCGAGGGAAGTTGACCGGTCGATTGCTGAGCTATGGGCTGTGGTGCCGGTTGCGACGCTGGTTCAGGTTGAGCAACGTCGAATCGAGGTAGGGGCGCAACTGTAAAAATGGTTAACCGTCTGCATGGATCTCATGCCAGTGACCTTTACCCTGCGTCGCAACCTGCACAGAAGGTGAACGGCCGTTTTGGGCGTGTCCGATGAGCCGCAAAACTACGCCGAAGCCGGCAGGCGTGAGGAACCCTCGGTTTTCCGTGTCGGCGATCTGCCAGATCTGTAGACAGTGAACAATAGGCCCGGGCGACTACAATGAGCGGCTGACCTGGCCTAGCACATCCGGTGGAAGCTTGGTGCGCTCGAAGAATTTGACCGCGACGTCTCCAGAAACAGCTCCAAAGCCATCCGGGTCAGCCTCTTTCAGGAGTTGCCCATAGACTCGTTTCTCTTCGGCCGTGAGGTTGAGATTCGGATGACCTGGGAATGATGCTGTCAGCGCCCTAGCTGAGGACGGAACCTGCTAGATGGGATTGGCGCACCTGAAGCTGCTGTTCCAATCGTCTCCGCCATGTCTTGGAGTTTGTGGTGTTGTTGTGAGGACTGGGTAAGCTCTAAAGGTCGCGCATCGACGGCATTGGCAAACAAAAGACCAAGTCAGGAAGATTCACGAACGACGCTTAACTAGTGCTCTCCTGGGCGCGATTTGGCGGAACTTGTTAGCAACAACGCAGGTAAAGAAATGCCTGGAAGTCATCCGAGAGTGAGGAGGAAGCAGATGGAGATGAGAGATCGTTGGTGGATCGCGATGACGAACGAGGAATCCGCCCCAGACTAAGCCGCGCCGGGGAGCTCCCAAGCTCTATCTACAGTAGTAACCCGTACCACCCCGAGCTCAACTAGGTCAAGGCGGGCAACAGAGAGATGCACAGTACAGCCGGAATGACAATCGATCGCTTGCATTAACTATGCACTGCTAATGAACCATATTTATCAAGTCGGTCTCGCAGAGAACCACCTCGACACACTCAAACTCCTCTTGCCGCTGACATGGATGCATGACCTGCTTGCACGCTGACTGGCTCGGCATTTACGATTTCTGACGAGAGCACGAGCAGACCGTCTAGTGCTCAAGCTCAGCCTCGTCGCCTTCTTCGACAGAGTCACTGGCCACCTCTTCGTAGTCTCTCTCCAATGCGGCCAAGTCTTCGCGGGCCTCGGAGAACTCGCCTTCTTCCATACCCTCACCGACATACCAATGGACGAATGCACGCTTAGAGTACATCAGGTCGAACTTGTGGGAGAGAGCGGACCAAGCCTCGGCAATGGCAGTCGTGTTTGAAAGCATGCAGCTATCACGCATTAGTAAGACGACCATGAGTAGGCTCCGATAGCACTTACACTGCACGATTGACCTTAGCAAGATCACCGTTTGGCACCATTTGAGGTGGCTGGTAGCAGATTCCGATCTTAAAGCCCGTCGGGCACCAGTCAACAAACTGGATGGTACGCTTCGTCTTCAGCGTGGCAACTGCCTGGTGAACGTCGTTGGGAACAACATCACCACGATACAGCAGGCAAGTGGCCATGTATTTGCCGTTGCGAGGATCACACTTGACCATCTGGTTGTTTGGTTCAAAGCATGACATGGAGATCTCTTGGACGGAGTTGGCTTCATGTTGTGCCTTGGCCGCTGAGATGACCGGGGCATAGGCGACAAGGGGGAAGTGGATGCGAGGGTATGGGACCAGGTTGGTCTGGAACTCGGCAAGATCGACATTGAGAGAACCATCGAATCGAAGCGAGGCAGTGATCGAAGACACCACTAGTCCTGGTCAGCTAGTCCAAAGTCAATCAGCAATGGGCACCGACCTTGGGCGATGAGTCGGTTCAGGTTCTCGTAGTTGGGTCTCTCAATTCCAAGATTGCGTCTGCAGATATCATAGATAGCTTCATTGTCGACCATGAAACTGCAATCGGAATGTTCCAATGTGGTGTGCGTGGTGAGGATGGAATTGTATGGCTCAACCACCGAGGTAGCAACTTGGGGCGCCGGGTAGACGCAGAACTCAAGTTTGCATTTCTTGCCGTAGTCGACTGAAAGGCGTTCCATCAACAAGGCACCAAAGCCCGAGCCGGTACCGCCGCCGAACGAGTGGAAGACGAGGAAGCCTTGGAGACCACTGCAGTTGTCTGCGACCCTTCGGACCTTGTCGAGCACCTGATCGATCAGCTCCTTGCCCACGGTGTAGTGTCCACGAGCGTAGTTGTTTGAGGCATCCTCTTTGCCCGTGATCATCTGTTCAGGATGGAAGAGACTGCGGTAGGCGCCCGTCCGAACTTCGTCGACGACGTTGGGCTCGAGATCGGCGTAGATTGTGCGGGGGACGTATTTGCCATTGCCTGGTCAGATCGATAAGCAAGAAGTCAAAAACTGTCGATGATAAAGGCTTACCGGTCTCAGAGAAGAAAGTGCTGAACCCTTGATCCGGCTCAGCGGCTTTGCGCTCTTCGGTGAGGTAACCATCTGGCTGGTAACAGTCAGACTCTGGTCGAACCGGTCAAAAGGGGTGATTGCGTACCTGGATGCCATGCTCGAGACAGTACAACTCCCAGCATGAGTTGGCAATTTGACAGCCAGCCTGGCCAACTGTGCGGCAGATGCGGTTAGCTTTTTGTCACGATTTGTTTGGACAGGGGCAACCAGGGACGGTCAAGGACGCGTGTTTGGCCGCGGGCGTACCGTTCAAGCTGATGACTTCTCTCATTGTGACGGTCGCGGTGGAAGAGAACACAGGTTCAGGGGATAGGAAACTACAGGTGCAAGACCAGGAGCAATGACCTCGAGCACGAACAGAGGCTCAATTGTTGATTGATTGACGGTGGTTGTGATTGTGGGGTTCGACTTTCTGAGCCTAATTTGTTGACAGCCGCGCTCATCCCTTGTCACTTCTCACCGCCTGTCCTGCAACGGTCTCTGCCCAGGAGCCAATCATAAAATCCCCGACATGGCGCGTCGTCGACCGTAGTTCTGCTCAACCGTACAGCGTACCGTAATGTTCACTCCTAAAACGCAGTACCTCCAGTTTTCGTCATGCTGGAACGATTGATCCATTTTCATCTCGGTTCACGTTGATGGCTAATATGCGTCTCTTCTTGTGGGCCTTGCTTGTCTACAGCGCCGTCGCCAACGTCGAGAAAACAATTTTTGTCGCTCCTGCCGCTGAGCCTCCTCCCAAAGATGCAAGCATAGACAGTCTACTTCTGACTCGTCTCTCCGAGCAACATCCTTTTGTCAGGACCTTCCTCAATGCCAGCTTTCCTACAGCAGATTCTCCTAAAGGGGTTGAGGCTTGGTTGCTCCTCGAAGGGATTCGCCCGCGGAGGCGTTACGAGGTTCGAATCTGCTGGCTAGCAACGGTATGCCGCCCTGAACCCCCACTGTACGATTGTTGACTCTTGCAGCAACCCACATCATTTTGGCTGTATACCCAGACTGTGGACAGGGTCTTTGAGACTCCAGAACTTCTCACATCATTGTCTGCATATTCGTATGCGCGCCGTGGACAACTCGGCGCTCAGGATCAGAAGTCGCTTCAGCTTCGCAAAGCAGATCCCGTTGCCACGGACTCAACTTTCCTTTTTCTTCAGATCTTTGCAGCCGCAGACTATTTCAGCCTCAACGAGACTTTGATGGCGATGGTGCCACCGGTCGCCGTCGATGTCATCCTTGACCCATATATCTTCAACGTCTTCCCGAAATCGTTGCTACCAACCGGGCTTTATCTTCTGCTGATCGCAACAGGGGCATGGTTCCTGTCCGGTTGGATTTCGCACCTATTGGCCGTAACCTCTGTCGGGGGACCAGGGGAGGAGACGAAGAAGGCCAAGTAGTTGCGTTTATGTCCTGACCATGAACGGATCTTGCAGCTGATCGAATTCTGTCATTAATGAGAAGAGCGGAAATTCTTCAGCATAGGACGGCAGACTCGGGATTCCCGAGCCATCCGGTGAGAGGTAACCAGCGTCTGGCATTTGTCCGAAGTCCGTCCGTGGCAGAGGCGGGACCTGCTCAGCAGAATCCTCACCCGCGTAAGCCAGGGCACCAGAGGTGGTTAAAACAGGGCCCCGACTTTCAGGCGGCATATCAAACCGTAATTGCCATGGCGGCGCGGCATCACCAGCATCCGCCATATCGAACAGGGCGTTGCCCACTTTGCCGTTCTGGGCCACGTCGGAGGCGAGGACCTGATCCGGGGTATGTGATCCTGTGCTGGGTCTCGTCGGTGTACTGCCATTGGCCTTGTTGATTGGGTCGCCAAAGATATTATGGATGTCCTGCCTCCGCCTTTGCATCTGGATCTGGTCTCGCCTGTTGATGTGCTCCAATGCTGCGAGACGGAGATAACTCGTTATCTCATATTGGCGACGCGCAGATAGGTCATCCTTGGCCATGATGGTTAGTATGGCTTCCGCCTGGGCCATGCTGCTGAGCAGCGGGAACGACTTGTCGAAGTCACCGAAGATGGCAAACCCAATCACCATCGCCGAGATGAATGTGCTGTTGGTGATCATGAACAGTCTCTTGGGAACACCAATCGTGTGAACGATATCAGTCGCAATCTCAATACTTCTCAGTGCTGCGTCAATGCATGCTTCGCTCAAGGTCATGGTCACCGAGTTTCCTGCGCTGTCCTCGTCCTCTGAACGACCCTTGATCTTGGATGACACTTTGAAGATGAGAAACGGTCTGGTCAACAGTATAATGGACCAGTAATATGCTCCCTTCAGATGCGCAATTCCAATGGTCTGTCTGAGCGAGGGCGCGGTGGATCCCTCTTTGGAATCAAGGCTGTCAGCCTGGAGACCGGCAGGCAGTTGCATTGTCCAGTCGCGGTACTGTCGAGAGATGCTCTCCACAAGCTGGACCGAAACCTCTCGTCGACAATAGACCTCATTCAGGATCCGCTCGAAGATGAAACATATTCTCAACGTGGCTGAAGTGGTTCGGCCATTCATCTGTATATCTTCATAGTCTCTGCTGGATCGGTTCCATGAGACGCTTCCGCCATCGACTTCGGACGTGGCTGGCGGCCGACCAAGTGAACCGCTCATGTACAGATCAAGCACGCGCAGACTCTTCCATACTCTTTCTCGCGCGGCCCTTTCCCTCGGCTCGAACAAGTTTGAAATGTCGCTCCTGTGCAGACCCAGGGCGTACGCTGCACGAACAGCAATCCCCAATAGCATGAAGGCGCCGTTCCTCCTCACTGCCGACAGCATGTAAAATGTGATGAGCGTGTAGGCCTGAATCGTGAGGACGCTTGGGTCTTCGAGAAAACTCGATACTCCAATCTCGCGACCGCGCAGGAAGTAGAACTCGGCTTGGTCCAGATCACTTGAAGTCCTGGTCAAGGCGCCGATGGCCATGACCAGGTAGTAGATGGAGCTGTTGAAGTCTGTCTCGGCCGTGGAATCTCGGGCCCACGAGAGCAGGTGGTCGGTGATATCATCAGGGTCGAACAGATCAATCACCCCACTCGAAGCCAACAGGTAGTGCTTGATGAGGTCTTGGGCCTCGGCGACGGTGGGCTTCGGGTGCTGGGACTGTGCGGGAGTTGGCACCTTGTGAGGCGGAATCACCTCACACATGGCATGACGAAGAGGATCTGAAGTCAATGGGCATTCTCCTATTTCGGCCTTGACCAAGCGGCGGATGTTCTGCACAAATGCAAGATTGCTCGAGTCTCCGACGAAGATGAACTTGCCGCGACCATCCCGAAGCAGTCGGGCCAGCTTTGGCACGGGTGCCTTTGAAATCACATCGTCGAGGTCTCTGTCGTACTGAGGAGTCTTTGCCGCGCTCCTCGAACCGGACAGTGTCAGAAGCGACTCAATGGCGATTTCGGCGTCGTTGGATTCGTTCAGCGCATCCTTCAACGTGATGGGCTGCGATGACGGGGTGCTGGTCTGCCGATGCGACCCGCCCTTGGAAAAGACGTCGCTGAAGACGCATTCGGGTTCCCTCCCACGGCGCTTGCAGAGGAGACAAGGCTGCTGACCGTCACATCTGAGTCATCGTCAGCATGAAGTCGAGCGGAACCAGCCGGAAATTACTGTCGCGTTGACCAAGCAATGGGCCAACTGAAGACATACTTCTCCTTTCTTCGCTTGCAGGTGTCGCAAGCCCGCGCTACTCGTTTGCGGTCTTCATCTTTGACTCGTGGACGAGGCATAACATCACCTGGGTCGTCGGTACGTCAATGCGGCTGCCTCGCGACGCATGCATGCATACACACAGGGATCGCTTTCCGGGTGTTGGTGGGCAAGTGGGTAGAGGACAGTCGGATATGGCACCTCGTGGAGTTGGAAATGTGAGGTGCGACGGTCAGCTGGGAAATCGTCGGATGCGGGCACGAAATCTTGCGGGGGGGGGAAAGAGAGCCTAGAAGTGGCGCCTAAAGGGGCCGAGCACCGACGCCAAACCAACTAAACTTTTGCGGAGAGCCAATTAGCTCGCACCGAGTCGTCTGACCCGACCTCGACTAGCACGACTGCGAGCCGGCCGGGGTTTCCGGGGCGGAGATGCCGAGGAGAGCCTCAGACACCCACAGACGCCCTGACCAGCACCGCAATCCTGGCACTAATCGTGTACAGAGTACAGAACATGGCTCGTTGCATAGGTGAAGGAGAGGATCGAGATATAACACCTTCAGTATACAGATACGGCGACATATGCCGAGTCTTGAGGCTCTCAAAATCCACGACCCATGCCAGTGGTCACCAATCCTTCGCCCGACTCGCCCTGAGATGTCAACGGAGCCATGTGGATGTTGTACTTCAGTTGGTTCTTTGCCTTCTCATCACCTTCCCGGGGCAGGAACTCGACAACCAGGGAATCTTTGACGGCAAAGACGGAGTCATCATCGAGATACTTGCTACTCTTGTCGAAGATCTGAGTCGTGATGGGCTTGTATCCTTCAGCCAGCACCTGTTCGACGGTTAGCTGGCATCTTTCGAGCAACGAGGTTTAGTACCCACGATGAAATGGATATGCGCTGGCCGGTAAGGATGTCTATCCAACAGCTGTAGGAGTTTCCCCGCTGGTCCGTCATATGGAATGGGATATGGTGTTGGTCGCAGGCAGTAAAAGGCGTATTCTCCGTTCTCGTCAGTGTAGAATTTCCCGCACAGGTTGGATTTAGGCTGATCCTCGTCCTGCTGCTCATACAACCCTGCAGGATGTGTCAGTCGAATCCAATTTTCAAGATGGGTATCTTCCTCACCGTTTGTGGAAGCCTCCCAGATGTCGATAGAGGCGTTGGCAATAGGCTTCTTTGAGGTCGCGTCCACTACTTGACCATAGATATATGCCACCTGAGCATCCTCCGGCAGCTTCTCTACGACACTTTCGCCCTTCTTGCGGATCTTGTGGTCTGTCTGGAAGAAAGGACCAAGTATGGCGCTCTGGGTAGCCAGGTCCGTCGCTTCGGAAGCTTTCTTGTATGTGATCTCGTCGACGAGACTGCCGTAGTCAACACCAATACGTCCACGACAAAGTGTACGACATACGTCTCTAAGCCCACAATATCACAAACCAATTGGCCTTCATTTCTCCTCTCGTTGCTCATCTGGCCGGCCCAGTTCAGCAAAGCAACGCCTTCCGTCCATTCGTCCACGGTCAACTCGACCTCGCGCGCAAAGTCATGAAGGTGTCTCGTCAGGCTGGTCATGACTTCCCTCATGCGGGGCGAGGTCTTGGGCCCCATAGCATTGATGACATTTTGAGTGAAGTTGGGGTCGAAGCGCGAAGCTCCTGTCTTTACTTCGCCGTTCGCTGCCATCCTGTACAAAAGACGTCAAGAGTAGCGCAGATGGAAAGTCAGGTCACACACACGACAGGCCGAGGTGGAGGAGGTCGGATCAGATGATAGAAGCGTGAAGTGAAAGTACACGGTCCATGAGAGAAGGGTTCTCCGCGCATTCAAATACGATTGGCAATTGCTGTCACCTGTTTCGTGGAGCCCATGCTCGGATCCAGCCCTGAGGTGACCCAGGCGAGCAACTCTGGAGGCCACGGCCTCACTGATCGTGCGGACTGCATGGCACTGTCAAGCACTACTGGGTGTTCGCGTACAACAGGCCGCCCACCGTTGCCACTAATACCCCGCCTCCACTCCCTGCATCGGATCCCGTGCCCGCCTGAATTGACGCCATCCAGCTCCCCAAAACAGCCTAAGCAGCGATTAGATAGCGACAGTGCCTTTCCCAAGGCAGATTAGCTTGAGCGCGCCGCTTCAACTGCGGAAGCTGCCATCGGCGTCGCTTCAACCTCGATTGCTCGTGCCGGCTGCCAACTTCGGGACGCGCCCTCGTTCCCAATTCCATCACAATACCTCTAGATTATCTAAAGTACTGATCACTCCTCGTCAGACTCTCCTGTTCGTGGCCTGACGACTCGGGTCCCTGACTCCCCAATAACTGTACGAGCATTATCAAGTAGGGCGGACCATTCCGATTACCCAGGTTGCCTGGAAGAGTCAGCTGTCATGATACCGCTCGACTGCTGCCGGAACTTCATTTTTCTGTAAACAAGGGCGGCATTTTTTTAATCACCAAACATGGTGTTTCAGTGAGTTAGGCGCCGAGCTGTTCTGCTGAGCCTGATCTCTGGCTGGCAAGACTCAACTTCTCCCGTGGCCCAGCACTTCGGTTACAGTACTGTGTGCACTCAACGTGGCCGTGGAGACTTCTGCCGGCCCATCAGATCGGAGTCTCTGACCAGCACCAGATGATCATCGGTGCTTACAAGGCTGTCTCCTCCGCAAAGGTAACAGCCTCTGCAAGGAACGTCGGTGATGGCTTCTCCCCGTCTTAACGGCCACCTGTCGGTGCCTCGGAACGAAATCCTGCAGCTCTGCAACCACCCACACCGAGATCAAGCTGCGAAACCAAAATGCGTTGAAACCGAGCCACTGAGCAAACAGAAAGCTTCCTGCATCGAAGGACATCCACAGCTTCTGCAACCCCATTCTTCAGCCCGCCAACTGCCAGCCGGAATCGATACAGGGCCATGCGCCTACCCATTGACTCCGTGGCACCAATCTGATGTTGGAGACGCTGCATACTGTGTTACTGACCGATTGCTCTTGGTTGTCTCTCTGTCTCATCGTGTCGTGCTATTCTCATCCACAAACCGTCCGCCGAACTGTTGCACATTCGCTTGATGTTGCTCTTGTGATGCCCTCCCAGCCAGCTAAGATGAACCAGCGACCCCGTTCCCCTATGGGCTTGACTTGTCTTGGGTCCCTGAGTGTTCTTTTAACCGACAGTAACGACTGAAGTCAAGCAGCTTCGACGCGGGCCTCTTGCAAGATGCCTTCGAAAGACTCATCGCCGCACACGTACTCGGCCTCGCCACGAAGCGCGCAGTGGCCCAGTTCGTCGTTCTGGTCTCCTAGGCCCAGGAAGAAGTGCTCGCCCTCGTCAAGCGCTTCTTCGATCCCCCCGCATCAACTGCCGCCACCATGCTCGTCTCCTCCTCCACGACCACCGCGGCCGAAGACGTCCTTGCCGAATATGCGGCCCACAGTCATTCTGTCGCCGCCGGCTATCTCAAGGCCTTGCATCTTGCGATTGCCGACTCCCAACCACTCCGATCACCGGTACAGGTTTTCGGAAGATGTCTTCGCATCACTTCAGGAACACCTGGGACTGCGGGCAGACGGGATGAGGAGCCCAAACGTCAACGGGGGACATCTCACTCCCAGATCCCTCCATACAAGGACGGAAGGATCCAGAGCGCTCCGGACGATGGATAGTTTTGAGCGCGCAATCTTCCAAAGCCGGCCAGCAAACAGCCCAGATCATTTCAACCCAGCGGCCTCATCGACACCTCTGGCTTCGACGCCCGTAGCATTTCCGAAGCCACACGTTCTCGACGATATTTCGTCATCTTGTTCTCCAACGAAAGCCGAAGTCATGTCAGCTGAGTCGGACACTGTCTACGAAGAGATCCGCGCGGAAAACCTTGGATCCACGATACAGGGGCGATTGCGCCTCAAACAACACCGACGGCTGCTTTGTATGCTCGCCACAGTTGTCTTCGTCATCGTGGCGGCGACAGCCATTGCTGGAGGCGTGATATGGAAATTGACGACTTGTAAGTCACCATCCTGTCCATGTTGTTCAGTTGGATTGGAGGAAGTGGAAGTGAAGTGCGCGTGCGACGTCGTGATCTGCGTGCTCCTCAGCACTGACAAGACTATGACTCTAGTGGGTCGAGTGGACTTGAGCAAGCGACGGCGGCTCTAGAACACTGGAGCGGCTCATCCGCACACGTCGGATCGTGACACCGACGGTTGATGAATGCGCAAAAATCTACAGGTAGCCATGGGAACACCAGAGATGCGAGCATATATGAAAGGCTAGCAAGAGCAGAATCTCATTACATACCACGTAGGTAATAAACCAGGGACCGACCAAGTCGCCTCTACTCCTTTCCCTTTGCCTTCACTTTCTTGCTGTTTTGCTTTTCTGATACGCCGTTCACCTTTGCGCCGTTTTGTTTCTCCCCATTATGGTTGACCTTTCCGTTGACATCTTTAGTCCTTGACGCGTCACTGGACTTCCCTTTCTTCTTGTTCCCCTGGCCCTGCTCTGCTTTCTTACGATCAGCAACTCTGGGATCGATGCCCCGTGACTTCAACCACTTCTTCTCCGCCCTTTCAATGTGCTCTTTATCTTTCTCGTCGTCGAAGCCGCCAAAGTCATCACCCGGCGTCGGCTGCTCCTCGTCGTTGCCACCAACGCCATTGAGAATGCTCTTCGCGTCGCCGTTGAGTACAGCCGTTTGCTGCTCGGCATCGGTCCTCCCAGCCGACTGCCCGGTGCTCTTGGGCGTCGGCCCCGTCTTCTTCAGTTTACACACAAAGAAGCCATCGACGTTCTCCTTGTGCGGGAAGTACCGCCGCGTGAGAACCATCTTGTCGTCGAACTTCTTGTTCATGTAGCTCTTGAACCCTTCGGACCCGAAAGTCCCGAGTCCGGTGTCGACAATCTTGACGTTCGGTCGTTTGCGCAGAACGTACTGGACGACGCCTTCGTTTTCTTCCACCGTGACGGAACAGGTCGAGTAGACGATGTAGCCGCCGGTCTTGCTGGTGTGGTCAGTCGAGTCGATCGCGGCGAGGAGAAGTTGTTTCTGCATATGCGGGAGAGCGAGAAAGTCGCGCTCGTTCTTGGACGTCTTGACGCTAGGGTCCTTCCCAATGACGCCCGTGCCGGAGCAGGGAGCATCGAGCAGGACTCGGTCAAAGCCTCCCAGGATTTTGGGAAATGCCTTCTGTGCGTCGTAGTTGCAGATGATTGTGTTCTTGCACCCGAGGCGGTGGATGTTGCCGATGAGACCCTTGGCCCGCTGGCGGTTTGCGTCGTTGGCGAAGACGGCGCCCGTGTTCCGCATGAGCGCAGAGATGTATGTGGTCTTGCCGCCCGGAGCGGCAGCCATATCAAGGATGCGCTCGTTGGGCTGGGGCGCCAGCGCCATGACGGGGAGGAAGGAAGACGCGGCTTGTAAGATATAGTGTCCGGCGAGGTATTCAGGCGTCGCGCCCAACGGGACGGGCGCCTCGAATACTTGAAGGCCTACTTTTGACCATTTTCCTACGGGTTCGAGCACCACGCCGCGGTTGATCAAGGCTTGGGCCAGGGTCCGGCGGTTGGTTCGGAGGGTGTTTGTGCGGAGGACGACGGGTCGAGGCGTCTCGTTGGCTTCGAAGAAAGCGAACGCCTCCGCGGGCGTGAAAAGGTTGAATAGCTTTTCAGCGAGGTACCGGGTGTAGCCGTAGTATGTGCAGATGTCGGAGAGCAGCTGCTCAGTGTAATCTGTCCTCGACTTGTTCTTGTCTGCCAGCTGAGAGAAGTTGCCTAGGATACGGATTGTCTCTGTCATCCTCGTCCGAATCATACCCAGGTCTGGAGCGAGACCCTGTGCAGTCACCGAATCCAGCACACCCTCGTCCGTGGCAATGTTCGTCTGGATGGCATCCTCCAACTCTTCCTGTGCTTCTGCATCGACTTGTGCCTGCTGCTGGTCCAGTTTTCTCGACAGGCCTTCGATGTTCGCGGCGGTCAATTTGGCTTCGGCGTCCGATTCGTCTTCATCGTCGGAGAACATGCGACGTGGGGCTTCATCCGGGTCAGAGTCGAAGACGGAGTCGTCAGAGGGTTCTCCGTCGAGATCTGCTTCGTCTAGCTCATCGTCTTCGTCGTCTAAATCAGACAGCGACGCCTCGTTCAAAGGAACCCCTGCGACGCCCGCCTCACTCTCTTGGCCTTCATCCTCTTCATCGCCATATTCTCCGTCAACGGGTTCGGAGGCAATAGGAAAGGGCGGAGGGACTGTTATTTGAGCATCGTTGTTCACGATCTTCTTCTTTCCTTTTGGTTTCTTTGCGACAGTGGCACTCTCGTCTCGCAACGTACGATCAAGATTGACCAGTTTCTTCGGAGCATTCCCCTTCTGTTTCTCGTCCGACTTCCTTCGTTTTCTTGCAGGCTGCTTTGGCTCGTCGGCGCCGGCCTTCCGCTTCAATTTGATCCCTAATTCCTCGAGGGAAGCCGGAGGGCCCTGTTTTCGCATGCGACGCCCGACACCCATTGTGTGTGCCGGGTTGTGGTCGGTGCGGTGAAAACGCTGCTGGCACAAAGAATTTTGGCCCAAAACTTCGGGTTGCATGCGGCTAGAATTTTGCAGGCTAACTAGCCCGGTGAACGACCAGTGAACGACCAGTGAGGGCGCAGTGAAAGCGTGGTGCCGCCCGCACCCCGCTCTCGGAGGTCAAATACCGCGGCGGGTCCCCATGCGAATGCCTGGGGGTTTGATTGGTCCCTCACAGAGGCCTATCCGTCAATTAGCACGCGCCGGCCAACACCGCCCCTCGTCGTTCACCATCCGGTTGGATCTTTAGCGCAGGCTTGCTTTCCGCATCTGTCAACCATCACGATCATCGGTCTTCGTCCCCTGAGCCGGCTGTGATGGTTGGCCCTTGAGGCTCTTGGAGCGGTACGACTGCATGGAGGGCACAAAGTCCGTCCCGTCGCTTCTGCACAGGACATATGCTCCAAACCTAATTGAACTGGGGCGCGCGCAATTGGAATTCCTTCAAGTTGCCCTCTGCGTCCTCTCAGCCCCGAGTCGCACGATAATCAGCACCTTATCCACCGAACATGGCACCATCACCCAGTCCCCCAGCGGCTGGAGCTCCAGACTCCGTGGCTGCTCGGCCTGCCACAGAGACTCCTCCAGCAGAAAGAAAGTATACTTCGCACGCTTGCGAGGCCTGTCGCTCCAGACGGTCAAAGGTAGAGTCAACCATCAACTTTGTCGCAAGAATCTCGACGTGCTCATCGCTCTCGTTCTAGTGCAATGGCCAACGTCCCATATGCTCAGCATGCTCTCGCCTTGAAACGGCTTGCATATACTCTGCAGTCGACCGTCGGAAAGGTAAGCTCACTACGGATCAGACCGACGCGCTGCAAAAGAAGGTCAAGAACCTTGAAAACATCATCACGGTCCTGAGCCTGGGCTCTGATGACGATGCCCTCGAGCTGCTGAAGACCATACGGGATAATGCTCCCTCCCCGGCATCAGGCCACGCCCTATCCGTTGCGGATGTGCTCGGGGAATGGCACAAATCTCGGGAGACGGACGTCGAGTACAATGCCGAGGTAAGCTCGCGAGGCACGTCCCTGAGGAGGCGAGTACCGTGAGCTCTACACGAACCACGAGATGAGAAGAACCGAGCGGTCGGATCACAGCGGACTGACCTAGGATAGAGTACGCGGCTCTACACAACCAATGACTTGCCACCAGAGCGATTGATCCAATATGGGGTCACGGCCTACTTCAATTGCAGCTATACGCTTTTCTACATCTATGAGAAGCACGAGATGACGGATATCATCAATCGGGTTTACCGACCTCAAGAACCAGTTGACAAGGCAACCTTGTGTGAATTGTGTGCTTTGGCAGCCATCGGAAGTCACTACGACGCGGCCAACTTTGACGTGTCTGTCATGGAGAACTTGTACCACACAGCTGCAGTTTACCTCAGCGATTGCATCGAGGCGCACTTTCTGCGTGGAATGAGAGTCATCCTGTGCCTTAGCATGTACTCATTCATGACGAAGAGGATAAGCGCTCGGTATTCGCTCGGTATGTGCCCCTCGAATGGTTCCGCAACGAGGCTGACGTCTTCCAGCAATGGGCCTGAGTATAGCTCGTCAAGCTCGCCTGAATTGGCAGATGCCTACAGATCTCTGGGTGCCGTACCGGAAGGTGTATCGTTCATTCGTGTTCATGGAATGGTAGGAAAAGCCCGAATACAGTGCATTAGCCGTAGATGCTGACCTTGACAGCTGGCTTTCCTCGAGTCTTGGATACCAACCCGGTATAACGGATGAGGAAATCAAGGTGAGCACAAACATAATGGATGGTGCATGCAGCACAACCGAGTCTCTCGCTGACGTTCCGCAGTTCACCAACCAACCCATTACCGAACCACAGCCAACCATCGAGAATGACATTCAAGCGCAACTCAGCGCCGTAGGCCTGATGATGGCCAAAATCGTCCAAGACGTCTACAATTCGCGGCCCATGGGCATCTTCTCCCTAGCCCGTCGCCACTCGGAGACCCTGCAAGCCTGGCAAGACAGCCTACCGCCCACGATGAAACTAGCCGAGCTGAAGAAGGAAGAAGGCAATGTCTTCATCGAGCCACACCGCCGGTCGCTCATCCTCGTGCACGTCATGTTCTTCGGCGCCCAAATGCTGCTTCAGCGACGCCTCCTCGTCACTATGGCCCAGGAGCGCATGAACAGGCGATGGACCCTAGACGGCAGCTACGAGGATGGCAGGGTCATTGAGCAGCAATGCATCGCCGCGGCCGAAGAGTGCGTCTACCTCCTCGATGTCCTCGGCTACACCAGACATATGTTCCGACGTTGTTGGCTATGCATGTAAGTGGGGCAGCTTTACCCTCCACCATCTCCTGCCATGAGAGTTCAGCACTGACGTTATCTTTTCCCCTTCCTTGAAGCGGCCACGCCTTCAGCGCGTGCAGCGTGGTTCTCTTCGACGTAGCCCTGCGGCTCCTCTACGACCAAACAGACGGCGTGGACGAACAACTCGCCCGCTCGCAGGAATGCATCAACATGCTCGAGGGCTGCGGCGAGGCCGACCGCGTCGCGAAGGCAATGCTGCAGATTGTCCTCCCCCTACATCAGGACTTGCGGCGCCTGGCGAGCGACCAGCCAACCACTCGCAGTGGAATCCACAATTTACTCGAGAACCCGCTGTCTGGGACGACTTCGACGACGACACCGGAGCCACAGATCCGAGCGGCCGTCATCCCGGCCATGCAGACCGCGATTGAGGTCTTGGGGAATCCCTTTGGACATGTCAGGAGGAATAACATCGATTCCTTCGCGGCTGGCGACCCCAGTGTGCCCAGCTGGTGGAATTGAGGCTTCTGAACCGAACCGACGACCTCGGAGAAGAGGATGCCGCAAAGTACGGAGTACACAGTGCATGGCAAGGCCGTTTACGACGGAAGTTCTTGCAAATTGGGACCCCGGGAACCCTTTGGGATGACACGGCGTTAATGCCCGGACGCTGAATGATTGGAGGACATGCCCCGGGCGTACGGTATGCGTAGGTAAAAGGATGTAGTTAACCGGGCAATTACGATGTAGATAAGAGGCCGATGACGAGGGAGCAGTGTGGAAAATGCACTGACTGCCTCCGTCATCTGGACAAACACGCTTCCACGTACAGATGCAAATGATTCTGGGTTCATATTTTGATATGCACTTCACCCATCCGTCATTCTTGCGACCCGACCGGCCTTACTCCTCTCCTCCCAGCAGCAACACAGTTCAGATCTGGGCCGCTTCTCTCTTCCTTTTTCATTCGATCGACCATCGTCTCCAACCCCGCCATCTCCATTGGAAGCCCCTTCAAGCTAGACCGTTGACTGGCCCAAGCAGGGGTGCGGGTGAATTGGGTCCGGACCCCTTCTTCTTCAACGTAAGCGGGAAGGGGTAGTCGTCGGGCTCTTCTTCCTCACTGGTATATGTCAGCATTTGTTAACAAGCTTCGAACGTTCAACGTACGGTAATCTCCAAGCAATGTAGTCCTCGGTGCTCAAACCTTCCTTGCCTTCCTGTAGCGATGCGAAATCACCCGGCGTCATCATCCCAGATCGATCTCGAGGTGATCCAGGCACAGAGAGCGGTCTGGAGATCTTCTGTTCGGTACCTCCAATAAAGTCATCGAAGTCCTCAGCATCAGTGAACGAGCCGGGATAAGCTCGTCGAAGAGCAAGTTGCCGCGCCTTGACATACTCCATCCCCATGCGTTTCCAATCCAGAAGGTCGCTAAGTCGTTCTGTACGATTGCGCTGGTTGATACGCTGTCTTCGGCTCTTGTTGGCAAATTCGTACATGTAGTCCGTTAACTGGTTGACGGACTCGTCGACGCCCTTGGTGCGTCGGTCCACGATATAAATGCCGTAATCAGACGAATTCTCAATCAGTTCTTCCATGTAGCACCCAAAACCGGAGAGGTTGGTGGTTATGGAGGGAACACCCATGACGGTACACTCTGCCGGGGTGTAACCCCATGGCTCGTAGTAAGAGGCAAAAACACCGAGGTGCGTGCCCCTGACGAAGTCATCGTAGTCCAATGACAGGACGGGATTGGCCGAGTTCAAAAATTCGGGATGGAAGATAACTTTTACTCGGTCGTGGGTGTTGTTGAACAACTGAACTCGACGAAGCTGATTGAGCACCGGGTCTTCCGAATCATTTATCATGTTGTGTGTGACGATGGGTGGAAGGCCATGTCGCTTCATGGCAAATATCCTACGTCGAAGCATGACCCGGTCGCTAGGAGTGACGAGTTCCTTGTCATCTGGCATTGGGTCGCCTTCCTTCCAATGAACAGCCCTTTCGAACAATCTGCGGCCGATGCCTCGCTCGATGTTGGAAACTGTGTCCGCAAGGGACTTGGTAACTGCTTGGCCCTTGAGTGATTCAACTGAGAGAGAAGTGGTCTGCGCGGGCATGATCAGGAACGCGACGATGGTTGTCTTGGTACCCGAATTCTGCAAGCGGTAATTCAATCTGGCCAGTGACTCGATGAACATGTCCACGCCTTTGTTTCGATACTCATATCTTCCTGCCGTGAAGTAGTAGAGTGTGTTCTCCAGGTCAAAATCCAGCTGGCCGTAGAAGTGTCCACGCACAAACTCATGAATCTTCTCTTTCTGCACCGAGTGGAGGTTCTGGAACTCGTGCACTGCGGAGAATTTCTTAACGTTCAGGCCGTTGGGCAAGACCCCGTCAGGTTTTCGTTTCAGCAGGTGCTCGCTCTCGAATGCGGTGATATGGGAGACGGTTGTGAAAACGTCGGCGGAATGGGCAGATGCGCGCTCTATGCAGTATCTGTGGTAAATTCCACGTTTGCCCGCCTCGGCATCGACGTCAAAGTATTGCAAATTGTTGTAGAAGTCGACCGAGCCGGCGCAGAGGTATCGTCCGAGAAGGGTGGCATGAGTCGTAAAGATGGTCGTGAGGTCCATCTGGCGCTTTTTGGTCAAAGGTAGGGCGACTCCAGCAAGCCATTCGTGGAAGTGAGCGATGACTGCGCGATCCGTTTCGCGTGAGATGAACTGCAAAGTGTCAGTCAACAGCCCAGCGTCTCACTGCAAGCTCATACCTCGCCCAAGAACCAGGCCACCAAATAGCCGAACACAATAGCTTCGTTTGTTTCATTATCTGAGGCAGGCGAAGGGATGCCAGCCGCGGACCATAGGTCACCCTTCCACTCATCCAACCATCGGTACCCTGTTCCGGTGTTGATGAGGAGGACCCGCGGTGCACCTTCGATCAGCCACCGGCCATACATGAGCTCGATACCACGTTCTTGCATCGATTCGATGGTCTGCCGAAGAGGGCCGGCTGGGGCTTCGAGGGTCTCGACTTCGACGGCGGCCTGCGAAAGTCAATTTGAAGCTCGATGAAAGGACAAATCAACTTACCGAGTTCTTGTTCAGGGGACCAATGAGTGTATATCGGTCGCCATATTCGGCGGTTGTGACAGGAGCTTTGGACTTGAGCACGGAATAGATACCACCCACTGTTCTGAATCAGCACATGCCACCCTGTACAGTGAGAAAACGGCGGGCATACCTCGATTCGCAACCTCTGTTGCAACTTCGAAGAGTAGGTGGTTCTTGATGTCTCTCTTCTTCTCCATGTCGCCGTTCATCTTGACGACTCTCCGGTGCTTGTGTGCAAGAAAGTCGGCGTTTGTTGACTAGAGAAGCTGGAGACGAATGCTTACCCCACAGTAGTGCGGAAGCTTCCAGACGGGTTCGAGAGCTCGACGGTGCTGGCTCCAAGGTCGAGGACCGAGTGAAGAGCGCAGAGCTATAAGATGAGCTCGGTCCAATGATCTCCTGGAGTGAGAGAAGAGCCAGAAGATGTAGAATGAAGAAGAGATGCTTGCCAGAGAAACTGTCGAAAGCGGATCTGAGAAATTGTGGCAGGGTTTGCCGATGGTAGCACGACAAGCCGATCTGTTGGAGTGGAGGCAAGCAAGGAAAGCTCCACTGCAAGAGTCGAGCTTGTGAATTTGTTGACTTGGGGTGTCTCAGCAACGAAAATGCAGAGAGGCAAACTCAGATGCAGGTCGACAACAATGAAGATGTTCCGGCGGCGCAGCTCCTCACAGGAACGTTGAGCACGGAGGAATTATTATTTGTCGTCGTATTCCGTACCACCGAGTTCCAAGTGACGGCATGGTGCAAGAATCATGCCACGCTTCGAGCTCTCCCAGACAACTGCAGCTCTGCTGGGTGCCCTGGGTGCCCTCGGCGCCCACCACGCGCAATGCACAATGACGGCAGGCACGTCATTCGGTTTCTGCCTCCCAAATCGAGCCTAGACGGCGCGCCTCCAGGTGGGCTGTCCCCCATTTCTTTCCCACTGTCTCGCCTATGATTGAAGGAAATCTCCCCCAAGGATGCACTCCAAGCTGGCGCCCCCCGCATTCTCAAGCCCATTCTCACAAGGAAATTTCAAGATGCTGGTTGCCATGCGGACTATCTCCGTTCCCAATCAGATCGCAGTTCCCCGTGCAACACCCGTGGACACCGCCGGAGCTCGACATGCTCGTCTGCTCGTCTCGTTCGGCGATTTTTGAAGCCAGACTTCAGTTCTTGCATCTACAGTAGTGGTGTAAAACCACACTGTCGAAAGTGGTTCAGTGCGTCAGTGGTGAGCACTTGTTTAGGGCACTGCCACAATTCCCAGCACCTCTGAAGCTGCAATGGTAAATATATCTGTTGGCGACACGCGCTCACCATGTGATTACCGCGATACTGACGGATCTGTTGCTCCACGGTACAGACATGGAGGCGCGGTTCTGGCATGCGATGGAGATGGCCCGTCATCTCGTTGCTGTTGTGCCTTGTTGCTGAAGTCTGCAGCCAGAGGCAGGAGATTCTCAATGGCCCCGGCAAAAGACCGAACATCGTCTTTGTCTTGACTGACGATCAGGACTTGCACATGGACTCCCTCTCATATATGCCTTTCCTGAAGAAGCATGTAGCTGATCGTGGTACATCCTTCCGGCGACATTACTGCACAGTCGCCCTATGTTGTCCTTCCAGGGTAAGCATGTGGACGGGCAAGGCCGCGCATAACACCAATGTGACAGATCTGCATCCTCCATGGGGAGGATACCCGAAGTTTGTGAGTCAGGGCTTCAACAACGCGTACCTGCCCGTATGGCTACAAGATGCTGGTTACAATACATATTACGTTGGCAAACTGTTCAACGCCCAGAGCACGTCCAACTACGACAAGCCTCACGCGGCGGGGTGGACGGGCTCAGACTTTCTGCTCGACCCGTACACGTACGAGTACTACAATGCGACCTTTCAGCGAGATCACAACCCTCCAATCGGTTATCCGAGCCAGTATTCGACAGATCTGGTGGCGGAGAAAGCGCTTGGGTATCTAGACGAGGCACTGAGAGAGGACGATCCGTTCTTCCTCACGATTGCACCAACAGCACCCCACAGCAACGTACACATCACAGACGACTCAGTAGAACAGTCGATGCCTCGGCCAGCCAGCCGTCACGAGCATCTCTTCAAGGACGCCAAAGTTCAGCGGAGAGCCAACTTCAACCCCGACAGACCCAGTGGTGCTTCATGGCTTTTAGACTTGCCTGTGCAGAATCAAACCAACGTGGATTACAACGACGAATGGTATCGCAACCGACTCCGGACACTGCAAGCTGTCGACGAGATGATTGACCGACTGGTAAGCCGATTGCACCAAGCCGGCGCCCTGGAAAACACGTACATCTTCTTCTCCACCGACAATGGTTACAGCATCGGACATCATAGGAGGCAGCCTGGGAAGCAGTGCGCCTTCGAAGAAGACATCAACATCCCTTTTCTCGTTCGAGGCCCTGGCGTCCCCCAGGGTCATCGCACAACGATCGTGACATCGCACGTCGACCTTGCACCCACTTTCCTGAGTCTCGCAGGTGTCTCGGATGTGGAAATGGCAAAGTATGAACTCGACGGCACCGCGATTCCATTGCAGCTGGAAGATTTGGCACTTGCTGAAGAATCCTGGCCACAGGAACATGTGAACGTCGAGATGTGGGGCATCATCCAATCCGAAGGGAAACACGGGTTCGTCCTCTATCCGAACCATACGTACAAAGCTCTCCGAATCAGCGGGGATGGTTACGATCTGTTGTATACGGTGTGGTGTAGCAATGAACACGAGCTATACGACATGACCCATGACCCGTGGCAGATGGACAACGTCTATGGCGAAGGAACAAGAACGTATACCATCGGTATGCCCAGCGAGAGGCTCAGAGATGAGATATCCTCCTCGCTCAGCGCGGTAGGTATCTTTTCGCACGGCAATATCACCACGACGATCTCGCATCTCATCTCCCGTCTCGACGCGCTCCTGTTGGTGCTTAAGACCTGCAGAATGGACGAATGCCGGACGCCTTGGTCATCACTTCATCCCACAGGACAGGTGCGGAACCTGCGCGACGCTCTTGACGTGCGGTTCGATGAGTTTTATCACATGCATCCGAAAGTGCGGTACGAGCAATGCGAGAGGGGATATATCCCGGAAAGTGAAGGTCCCATGTGGGATAGCGGCATGTCCTTCCGGGCCATGGAGCATGAAGTTTGGACGGGTGCCTGACTCGAAAGCGTCGAACCGCTCCACTGGGTGTTCATGCCTCGATGCCACCGTCTACACAGTGGCACTACCCCTGGAAGCGAATCTCAAGACACCATACCTATTTACTCCTCTTGTAGATCTTTGCAAGGAACGTCTCAAACACCCCCTTTTTGAGACCTTCACTTTCGTCCACCGCGGCCATCAACTGCCTCAACTCCCCAACCCTCTTCTCTTCGTATTCCTGGTATCTCTTCTCGAGCTGAAGCTCATTGTACAGCTCCTTCACCTTCGCCTCTTTCGCATCATCCTTCTGCCCATAATTCTCGTCCAGCAGCCTTCTCTGCTCGGGGGTGACTATCTGCAATGCCTGATTAATCAACCACCCACACTTGTTGTCCTTGATGTCGGTGCCGATCTTGCCAATCACAGCAGGATCACCGAATGCGTCGAGGTAGTCGTCTTGAATCTGGAAGTACTCGCCCAGCGGGATGAGAATGTCTTCTGATTGTTTCAGGTTCTTGGGGGTTGCCAGTCGCAAATAGTACAGCGCCAGGGCGACAGGAAGGTAGAAGGAGTAATACGCGGTCTTGTAGATGACGATGAAGGTGTATTTTGCCATGCTGAAGTTGTTGAGGTCGACATCATCTTCGGGCGCCGTGATCAGATCGCACAGCTGGCCCAGCTCGGTTTGCCAGGTAACCTCGTGGAAGAGCTCCACGAGGTCAAGATAGGCGGGGTGGCTGCGGAACCGTTTCTTGAGGATGAGATAGATAGAGGACTCCAGCATGAAGGCATCGTTGATGGCGATCATACCCACACCCGGATGGCGGTACCAGCAGGGTTCTCCGCGTCGGGTTATACTCGAGTCCATGATGTCGTCGCTCACGAGAAAGAATGCTTGCAGCAGTTCGGTGAGCCAGCCGAGGGTGGCAAGATCTTTAAATTCTTCAGGGGAGAGAGAGCGTCCGAGCAGTTGAGAGGCCGTATCCGGCACAGACATGCCTCTGTTGAGCTTGCCCGTCGGCGTGTTCGTGTTGAGAGACTGCCAGCAGGATTAGCTGAGTGGGCAAGTCGCACGGCTTGCGGTGCGAAGTACTTTCTCGAACCATTGTAGCGCATTGTCGGGGAGATTGAACTTTCGACACTCTCCCAGCAAGTCCTCGACCAGCGAGGGAAAGACGTCGGTGAAGTCTGTGCGAGTTGTCTTCGTCGCCATGGCTATGATGCCCAAGTGAAAGCTTCCTTGACCGACAATCTTTCAATGGATGAGGGGGAGCAGAAAAACATTTTGGAGATGCGCACCTGTCACACCTGTTCCTGGCGGGCACGGCGGGGGTCGGAGTCTGCTTCCCCGAGTGGCGCCGACAACCTGTGGCTGACACTGAGCATCGAGCCAGGCACGTGCCAGGGAAGGGGAGTCGCATGCGCCACATGCCTTTGCCGTGCTTCTCATCCCGTCATTGACGGTTGCTGCCTCCTTCTACCCTCTTTATCATGGTCGGTACAAATATGCCTGCCCGACCCTCGACGCCTCCTCCCCAGGCTACGGCCAAGCCTCAGTCGCCGCTGACCCCAGAGCAAGTGAGGAGGATCGAGATTAATCGTCTCAAAGCCAAAGCGCTTCGGGAACAAAGAGAGGCAGAAGTCGCAGCAACCGCACCCCTACGAAGATCTGACTCTTCGGCCGCAGGCCAGAAGCGCTCGTACGCTACATATTCTGAGGCTCCAGCAGCGACGAACCGCGATGCCCGAAACGAAGCAAATCGGCCGCTTGAGGCTATTCAGCCGGCGCGCAACTTTGCAAAGTATGTCGACTATGATTTCAGCAAGATGGCGGATACAAAGGGTGGGTTCTTGACTCAAGAAGATGACCCGTACAACAAGGCGCTACACGCCGATGAAAAGGACCAGAAGCCGTCCCATCTGACCGAGAAGGAATGGGAAAGACAGCAACTGCTGCGGTCGCTGCGAAATCGTCAAGCCGGTCCTTTCGAGCCCGGAATCACTGCCATGACAGACCAGAAAACCAAGTCGTGCCGCGAGTGTGGGACTTTGGAAGTTGACTGGAAATGGCTTGATGTGTTTAACCTCGCCGTGTGCAACACCTGCAAAGACAAGTTCCCCGAGAAATACAGCCTGCTCACCAAGACAGAAGCAAAGGAGGATTACCTCCTGACAGATCCCGAATTGAAAGACGAGAATCTGCTTCCGCATCTCGAAAGACCCAACCCTCACAAATCGACGTGGCACAACATGTTCTTGTATCTGAGATGTCAGGTCGAGGAGTATGCCTTCTCGGACAAGAAATGGGGATCGGCAGAAGCGCTAGATGCGGAGTTCCAGAACCGAGAGACAGAGAAAAAGAAGCGAAAGGAGAATAAATTCAAGTCGAAGCTGGCGGACCTGAAGAAGAGGACCAGGGTCGAGGCATACCAGCGGAGCAAGAAAGGCGGCGCCCCTGGGAATTTCGGAGACGATATGAGTGGTGGCAAACATATCCACGAGTTTGGACAGCCCATTGACAATCCCGAAACCGGGTTTCCCGTCAAGACATGTACTATATGTGGGCTGGAAGTGGAAGAACTCGAGCTGTAATGCTAGCGGACTGAGGTGATGACGATACCCGAATGCATGATGAGTTTCCGTGATGAATGCACCGTGATGAATACACCGTGATGTACTTTGCGCATCTGGATCTGCTTCTTGCACCGTCCAGATTGCAACCAGTTGTAGTTATCGAGAGGTGAAAGTGAAGAAAGTGAAGAAAGTAGAAAGAGAAGAAAGTGCCGTTGTCCTTTAGCCGCAGTCAAACCGCCGGCCTGGCGCTAATTGACTTTGGTCGCGGCAGCTCAGCCTGCGGAAAGAAAGTCGCAGCTGTGCTCGCGCTTCGACCAGGAGACAACCTCCAGACTTGAAATCATTCAGCAGCGTGGCTGTCCACGCAACCAACGTGAGCACTTCGTCCAACCCTGACGACACCCTGGTAGTCGTCATTGCCAATCTACAGTCTTTTCCTGCCTCTCGACTCCGACTTCGATCCCTCCGCATCGGTGGCATCTCCTCGGTTAATGACAGCGTGACCACTTTCCAGCCCTCGTAGTCCACCAACATGGCTAGATGAGAGCATCACAAGCACAGCAGCGCCAGAAAGCGCATCATGGCGTGGCAGTCCGGAGCTGGAGGAGGCGCCGTAGGAGGAATGGCTGCCGGAGAAGCGACTGGAGTGCAAGCATACACATTACAAGGTGGGAGACTTCTCGCATGAGCGCTGTTATAGTACTGACGACCGCGGACAGGGGTCATGCGCTTTCTGCAGACAGAATGGCACCGACATGAGCGAGACAGAAATGCGTGGGAAATCGAGCGCGAAGAAATGAGAAACAGGATAGCCATCCTGGAAGGAGAGACCAGGACAAGCAAGGGCATGCGCGTCTCCCTGGAACGGCACGTCAAACTCTTAGAGACAGCGCTCAAGAAAGAACGGGAGAGGGCGAGAAATGCCAGCAAAGGCGAACCCGTGGACAGCCACAAAGACGCCAAAGACCTGGCGCGGGAAGAGCTGAAGGCTGCGGGCAAAGGTATGATTTCTCCCGGACGCGGCTATCACAGTTATTCACACAAGACAGATCTGCATATCAAAGCTATCAGCCATTTTGACGCTGAGATCGATCCCGATCACCACCTAGCGCAGGGAATCCGACAAGAAAAGGAGCGCGACAAGTCCAAAGGCTTCCTTACAAAGTGCTCCTCCGAAATCACGTATCACGTCTTACCGACAACCCATGTACCACCAGAGACCAACGAACTTGTGCCGTCTACCAACGGATCCCATGCCTTCCAAGGGCGACAGCCCACACAACAAGAGCTCCAAGAAGCCTATCTACAATTGCAGCAGGTCAAACAACAGCAGCATCGTAATGTCGCAATGGTCAGGGAGAATGCTGTTCAACAGCCGACACAGTATGGAGAGCCGAACCCTATTACACGAACGACCACCGCGATCAACAATTCAGAAATTCAACCCAGTGTGGTAGACCGGCGGATACCCGACCAAGTCGTCCAATCTATTCCTGTGGTCGACCCCAGAAAGAATTTCTTCAATGAATCGATGCCGGTGGTTGAAGACCCTGTGGAATCCATATCCCACAGCTTCGATGCTTATGGACAGGAAATCCCGCTGAAAGATCAAACCGAAATGAGAACCATGGACGAACCCAAGCAGGAAGTATCTGACGGATGGGATTTCGATGATGGCCCACCAGCCTCGGAGAAGCCTGTCGAGGTGCCGCCACAAAGGCCTGATACCGAACTATTCCCCAGCGCCAATCTGATACCTTCCAAATCTCCGCCTCGAGCACCGGGCTCGTATCGTCGGAAGAGCATGGGTGGAAGGCGGCGCAGCGAAGGTAGCAACGACGCGAAGGATCTGGGAGTCAAATCGGACGCATCACAGTTCAAAGTCAGGTTCGCCATGAGAGGACACTTAGATGTCGTCCGCGCCGTCGTTTTCACTGGTGGCGGCAGTCCATCGGAGCCCGAATTTTGCACAGCAAGTGATGACGGTGGTGTGAAGCGGTGGCACATCCCGGCAACCTACACTCACAACGTTGCGCTGGGAGATGATTTGGACCGAATAGCTCACTTTACTCATCGTGGACACCTGGGAGCGGTCTGTTCATTAGCAGCATGCCCTGCATCTTTGAGCTTTTCGAGCGGTGGCCGTGCTGCCGGCGATGGGTGGATCTTCTCCGGCGGCGAAGATGCCACAGTCAAAGTTTGGGAGCGTGGTCGGGTCGATGCCAAAGCAACGCTCGAAGGACACAAGGATGCTGTCTGGGCTCTGTGCTGCTTACCAGGCTCAACAGGCACCATTCTTGGGGATCGCTGTTCGCAATTTGGAGGCCCGGACAGGGTTCTCCTTGTCGCTGGCGGTGCGGACGGGACGATACTTATCTGGTCTGTCAGTACGCCACCTCAGCTTACGTCGCCGCATGCCGGAAGTCGATCAGCAAGGGGCAGTCGCAGAGCCAACTCGATATCTGCGGGCTCCAATTTCCCCAGCTCACCACAACCAAGTATAGCCAGTGCGACACCGTTCAACTACAGCTTGGTGCACCGGATAGAGCGAGCAGATAAACCGGCGCCAACGTCCATTTCACCACTGGGCAATCATGGCGAGAGTTTCGTTGTTGGATACACCGACGCGAGTGTGCTAGTATTCGACACACGGACGGGCGAAGAAATCGTCGGCATGGCCAGTCAAGAAACGTACGACGGCACGCCAAACACGGGAATCAACGCCGTTGTCGCTAGTAGCACAGGCTTTGATACCAGAGACTCAGTCGCGCCCGGCCGACGTGGATCGATGGGGGAAGACGACGTTGTTCACGGTGCAACCGGGTCTGAAGGCGGAGTTGAAGGAGTGGTCATTGCGGGATATGAGGATCGATACATTCGGTTCTTTGACGCGAATAGCGGTATGTTTTGTCTCTCCCCTGTTCCTGCCTACTTTTTCACTGACAATCACTCCACCAGGGCAATGCACATACACCATGCTTGCACATCCATCGGCGATTTCTTCCTTGTCATTATCACCAGACGGCAAAGAATTGGTTTCGGGAGGTCACGACGCGAGTTTACGGTTCTGGTCGCTCGAGAAGCGAAGTTGTACACAAGAGATCTCGAGTCATCGCATCATGAGGGGCGAGGGTGTCTGTGGTGTGGTCTGGAGTCCGGACGGGCGATGGGTCATCAGCTGCGGCGGCGACGGTGCCGTCAAGGTATTCTCCCGAACTTGATGCTGGCAAATGACTCACAGACATCCATGCACTGCCCCCGATGAGAGATATCCGTGTGTATCCATTTTTGAAGATAATGCCATCCCCATGACCTGACCAAGTGCGTTTTCTCTTAAAGCGTCGTCCTTTAGTTTCCTGTGCTTAATACTCGCTCTAACTAGAATCATATCGTGTGTAACTACAAGGAACTATTCTGGCTGATCTTACATCGACCAGTCCCACACCCGACTGCGCATAAATAGATACCCATGTATTGAGTCCATATCAGTCGGCAGAGAAGAACAAACACAAGCACAAGCACAAACACGAAGGAGCAGTCCCAACGTGGTATTTGTGTGCTTGTTGATATACATACCCTAGGTAGCTTATTCCCTAACGAATCCATTCCAGCACGGAGTACGGAGTACATACAGTCTACAGTCCACTGCCATCCCTCTCGTCCTAAGGTACATAGTTGAGGTACCTACCTGTATGTAGTGCCAGTACTTCCACGACACGACACGACACGACACGACACGACACGACACGACACGACACGACACGACACGACACGACACGACACGACGTAACGCTTCCTACAGTAACAGTATTCCAAGTCGAGCCGTCTGCTCTACAACGCGTACGTACAACGTGGTGAGAACATTACTCTTTCTTCTGGTACGAGGTAGAGAGGCACACACACACAATGCGATGGTGCGATACAATGGCCGACGCCACCTCGATCTTTTTATACCTTCATGCCCACTGGAAAGCAATCCCTTACCGAACAAGCGGCTCGCTCATCTTTCTCGTGTGTGTTGCTGGGCTTGACTACGGGATTTTGGAGAGCGTGCTGTCGTTGGTCAGTTTGAGGGCGTCGTCACTCACCTTCGGCGGCTTTCAAAAAGACCTCCTCCCCGCGGCATCCCGTGCTGGAACCGGAGGTTTCGAGCTGAGGCGCGTACGCAGGTGTTTTGGTCGGTGGAGGGTCCGAGGGTCAGTGCTATCATTCCTGCTTGAGGGTGGAGAGTAATTTTGTGGTGGATCTCGAACGTATCGCCTATAATTATTTGGATTATGCTACTCATTTACTCATAGTAGGTAGGTTCTCCATGATTATGCTTCATAAATCGGGATTCTTCACATCTCTAACTGAGGAATCTATACCCACTCACAACCATGTTCTCCCTTGTTACATCTTAACAATCCTTGCTCCAGTACAAGCGTGCCATCCTCGGCAAGGTGTCAAAACTGGAAAAGTTGCCATCGGCGTTGACCCAATCACTCGTGTTTCCAGTCAGGTATTTGCCGGCCGCAGGGGTGAAGAAACTCGTTCCGTACACATCCACAAGCGTATCGTCAGTAATGTTAGACACACTGACGTTTGCTTGAACGTAGTGCGGCGAGGCCGAGTAGCCTTGGTTGGTGTGAGCGATGTTGTCACCGTCGTTGCCCAAGTCATCCTTAGTGACGTAGCCAGGGGTCACGACCAAGGTCGTAGCGTTCACGGGAGTGTCGGCTCGTTTGAAGACTCTGTCCGTTTGCATGTTCGAGAGCAAGTTCTTGGCCGAGGACCACGGTGCCGTCATCCGCAGCCAATAGTTAGTGTAGGGATTCGTCTGATACGCGTTATCTATCGTGAAGGGACCTTGCAGCAGATCATAGCGGAACCCTCCTGTATTGGTAAGGATGATTCGAGGCATGTCGGTGCGATTCGGATCGACCACAACGGCTGGGAAGACGACATTGGTCAAGTAGTGAAACAGACTTTGATTCGAGCTGATGGGGAAGCGGTCGAGGTAGTAGTCTGCCGGACAGCAGCCAAGCTTCTCAGTAAGTTCAGGAAGGCTGTCGACTGATGCCGTGATATTCTTGCTGATGCTCACACCGAGAGTGCTGTTGAAGGTCTGCTCATTGGTGCCCGTGTGGAACTCGAAGCTGTACCGATTAAAGTCGAGATATTGACGCGAATAAGACAGCGTGGAGTTGAGGTATGGCTTCACACCAGGCACAGCGGATGGCTTCTGGGTGATCTTGGTGGCACTGCCCATAGGCGATTTAGCTTTGGTCACGTTTTTGGGAAGGCCATCAACCGATACCCATCCCACAGTCTCGCAGTATCTGCCAGAGGCAATACCCAGGGCAGACGAATCGAAGACTACGGCATCCCGCACGTGTCGATGGCCTCCGAATATCTGAATAGGGGTCCTGGGATGATATTGACGAATGGCGGCATATATCAGTCCCCATTCGGTCGAATTGCGGAGGGTAATGTGGCCGGCAACCAAAAACATATCGATGTCTGTTCTCTTGACCTGTTGCTGGAACCAAGATTGTTTGACTGCGTCGCCAACCGGCGTGACGACCGTAGCATTACTGTTGCCCGTAAAGTTGAAGAGAAAGGCAAATGCCATGATTCGAATGCCCTGCTTCGACTTCCAGTATGCGTATCTGTTGGAGAACGGTACGGGAGTCCCTGTGAGGTTAAAGTCGACATTGGACGTAACATATCGGCCTCCCCATCGTGGTGCAAAATTGTGATACGTGTTGTTTGCAATCTCGGTCGTGTAGAGCTCATGGTTTCCGATCGACAGCAGGTCATAGGGGAGTTTCTGGAAGATGGGAAGAGTGAGTTGGCCGTTGGGTGTGGTGGCATCTCCAAAGCCAGTTCCGTCGTGCAAATCGCCCGAGTCAACCAGCAGGAGGTCCACACCGTAAACATCAGCCTTGGCCTTCATCTTCTGGACGAAGTCGGCGAAGTCGCCATAGTCGGCGCTGTAGTTGTCATCGAGCAGGTGACCCGCTAGCCAACCATGAGTGTCTGTCGTATGGAGGAAATTGACCTGACCCCAGTGCAAGTCTTTGATCTTTTGCGGAGGTGCGGGTAGAGCAGCCGGCTGGATTCTTTTGGCCAGGTCGTGTCTTCTCATCAAGCCATGGTCTACGTAGCCTCCGATAAATGGGGAGGTCCAGTCATGGTCGTCACAGGAGAAGGTAGGCTGCAAGAAGGCTGCCAGCGCGAAGAGAGATGTGAGCAGCATGATTGCCCACTGTTAAAAGTGACAGCGCGGCGTTGAGTGAGTGACAAGTCAGAACGACAGGTGAAAAGGCTCACCTTGGGCGCGAAGGGCGCAGCCGAGTCTTTATCAGATCCTCATCGTAGCTGTCACGAGCCGGAAGGAGCAGTTGGAGCTTCCTTCTGGAAAAAGTTGGTCTCGCGGAAAGCTGCAAGCTACGGACAAGGAAGCTACAGGCACATGGGGCGTACTGGGTAAGCTCCTCCGTGTCGGCAGCATCATCCTGCCAGATACGGCTTGGGTGGAATCGGTGCTGCCACGGGTAGGCGAAGATGGAGGGGATAAGTGGACGTCTGATGGCCGCAACGGGGAGCTGCGTGCACCTGGAGTGGCGCCCGATAAGCTATGCGAGATGTGCATAAGGTTGACTTGATCCTGGGGCAGAGAGCGAACAGTGACAATGATGGAGAAATGTGAATGGAGAGAGCGGAGGCAAGATACTTAGCGTCTTGGCTAGCGGCTCGGCACACGACATGGGACGGTGCATCTCAGGCAGCCAGTAATGGCACGAGGTGTTGGAGGGGCAATCAATTGGACTTGGTGGAATCTTCATTGATGTCCCTTCAGCCGCCAAGAGGAGACACAAATACACACTACATACTCCGTACAGTAGTACATTAACTCATTCATTGTTTCAAAGCACAAGGCAGACATCTATTTATTCACCAAGGGCTTTCATCCCGCATGGCACACTCACGAGTACTGGTTGGTCACCATTGACACTGTCCCGTAGTCGCTTGGAACATAAGCGGCGTTGCAGGCTTATAGTTTCGCAACTTGCTGCATTCGCCGCCAGCGAGCAGTTTGAAGAGTACGGAGTATGCTCCGCTCGGAATCTTGCTACTCGTACGGGAAAGGTCGAGTATTGCCCATCTTGTGCAGGGTGGCTGGTGTCGCAATGCTCCAAACCCATCTCAATCGCACAATCTGATGTCAGATGAGTATAATGTCTCAATTTAATGGTATTGCCCACGGCGGTCTTGTCAATGCCACGACTTTGCATAACTTCGATGCATAACTTTGCCATATCCAGCGACATGATCCCAACAGTCTTGGGTTAGCTCGTAGGTAATACTCTGGTTCTGACCTCGGCCAGCATCGTCCTTGGCCGTCAATCCCAAGAATGGGAATAATCGGTCGTTTTGCTCCAACCGTTCTCCGTCGGTGGGCTGATAAGTATGGTCCTAGGTGAATGTATAGCCACCTGACACACCTCCCAAAAACATGAAAACGATCTATCGGTACATGCATAGATATTGCTTGTATAGAGATACGGCCTTGTGGTAGCTATCTATCTCTCCAGGTTGCCATACATGCAGACGCCAGTCTTGGCTCGGATTGCTGGCCGGTGCAAATATCCTAAATCAGCAGATGATCGGGTTTGCTGCAAACGAGCTCTGTAGGATCTGTGTCAGTGTCGGACGCTTCGATATTGGCGATGAAGACTCATTTGAGCTCACCTGATCTTGCGTAGCGAGTTCGCCCGACCTTGCCTCCAGAGCCTCATCATCTTCTTCGAGAAGCTTGTCAATCTCCTTGACATCTTCAATGGTCCAGAAATGTCGGAATGCGGCAACGATGTGGTCACTGTGCTTCTTGAGCAAATCTTCGTCCACTGCGGCAAAACACAATCGATAATACTGCCAGCCCTTCTGTTTGGCGATCTCGGGTGTAGGGGAAAACATCTGGCCGGGAGCCACCAGAACCCGGTACGGCTCAGTTGTTAGGAGAATCCACAGTGCCCGGTATAGTCGTTCGTGGTCAACGTCGTTGAAGAGAGGATGTGTCTCAAACCGGGCATGCAGCCAAAGAAACATGCCAGCCATAGGATAAACAAAGTCGTACATTTGTGTCTTGTGCACGACCTCGTATTCGACATCGTCCGGTGCAAATGCGTTCGACCTGGGCTTCGAGTCCTGGATGAGGTGCTTTCCTTCCTCGAGAGTCGATGCCATCAGCTGCATGCGCCTCTCATAATTGCCCCTGAGGCCCTCAAGCCACCGAACCCACCCATCAACTTTCCACCCACTACCGTCCTTGCTGCCTCCCTTGCCTGCGTCGCCGTTTGCCGACGGGCCCATGATAAGCTCTGCGATTATGCTCTGTACAAATCCACTGGGCTGTTGAGTGCTCGTCTCAGTAATGCGCAGAATCCTCTCCACCACTGCGGGTTGAGCTGTGATCCAACCCAATCGGCAGCCTGGTGCTACAGTCTTGCTGAAAGTATCCAAGCGCACTACTCTGCCATCCACGTCGACAGAGAGATAAGATGGGACAAGACTATCCAAGAACGGGAATCCGCTTGATTTGCCTCCCGAGTTTGTGTTGTAGTTGTGCGAGCTGGTCGGGAAATTCTCCGAGATCACTTTTCCTCTGGTCTCCAACGAGAGCTTGTTTGCTGACGGATATTGCAGGTACCAGTAGGGGTCATCCTCCACAATGATAATGTCGTACTTTTGGCACAAAGCATAGATTTCCTTCCGTCTCTTCAAGGAAAGCAGGCCCGAGGTCGGATTCTGACCCATGGTCACGGTGTACATCAAGTGTGGTCTCTTACCCTTGTTCTTGTCCCACTTGACCAAGACATCCTGGAGCCCTCCCTTGCCATACGCCATCATCCCTTCGTCATCGATAGCGACGGGCACGACATTGAGACCGCGAGGTCGTGCTGCCTGGATGGCGTTCATGTAGGCAAATTCTTCGCATAAGATTCCCTCTCGTTCCCGGATCCAATCTCTTTCCTCATCCCAAATGTTGCTCAAGCATTCGATGGTCTTGGAGAAGCCGTCGGTCGAGCCGCAGGTAAGGATGACCTCTGGACCTCCTTTGTACGGGACATTGGGATGCAAGTTTGCCTGTGCAAAAGATCGGATGAATGTGTAGAGGGGAGGATATCCCTGCGCGGTGCCATATTGCAGGGCCGTCGTCAGATCAATCTTGCGCAAGACGTTTGGTTCGGCAGAATCGTGAGGCACAAGCACTCGGGAAGCCGTTGGAGCTTCCGAAGATGCGGGCGGGTCGACAGGCTTATTGGGAGTTGGCTTGAACCGATCAGGAACCGCTGTTTGTGCTTCGAGTGTATCGTAAGGGAAGTACCCGGGGTTTGGAAGACCTTGATCTGTCAACGACCGACATATTCCTCACATAGTTAAGGCAACATACCTCCGGCAAGATTGCCAATGCCGGGAATGGCGAAGTACTTGTAAAACTGCTTCATCTGACTTGCGATGCGGCGATTGGTGACGCGGGAATAGTGATGGGACATGTCCCTTGGCGCGGGCTTCTCCATGGCGGCGGCCATTGTTGTCACGGCGTGCTCTCAAGCTGTCAATCTGGATGAAGATATGGCAAACAAAGTCGTATGTCGAGGGAGGTATGAGCAAAGGCTTTGTCGCCAGCGAAGGGCGCACATGCGGCCACATAGACCGCATTGATGATGACTATTTGACAATCAATACGGATGGAATACGGCCGACTGCCGGTCCGATAAGTTCTAAGTTAGCGATAAGCAAGTGCACGCGGAAGCCACGTTCCGCTGCCGTGGGCGTGGGCGAAGCACTGCCCGGCGCTGAAGTACGAGCGTACCTTGAACGGTTTTGGCACTCGTAAAACCTACTTCGGGCACTCAATCTCACATCTCCGCACCTCTCACAACGCTGGGTTTGCTGCCTGTCGTCATGACTTGCGGTCGTCGTCCTTGAAAGCTAGCGCACCCTGTATACTAGACCTCATTGTTACGTGAAACCGGCAAAAGAGAAACACATTGATGAGGAGGTAACGCGGTTTTGGAAGGCTGTTTCGTATCTGCCGGCTTCAGGCCGCAGGCAAGTATGTGCGCTGTCCGTTCCATCAACTCCCCAACGTCCCATCATTAGAATCATTAGCGTAACCCTGGGCCATCCTGTACCGGCCTATTTCGTCCTTCCAGGCGAGCTTTGGTTCCTACCGCATAGGATGGGAGACAATCCCTCAAAGTGGCTGTTCCCTCTTGGTGACTCTCAACCACATGTCGCTTACGATGAAGACACCTGCACTAAAGGACTTCCATGGTTGCTGAGGATTGACGATGGTGAATTCGAACTTCCGAAGTAGCTGCAAACCCGTACAATGTCAGCTATCACACCGGCTTGGAGGTAGACTGTCCTCCACTTACCTGAACAAACACCTTGTTTAGTTCGATCGCGGCAACGCTTTTTCCGAGGCACGACGATCTGCCATAGCCGAAGATGCCCTCGATGTCGATTTCCTTGCGTTTGATCTCGTCTGGTGTACCTTCGAGAAATCGTTCGGGCCGGAACACTCTCGCATCGGGACCCCACAAGCCTGGATCGAGAAAAACTCCCCAAGCAGAGGATCCGATCCTCGTACCGGCTGGCACATAGTACCCGTTGAGCGTGTCACCTCCCGGAGGGACCACCTTGGACTGGAGCCCTGTCACTGGTGGGTGGATGCGCAGACCTTCCTTGATCACGGCCTGGAGATATGGCAGCTTGCGGGCTTCGGAATCTTGGATTGGATCAGATATGTCTGCACTTTGAATCTCTGCCAGCAATTTTGCAAGGACAGGTGGGTTTGTGAGTAGGTGGAGCATCGTCGCACGGATGGAGCCGGCCGTGGTGTCGCTGCCGGCTAGGATCTGCACCATGACCTCCGTCTCAGCATCTTCACGGCTAAGGTTATGTCGAAGGAACGACCCTAGCATGTCCATGCGTGGTTTTGCGTCCGGTTGGAACCTCTCTTGAACCACCTCTCTTGCTGCTCCCATTATCCTACCCAGGCCATACACGTCCGTATCCTTGGGCATCAGAAACTTCATCAGTGGTGATTGGAACAGGGTCGACAGCCACGGAAAGGCCGCACAGAGGATCATGGCCGGGATTGTACTTTCGGTTGTCTGGATGTATTTGAACACGTCCTCATCCTTCTCCAAGAATCCAAACGCCCCACCGAATGCGACGGCGGCAATGATGTCTAGGGTCAGATACTGAGCTTTGCGGGCGAAGTCGAGAGGCTTGAACTCCTCCACGGTGGAAATGTACTTTCGTTCGATGAGGTCTACCAGTTTCGCAATGCAGTCGTCTATGCCCTGTTCAAGCGTGGGATTCTCCTTGCCTGCATACTGGGCACGATGTCAGCATGGACCCGTCGAGGGTTGGGATGGGGTCAAATACTCCGGCAGCCATCTTGTTGCGGAGCATGGCATGTCTCTCCTCGTCTCTCTCGGACAGGATATTTTCGCGGTCGACGCGAAGCGCATTGTACCACTCGGATCTACGGTACGGAGACCTGGGCGCACCCATTCGCTTCAAGATGTCGGGATCGTTCGTAATTAGGTCATTGGGTCCAATACGAACAAGTGAGCCTGGAGCTGCAGGTCAGCCCGGCGACTCTTGAGGGAAGGGCGAGCTGAGGTTGCACATACCGTGCTTGAAGCACTGTTCAGCCGACTCAAGATACAAGGTCCCATTCCAGGTATGTTTGAAGAGCCACCATTTCGAGAAGCCGGCGCTGAAGGGCCCGGGGACATGTCGCAAGCGATACCAGCTATAAATGGTGTCGATGGCCAGGTACGCCAACCCCAGGGCGAGTATGGTGCCGAGATAGGCGAGGATGAACATGTTTGCTGGTGGGAGTACAGGAGATAAATGTGCTGACTCTTGTGTTCACCGCCGGCGAGTTTCAGATCTGATCTCGCATGGTGCGTATTCCTTGAGCGCTCACCGAGAGCAGGACGAGAAAAGGAAGAATGACAGCCCGATCTGGGGCAAGTTACACAGCAGGGGGCAGACGCAGCTCTCAAACGGGCGTCATGCAGCAGGCTTGTCTGTGGGGTGATGGACGAGTGAACTGGCATTGGCTGCGGCACGTGGGAATCTTCAGCAGCTGTCCGCGATTCTTCAGCATCACCGCGACAGAGTGACAGGGGGCACGGGGGGCAGTGAGAGTTTGACAAGAGCTAGCTAATGCGTGGATCGTGATCCGACCCTTGTGCCCCGCTCGTCATCCGCTGGGCTTCGCCTGGAAAACCTTCACTGCCGCTGCCACCCGCCTGCCACTACCGGCACTAAAGCTGCTAGCTTGTCGGGGATATCGACTTGATGAGAAAAGCCCGTCCTCGCTTGCAGCTGGGGTGAATCGATAACTCAAGCTACGAGCAAAGGGGAAATGATGGGAGCGTGGTCTTGATCGACAGGCCCACTCGATGCTTTCAGACCCACGACAGATCGCCTTCGAGACCGCAGACGGCCCTTTCACCGGACACTTTGGTTGACCACGGGTTCACAGCAGGGTTGGAGCTAGGCTTGTGCATCTGCATGTTATGCAGGATCAGGCTTCTTCCCACAGATGCTGTATCTGTTGTCTCACTCGTTAGTTGCGCAATCCCACAAAATTGAAACATGCTGACGTGCTCACATCGGCCAGTATGCATGATAAGCTGTGTTCTTCATGTCTCGCCGGACGTCGACTAGAAACACCTCGAGCTCATCCGGAGACCAGGATAAGCCTCGTGTGAAGAGGGCAAGGCTGATGCCCGACAAAGAAGCGGTAAAGTCATGGAAAGTCCAAACCCCTGTGGTTTCTCAGTGAGCAGCTCCACAGGGGATCTCTAACAGGGTCTCACCGATCTTCTTCAACCTCGAGTCCCTTGGCCACTGGTTCATCGGCCAACAGTAAGCCCTCTTCTCGACGTCGACAAACCCTATCTCGATCATGAGCTCCCGCACCGAGTCGACGCTATCGAGCGGGCATCCCAGGTTGATACTCGCTTCAAGCATATATCCGGCCCACCTGCGGAATGCCGAATCCTCTGGGAGAGAGCCATCGTCGCAGCGGAGACGGAACGATATGTCTTGTACTTCGAGTGCCCCGCCTGGTGTCAGATTACTGTTCCCAGCGTCAGTACGATCGCATTCCAGTCGAGAGGAAGACCTCACTCAAAACATTCTTGGAGGTACTGTCGCCAATTCGCAATCGCTCCGGTCATGAATCGGCTGAATATGAAGTCGAATGGAGTGGTAAACAACCAGGGCTGTCCCACGTCCATAACCTCGAATCGCACATTCGGAGGGACACTGCCAGCTTGATCAACAGAAGGCTGCGAGCCGTTTCAATGAGACTTACAAAGCCGGTTGCACGGGACTGACATCCACTCCGAGCACCTTTCGAAAGTCAGCTGTCATACGTCGGCGAGCCGGGGCCAGAAATGCCTCACTATCGACTCCGGATGAGCATCACCTAGAGAGAACGTCAGTGGCTTTTCGAGCCTCGCTCTTGCAAGTTAGTCTGCACACCACTCACCATATTCAATGGCCCAAATTCCTGTCCCGGTGCCTATGTCCAGCACGTTATGGATGTCTTTACTCTGCTCGGGCTCGTAAGTTGTCAGTCTGTCTCCGAAGGTCATCTTGAGCAAATGGTGCTGCAGATCTGACAGTCCAGGTGTGTCAGCGTTGGCGAAGGCACTGACCAAACGTGTTCTTACCGAGACGATCTAATTCCATCTGCGGCCGATCGTAGTCAGTCCATCAGTCCAAAGTCGTCTGGGTCATTTCCTCTGGCGTCATACCTCGTCGTTGGGAAGTACATAGGCTACGGAGCATGACTAGTCAGCCCCCGACAAGGCTGGAAAATCTCGAGGGCGACCTACTCCGCTCGCCATAGCCATTATACCTTCTTCCGTGTTCTTGGATGTAGTCGAACACGCTCGATGCCAACGACGACGTTGACAGAAGATCGTCTCCCTGTAACGCCGGTGTCCGATCAGTCATGTGGACAATGCCGGGTGGTTTAGAAGCGCTCACATCTCCAAGTGCCGAATCGATATCATCATCGGCTGGTCCGGGATCGACCTGAACAGAATGTCATATATCAGTTCTCCAATGGGCAGCTCTTGATGGCACCCACTGGCTGAGGTTCTGGATCCAGAGGAACTCGTTGATTCTCTGCAGCTTCAGACATGGCATATAGAACCAAAGACCTCAACTCCTCCGATTTCATGAACAATTAATTCATAAGCTAGACTCTGTAGGGAGCTCTCATGGATATCACGATCGTTCGTTCCGAGATATGCTCCGGAAAGGGTGAGCACTGAAATACGAGACCTGGTAGACGGTGGTGCAGTGGCGGCACACTCGCATGCAGCGAGCCTACCAGTAGGAGCTTTGTGCCCCTGTGATACATGGGGTGCTGGTTGCCAATATGGCCAATTTTGGCTGCGTGCGTTGTGCCCCCCACCGCCTCCCACGGTATTGCACTGCGTTGGCAGCTCTCATTCGACGGTCTTGCACGAGTACCACGTTCGAACTGGCCTCCATACAGCGGATCTGCAAGGTAACTCGACGTAAAGGGTTGAGAGACGTCCACGAAGGAAGCATTAACCGTCTTTATTGACAGCGCGACATTCTGATTGAGTTTGGGACGCACATTGCCGGTGACAAAAATCCTTCCGCTTCGCATCGGACCGATCTAGAGCAAAGTCTGTTACACCACACTGACCTTATCACCTAAGCAGTTGGCACAACCTGCTCAGTCAGAGCGAGGGATACGGAAGGGTTGCATAGATTGCCTTCTTGGGCGTGACCGTAGACAATCACGTCAAACTGGGGAGCCCTTTCGGTGAAGTCTTGGTGAGAGCTGTGATGGCAAGCTCAACACTCTGGACCGCAATCCTGTCTGAGAGGTACACCCCCGTCAGGCCCGAGACAGGTTGGCCGGAGCTTCTCGGCAAGGATAGGCGAGCGGGTACGGGGTACCGTCAAGTAAATCCGGGCTCGGCAACTCTAGTCGAGGAGCCACAACACACCGCACCGCGGGCGGCTTTCCAATCGTCCCTGGCCCAAGCTGACAGGTGCCATTGCCAGGCAGTTCCCTTCAGACACGACGTGCAAGCTTCGAAGCGAGGATCGTCTTGGTGCCACGACAGGGTTCATTGCAGGCCTTCAACAGCAATGGACCGCAGGGTGGTCACCGGACACGACCAGGGAGCACAGGTGCTGCCGGATCTTCTGTGTCCGGCACGTGGTTGGTGTGACGAGGGGTTGTGGAACAGCATTTCGCCAAGCAGTCTTCCCAATGGGTACAGGAAGAGAAGCTTCAACTCAGGACGAAGATGTGACGGAGCAAAGAGACGTACAGTACTGGGTACCCAGCTCCGGCCTTCTTCAATCTCGCCCACCTTGGCTACAGGATTGACCTCCGCCCTACGGAATACCTCTTCGACGAGCGATTGCGTAAGAATTTCCTTCAACATATTTCCATACCACTCCTCCTCCCACCTCACTCCCATGTCTCTCCCCTCTCAATAAGCCCGTTGTTGAGGCATGGGTTTCCCTCCCCTCTTCACATGACTGTGGAAGTCCGACAGTCTCTTCGGAGTCCAGTCAGATCATGTGGCACCACCATCAAGCTCACACTATAGACTGAAACTCTTTCCTGGTTCAACCTCATAGGTCTTCTCGCCTGATTTCTCAAATGTCGCACCTGTGCCGAACTGTCGACTTAATCAGCGCCGTGAAGTGATATTGCCCCAAAAGACGCTCACAGTATCTTCCATAAAGAGCATGTATACCACCTGTCCATCTTCGACCTTGCAGTGGATACTAAAAGGCGAGGTGTATGCCTTCTTCAACACTCGAGAACGGTAGGTGAATCGACCGAACACGGCGACATCTGGGCCCTCGCCGAAGAGTGCTTCAATCTTGAATTCGTCATTCGCCCAGATCTTGTCAACATTGGCGAATGTGGAGATGACTGCTTGAGGCCCTTCCTTTGCATGCACGCCGGCATGGGCCATTATCCGGTGCAGAGGAGGGTCGGAGTAGCATAGTGAGATGTATGTAGCATCTACAGCGACGAGCTCTTTGATAACAGACTCGTTCCAAGTGTTTTCAAGAAGACGAGCGACGACGTCTTTCGGCTGGGAAGACATTGCGGTCACTGCAGGGCACCGGTATTGAGACTCCAGGCTGGCACAGGGCTGGATGCGACTTGGTTCAGGTAAGAGCATCATGGCACAGCACCTTTACTTATGGTCATAGTTGGCTATCAAGGTGGGCAGCAGACCCTGGCAGGAGGGTGCCCTCAGTGCAATCCTCCCCAAGAATGGTAGCTGAACCCTATCTCAGCCGGAGTCCGCAACTTACGGTTAGCTTTCATCGACCACGCTAACGCATACTCTGCCATGTGGGTGGATCGGCAGGTGCTGATCAAGCACTTTTACGAAGTCCTCCTCCCTACAAGCCTCTCTACTCGAGCTAGCACCTGAGAAAGGCGACAAATGGCTGCCAATGGCCGAGCTCGTTATCCGCCACATCTATACCTCCAACCTGTGGTACTCGGCCCTGCCTTGATAAGTCCCTGACTATGAGCGCCTGAAGGGAGTGCGGTCTTTTGACTCTGCTATCACCGTGTGTCAGCTCCTTCAAGGAGAAATGTTGTGGCTCAACGCCTACTCGATTCTTCCGGATCTCCCGTTGCCGCTTTCGGGTTCCAAACCTCGGTTGCGCTTTCAGCCAGCACCAGGAAACCACCCGCCATGGCCATGTTTTTGAGAAACATGATCATTTGTGTCTGGTCCTTGAGGTCTTTGTGGAAAATCGCCGCAGTGAGGAGACACCATGCGGAGAGAACGATGGATACTGGAGTCGTGAAGGTGCCAGTCAGCACCATGGTCCCACCGGTGATTTCGAGAGCTGCGGCAGGCCAGATCAAAATCCCGGGAACACCATATGCTTCCATGTATTGTTGTGTTTGTGCCACTGAGGTGAGCTTGGAGACGCCGGACAGGATGAATAGCAGTGACATCAAGCAGCGCGCTGGCGCACGAAAGAGATGCTTGGGAAGGTTCATTTTGGTGATTGTCGTCCGTGGACTTGGACGGAGCAAGATACGGCGATGCGGATGGTGGTTTATAAACCATTATCCGTGGGCCAGCCCGATGCGTCTTTCCCCTGGAGCGGTCGGAATGACTCCTCATCATCGAGGGTCAAGTGGTACTAGCCGTGCGATGTGCTTGATCAAAGTCAAGACTCGACATGCTCGTGCATCTGTGTCGCAAAGTCAGGCCACCAGCGTGACCAAGCATCGCATGATTAGTGCGTTCGAGCGAGAACAAAGGCCACCATTGAGAGTCCGTCATGAAGGTGTCTGTTATCATCGGTGGCACCGATGGCAGAAGTCTCCTCTATGCCGCCTGCAAGATGGAAGGCAAAGGGTCCGCGGCTCGGGTTCGGACGCGGTCAGCCAGTCCCGACGAGGCTGGCCCCGAACACGCGTCCCTATCGGGCAGGTCGAAGTCGTAGAGGCTGCCAAATCGAATGGTTCAACACCTGTTGCAGGATGTGAATCAGCAAAGATTGGGACTTGAACCAGTCCTCAACGTGGAATAAAAGCCGAGAACCTGCCAAAGATTCATCGTTGCAGATCACACCAGGCCGATCCATGGATCAGTGGCAGAAGCACAGCTGACCAACAGTTTTGAGCCTGGAAAGCTACGCGCCTTTCGAAGTATGGCCGCCGGCAAAGCAGGGAGGCTTTTGAGATACACCGGTGATCAACCAGGCAACATATATATACCGTTATGAAGTTGGTGGCGGACCAGTTCGGTCAGTCGTCTTGCACTCAAAACCTCTCCCACTCTCCCGAATCTGGCACTTGAAACGAGAGACCTTCCTATTCGCAAGTGTCTCCTACCTCCGCGAATATGCCATCCATACAAGGTAGGCCCAAATCAGCAAGCAACACATGCTTCTCACAGCGAGCTGATTCTCGTGCAGACACCAACTCCAAGGAGATAGCGGACCTCCTTCGGTCGTACCGGAACGCGCTAGTCAAGTCCTCCGCCAGCGATGTCATCAAGCTTTACGCGCCTGATGCCTTGCTCATGGCCCAAGGGTTCCCCATAGTCAGCTCTGCCGAGGACATCCTCACCTGGTACGAGAACTGTTTCAAAAACATCACGCTTGACGTCGTCTTCGAGATCAAAGAGATCATGGTGGTATCAGACGAGTACGCATTCGCCACCACGACCAGTGCTGGTACTCAGAAGGACAACACCTCGGGCAAAGTGACAAGTGAGGGAAATCATGAACTGTTCGTCATTCAAAAAGTTGACGGGTTCTGGAAGATTGGCCGATACTGCTTTTCGACCACAAAGGCCTAAGGGAGATCACCTGGATTTCGGATTCTGGAGTGAGATATGGTATGACCTCGGTTTGGTTTGTCCTCAGCAATCATGGGCTAATTACCAGCAGAGTAGAAGAACTCATATATTAGAAAACAGGACCAGCATCGCGAGGCCCTCTCAGCCTAGAAATTTACCGAGTTTGTTGAATTTGTTGAGTTTGTTGGGTTTGTCGTAAAAGGGGTTAGTTCTCCGTAGTTTATCCGATCCCGCTTGCGCTTGCTCTTGGCACTGCGGACTTACTGTACTCATCCACTCTCTTCCCACTTGCCTTGCACTGGCTCGAATGGTCGTTGACCATGAATTGACAGCCTAGTTTCCGGCCTCAGCCTCATGTGGTACTATGTCCACATGCTGTTACTCATTCCTCACTTCTGTCTGTTGATCTATCAGCTTTCCAACCTTAGCCTCATGTGGTATCTTTGTCCCACATGCCCTGACTCATCCCTCACTTCTGTCTTTAGATCTCCCAATTTTCAAGCTCAGCCTTACGTGCTACCACTGTCCAGCTGTGGACAGAACGTGGCCCTTGTTGGCAAGAAGAATCCTGATTCGCGATCGTATAAACTAGCAAGCCACCTCCGCTTCCTCTCAGCTTGTACCTAGTGTTACCTCACCCCAACAATACCGATCGTTCCGATGGATACCGCTTTCTCAGGGTTGGCAACACGAGCCTCGAGCCGTAGGAGTTCACTGACCCTACACCACCTCGATTCTTGCAGCTCGCCTACCACTGACCTTGAGCATGGGGCTAGTGCAGCTGAGACGCTTCGGGGCACAACCCCGCTCCAGTTGCAGGATCTCTCTGGTCACGATGCGAGAGCTGTGGGGGACGAGGCGAACCATTGGGCAGGCATACGAGTGCGGCCAAAGCCTCAATGCGGAATCCTGCCACTGAAGCCGCATGTGCCGCCTGAGGTAACGAGCAAGGCTCTCTTTCAGCCGCATGCACCATAAAACCCCCACCGCCGCGTACCTTATGCTTGACAATTACTATGCACCTGGAATCATTGCTTAACTTGCCATGGCTGACTTCTCCTGCGACGTGTGCGATAATTACTCAGCTGATGTGGCCTTCTGCACAGCATGCAATTTCAACTTTTGCGCTTCGTGTTGGTATCGGCACGTCCCGCATAGGAAGCTCTTGCTAGGTCCTGGAGGACTTCCACACGAAAAGGCAGATCCTCGGGTGGTGCAAGAACTCACTGAATGCATGGCGGAACCAACCGAAGAAGGAGAGTATCGGCATCACCAGAAAGACGAAGAAACGACCTGGTTTGCTCTTGATCGTGATGCCAGGGGTGAGCCCGTTCTGGCCGAATACCGCCGGTATGCTGCTGTGATGATGCAAACATCGGAGCTGGGATCAAAGACTCGCTATCCGAGTCTCGTGTCCTTTGTTGGGCAGACAGGTGAGTGGGAACGACTGGGTTATGCGTCTGAGCCTCACAAATCTAGGTGCCGGCAAGAGCACCCTCATAAATCTCCTAATTGATCTCAAATCGGATCCGAGGATGGCTAATGATGACCCTGCTAAAATGGCTCCCGTCATCGGTCGTTCTAGCTGCACATTGCCAACGTCGGCTGATGTGCATTTATACATCAGTCCGGAAACGAGATTCTCAAAGCGTCCTATTCTCTATGCGGATTGCGAAGGGTTTGAGGGCGGTGAACGAAGCCCTATTGCCATCACTGCTTTGTCACCAGAGACCAAGGATCCATCTTCCAGCGGAAACGGCTCTCGAAGGCCGGATGTCCTGTAAGTGGCGACCAGCTGAGCGAAGTGACATAACATGAAGACCACCTCAGAATCCACACATGGCTATCAGCCGCAGTATAACTGACCCATGCAGGCGCAAAATGTCTCAGGGCACACAGCGACTTCTGAAATGGGCGAGCCATAATAGTCAGGCATACGAGCAGACGAGCAAGAGGGCCTACGCCGTTTCTGAGATGTATCCAAGGATTTTCTACGCCTTCTCGGATATCATCGTTTTTGTGCTCGACAATCCGAAGTAAGTCAAATACTGACAACCCGACCCCCCGCTTTACCGATCTTGGGGACATTGACTGTCGGACGCAGCACTTTGGAAGTTGTTGTCGAGAGACTACTCGAGTGGGCCGATGCCAACTATTCTCGTTCGATAAACCAACCGACTAAACCACACGCCATCGTGGCTCTCAACAAATCCAATCCGAAGACCCCAGAGGATCAGTGGAACACGGTGAACGCCACTGCCCATCTGTTGACCACTGCGTCTGCCAAGATTGACGAGAACAAAACCTTTGTCAGATATGCGAAGATGCGGAAGAAAGCATCGTTGTCCCGTATCGATAACATGCACGATTTGCTTCGCTGCTACTACTCAACGGTGCACGTTGTTCGAATTCCAGAGAAGAGCAGGTACCACAAGCTCGATCAGCAACGTCGACAACTTCTTCAGGTAATTGAAGACTGCTGCACTATAGCTTTCAAGGACAAGCAAGAGCGGGAGATGCTCACCGATGTGGATGACTTTGGACTCTATTTGTCGCTAGCATTCGACCACTTTTCGGAAACATTGGATAAGCCATTCGACTTTATTGAAGCCTCGTTGAAAAGGAATCCTCTGTCTGCTTCGTTTGCCGACAACGTGCTTGCGTTTGCAAGAAGGATGGCGGTGCACAAGAATTGTGAAGGTCAGATTGTGGAACTGTTCGCCTACCTGACCCCGTTCGTGGCATCTTGTATCCTGCTCGAATCTGCGAGGAAGAAACGCATTGGAAGGCCTGAAGACTGGTTCGGTGATCTCGAGGACGATGAGCCGGTAAATGACGACAAGCGTCGTGCACGACGATCATCGAGCCTGCCAAAAAATCCGGTACAGCACACTTACCGAGACATGTGTCGAAAGGCTATCTTGAAGTATTTCCACAATGACGTCCAGTGCAATTTCGCCATTTACGACCCCTTCGCGCTGAAGAAGCGTCCTTGTGAATTACGATACTTGCGTCATGGGCATTCCCATCGAGCTAAAACAAAATTGCGCACGATTGAAGCGCCTGGAAATTTCGAATTGAGCTTCGAAATGGACCAGATCACGGCATGGGAAGAGGACATCCTGGCACAACTAGTTGATATGCACGACAAATCACGGCGCAAGCTCACTTTCGAAACTAGGCAGGCCACCCTCCAGGCTCACTCCAAGCTCCTCCAAAGTATATATCGAGGTGGATATCCCACCCGCGACAAGGCGGCCGAATTCCAGTTGAACTCGATATGCGTCGCATGTCTGTGTAACCCTCCTCAGCACCAACTTGGGTGTGGGCACATTCTCTGCACGGACTGTGTCAAAGACTTCGGGCAGCAAGATGGGAGGTCGGTCAAGATCCTGGGATGTCCTCTTCATGACAACTTCCAGAAAAACAGCCCCACAGGTATCACAACAGACGTGGAGCTCGCGCCCGCCTTCTCGGGTTTGCGCGTTCTGACATTAGACGGGTAAGGCACTCACAGTACGAACGCGGATCGGTACTGACGAAAGTAGTGGTGGCATCAGGGGAATCGTTGAATTGGCCGTACTCAAAGCTATTGAGGCATGCCTAGGTGTCCCTCTGCAGAAGTTCTTCGACCTCGTCGTTGGCACAAGGTGGGTAGGATGATCATGTGTTACCAGATTGAGGAAGTTAGAGATGCGGCTAACTTGTATCCTACAGTACAGGGGGCATCATCGCTCTGGGTTTTGGACATGAAATGTGGTCTGTCGATCATTGCACCCAACAATTTCAGAAGCTAGTGCAACCCGCTTTCTCGAAGCGTAAAGGCCAAGATGTGCATGTCATTCGGGAAGTTCAACTGTTCGTCAAGCATAGCAAATACGAGACGACACCTCTTGAGACTCAATTGAAGCAAGCTTTTGGAGATCGGACCCTCTTCCCTAAGCACCGATCGGAGGACCGCTTGAAAACTGCTGTTATCGCAGTCTCGAGCTCGGGTTCGAGAGCTTGGGTGCTTTCAAATTATAACACTCACCCAGGGCGAGGTAGAGGGCCACCGTACCAAAGATATCGACCTAGTCGACCACGGGACGAAATCCTTACTTGGGAAGCGTAAGTGGCCAGTCAATTTGAGCTCGTCCGAGTACTCACATGAGGCATAGCGCAAGAAGCACGTCCGCCGCACCAGGATTCTTCAAGCCCTTTTCGCCGCATAGAGCTGGAAGCAAGCTCGAAGAATGGATCGATGGTGCTGTCCTGCACAACAACCCAGTCCAGATAGCAATCGAAGAAGCCCGGCGCATTGCTGAGATGGAGCAGCTCAACGGCGAGCCGGACGTTGTGCTCTCAATTGGCACGGGCCTCTCAAAACGTGTCAGGCATCTGGGAGATATACCTTCTGAGGAGATACACTTGGGTGCGCCCAAAGCGAGGACAACTGGGTGGATCCGCAGTCTTTTCACCATGGTCAGCTACCAGATCAAGCTGAACACAGATGCTGATCGGAGGTGGGCATCAGTGCTTGACACTGAGCGGCACATTTCTGGGCAACTGTATCGCATCAATCCTGACCTTCAGATGGACCCACCCGAGCTGGATGCTGTTGACAAGGTAGAAGAACTGGCTAAGTTGCTCCCTCGACTGCTGATCGAGGACGGAAGCTTGCAAGGCCGGATACAGGAGGTCGCGTGTGCACTGGTCGCATCATCCTTCTTCTTCGAGAAGGACGGCCGAGCAGTCAGCACCTCAAGCTCATCGACGGAAATCCGCGGCTGGATCTGCTGCCGTCTCGGTCATGCTAAAAAGCGTGCCGGAAGCGACTCGGTGCGTGGCTGGATGGCCACACCCACGCAGCCGATCACCAGTCTCCGCGGCAATAAAGACGATATCAGGCAGCTCGGCAAATTTGTTGCTCGCTCCGTCCGGCCAGAGTTCATTATCTACAACGAGCCCAAGAACGACAAGGACGTCTTTCTGTCCATTCCAGTGGACGAAATGATGCAGCAAGGCGAATTCAGCAAGCAGGGCGCACACCTCACGGTGCCCGGAGACGATACGGTGACGACGATGGCGCTGAGGCTCCCTGGCATATGCGGCGGACGGGCTGAATTCCCTATTAGCGGCTTTCCGCGTCAGTTGATGAAGATGGACTTTAACCCGTCCTACAGACATGATGGACCTTAGTGGCCAGCGGAGCTGGCTGGGCTGTGTGTGTGAAGATGGGGCAGTCTAGTCCTTGCTGTGTACTGGCCTCGACGTCCACGGTGAATTTCCATGTCTGAGGTTGACGAGCTGTATCTTCTGGTCGCGTCTTGTCTCAGCGTCTTAGCTCATCGAGTCCATGATGCATGTTGGCCAGCGTATCGCCAGGCATTGATAAGCTCACCCGAGCTCAAAGCATCTGAATCTTCCAGCTTGCGTCCCTCGTCGACGATGCGATTTATTCCGAGCTGCCACGCTCCCTGAAGATGTGTCAATGAAGGGCGTCGACGCGATGATGTGCCGCAGCTGACAGTGGCCTGGTTGGTGCCGCCCAGCTTCAACTGCCCAGCACGTACTGTAGGCGACGCAAGCTCCGGAACGCCGGCTGCACCTCTGACCTCGTTCAGGCTCGTTTCACTTGCCTGTCATTCTCATTCTCATTCTCTCTACAACTCATCGACTGCCTTGGGCGTTCCCACGTTTCTGTTTGCTCTGTATAGAATCGTTCCTTCGCTTGCATGTTGCATTTTGGGTATTAGCGTTGCGTTTGCGCTGTCTCGTCTAGCCCGCAACATCCCGGCGGTGGAGCCTGCGCTGTGCTCTTCCACCTCCACCATGGTTCGATATCGCGACGATGAGGAGGACCCTGCTGCAGGGATCCTTAGAGCTGAAGACGATCCAGATAACGTGCCTGGAAGCCCCGAGTTACACATTCGCTCCACGCCGGACTCCCCTACCACCGGTACGCTTCCAATCCCCATCTGGCTCCGGGAATCAGCAAGTTCATTCAGATACAAATGGGTACCTCTACCCGTCAGAAAAGCAGGAAGGGCAATCGTGACCTGGGTCAAAGGTCCCGAACCCCCTCGAGTCCTGAGGATCGAACCCATATTCCCGAAGATCCAACAAGCGCCGATCAGGCTGCTGGACAAATATGCGCCAAAGAAAAAGCAGCGCGTCATCTTGCTGATGGCCCTCTACGTGTGCTGGTTTTTGACGTGGTCGCTGATGGTCAAACAGCACTCTACATCGGGATTTATCAAAGGATATGGCCGGCCAACCAACTTGTGGTGCGGAGCCAGTTTCTGGAACGAGGGCAATGGATGTGGTCTTAATGGGAACATGTGTCGGCCGTTTTCGGCGGCGCATCTGACATTTCGATGTCCCGCCAACTGCGAAGGCACACATCTTTTGGAGGAACACATGGTGGGGAACAAATCATTGAGATACCAAGGGTTGGTGGTCGGTGGACCAGATCCTCAAGACCCCGAGTCAATGGCCGTCTATCGAGCAGACAGCTTCATCTGCCAGGCTGCAATCCATGCGGGTATCACTACCGACGCCAACGGAGGCTGCGGCGTCGCGACTCTGGTCGGCTCGCATACAAACTTCGCCTCGACCAAGGCCAATGGCATCGAAAGCACGAGCTTCCCCGGGACGTTCCCTCGTTCATTCACCTTTCAGCACCTCTCCTCCACGCAGGCGCAATGCCCGAAAGATTCGCGGTGGCCTCTTTTTGTCGTCACCGCCATTGCACTCGTGATCTTGTCCCTCTTCACCACCTCGCCGGCCGTCTTCTTCTTCAGCACCTTCGTCATTATGTTTCTCCACGTCGGCCTCGTCTCTGACCCGCCGAATACGGCCAATGTCTACGAGGCGATCAGCAAGCTAGTCGAGCGGATTCTTCCCGCGTCCTTCATCGCCATCATCCTGTATCGTGTCGCGGCTGTGCCGCTCTTGACGGGGGTGACTGCCCAGATCGAAAAGACAATCCTGTACCTCGGATTTTGCTTCATTGGCGCCCTGAACAATTACACCTTCGCCCCCCTGATCCCCATCGAACGGCTCACGCCGCACGATCTAGCTCAGCCAGGCGCTCCTTTCGCCCTCGCCATCATTGTGACCGTCATCCTCGCGATCGTAATCTCACAAGTCCATTTCATCCGCATCTCGGGAAACATGCCGAAATACCTGGCCATCTACGGCGCCATGGTGGTCGCACTGGGCATCTTGCTCGCGCTGCCGAACCTTCGCCTCCGCATCCACCACTACATCCTTGCCATGCTGTTCATGCCAGGCACCTTCACGCAGATCCGGCCGTGTCTCGCATACCAAGGCCTGCTGCTGGGGCTTTTCATCAACGGCGTCGCGCGCTGGGGGTTCGCGTCCATCATCCAGACGCCTGCCGCGCTGGGCGAGGCCAACGGAGGCGGCAGCAACGGCTCGCCCGGGTCTTGGTGGGGGGCCAAGTCTCCCAACGTGACTGCCGTGGTTGCTCCGGACATCTCCAACATCACGTTCAACTGGGGTCCGTTGCCGCGCGATTCGGGCGTCGACGGCGTCAGCATTTTGATCAACGACGTGGAGAGATGGAGGGGATACACGGATGAAGAGCTATACTGGGACTCGGAGGGCGTGACGTTGAAGAGGAGGCACGAACGAGGCGACTCGGCCGACGGGCTCGAGCCCGAGTTCTTCCGTTTCGCGTGGATGAGCGGTAGCCAGACGGGCCTGTACTCCAAGGTCGGACTGTGGGATGAGCATGGACGGTGGCGGTCGCCCGAGGAGGGGACGACACTGGGCTCGAGCGAACAGAGTGAGGTGAAGAACTGGGACGGTGAGTTTGATGACGTTACAGAGGAGGAGGAAGGCCTCGACGCCGACGGAAGGGTCATCGAGCTGTAGATCTCCTCGCCCTAGCTGAACCACATAGCTGGCCATGTGTCCATGTATCATGATAGGATATTTGATGTAGTGAGTTGAGCGTTACGGAGTGCATGAGTTGGATAGTCAGATATACACAGTACTTTACATGCGCTTATCTTGTACGTTTGTACGCTTGTGGAGCAAGCAAGAATGACATGTCTCAATGCTGGACTTGGATTATTATGCACTATATATATATACACAGGTATTCATGCTCGTACAGAGTATAGTGTACAGCACTCACTGCCCACACCAGGGACTTTCACGAGCATACATGTAGCCAAGTCACGCCAAAATTGAGTCGTGTCGATTCTTGTCCAGTCTCTTCGGATCAACTCGCGTCAAGTCAATTCCAGCCGATCCGCTAATGCCCAGGGGACGAGCACGAGACGAAAAGGAACGAAACGGAACCGAAACGAGTGAGTGGTAGTTGAAATAGTTACGACGATCGGAACCCGGTATGCGAACAGAGACACGCGCGAGAGTCTATCGAATTGCTTCCTGATAAAGGACAGACAGACAATACTTTACAGTAGACAGAACGATAGGAAGGGAACCGCACGGACGCCGTTATTAATTCGTCGACCCTGCAGCAGCAGCAGCCCGTCTTCGATAGCATCAGAGGGGCTTGTTACATAGTACCCTCAGCCAAGCCATGACCGACGACCGTGGAGATCCGCTGCCAGCTGAAGAGCTGACCTCGTAATGTCCCTGATATTTCATCTTCACATAGGAGCGCTTCGATCCTGATACTCGGGGCATACGGAGTACACCTCGATAATCAGGGGATACACCTTGTGGAACGGTATGCTCCGACCTGGAACTCAAGTGCGTACTGTACTGTGGACTGTGTTAAAAGAGATGGTCATGAAGCGTACTCCGTACTACCTAAGAAAAACAGTGCGGTTACGAGTTCACTCTTTCTCTCCCTTCACTCATCCCGTCCCATCTCATCCAAATGCCTCATATCCTACGCCGACCTCCTGTGATAACGATGCCTCCTGACCGCGGTGACCGTTGGAGCACCCGCCGATGCGGCCGATGATGTTGATGTCGGTGCCGAATCGGGAGACACAGTCGGATCCGCGGTCGTTGTGGTTGGCTCCGGTGCCGATGGGGTTGTCGATGTGGGCATGGGTGCCAGCGCAGCAGCATCAAGGGTGCCTGTCGCTGATAGAGCTGGCGGAGAAGACGTGGTGGTATACCCCGCTCCTGGGTAGCCAGCCGGGTCGCCACCTTCGCCGAGCGTCGTTGTCTTGTCAGTATAGGCTGGAGCCGTCAGGTTGAACGGGGGTCGCTCGCCGGACGGACTGCTCGAGTTGACTGGAGGCGGGCTGAAGGTCAGATTGGTGCCAGGTGCGCTACCCCAAGTCGGAAGGCCAGTGCTGTTGGAATATCCTCCAGTGGTCCCATTCCCGCCTGTCCAGCTGCCGCTGCTAAGACCCATTCTGATATTGTCAATATCCAGGAGTGGAGATGTTGTATCCGCCCCGTCGCAGCTGAAGATGAAGGAGAAGGTGCTTGCGGAAGACGTGATCTGGAATTCTAATCCAGTCATGGTCCAGGCACTGGCGCTCGACAAAGCGCCAATCGTCGCCAGGGTTCCCTCGTCGTTGGATACGGTCAAGCTGCACTCATCGGGAGTGTCTCCGGAAGCGGGAACTCTGTATGCGAAAGAGTACCAATAAGATCCGTTCGTGGCTGGAGTATCAAGTGTTTGCGCCAGCGTGGCAGTCACGCCTTCGAAAGTGGGTTGGAACCGTGCGAATCCTTTACCGTCATACGCTTCATCAGGCGACGAAATGTCACGTCGGTGCTTGGTCGCTGGGGAGGTGTCCGAAACACCTCCCCACACAATGTCCACTTCATCCAACGTCCAACCAGTTTCGCTACATTCGAAGCTCGGATTCTGGAGAAGCTGCGATGGTGCGGCAGCAGCACAAGAGGACGTGTTATGAGCAGGGTATGTCGAGTTGCCGGTCCAATCTCCCGCTGTCCCGTTGTGAGGGATACTGGGAACAGAAGGCGCTGTTTGTGTTGGCCATGGTCTGGAAGACGCGCCCGTTGTCGTTACGCCGGTGGTGGTGGTCGTCGATGTGCTCGTTTCTGTCGGGAGCACGTACAAAACTGACGTTGTCGTGGTCAAGCTCGTCGACCTCGTGATGCTATTCGTGACATTCCAAGGGACCGTGCCGTTCCAGTCTGTCCAATTGCCTCCCAGAGATCCGTTATAGGCAGGCACCGTCGGGAAACCGGTCACGGAGCTTGTGGTAGAGGACGCGACCAACGAGGAGGACGTGGTAATGTTCCAATCAGCCCAAGTTCCATTCCAGTCCGTCCAGTTCGCGCCTGGGTACGATCCATTATATACTGGAATTGTTGGGTAAGCTGCCAGAGAGCCTCTCGTCGACGAAGACGAAGTCAACGATGTAGAGCTCGTCAGCGCATTCGCAACAGAGAGAGTAGACGTCGTGCTGATGGTGCTGGAGACTACTGAGCTGCGCGTGGTTGTCCAATCCAGCCTAGGGAAATGTTAGTACATGCTCTGACTGAGCGGGACAGGGAGACGATATTCGTCTCGTTCTGGTCCCGTGGAAGAACTGGAAGTGAGGGCACCTTACCAAACCGAGTTCGAATCATTGAAACTGGTCCAATTGAAGCCTGACGAACCATTGTAAGCCGGGATTGTCGGGTATCCTGCTACTGAGCTTGTTGTAGTGGAGGACACAACCGACGAAGAGGCATTCCAGTCGGTCCCTATAGAAATGTTAGAGCCTGTCCCTGATGACGAACATTTCAGGGGCGGAGGGCAACAGAACGGAAACCCGAGTCATTCTCTCGAGTGATGGTAGGGATGGTGTGCCCAGAAAGGAAACCTTACAAGTGCCGTTCCAGTCGGTCCAGTTCCCGGAGGGATAAGATCCATTGTAGGCGGGAATCGTAGGGTAGCCCCCAGTCGAGCTCGTGGTGGATGTCGGACTCAACGACGAAGTTGTTGCTGCATTCACAGGAAGCAGTGAAGATGTGGTTGTAGCAGAAGTACTTGAGACTGCTGAGCTACTCGTAGTTGTCCAGTCTAACCAGACCGAGTTCGAATCGTTGAAGTGTGTCCAGTTGCCTGTCCCGTTGAAGGCTGGGATTGTCGGGTATCCTGCTGGCGAGCTGGATGTGGTTGAAACAGTTGAGCTGCTGGTAGTTGTCCCTATGAATCTTCGTTAGTACATACAAAGGCTACTAAATCGACGGCAAGATCTGCGCCACCACGAGGGTCTTCTGAGAGAGTCACTCACAATCTAACCAGATCGAATTAGAGTCATTGTAGGTCGACCAATTTCTTGATCCAGAGTGTGGCGGGATCGTGGGGAAGCCGAAGGCTGAAGTGCTGGTCGTGGCGGCATCAACTGGGGTGTTTGGTGTCGCGCTGGTTGTGGTTAGCGACGAGGTCGATGCGACATACAAGGTGCTCGTCTTGGTGGTGGTTTGAGTCCAATCCAGCCAGATCGAGTTTGAGTCATTGAAATTAGTCCAGTTGCCACTTGTGGGATACGGGAATGCGGAGCTCGTCGATGGTGTGGTTACAGCGCCGACCGGCAAAGATGAAGTAGTCGTGCTCGAGGAGGTCAAGCTCCAATCCAACCAGATTGAGTTTGAATCATTGAAATTTGTCCAGTTTCCACCAGAAGGATATGCGAACTTTGAGCTCGTGGCGGCAGGGTGGCTCGTACTCGTGGTGATGGCATCCACCGGCAACGCCGAAGTGGCGAGGCTTGTCGTTGTAGAGGTCAAGCTCCAGTCCAGCCAGACGGAGTTTGAATCATTGAAGTTCGACCAATTGCCACTCGAAGGGTACGCCAAATGGGAGGTTGAGGTCAGAGAAGCACTGGAGCTAGTAGTCAGACCATCGACTGGCGAAGCGGAAGTAGTGAGGCTAGTCGATGTCGACGGTGTGAGGCTCCAGTCTAACCAGATAGAGTTCGAATCATTGTGGTTCGACCAATTGCCACTGGAAGGGTAGGCGAAGTGGGAGGTTGAGCTCAGATAAGCACTGGTGCTAGTAGTGATGGCGTCAACTGGCTTGGGAGAGGCCGTACTGCTTGAAGAAGCTGTTTTCGTAAACGTCCAATCCAACCACGACGTCTCGTTGCCATTCCAGTCGCTCCAGTGGCCGCTCGCCGGGAAGCTCGAAAACGTGGGCAGGGCACTTGTGGTGGACATCGTACTTGTCGTTGTTGTGGACGAGGTTTCTGCCAATAAGTCAGTATGTTGAATCCAATGGGTCTCGGGTGCTTACCACTGGCGACAGGGGTGATATCAAGGGTAGTTGCAGAGCAACCGCTTGGTCCCGAGCCTCCGAAAACGATGAAGACAGTTCCTGATTGATCGATGCAGGTGGAGACACTGTGCGATTGAAGCGAGAGAATTCCATCGGCGTCAATAGCCCACTTAGAGAGGTTGCCACTCTTGCTCGTAGTTAAGTGGAAGATCAAATACGGTTGACTGGCATCTGAGTCCACATAGGATGAGCCTACTCGCAGATAGCCCTCAGTGTCCAAGAAAAAGTGCGCTGCCGAAGACCGATCGCTGACCAAGACACCGAGTCCGTTAGCCCATCCCAAGTATTTAAAGTCACGCTTGGTCAGATGGGTGGTGGTGGCAGTAATGTAGAATAGGTCCGTAGCGGGAGGAGCAGGGGTGCTTTCAGGACTAGTTGTGGTCGACATGCTGCTAGAGGTGATTGTTGCATCAACGCTCAGTGTGGAAATCGTGCTGGACGTCGTTGTCTCCCAATCTTCCCAGCTGAAATTGCCCGAGTGCGTCCAGTTAGCTGGGACTGTTGGAATCGCAAACGCGGAGCTTGTAGAGGTGGAAGATACACTTCGAGTCCAATCCAACCAAGCGCTGCCATTCTCTGAGGGCCAAGCAGGGTACCCAGCTACTGATCTTGTAGAGGAAGTCATTCGAAGCGCACTGCTTGTGGTTGCTGCGTCGACTGACGCGGGGGTTGACGTGGAGGTAGACGAAACTGTCCAGTCCAACCACACGCTTCCGTTTTCTGACGGCCAAGGCCAGTAAGCAATGCCTGAGCTTGTCGTCGACGTGCTGGTAGTCGCAGCATCAGCCGGAACGGCGCTAGATGTGGACGAAATAGTCCTCGTCCAGTCTAACCAGGCGCTTCCATTGTCTGAGGGCCAAGGCCAGTAAGAAATCCCGGAACTTGTGGTGGTTGTTGTAGCAGAAGAGGAGCTTGTAGTTGCAGCATCGACCGGGAGCACACTTGAAGTAGACGAGGCCGTCCTCGTCCAGTCTAGCCAAGCACTGCCGCTCTCCGATGGCCAAGGCCAGTGGCTGAGACTTGAGCTTGTAGTGGCTGCATCAACCGGAAGAACACTTGAAGTAGTCGAGGTTGATGAAATTGTCCTAGTCCAGTCCAGCCACGCACTTCCGCTTTCTGAAGGCCACGGCCTATAACTGGACATCGAGCTTGTTGTCGAGCTAGCTGCGCTCAGAGACGAACTTGTTGTAGCAACGTCCACCAAGAAAATGCTTGATGTGGTCGAGGTCGATGAAAAGGACCAGTCCAGCCAAGCACTACCGTTCTCAGAAGGCCATGGCCGACTGTAGGCTGCCGATGAAGTGCTCGAGATGCTGGATGTCGTTGTGACTGCATCCACGTACAAAGAGCTCGAAGTTGAAGTGGTGGTCGTCTGAGTCCAGTCTAACCATGCGCTCCCACTCTCCGAGGGCCACGGCCACGCAGACCCTGTGGGTCTATGGCCCGTCGAGGTAGAGGTGGACACACTGGACGTAGTGGAGGCTGCTCCGACGTATATTGAGCTCGAGATCGAAGACGTCGTTGTTTGGGTCCAGTCTAGCCAGACGCTCCCATTCTCTGAAGGCCATGGCCATGAACCTGTTGGTCTGTAACCTGTTGATGAAGTGCTCGCAATACTTGACGTGGTTGATGCAGCATCGACGTGCAATGAGCTTGAACTCGACGAGGAGGTTGATGATGCAGCCCTTGTCCAGTCCAGCCAGGCGCTGCCATTTTCCGAAGGCCAAGCAAAGCTAGTTGGTCTGTAGGATCCTGAAGCCGTGGTCGAGCTTGTCAGGGCCGTTGTTGCAGCATCGACGGAGAGTGAGCTAGACGATGATGCTGAGGTTGATGATGAAACTCGAGTCCAGTCCAACCAGGCGCTGCCGTTTTCTGAAGGCCATGGAAGGCTAGTAGGTCGAAGACCTAGTGAAGTGGTCGAGCCTGTTGAACTTGCCACTGCCGGGTCCGCGTCCAGTGAGCTTGACGTCGATGAAGAAGTTGAGGATGCTACTCGGGTCCAATCGAGCCATGCGCTGCCATTCTCGGAGGGCCAGGCAAAGCTGGTTGGTCTGTAAGCGATTGAGGAAGTTGACGTCGTTGCAAGGGAAGAGGTCGTTGTAAGATCGTGAATCAAGGCAGAGCTAGTGGTCGATGATGAAGTCAAACTCCAGTCCAACCACGCACTGCCGTTCTCTGACGGCCACGCAGACCAGGCAAGTTTCGTGGTCTGGCTGGAGGTGGGCAGAGTCGTAGACGTGGTAAGGGCTTCAACAGGCACAGAGTTCGAAGTCAAAGACGTTGTCGTTGCTGCATCACCAGGCCTGGAGGAGCTGCCCTTCGTGGTGAAAGCCGTGTTTGTTGAGGATTCCCAGTCATTCCAATCCTCCCACTCCATGGAGAATGTTGGCCGGCCACCCCCGGGTTTTCCAGGTCGGCCAGACATTTTTGAGGTAGTCTTCGTTGACGTGGTATGAGCAGAGGGCCCACGAGAAGACCCTCCACCGGGTCTGGTTGGATCGTGGAGCGCAGTTGTATGGGACGATTGCCCAGGCTCGCTAGTTGTCACGCCAGCAACGTCGTTAGAGCTGGTGGTACGAGAGGACGTCTGCAACAAAGATGCTGGTAGGCTTGACGAAGACGACGGTCTCCCCCCAAACGGTGGACGCGATGAGCCGCTCGTTGTGTATCCGCCTGACTTCGTAGAGGAAGTGCCTGCAACACCAGATGTAGTAGTACCAGCAGGGTGATCGTTGACAGGACCCGTGCTGTGCGGAGGGGCTGATGAAGATGAAGATCGCGTGGTTCCGTCAACAGGGTCTGGACCCCCTGGATCGTTCCCCGGCGTGCCAGGAACAGAAGAGGAGGGACCAACAGTGGTTTCATCACCGGGAGTTGAACCTCCAGGACCATTCCCTGGCTTTCCTGTTGTAGATGGTCCCATCGTCGTACTATGAGACGGACCGCCTGGACCGCTTCCTGGGTGATCATGCTTGCTTGTTGGTGAGCCAGAAGACCCTGGCGATCCCGAATTGCTTTCTCCAGAGGTAGGTTTCCCTGTTCCGCCCGATGTTGTATGGGTTGGTCCGCCAGGGACGGTGTGACCTCCATTACTGCCAGCGGAAGAGCTAGAAGTGGTGGAGGACTTTGAGCTGCTGGAGCTTCCACTACCACCGCTGCCAGCACCGTCTGTGGCAGGGCTGCTTCCGTGCCATGGATGGTGATGTTCCCAAGAAACGTCTTTGTCACCACCGCCAACAGGTGTAGATGCAGAGGGGCCATCGGATCCAGTGTCGGTTCGACCCTCACCACGTTTATCCCCTGCCAGACCACAAGTGAAACTGTGCGAGATGGAATAGGTTGTCTGGCCATCTGAGCTACCTGTCTCCGTCGCGTACTCAGGTCCGTATGGTTGAGAGTACAAATCACAATACTGGCCCTGGCTTACACCGTTTCTGGAAACGATATAGGTGTTGAAAAACTTGCAACCAACCGCATTACATGCACTTGCGCAGTTCGCGGTATCAAAAGAGCCGTAGAAGACTTCGGAGCCAATAAACGAGCCGGAATTCGGTGGTGGATGAATAGCAGAGCCTGATAGGAAGGTTGGGACGTCGAATCCTTCAGGGGTAGTAAGGGTACTGTTCGTGTAGCCATTGTTTCCCGCGATCACAGCGTTGGCACCGTTCGTCGGGCTGATCGTAATGGATCCAGCAGAGAAAGAACACTTGATGGAGGGAGCAAGTCCACCGACTTGCTTCTCGAAGTAGATTTGGAAAGAGGAGCATTCATCCATGCTGTCACAGATCGCGGCGCATATGCTGCTATCATACTCATCAACTGTCGTATGGCCGAGAAATCCATCTCCTGAGCTCCATGTTTGTCCATTGCTGAATGCTTCGTAATAACCGACCGGGGTCGCAGCGGAGGTGGCAGTGTCTGAGAAGAGTTTGTTCGCCGCCCACTCAGCGGCAAGAGGGTCGGTACATGAGCAGGTCGGCTCAACGTCGCGTTCCCCCAAATTCTTCTTCCACGGCAGATAACCCTCCCATCCTCCCAACGAACCTAACACAACATTAGAGAACAGAAAGAAATAAAAGAATGGCAGCATGTTGCATTGAGCAACAGCTCAAGAAACGAGCGACTAAGGTGAAGAACGAACGGACGCGTGCCAATCGACAACGCAACAACGGTTTACCAAACGTGAAGGAAAAGGAAGAGAAGGTTGCGCAGTGTAGCGTAGAGAGCCACAGCATCTTAGCGGCTTCCCGCTCTCCGCGGGCTGAGCAACGCGTAGACGCACAATGCACCCCGTGCTCCATTTGAGCACCTCTAATCCTGGCTTTACCACGATCGTCAAATGGGAGGGGATGCCCGAGGTCGCTTGTCTTGATGGGGATCAGCGCCACATGGTCGAAGACGCACGAGGCTCGCTTGACAGTTTCCTGCCGCAACTTTCATCGAAAGACGTTGCCATTCGAGACAGCCCCGTTTCTGTCTTTGGCAGAGGACTCTCGGCACACTCGGTTCAGCTGTCCCAAGGAGGACTGGTTCGGATGATGGGCTGAGAGTGTCACGCTTATGGGGTCATGGCTGTGGGTCTTTGGGATTCACATCGTGAAGTTCCGTGGTCTAGCCACAAACTTCGGATGACTGTTGTCGAAGATTCAGAGCTGAGGTTGATGAAAAGGAGAAAAGTATACGCCCCAAATGGGTTAGCGTGGCCCACTATCATTGCTTGGCACCTCGTGGCTTGCATCAGGAGATTAAACCTTACGCTTCGCTGATTCTGCGATCGCGTTCAGCTTACAATCTTACCTTTGTCTTGAGCTCCCTGACTGAGACTGGAATAGCTCCAAGTGAGATCTGGAGCCGGTCAATGCCTGCAATATTCGCCGTGCTGGTGGAAAAGATCTGAGATTGATAATGTTGAAGAGGCGGAGATGAAGAAGATCAAGTTTGACAAAAGGGCATGCATTCGTAGCAAAATGGACATATCTTCTACCTTGCTGCCATGATCGAGATTCAGGACAAGCACATTGGCGCCAACTCAGCAATTTGTCTTGAGATGACTATCCAAACGGGGTAAGACATACGGGCGGCCTTGTTCCGAGGCGGTTGTCCTTGGCCCCAGACAGAGAATTCGCAAACTGCACTGGATATGCGACTTGCCCATTATTTTGGCGGTCCTGGCACTCCATACTCCGTACACGAGTCATGTGTAGGCAATAGTTTCACACCAACAGCCAGTCACTCTTAGAAGTTTGCGCATGCCTTCCTAAGCGCGTTTCGCGGATTGACCCTCGACGTCGCAACTTGCCTTCAATCTTCCCACTTCTACCCTCGTGCCTGTCCATGGTCACTCCAGCTATGCCCAATGGCTTACCATGCACACCGTTTACACGAACATGGAGTTGGAGCATGCAGAAAGTGACGATGTGCTGGTCAACACACTGCAAACATCAAAGTGCGGTCAGGTCAGGTCAAAGAATGGCCTGTCCCGGAGCAAAATCAGCTAACCTTCAGCAACGTGCACTCCGCCATAGGTGAGAGTGAGTACTCGACATTGGCATAGAGTGGTACAGCACCGTCCTCAAAAGTAGGATTTGATATCGCGGGTCTTCCAAGGGTCGTTGTACTACACGACCGTTCAATGAACAGTTCGCATGGGATCTCTCTCGCCCATGAGAATCCTTGTGTGCCTCTTGCAGCTGTCACATTCCCGATTTTCAGATGCATCAGCTCTCGAAGCTACGTTTGTCAAGTGCAAAAAGCCATGGAGTGGGAGGTCGACGTTGAAACTGGCCTGGGGCATCAGCCAGCCATCGTTGCCCTGCATCGCCCGATCGGCACCTTCGCGATCCAAACCTCGGAACGCGTTCAAACAGTATGCAGGGCACGCCACGCGCCTCCCACGTGCATGCGGTCATTGGCGGTTCAGTTCGCCGGAGGGTTGCGGTGGAGTGTTAGGCCAAGATGGCCAAACTGAACCGAGGACTGTCGGGCCGAGGACAAAAGGTTTGGGGACATTCCCCAGATTGACCTCGTTTGACTCCGCATTGAAAGACCCGGGTCAGCAGCGGGTCAAATAGATGCGAGTATGTACCAAGGTAGCTACCTAGGTAACATAAGAGAATTGGCAGGCCATTGATATCTGAGTATTGTTATCCTGTCACTGCTCTCCGTCCTCTATTGACCCATTCGACCTCTATTCGTAACCATGAACTTCGAGCTTCCCAACGACGTGCAGAACTATCTCTCCCGTGTTGACGCCTTCATCAAGGAGAAGATCCTCCCCCTCCAACACAAAGACGACAACAACCGCTTCTTCGACCACCGCCGTGAAGCTTCGCGGACACAATGGGACAACCAAGGTCTCCCTACCCATGAGTGGGAGAATCTGCTTCGTCAAGCACGCAAGCTCGCCGACGAAGCGGGCTTTTACCGATTCAGCTTCCCTCAGGAATTTGGTGGCGCTGGCAGCGATCAGCAAAATCTGTACATGTGCGCGATCCGATACCATCTCGCGTCTCATCCAGTCTACGGGGGTGGTGTAAGCCTGGCCAATGATCTCCAGAACGAGCACAGCGTGGTTGGCAACAACCCCATCATCATCATGCTGCAGCATTATGGCACCAAGGAACAACAGCAGAAGTTCATCCCTGCGAGTATCAAGGGCGAGTTTCGGGCCACCTTTGGCTTGACTGAGATCCACCACGGTTCCGATGCCACGCACATGGACACCACTGCCAGTCCCATTACCCTTGCCAACGGAGAGCCAGGGTACGAGATCAACGGCAATAAGAAATGGCAAACAGGCATGCACTCGGCGACACACTGCCTTGTCTTTGCACGCACGTCCGGGAAAGCAGGCTCACCAAAGGGCATTACGGCCTTTATCGTCCCCAGAGAGACACCAGGCCTCTCGGTCGCGTCGTACGAGTGGACGCTCAACATGCCGACGGATCACGCAACCATTCTTTTCGACAAGGTCCAAATCCCAGCCTCGGCCATCCTCGGGCCACTTGACAATGGCCTAGCCATCGCCCAGACATTTACGCATGAAAATCGGATCCGGCAGGCCGCTTCCAGCTGCGGGGCTGCACGGTACTGTATTGACCGAAGCGTCGAGTACGCGAAGAAGAGAACTGTGTTCGGCAAACCGCTGTCGTCGAATCAAGCCATACAGTGGCCGCTCGTGGAATTGTCCACCCAAGCCGAAATGCTGAGATTGCTCATTCTCCGTACGGCGGTGGAAATGGATCAAGTCACCGCGGCGGCTAAACGGAGCGGCAACGCACCTTGGGTTGCCATTGAGAAGCAACTGGGCCACAAGATCGGGATGTGCAACTACTATGCCAACCGGTTGTGCTGTGACTCGGCCGATCGGGCGATTCAGATCCACGGCGGAGTCGGCTATTCTAGGCATTATCCCTTCGAGCACATCTGGCGGCATTTCAGGAGGTATCGAATCACCGAAGGGAGCGAAGAAGTGCAGATCAGGAAGGTCGCCGCGTATCTGTTCGGCTATAAGACTACAGGTGAGAGCACGGAGCAGCAGCTGAAGAAGAGTGAGGCGAAGTTGTGAATCTCCAGATCGACTCTGGAGACTGGTCGAGTCGTAGTGTTTTTGTGAATAATAAGGAATCTATGCCAGTGGTTTCCATGTTTCCACACACACGTATGCCCGAGTCTGACGAGGTATTCGACGTATTCAACAAACGTCTTCAATCACCAGCTTCTCCCCACTGTGCTCCCCCAGATCAATCTTCAACCTGCGCTCAAATACCTCCAGCAGGATCTCAAAGCACATCTTGCTCACAGCCGGGTCATACCGACCTTTACTCAGCTCATCTCTGATGAACGCATGCTGAGCGCCAAGGATCTCGAAGAACGAAAACTGGACGCCAGTCTCGTGCAGTGTTTTTCGGATCAAGTCCCTTCCTTCGGGCGGCACATGGTTGTCACTCTTCCCAAAGATCATGACCAGCTCGCCCTTGATATCTCCCGCTCTTTTCAAACTGTCGTCGTCCTTCCCTTCTCCCAAGCTGTGGCTATGTATATCCGTCGCGAAGTAGCAGACCGCAGCTGTGACCCTCTGGTCGAGGGCGCAGCGGTAGGCCAAATGTCCACCTAAGCACATCCCCGTCGCGCCGATCTTGCCATTGCAGGTCTTGAGGCCAAGCAACACCGAGACAGAGAGTTCGGCATCTTCATCGTATGCTGCGACTTTCTTCGTGATCTTCCATTCGTTTCCAGCATCAGTGCCCGGTACGTCGTACGCCAACGGTTCAGGGCCCGTGAATTCGTGGTACGACGAAGGAGCTGCGACGATGTACCCCTGGCCGGCGATCTGGCGAGCAAAGCGGGAGACCGGTCCAGTCACTGCAGTCACGGTAAGCTACTCAAATTCCATGCTCGAGCAGAAGGAGCATCATTAGGAGACATTGGTGCTGCCACTCAGCGTTGTGCATACCTTGATAGATCTCCGAGAAGACGACGACGCCTGGGAATTTTGCATGCGGATAGCCGGGAATGGTGGGATGGAAAATAAAGATGCCTTTTCAGTCCTCGCTCAGCCTGTGTTCGCTTTCTGAGCTGTACATGAGAGGCATACGCATTGAGCCTTCGCCGGCTGCCTTGGTCGGCACATCTTTGTAGGACTCCTGGATCAGCATCCTGGCGACGTTGAAGCCAGATATTGATATTGTGCAATCGAGTCCGGGAATGTAAAGGTCGCGTCTCAGGATACCTTGTAGAAGCAGTTTGCTAATCGCTCGACCAAAGAATTTGGATCAAAACGAAGGGCAACGTCCATCACGCAGATGCGGGGCATCGCGAGATTCAGTTGAAGCTTAAATCGAGCTTCAAATTGCCGTGGCCGATTCCCCTTTCTTGACATCTGAGTAACCAAGCTGTACGTTATTCATTCACCCGGTCTTGAAGTGCTCGTCTGGACTGAGGGGCTGAGTGTGTCCTGTGTTGGCTTGTCAGGGCTCATGGCTTCTGCAACCGACAGCATCTCTGCAACTGGGCCGTCCTCTGCTGAAGCTCGCGCCCTGAACATTCAACAAGAAGGTTGCCTCAGTCCACCTTGGTCCATGTTTCAGTTGAGAACGCTTACCATGCATGTAAGAGAGCCTGAACATAACTCCAGGGAGCAGTATCGAGACAAGAATCCCTGAATCAGCTGTAGGTGTCTTCCACTGCTCTCTTCAGACATTCCCTGCCTGCCAAAATGAGCTCACCCAAGATGTTCCCCATCCATTGTGTATTTGTCTATGTCAACCAAGAATGGTATTGGCTCCAGCCAATTGGCACAGAACAAAGTTGCGTCAGTGGGATAAGATCTGTATGTCGCAGACAGGCAGTCCCAGAGCTTATGGGCACTTATGTGCATTGAGGTTTGAGGGAGGGACGCGCTCCTCTCGCAGATGACCAACTTCTGCTTGGAGCTCATCTGCATCGGAGACGCTTCGACAACTGGACCTGGGAACGACATATCGGCTGAAAGTGATAGAATCAGGGATGTCTCACGGAATGGGAGACAATTCGTTGGCTAACAGCAGGGAAGCAAAGGTCTATACGATGGTGAAAGCAAAGCAGGCAGATAATGTCGTTGTCGAAGACTCCCTGAAGCTGCGCAAGGGATGTCACTCCACTGCCGCTCTCGCAGGGCGGTCACGTTCCCGAGCCTTGCGCAGTCGCCGGTGAGGTCTGGTCAACATGTGCACCGCGATGGGATTTCAGCCGCACTTTTTCAATCACTTTCGTTGCGCAAGCCGCAGACGCTCAACTGAAAAGAAGCCGCGCATTTTCATCGCCCCCGGCGACGCAACAATGGAGAACGACACTGCAGATCCAGACTACATGGACGGCTACTTTGGTATATCTGTCCCTGCAGGCACTGAACGATATTGACAAAGACAGACCTTCCACCAGGTTATGAACCCATTGGGCCAACTTCATCTGCGGAGGAAACCCAAGACCAGCTCACTTGCTACGACGGTATCCAGCTTGATCCGACATATGGAGCCGCGTACAATGGTAAGTCTCACAGTCCGTATGCCGAATGATACTCATTTACGACAGGTGTTCCACCCGGATACGAAACCTATGGGCCGACCTCCACTACGATGACATCCCAAGACCAGTTCGACTTCACCGACAGCGTCCAGCTCGATCCGACATATGGAGAGGTGTACAAGGGTAATTCTTACGGTCTATATGCTGAATGATATTGATTCGATACAGGGATCTCACCCGGGGACGAACCGTATGAGCCGATCTCCTCAGAGACCACATCTCAAGACCAGTTCGCCTTCACCGACAGCCTCCCGATCGACGCGACATACGGAGAGGTGTACAATGGCAAGTCTCCAACTGATGTGCCCGAACGATATTAATTTGAGCTAGGCATTCCACCCTCATATGAACCATATGGGCCAACTCCATCTCCATTCGATGATCTCGACGCTCTGTTCGCTGCAGACTCTAGTATCCCGCTCGATCCACAGATCCAAGAGATGCACAACGGTATGTCTCTTGGTACAAATTGAGGATAACACTGAGTCAAACAGGTGTCTCACTTGAAATCGTTCTCAATGATTCACAGATCCAGAAGGTGCACAACGGTATGTCTATCGGTATAATATTGAGGGTAATACTAAGTCAAACAGGTGTCCCACATGAAATCGTTCACATTGATCCACAGATCCAAGAGATGCACAACGGTGTCCAACCTGAAATCGTTCACAATGATCCACACCAACCCACAGAGATATCCCAGGACGCATCTACCTCAGTCAGCACCGTCCAGGTTGGTCCAGATGACGAAGATGAGGAGTGCCGTAAGTCTACTCTTGCGCACGCAGGATTGAATTAATAGCAAAAGGCACAATCACTAGAAGTGAATTTGAGGATACCACTGCCGTCATCGACACCGTCCAGGCTGATCCAAGCGGCGACGATGACGACTGCTGTAAGTCTCCTCTTGCTCAATCGGAACGAAAACTAACCAAGACAAGGCATGATCACTAGAAGCGAATTCGAGGCTACCACTACCGTTGTGAGCTCCGTCCGCGCTGATCCAGATGACGGGGACGACGACTGCCGTAAGTATACTCGTGTGCATTCGGACCGACATTAACACAAAAAGGCATCATCACGCGAGACGAATTCGAGGCTGCCCCTGCCGTGATCGCATGGCGGAGAGCAGAGCTTGCATTCCTCCAACCCGTCGAATATGATGAAGACGATCTGAGAGAGGTCCCAGGTATGCCTTTGCTTGCATGCTGAGAACGAGGCTAACCCAAACAGATATGCTGAATGAGAGGCAGTTCAATGAGATGTTCTTCCCAGAATACGGGTTTGTAGACGATTCTGAAGATGTAACCAATACAGATTGGGCTCTTCGAGATGATCTGTCCTACAATGGTATGACGGTCTGCCTATCCTTACCTGCATTGCCCTAGGTTGACAACAAAAGACCATCTAGATGAGAGAGAATTCAACGCACTCGATTTCCCGGAAGATGCAGCGAATCCAGATGGCACAATCATTGTCAAGCGTGAGGAGGAGGGAGAGGAGTCCCATGGTATGTTGATCCCCTTGTGGACTGGACGACATTGACAAAACCATAGGTGGTCCGCCCGGAACTGCAAACGTCAGTACTCCCTTAGCCGAAACGACGGTCCAAGACCCATCGACACCTGACCCCAATGCCGAGCTTGATGACGCCTTGCTTGCCGACAACGCGGCTGTTCATTCCCGCTGGTCCCAGCTGCAACGAATCTCCGCCAACCTTGATCGTGTCCAGGAAGTCATTCGTGACGACGAAGCAAAGATCAAAGCACAGCTCGAGGAACTTTGGGTCGACAACACCGATGTCCGCAGACGTGGTCTCCGAGGTGGCACAGCGCGCAAGAACAGAAAGGACCACGGCAACTACGTCAAGTTCGGGGAGACTGCTGCGATGAGTGCAGAGTTCCACCAACACCGCCTGGACGTCGAAAAGCAGGACTACGAGGGCCGCAACCGCCAGGCTGGGCTCGCTGCACTGAGAGACATGTTCGAACAGACACACAGATGGATCGCGAAGCAAGTGGAGGTCTGTGAGGACATGGTGCGCTCCATGGCCATCGCGGCGCACTTCGTCCGTGTGCCAGCAGTCGATGCCAAGCTCTCCAACATGCATGCCATTGTCTTTGGAGAGCCCGAAGAGAATCGCTCTGCGAAGATTGCGGATATTGAACAGATGCTCGCGGCTTTCGCCGAGGAGTACCATCTCAACCTGGAATAAGCCTCGGTGACTGCGTCCGGAGAGCGCCAAAGCTCAGAGCTCAGAGCTCAAGCGCATGGGAGCGGTCACGACGTCATGTTTACCGACACTTCGGATATTCTTGTGGTAGCAATTGGCATGGTGTTGACATGGATTGGCATGGAACTGGTGTGGTTTGAATTGGCCTGGAACTGGTACGGTTTGACATGGCATAGGATATTCAGCTTGAACAAGCAGGACTGCGCAGTTGGACTGAACCAGTCAGTCAGTCATTGAACGGTTCCGAACGAGATGAACCCTGAGTGTATCTCAATGATACCAAAGAGCAAGCAAGACAATCAATGAATGACTTGTCTTGAAATCTTGGCCCTCTCGGTTGCGAGCTGAGCAGCAACTAGCTCTTCTCCTTCCCAGCGGGCGAACGCATTCTCATTGTTTCAGAGTCATTTTCACTTGCGGCAGTCTTGACTCTTCATGCACCCATCCTTGATTTTTGCCTTGAATCTGACAGTCCTCATCCTATGCTCATTCAAACTGCGCTCATCCAACGACTTGAGTCATTCATGTCCCGTGGTCTTATTAGCGCCAGACCGCACTTTTGAGGTCCGAATCTTCTCTCAGGTCCCTCGGACCTCTGCGTCTTCGCCGCCTTGGATGTACAAACTATCTCGGTGGCGAATAACGTGGTCAACAGCCAAGAGGAGGAGAGGTGCTTTCAAGAGACAAAAAGGAGATGGACACTGCAAGATTGCGAATGACAACATAGTCTGTTCCACTTGATGGAAAGCACCGAATTGAGGGCAGGACATGACGCCGCACCGAGGAAGGAGACTTTCGAATGCAACGGGAGGAATCGCGTGCTAGGCATGCGGCTCCGTCTCGAGTTGTTTGAGGTTGAGGTCACAGTCAACCAACCATCTAGATGTTCCATCTCATTTCAATTGTTGCTTATGTGGCTCCTACTGCCTGTGAGCTTCAATTTCCCCTACCGACAAACCCACCGCAACAGCAAAACCCGATTCTTATTCCCACCCTCCACCCACACAGCTCCTACACGAATCCTTTCCCTCTCCTTCACTGTACGCTCACGCACGACCCTAGAAGATGGCCGTCGCGTTGACGTGACTGCTCACCCCACCGGGCATATTCGCCGGCGCGCTCGTGAAGAAGAAGGTCCACCTCTTGTGCTTCTTGCACAAGCGACTCAACTTCTCCAAGTCGACCATCTCACCCAGCGGCATCCCCCACAACGCGATGATGAACTCATGGAGGTAGTAGCTCTCGGGCGTGGGCCAGCGTTCAAAAGCCGGCGCGTCACCACCCACGGCCGCGAAGTAGCTGTCGTGCAACCAATCCTTCATGGCCTCTTCCTGCTTGACGCCCACCCACTGCGCTTCGCCGCCGTGGCTCTCGGTCCCGCGGAGAGCGAGCCGTTCGCTCTCCTCCGGCGTGCGCTTGTAGTAGTCCTCGACCCAGCCGCTGCGGATCAGCAGGATATCGCCGATCTTGATATCCCCGCCCTGAGCGGCCGGGCGGATGTCAATGCCCTGGTGCTTTCCGCAGGCGACCAGGTCGTCGTAGCTGATCGCATGGGACGTGGCCGTGTCGTACTTGATGCCCACGCTGTCGGCGTACGAGCGATAATCAAGCAGGACGCCGCGTCCCGAGAAGCCGTGCTCCGACCAGTGGTGCACGCTGCACTTGTGGTTCGCGGCGGGGCCGACGATGTCCTCCTTGTGGGTGTTGTTGTAGAAGGTCTGGGTGGCGACGTGGGCGAAGTGGCGAAACCCATCCCACTGCGTGCCGGACTGGGTGTTCATGTGGTAGACGTCGTCGTAGCAGATGCCGTCGAAGACCGTGAGGATCTTGTGCTCGAACTTCTGCCGCCCGAACGCCGGCTGGGCGGGCACGTTGAGCGGGAGGTCCAGCCGGGCCATCTCCCCGGTGCGGATTTCCTGCTGGGCGGCGGCCTTGACGCGCGCCGGCGTGAGCAGGTTCAAGCGGCCGACAAAGTCATCCTTGCCCCAGACCCAGGCTGCTTCGTCGGGAGCGCCGACGAGCTTGGGCAGATTCTTGCGCGTGGGGAAGGCGGTGCTGTCTGGGTCGAAGGGGATGGTCGTGGCGGTCTTGCCCATGATGGAGTCCTTGATCTGGGAGAGGCGCTTGCTTGCCGATGACAACGTATCTGCCATTGTGGTGGGCTCGGTAGGCGGGGCGGCTGTTCTTATGCTTCTTATGTGTTGAGCGATTCCACTTATGTTACCTGGCCGCGAGACGGAGCTTTGTGAACAGCTAACCTGCTCTGAAGGACCGTGAGGGTTCGTCAATTCCGAGGTACTGGCCGGCCCATGGCCGCTTCTGACCACTTTGAGGGGCAAAGCCGGGATGGGAGCTGGACAGGGTGGACGGGGCTCCCCCGCAATATTGCCCCCGTCGGCAGTCGTGTCATACTTATCGAGTCCTGCCATACGGGACGCATCATGACGACGGGCAGGACTGCTTTCTCACACGAGGAGCTGGCCTTGAGCCTGGACCCTGTCGCGCGGAAACTGCTTTCCATCCAGCTGCCCCCCAAATGAGCGCTGATACTGTCGTGTGAGATGGCATCAGGGTTGCGCCGTAAGAGGCCGAATCATAGGGAGATTGTAACTTTCATAGATAACACATGGCAAGACGTAGAAAGGCCATGCTGAAATAAGCGGAGCAGACATCGGATCGCCTCTTGTCTACCCGTATCTGAGGCGTGGCTGATGTTGATGACTCTGTGACTGAGAACAGCTTGCCGGACATTGCTCTCTGCTCCACACAACTAATCGCCAAACAACTTGAATTCTCCCCTCGCAGGACGATTATTCGAATTGGGTTCTCCACGCCCACAGCGTGAAGAATCAAAAGAACGCACCGGTCGCGGTGGAGTAAGAGGCCTAAGCCATCACAAGTCAGCGTACTGGATCGCATGTTGCCGGCATCGGCGACGACTTCAACTATGGCCTCAAACGGAGATACACTGAGCAATGGCATCAACAAGTCAACGCACCCTCGAATGCCAAAGCGATTATACTCCCTTTCACAGCCACCCTCAATTGCGGCCTTCGATAATCTCTGCTCTCAATCGACCGCCGCGGAAAGCTACCCCAAGGCGTCGACCATCATATCCAACATCCCCGTCTACGACCTCCAACAGGACAAGTCAGCCACAGAAGACATAAGAGATGAGCTACAAGACGAATGGCATCACATCCTCCACTCTGGGCCCGGTGTCTTCGTCCTACGCAGCTTCATGCCCGACACGAGCCTGATCAATGAGGTCAACGCCGCTTTCGACGAGATCATCAGCCTTGAAGCCGCCGCCTCGACAACCAAAGGCGACCACTTCGCCTCGGCCGGCACCAACGCACGGATCTGGAATTCCTTTCAGAAGCACGCCGAACGGCATCCGGCGTCGTTTGTTCGATACTACGCCAACCCATACCTCGCGGCCGTTTGCGAAGCCTGGCTCGGCCCCGCCTATCAAATCACCGCCCAGGTCAACATCGTGCGCCCGGGGGGTGAACCGCAAGTCAGCCACCGGGACTACCACTTGGGCTTTCAAACCGCCGAGTCGTGTGCACGGTATCCACGCGCCACGCAGACAGCGACGCAGTTCCTCACGTTACAAGGGGCGGTGGCACACTCGGACATGCCTCTCGCGAGCGGGCCAACGCGCTTCCTGCCGTTCTCGCAACGGTTCGAAGAAGGATTCATGGCGTACCGACTTCCGGAGTTTCAGGCATACTTTGACCGGAAATGGGTGAGTTGCGCGTTAAAAATAGGAGACGCCGTGTTCTTCAACCCTGCGTTGTTCCACGCCGCGGGGGAGAACTGCACCGACAATGTCCACCGATCTGCGAATCTGCTTCAGATTAGCAGTCCGTTCGGAAAGACGATGGAAACAATCGACACGCTGGCGATCATTGAAAGATGCTGGGACGAGACACGCAGATTGTACAAGCAGGAGGGCAGAGGGACGAGAATGAGCGAGGAAATCTCTGCCATCCTGAATGCCATGGGTAACGGGTATCCTTTCCCTACGAATCTTGACCGCCGACCGCCAGCACCGGGCGGCATGGCGCCAGAGAGTGAAGTTGATGTCTTGCGGAGAGGGTTGTCCGCAGGATGGGACACCCAGGAGGTGGTCGCGGCGATCACAGCCATTCGTCGAGAATCGGCGTCGACCGTATAACAAAGAAGAAGATAAAACGTTCGGAAGCGAGAAACCTGGGCATTTATCCGCTCCTCTGATCCTCTGAGTCAGCCTGCCTACCTACCCACCTACCTACCACACAAGCACCGGCTTGATCGTGCCGCCATTCTCCATCTCATGGATTGCCTGCACCGCCTCCTTGGCTGGGAAGTACTTGACAATCTTCTCGACGGGGAACTTGCCCTCCCTCCACCACTTGATCATGACGGGGACCCAGGCCTGGCCCGTGGTATTCCCCAGGTATTGGCACTCAAAGGACTTGTTCTCGGAGAAGAACTGCTGCAGCGGGAGGTTGACCTCGGTGCCGTAGCCCGGCGCGCCCAGCTGGATGAACTTGCCATGCTTGCCCAGGACCTTGAGCGACTCATTGATAACCGGTAGCGCGGCCGTGGTCTCCACGACGACCGAGATGCGCTGCCCACCCACCAGTTTCTGGATCTCCTCGGCGAAATCAGCCCGCACGGTCGTCGTATCCAGCACCTTTGTGGCGCCGAGCTCTTTGGCCGTCTCAAGCCGATGTGCCACGCGGTCCAGCGCGATGATCTCCCTGCACCCGGCGATCTTGGCCGCCATGATGGCGCCCATGCCCACGGCACCAAGACCCGTGACGAGGACGATATCATGAGCTTTGACGCCCGCGCCGTTGATGACGGCCCCGGACCCGGTCATCAGCCCGCAGCCCATCGGGGCGAGGAGCTTCAATTCGTCTTCCGACGAGACCAGACCCTTGAGATTGACCACGGTTTTCTCGCCCACGATGGTGGCGCCCGCGAACGAGCTCTGGCCGAAGAATTTGCCCGGCGTGTCCTCGCCGGCTTGCGTCTCGAAGTGGCCCTTCTCGCCCACGATGTTCAGCACCATCCAGTTCAGGCAGTACGGCTGCTGGTCGACCTTGCACAGGTCGCAGTCGCTGCAGTAGCTGTACGACAGGAGGACCGGGTCGCCGACCTGCGCGGCCGTGACGCCCGGACCGACCTCCTCGACGAACCCAGCCCCTTCGTGGCCCAGGACTTTCGGGAACGTCAACCCGCGTTCCGGCTGGTTGGGGATCGACGCGACCACGATGTCTGAATGACAGATTCCAGTGGCGACCATGCGGATCTTCAGCTCGTGCTCCTTGGGTGATCGGAGCAGTTTGACCGTCCCGAACCGCCAGTCTGGCTTCCGCGTGGTGGTGTCAACGGGGTACGAGACCAGTGCTTGGGTTTCGGTCGCCATGGTGTCGTGGAGCTGTCCCCTGATGCTCGTCACTTGTGCGGTAGCAGTAGCAGTCGCAGTAGCAGTAGCAGTCTTTGGCACGTCGACTTTCAGCCGTGAGCTCGAGGGACGCGCAAAAGTATGTAAGCAGGTAAGTATGTAAGTATGTATGCGTACAGTACGGAGTACAGTACTTTAGTATGCGACCCTGACCAAGACAAGCCAGGCCGAGTCGAGCAGGCTTACTCGATGCAATATTGATGCGTACTCCGTACATAACTCGTATTAACCTTGAAGGAGATGTCCCGTGATGCTGTACATCCTTGTACGAGGTGTCTACATTCTTACACAAGGGTAATTAGCCGATGGAGGCATACTGTAATCCTAGTTCAGCCTCGGCTGCCTGACGTCCCGTCCGACTCGCTTCACCTGCGTGAACCGCGGACGGTAGCCGAAGGATCATGTACTGGCCCTTGGCATGCGGTCGAACCTTCATGGCGGAGGATTCGGCATGGAGGAGCTCGTACCCTGTACAGTACATGAGGGCGAGACGTGGTCTACGCAACCATACCCACATCCACGATTGCTTGCTTGCTTGCTTGCTTACCTGCCTGGTCAGTCAGGGTCACGTCTCCTTCGGATCAGGCATCCCTCACGAGCCATCACACCCTGAGCTTACTTACTTACTGCTTGGAGTGTCTCGCGCCTTGCGTCCGGTTGCCGTGTGATGGATGCATTACTATAGCGTGCCATTGGCTGCCTCGAACGGTGTATGAGTGGAGGAATACGTAGTGGTTGATTACCCTGCTTCCCCCTTGGCCCGGACTTTTGCGGAGCAAACGAGCGAGCAAGCTGGGCGCCTTGAATGGAGCCGCACTACGCACTGTACATTACTTGATACTAGACATACTCCGTTCGCAAGAGGAAATACTAGCCCAGTACCTATGTAATCATTCAGGCCTTCCCTCCCTCCTTCTCTGATCTCTCTAGCCTCTCTAGCCTCTCTAGCGATTCAGCAAGCACAGGGTACAGTGCAGTGCAGTAGCGCCATAAGCCGCAGGATGCAAGATGCAAGATGCACCACCGCCAAGATCGAGGGGCCGTGTCATGGTGTCTGCGTCACCGTCACCATTCCAGTGCGAGGTGCGCCTGTGGACGTCTCAGCTTCAGAGTTGTCAGCAGGATATTTATGTGAAGAAGGTGGAAGGGCGATTACTAACCAAAGCGGAATGACTTTTCGTCATTCTCACCATTCACAACGTACTGATCAGGGGGAAGTACCGACCTAGGTACATAAGTAATCACGTAATTATCACTTTAATGTCACCGATGCCGTGACGCGGGGTCTACGAGATGTTGTCGGATGCAGTTCGATCAGCTCGTCATGTTCAGCTCCGTCGGTCTTGTTCGAGGAACGAGTCGTACAACCGATGACATTCGACATTACAGGCACGAGTGAGTGAGTGAGTGAGTGAGTGAGTGAGTGAGTGAGTGAGTGAGTGAGTGAGTGAGTGAGTGAGTGAGTGAGTGAGTGAGTGAGTGAGACTTACGAAACAAGACGACAAGTGCACGACGACTCGCCCACCGACCTTCATCGGATTCAGAAAGTCCCTGTGGAGCTCCCATAATTACGGAGTAATTACTTGGATCTGAAAAGGCACGGGTACATCAGCCTTCAGCACGCACTCATAACTGGACTGATTAAAGTAAACCCGAGTCGAGGCAACGATACACCTCAACGAGTTACGACACGAGGCGTTCGGCGGTACGTACGTTTGTCTGTCTATATGTGCCCATGTTAGGTATCTTCATTCTTGCGAAGCCGTGACATGGCCTTTGGCACGCGCATCTCTTCTCGAATGTTCTTCACAAGGCAGAGAAACCAAGACTCTAGCACAACCACACACACACACACCCATCACTTCTCAAGGCTCTGCACAAGGCAAAGAAATCATGACCTAGCACGCCACGCACGCGCATCTCTTCTCCAAGGCTCTGCACAAGGCAAAGAAACCATGATGAAAAGAAAACACCATTCCAAGCGTTCATTCGAGGAGGATGGTCAAAAATTGAGCTCGTGAAAGTGCCGAAGCTCCTTTCAGACCAGTCACCAAAGACCCGCTGTGCAATGGATATGATGACCGGACAACAACTCGAAGGCCTGAGCGCGAATTGTTCGAACTAGGTAAGTATGAAGAAGGGAAGGAGGAAAAAGGGAGAAAGAATGGAGAGGGGAGAAGGGGATATTTGTAGTCGGGAGAAAAGGGCTCTGCTTGGCGGCGCGGTCGCGTGGACGAGGCCGAGTGAAGGGAAGAGAAGTGAAGTGAAGAGGAGAGGAGAGAAGTGAGGGAATGATCTGGAACAGGGCGGAGTGATCTTGATCGAGGTGTTGGTTCGATGATTGGCGGTGATTTTCGAGGTCAGAAAGTAGGTGCGGCAGTATGCGGATGGGCGGGCAGAGAGTGAGCGAGTGAGTAGGAAATGAAGGCATTCCAAGGGAATGGTGAGGGAAGAGAGGGAAGTCTCACGGGCGAAGACTACACTTCGCAACACAACACGCCCATGACTGAATTATGAGGCGGTCGGTTCGGAGCTGAGGAGTACATATTGACGCACACTGTGCTCCGTACACACTGCCACACTGGCAATCATATTCATTACAGGAGGATGAGATCGAAGGTACGGGCCAAGAGCTCTCATCGGCTTGCAAGGGCGCCGCCATCATCATGAAGGAAAGCGAGCAGAGAGGAGACCAGCAAGCGCATCAACTGTGCCTACTCAACGACTTGGAATGCGATTTGGTTGCTATCAATCCCCGGTGAGTGACCACCGCCGGCCATTCAACCTTGATGGACCGGCCCTCATATCGTCGCCACTCGCTCAGTCACTAGGATCTCCGGTCGTCTCCTCGACCTCTTATAGCAGGACCGCGTAGGCTCTTTCTCCTCTGCACGACGTCTTCACATGTGTCTCAAGATGTGAAGCTACGTTGAGCCTAACCCTCGACAACCACTGTTCCCGTATCACACCCTCCGAAGACCCCAGAAGATATTAACAGACAATCTGACTCGATCGTTGTGAAACACAACAACTTCCCACCCGTATGAGCACTGACCTGGGTCGGGCGGAATCCATCATCCCCGCCCTCTGTGATCGCCAGCAAGAATGTCAATATCTGGATGGTACAGGATGTTGGCACAGTCAGCAGATGTGAAAGACCATGACCCCGAGCACGACAAAGCTGGAAATCTGCCAGGCCCACGGGTTCTCGAGTTGGGATATGATACATCTTTCCAGGCTAGTTAGTGCTCAAGCAACTACATCGATCAGAGATAGGGTTGACTACAGGGAGTATAATTGAGGTTGAAGAGATGACTGAGCCCCTTGCTGGGAGCGACCTCAATCGGTTGAATTGGACTCTCCGACTGTATTGATATCAACGCTCCCGGCGAGGTTCCTTCCGGCCCGTATCATCTAGACTGAACCAGCAGAAAGAACCAGCTTAGAATCGAAACCGTCAGATGTGCGATGCCGTGCCGCTGATCTATGCCAACGCCACTATGCCTTGACCTCCTCCTTCTTCTCTGTATCTTCAGCCTCTGCGGTTACCTTCTGTGCAGTGGGCTCCGGCTTCTCTTCTGCTGCTTTTATCTGGGTTGCTGCTTCAGTCGAAGGTTCTGGCGGCGAAACAGTGCTCAAGATTATCTTCGCCTGGATGACCTTGACAATCTGCTCTCCGAGGTCTCCTGAGCCGTCGATTTTGCTGATTCGGGAATTAAAGAATTCTGCGTCTGCGAGTAACCTGAAGTGTCTCATGTCAGCTTTCACCTCGCTCGAGCACTGCTGCCAGCGTCTTCTTACCTGGCCTTTGCCGCCGCAGACTTGATCGTCACGTCTCTGTACGCGTTCGTCCACTGCTCTCGGTAGCTTGCAAACACAGGTATCATAATTCCTGCTACGACTGGCTCGGGAAGGTGCTTCGCTAGCACTTTCTGCAACGTGCCCGTCTCCTTGGTCAACGTCTCCATGTACGGCGACACCGGCACCGATATATTCTTGGCCGCTTCCTCCCAGTCGATATTCTTCATTGCTTTCACATGCATCGAGGCTCGCCCGGACATGATATCCACAAGTTTCTCATGGATGCCGTTTTGATGTTCTTGGAACAGTCGCTTGACCTTGTCAAAGTCGGTCATGACTTGTTGAGCCGTGGACGACGGCAGATGCCTTCGGAAGAACTCCCTCACATATGGTATCAGCGCAACAATGAAGCTCAATGCCTGAGACGAAAGCGCCAAGTGCTTCGTAGTGATGTTCTTTAGCCCTGCACTCCTAGTGGCACCAGCACCCAGGATCAACTGAGAGCTTCGAGAATTGAACAACTTCAGGCTTTCCAACAACGAAGTCGCAATGTCGTGACTCATGCTGGGGATCCCAGCTGCCAGGTGTTGAAACATTTCCATTGACTGAAGCATGGCGATAGCTGATTCCGGAAGAATATACTTTTGCTCATCGATCACGGCACTTCGAACTTTAGCAGCAGCGGCAGCATTACCATTTGTTGCGGTCCCGTTACTCGTCTCCACGCCGTTACTGGGTTTCAGCCATATCATCACGCTCTCGATCCACGAAGGGGCATCCGTGGTGCCGCCTTCAATCACGCGGTTGAGAATGACATTCTCACGCTCGCCGAAATCTCTGGCATCCCATTTGTCGGCATCCATGACTCTAACAACATTATGTTTCTGAGAGTCAGCAAAGCGTGCTACGAAGTCTTTGATTTGTGCATCCAGAACAGTTTTCAGCCCTGTACCACTTCGGCCGGATATTGCTTCACACTCGTCTGCGAACAGCCTGTTGAGTGTGAAGTATCTCAGAAAATCTGGAAGCGGCAGTTCCGAGTTCTGCTGCGAGCGTACTTTTACCACTTTTGTGATCTGTGCTTGAGCGAGATCAACGCCCTCGCCAAGGAGGCTCGAAAGATCCAGTACCTGCTGCATTTCTGCTTGTACAGAACTGGTAGCCCTGGGGCGGCCGGGTTGGGGACTCATGACAGTGTCGATGCTTGCTGGATCTGGACTTCTAGGCGGTGATTTGAGCATGGAGTCAGGCAAGTTGCTCGTGATGTCAAGTAAAATCTTGACTTGTACACTCAGCCGGCGCAGGCATTCGCTGATATTTGTATAGATGGTAGCCAGCATGTGATACCAGTCGTCCGAGTCCAGGGCTCTGAGGTTCCGTGCCAGAATAGAGGACTTCTCCTGTTGACTCATGCTCCTGCCGCCTGTCGTCGACGCCGAGACAGTCGACACAGCGTCGTCGTCGTTTGAGCTAGGCAATTGCTTCCGGATCATGCTCTTCAACTCGCGTAGGACAATAGCTCTGAAGCTCGTAGCTGCAGGAGTGGTATATCTCGCTCTCGATAGTCCCTTCATTTCTGCTTCAAGTTCAGCGCGTAATTCGTTCCCAATACTCATGTACCCGGGGAAAGAAGAAGGAGCTCTCCGCTGTCCCGGCCTTGTTCTCGTATATGCCACGCCCCATCGCTGCAGTGTTACGCCAGTCTCTGTTTGCTCGACATGTCGTCGAATGTCGGTGAGCAGGCTAGCGTGGAAGCGGGCTTCGTACCCTCGGCCAGCCGTGTAGCGCAGCTGTCGTAAGTCGTCGAAAGCTCCCTCCAATGCCCTGATTCGGCGCAGATCGCGCCGCTGATATCGAGCGGAGCCCTGGTTGCTATCGACCCTGCTCTCCTTGCCAGCCATGAGCAGTTCCACCTCGTCAAGACCATCCAAAGCCTCCTCGATTTCGCCCTTTTCCACATTTGCTTCACAAGTTTGGACTGATTTCACAACGTCTTCCAGTTGCATAATTGCCTGGGCGAGCTGACGGACGTTGTCACGACGTTGCTTCAGATTGACCACCTTGAGCCCATCTATTGCCATTTCCTTGTCAAGCCTGGCCAGCTCTTTTCGTAGCTTTTGAATACGATCGACCGAGTCCGCAGCCTCATTATGAAGTTCTCGTAGCGATCCCAAGGCCGAAAAGAAAGATTTCGACGCGGTCGAAATCGAGTTGATCAAGTGTACCTCGACCGTGTCCATATACCACGACAGCTTTTCTTGCAGAATTGCATTTGTAGCCAGAGACTTCCTCCCGCTAGGCGCTCCGCTAGGATCACGAACGATTTCCGAGTTCTCGGAGACAATGTCGAAAGTTCTGGGGTTCTCGAGGTGGAAATCTTCTTCAGTATAGACGGATGGGATTGTCGACAATGGCGTAACTGCTTGTCTTCGTTGGCCACTGTGTCTTCTCTTCGGCTGGGGGGGTTCAATCGGGGTTGAGGCTGTTGAGCTCATCGACCCTGCCCGCGAATGACCTGGACGCTGTAGCCGTTTGGCCAGGATGGCTTCCCATTCTTCATGTTTGTTGTCCTTCCCGTCTCGGTGAAAAAGGGATGTCTCTCCTTCGCCTTCATTTTTGGCTCTTTGGAAAGCTTCGTAAAGTGACCCAACCTGAGAGAGATACGGGTGGAAGGCTTTGGCTTCGATATGGGGGATGTTCGTCAGGACTACGGGAGGGATCTCTCGAGGGCCGGGCGCCTTGTAGCCGGAGCTCGGAGGTACGTTCGCGCGCAGTCCAGTGTGGACAATTGGGTGCTGCAGGAGGGTTGAGATAGCATTCTGCCCGAACTCTGGTATTGCATTCTCCTTTCCCGACGCCGAATCAAGAGTGCCACCGATGCTCGTGACTGAGCTCGATGTCGAAATGCGTTGCAGGTCGTTCCTAGGACCACCAAGTCTCCTCTGTGGCGTGGTCGGAAAGGGGTATTCGGTCATAGGAGACGTGACTACTGGCGAGCCAACTGAACTCTGAGATGAGCCAGGCCGCATGGGAGACGCCATCTCATCTTATGCAGTCGCTGTTGCATACCGACGCCTTGTCGGCGTAGCGCAGGCAGATTCTACCTCAGATGGCGACCAGAGTTGCGAGCGATATTGCAGGAATTGCAAGCAGATGCAGCATCTCATGCCATCAGGCACCGTGTCAAGCGTGTCGGCGCCTCATCATGTTGATGGAGGACCAGCATGTCTACTTTCTCCGAGCGCAGGATCGACCCACTTTCGCTGACATAAGTCTTCAACACTCTTCACTTCGGCTTCACTTCAGCTTCACTTCTGGGTGATTCAGCTTCAGTCCTCGCTTTCACAGGAAGCTTGATGAACCCTTCAGTGCCTTACCTGGAGCATGATCGTGCCTTGCAACCTTTACAGGCAAGGCTCTAAGCTCCCGGTCAATACGGATTGCCTCCGAGTACTGAGGCTACTGGGATTCTACGTAGAGAGACCCGAAATAGCTCGACGGCCATTGGGATGCTCACTGGTAGGTATGGGACCTGCAAATCCCAAAGCTCCCATTACTTGTAGCCCTTGTTCGTCGTCACGGCGCTTTGCGAGACCGCCTACTTTTCAGTGTCTCCACAGCATTCAATTCAGGCACATAAATTGGAACAGACCGAAAAACAGTTTCATTTAAACTGTCGATCCACTAATATGCAACCTTCTCAGCACATCTCTGGACAGCGGATTCCGTGATGCCATCCTCTTCACTATATAAAGAAGATACCTCAATCTTGACCAGCCCTGGCGCTCTAACCAGCTTGTGAAATGCCGCTCGCCGGACTCGGGCTGTTTTCCACGGGCATCCTCGCACTCGTCCTGACCATCAGCGCCTTCTCCAGCCTTGCTCGCTCTGTGTCGGCAGCCGATTCATAGACTACACCAAAGCCTGTCATCGAACCTTCGCCGTCGCTTTGGACAGCACCATACCTGCGTCGGCTGCGTGGACAGGTTACGACAAAGTCTAACACGGCAGGCATACATCCTTGGACCCCCTCTCTAGAATGCGGCACGTCGGTGGATGTGTCTCGTGTGGCATGGATCCGGCGCTCCCGCTTCGTGTCCCGCGCCATGACCACGAGTCGACCAAAGCCCGGCGTCAGTGTGCTACACTTGGCCCTTAGCAGCTGTCGTCAACATTGGTCGCCTGCACAATGGACAGAGTGCATGGCCACTGCGCCACCAGCTGTCGATGCAAGCTCTGTGAAAGACATGGAAGCAAACCAGTTCTCGTATTCGGTGTTTAGGCTTGATACGGTCGAGGCAGATAGCACTTTCAGAAGTCAGCATGAAGTGTCCAAGCGGGAGAAGAGTGATACGGACCATATGAGTGTGTCGGACAGGCTGGCAGGTGTGGCGATGCGTGAAGCTGTTCTCACCTGCTTCCAAGTCTCAGCTTTCAGTAAGGGTGAAGTCTCGTTGAACGCACGGCGCGTGTACTCCGGGTACAGAATCAACGACTCCACGTTGATCCTCGACGGGCCGTTCCATGGAGGTTGTCTTCTGTGCCGACCTGTCACTCTGAGATGAAGTTAGCAATCGGACGCAACTCTGTACCCGTATGCTGACGAAAAGACATACGTTACCATGAAAGTCATGAAGACACAGAAGCCGATCAGGGGCAGCGCCCGTCTCCACCCGCCAGTGAAATGGCAGTCCCAGTCCATGCTCTCCTGCGGACGGGCCACGTTCCAGCTTTGAGCATCAAGCGATCCGTTGAAAGGGAGGGTCGGCATCTTTGGCACCTGTCCTACGTCTCTGCTCTACACAATCCATTCGAAAAATAATAGAATGAAGCCAGTGTTGCTTAGACATGGCATTGTAGATCGAGGAAGGCGTAAAAACAAAGGCGACAAGGCAGATACATATACTTGTCGGTACACCGTGTGTGCAGGCGTGGGCACGCTGGTTGCCGCACAGCATTGGCGCCGCGGCCGGTCATGTCATTCCAAGACACCGGGCCAGAATTTTTACCTTCCAAGCCTGCAAGTGACCAAGCATTACAAGCCCACCTGATGTCGCAAAAATCAATTGCAGTAGTCATACCGAGTTCGCAGAGGAGCGGAAGAGCCGTCGATTGGAAAATCGGGGCGGACGTCTTACGTAAGTCGCCCGTACAGAACCACCAGAATGTCTTGAATATTTCAGCAATCCGGGAAACACTGGGTGCGCATCTCCGTAAGGACTCTTGGCTCGGTGGCTGCCTGTTTCCAGTTCGAGTTGGCATTTGTCTTTCTCTCGCTCAGTATTGTGGATGGACGACGGGGTTCCTGACTAGAAGATGCAGTAGCCCAGGAAATGAAGTGCGCGGGTGGTTAAGCGATATTCCTATGAGCATGCTATGGCTCTTCAATGGTCAGCCTTTATACAAAGTAGCGTGCTAGGTGCATACAAATACATCCCGTTACGCCTAGATTCGTCGTGGGCGAGAAGATCATAACATTTCATGCGTTTCCTTCTCTATATCAGACGCATTCACGTGCTGGTCTCATACTTCGTCTTCGACCGCAACAGCTCGCCATGCCGCCAGAAGACCCACGGCATGGGCGCCATGATCAACGTACCAAACGCCAGAATGCTCGTCGCCCATCCGACGCCCAGCGCCTTGTAAAACTTGAGCGCAAACAGCGGGAACGCGGCCGACAGACCGTACCTCGACAACATGGCCGCTCCCGCAGCAGAGGCTCCGTACAGCGGCCCGTACGCGTCCACCATGAACAGATTCATCGACGAGTATACCATGACGGTTGCCGTGAATGCCAGCCCCTGGAACGCGATCGGAACCGCCCAGTGCACTTGGGCGTGGGCGGTCCACGCAAACCCCAAGAGGCACGCGGGGATGACGAATGAGGCTGTCATGCTCGGGTAGAGTCGATGTTCGGGAGGGAACGGCTCCTCAACGTGCGGGTGGTGGACGCGAAACCGCTTTAGTCTCGGCTGGTAAACATACGCGTCGATGAGGATGAGGGGCACGGGAGCCGACGCGGTGCCGACCATCAGCCCGATAAAGGACAGCGACTGCCCCGTGAGCCCGAACCCGTAGTAGTGCTGGAATACCCACGGCGAGGCCACCACGAAGGTGTACATGAGGCCGAAGAGGAAGCCGTTGTACAGACACACGATCGTGACGATCACCTCCGTGACCAGCATGTGCACGGGCCGCAGGAAGATGGTGGTGAGGAAGTGCTTGATCGTCGAGGGGAGGGAGCGGCTCGGCTGCGGCGGGCCTTGGATGTTCAACCTTCTGGCCCGTCGCTCGAGGATCGTGCGCTTGTACGACTCCCTCATGAACAAAATGGGAATGTAGAAGGTGAGGATGAAGAACAGCGTGACCCACTGCGTCCACCGCCAGCCTTTCGTCTGGACGAGGAACCCGCCGAGGAGAGGTCTGTGTCAATCAAACGTAATGTCAGCCTGTGGTCTCAGACCAGAAGACCACCAATCCACGTCCACTCACGCGAAGACTGCCCCGAAGAAGGGGATGGAGTAGTAAAACGCCAGCAGTACGGCTCGATACCTCCCGGCCGTATAATCCACGATGGTCGCCGATGCGTTACTGAGCGCCGGCGAGGCGAACACCCCAGCGAAGAACCGGCACACGATCAACGACGCCGGGTTCTGTGAAAAGCCGGCCCCAAGCGTAAAGAGGGCGAAGATCGGCGACGTCGTCAAGAAGACTGCTTTCCTCCCCAAAGTCTCGCTCAACGGCGCTCCAACGAGCGGTCCGAACGCCATTCCAAAATTGTACAGCGACAATGGCAGGATGGCGACCTCCTCCGAGACGCCGAAGCGGCGTGAGACAGCTTCATGGGCGGGACTGTAGAGGGATCCCGCCAGCGTGCTCACGAAGGCAAGGAACGTGACTGCAAATGTCGAAGCCACGCGACGTCGGAAGCTGAAGTTTCGGGGATTGTCAGGGTCATTCGGTCCATCCCAGTCTGTCGCTGTTCGAAAACGCTGCAGGACGCCGATGCCTACGCCGACATCTTCAGACTCTTCGTCTTGCCCCATGCCCGTGCCCATGTTCTATCTACCTCGTAATCAGTAGGCCGCACTCACAGCATGACGACAACGCTTGAAGTTCCTATAATCTAGATGCCACGAGAGTGGTTATGTATAGCACGGAGATCTCCCCGAGCTCCCGCGCTCCCACGCTCCCAAGCCTTTCATCTGGAACTGAATCCTGCCGTTCCCCGCCGATCGGACGGATAAGCGGCAACGTCGAGCTGGCTCCAATATTTGCGCGGCGCATGGTTTAATCAACGTCTTACGCAAGGTCGCGTGTGTTGGTCCCTGGCTTACAGTGCCGTACACGATGATGGAGGTTTTGCACAGAAGGAAAAGGGGAAGAAAGGAGGTAAAGGCTGAGGTGTTGATTTACAATAATTAGACGTGGTAGGGCGCTTTGGCTGCTTCCGATCGCTTTTCTGATTCCAGAGAACGCGGTGTTTGATGGCGCTGGAGCTGAAATCAATCTATCGAGGACCCCGAATTTTGTTATACTCGACGCTGCCTCATTTGCTCGACGCAGGTGTAGTTGTCGAAGGTTTAAGTCAGTGCTATCAAGTGCAGAAGCACAAGAACCAGAACACTGAGTCGAGGTGGCCAGTATTGCAGGGAAATTCACCTCTAACGGCAAAATGAATGGCAGCATAGCTTGATTACGCCAAATGAAAACAGCAGCCAGAGTCACTTCATATTGGTACCTCTTACTCCGTACGGAACGGGCTTGTCCCAAGTGAGTCTCGAGACGATAGGGGGCAATGTCATGGCTGGCGTGCCGAAGAATCCATTGGTGGGCTGTGATGGGACGCATCCAACGCCCGGCTGCCAGGCCTTCAGTCTGTAATGTCGTGGTTCCATATAACCACGATTGACTCGAAGCGTGGCAGAGGACGGCGCAGGTCTGCGAGCGGGCAGACATGGCGGGGTTGGTTAGGGTGAGACACCCCATCACGTGACTTGTACCTTGACCGCCGCCACTCCTTAATTGAATTACGGTGGGCGGCAAACTCGAAACGCGACACGGACGCGTTGGATCGCGCAAGGAAACGCGTTCTCCTCAACCAGCCCTGATATTCGTCCCTTTCTGCAGAGATATTTCGAACTCCCCTATCCCACACCAGCACCTCTCGCCATTGAAACACCTTTCGCTCGAATGCAAAAATGGCCCTCGACACTCGCTCCGCATATTCTCTGTCCGTGCTCCCGGCTTTCAACGACCCAACCACCGAACCGCGCACCGAGTTGACCCAGAAACTTCGAGACTTCATCCTCGCCTTCCAACTCGATGGACTGTACATCTACCGCGATCAGCTGCGCAGCAACGCGCTGTCCAGACAGTATTTCTGCGACGTGGACCTCGCGCATTTGATCAATTATAATGAAGAGCTTGCACACCGGTTGACCAGTGAACCTGCGGAGGTGATCCCCCTGTTCGAGCAGGCGCTGAAGCAATGCACCCAGAGGATAGTGTACCCGCACGAACGGGACGTGTCGTTGCCGCAGCATCAACTTTTGCTGCATTCGAGCGTCGCGCACATCTCCATAAGAGACCTCACCGCAGAGAATGTCAGTCACCTCGTGCGCATTCCGGGGATTGTCATCGGAGCGAGCACGCTGTCGAGCAAAGCCACGTTGGTGACGATCCAGTGTCGCAATTGCGAACATACGCAGCAAATCCCCGTCGAGGGCGGCTTCAGCGGGATTACCCTGCCTCGGCAGTGCGGCAGGGTGAAGATCCCCGAGCAGGAGTCGGGCGAACCGTGCCCTCTGGACCCGTACTTTGTGGTGCATGAGGCCTCGCAGTTCATCGACCAGCAAATCATAAAGTTGCAGGAAGCCCCGGATCAAGTTCCTGTGGGTGAATTGCCCAGACACATTGCGGTCAGCGCGGATCGATATCTCACAAACCGTGTCGTCCCAGGTTCGCGATGTACAGTCATGGGCGTGTTTTCAATCTACCAGCAGAACAAGGGCAATAAGAAGGACAGTGCGGTCGCGTTGAGACAGCCCTATCTGCGGGCGGTGGGTATCCAGACAGATGTGGACCACTCCGCGGTAGGCGCCTCGTTCACAGACGAGGAGATTCAAGAGTTCGAAGAAATGTCCAGGTTACCAGACCTGTATGAGCGGTTTGCACGATGCATCGCACCATCAATTTACGGCAATGCGGATATCAAAAAGGCCGTAGCATGTCTACTGATGGGCGGTTCCAAAAAGATCCTGCCCGATGGCATGAAATTGCGAGGCGACATCAATGTCCTTCTCCTGGGTGACCCCGGCACAGCAAAATCTCAACTGCTGAAATTTGTCGAGAAAGTGTCGCCTATCGCCATCTATACATCTGGAAAAGGCTCTTCGGCAGCGGGTTTGACCGCCTCGGTCCAACGAGATACTCAAACACGCGAGTTCTACCTTGAAGGAGGCGCAATGGTTCTGGCAGACGGTGGTGTCGTCTGTATAGATGAGTTTGACAAGATGCGCGACGAAGATCGGGTAGCCATCCACGAAGCAATGGAACAACAGACCATCTCAATCGCAAAGGCCGGTATCACCACCATCCTCAATGCTCGAACATCCGTGCTTGCTGCGGCCAATCCCATCTTCGGACGGTACGACGACCTCAAATCGCCTGGTGAGAACATTGATTTCCAGACAACCATACTGTCGCGTTTCGACATGATCTTTATCGTGAGGGACGACCACGACAGAAATCGCGATGAAACAATCGCGAAGCACGTCATGGGCATACACATGGGCAATCAAGGCGTGGAAGAACAAGCCGAGGTGGAAATCCCCGTCGAGAAGATGAAGCGATATATCAGTTTCTGCAAGTCGTAAGTACTGCGTGTTTCATGAACCGTGCGACCAAGCTGACAACTCGTTCGCAGACGATGTGCTCCCAGACTCTCGCCTGGCGCCGCAGAGAAGCTGTCATCACATTTTGTCTCGATCCGTAACCGCGTCCATCAAGCCGAGATGAACAGCAACGTCCGGTCGTCCATTCCCATCACAGTCCGTCAACTCGAAGCCATAATCCGTATCACGGAAGCCCTCGCCAAACTCACCTTGTCTCCCACGGCGGAGGAGCATCATGTTGACGAAGCCATTCGTCTCTTCTTGGCCAGCACCATGGATGCTGTCTCCCAGGGCGAAGGCGTCGGCGGACTTGGCGGCAACAGAGATTTAATGGAGGAAGTGAGCAAGGTTGAAGAAGAACTGAGGAGGAGGCTGCCGATTGGCTGGAGCACAAGTTTGGGGACCCTGAAACGAGAGTTCGTCCAGGGTAGGGCGTACAGCGAGGCGGCATTGGCCAGAGCCCTGCATGTCTTACAGCGAAGAGAAACTGTGCGACTGAGAAACGGCGGCAGCCAGGTATACAGAAGTGGTGTTTGATGTCGCATTCGGAGGTTGCCCTAGTGCTGGTGATGAATAATGAGTGCACCGATGCTTATGGTATTTGTGCAGGAAGCCTGTTGTCCGTAAACCTTCGACCTCTGACTTGGAGACGACGGTGAATGACTGATAGGACTTAACTTTTGAATTTCATATGTGACAAGCCCTCGTTAATCTCCCACCCACTGGCCGTAGCGTTTGCATCTTGGATCTTGGTCTCGCTTGAGTTCACAGGGGCGCTGCGTCTTTGCATGCAATACATTTTCGTGGATGTGCCCGCTCGCTTAGATACCTCGCGAGCATGCACCGGATGATGGCTTTGGTGCCGACATTCGTATGACCAATCCTTTTAACCGGCGACAAAAAGGGAAGGCCCGGCATGCTGCCCAGGGAATGTGGGGGATCCGGCCGCAGCATCCGTAAATGGGATTCGATATCCGTTGAAGAGACTGCCTGGCTACTCGTATGTGCAATGTCAGAGGATACGAACCCGTGCCTGCGAGAGCGAAAGTTTAATTACGACTGTGGAAACTGTTTCCGACAGGACACGACCAATGTGAGTGGAGGCGTCCATCATCTCTGTGCTGTACTGGGTAAGTGCTTGATTGAAAGGGCTGAGCTTCTCGTGCAAGCATGTCCTGCAGTAAGAGAATGGCCACATTCATCCAAGACTTGGGGGAAATGACTTCTTTTGGGCCTACACCGATGACATGCTGCATTCGGGTAGATCCGATGTTCGAGTCGACACGGTGCGGTCGTGTGCGGGATGGGAGTATGTACGTAAATCCAGCAGCCGGGAGTGTCGTGAGTGTCAAGTTCACCCTGCATCGGGCAGCGCACTTCAATCGTGTCCCTTGAGACACAAGTACAACAAAATCGCCATGCCGGAGTCTGGATTCCTGATTGGCGTTTGACAGGTCATAAATGGTTCGAGGAGTACTAAAAATCGTCGCTTGCAGAGAGGCGGCCATGGCGCAAAGCTGTAGTCCAGGAACTTTTGTGGCTCTGTCCGATCCACAACCAGAGCGGAGTCCATGCTGTGTTCCACACCGCCCAGATGATTAACGAACATCTCTTCGCTCTCGGGTGCATATACTTGGTGGAGAAAATTTAGTCCCATTGCACCATTGCTTCGACGCGAGCTGGGGCCAGGCTGGGATCGCAGGGTAGGTCGATCCTAGAGAATGGGACTCAAGGACTGACAAAAGCCCGCATGGCTCACTCTTGAAGATTTGGAATACTGCAGCCCCATAGAACCCAGCATTGAAATTCCACGGGTGTAGCTGGTGTGCGCCGATTGACGTGACGGCGATCGATCATGATATTGCCCGAACCAAATACATAACTGACACCTGCTCGTAATGTGTAACAATCGATCTCCTACCTCGTACTTGCACTAACTTGTAGATGTAAGGTTGCTGACACAGGCTCGTGGTTGAACTTCGGGAGGGATCAAGGTTGCCTGCAGCGTACCAGGTGCAGTCGGGCCGTAAAGGTACGGTGACACAAGTGAAGTCGATACTCCGACGTACCGATGCGAGAAGCTGTCGCTGGCCAGCTGCCAGGAATAGCAAGAGTCGTAATGATTCCTGCTGTAAGGGTGTCGCTGGCAGGGGCTACCTTACTGGAGACGGGACTGTGCGAGGACGCGGAGAGGGGGACGTCATAAGAGAAGCCTGAGGAAAGCCCACGCAATGCAGATCGAGAGACCGTACTCGTAGATGACTGATGAAACCCGAATGATGCGAGTCTCGCTCGATCGAGAGGAGCGCCACGCCATATCGAGGTTGCGGCATTGACATGTAGATATGACAATGGTCTTGTGGATGCGGCGGATAAGTCCAGCCAGACTGCGGTTGGCCATCCTTTATCGTCGACCTCAACCGAGCAACCCTGCAGCAGCGGAGGCGAGTGGCACGGGAAACTGAAGCAGAAGGGCGCCTAAGATGGTGGTCATCCGGAAGAAGAGACCCAGAGGGTTGCCGCTCATTCAAGTTTCGATAAGAGCCTAAGGCTATAGTAAAGCCTGCGCATGCGATAAGCTGCTGTGGCTGCTCTACGTAAGATGTGCAAACTAGCTGCAGCGGCTCACAAGTTCCGTCAGATTCGCGCCCACTCTGAGTCGGATTTTCCAAACTCACTTCCGACGCACTTCCAACTCACTCCCAATTCACATCCAACTCACTTCGTGACGATCGACCGGCAGCAATACTGGGTTACGGTGTGTGGGCTCCAATCCTTGCTCTCAAGAAATGAGGCTGCCTGCACTACCCAGGCGCCGACTTGGACGACGTGGGTCACACCACAGCTCGATCTTGAGCCGTCACACGCGCTTCGCTTTGAATTTCGGCTTCTGCCACGGACTGCTGCGGATAACCATAAATCGACATCTGCATTGCCTACAGCCTTACGCCAGTGCATGTTGTGGCCAGCGTTCCACATGTCCATTCCCCTGACCACGCCGTGCTGCCGACAGTGGCTTCTTACCTTCCTCTTCTTCAATAGGAGAGCGAATTCAACTGTGGCGTTCACGCGGTTCCGCAGAGGAGCGACCACCCTCCCTCTTGATCATCGCCTACGAGTACTATTTTTGTTTGATGCGGATCATGCTCGTAGTGTGTGCGGAATCGACATCCGACTCGCTGAAGCTCACTCTTTCCCTGTGCGCATCCCGTCTTGAGGCTGATCCCCGACCGTTTACGACGCCAGTCCCGGTGCAAAATTACCTGCAATTTTGATTTGAACTGCCTAGCGAACCTCGCCTACCGCAAAACGTTTTTCCATCCAAACTCCTGTTCAGGCATCGTTGAAACCTTTCGAGTCAGGATTGGCCGCCTCGTGGCAGGTTGCACCAGATCTCTGACCCCTCCTTGACCCCCTACCCGTGTAACAGTCCAATCCGTTAAGGTCCTTGCTCACTGGTTGCTCGGGTTCCAGGATGCTGGGTCGTCATCTCTTGACTTGTATCTGCTAGATGTGGCTGGTCCGGTGGCCATCACCTACCAATTGAAGCTCGAAGGCTCTCGGGAGACGAAGCACGACTTGCCGATACGATGTCTGATCCTGCCACCGTATTCTTCAACTCGGAATCGGCTGGGCATCGAGGATATGACAATGTCAACAGAAGCAGCGGCCCCTTTTGCTGCTGCATCCGTCCACCATGGCAAGGACTGATGCGCCCGCTTCTTCGACTGCGTCGGTTCTGTGCATTCGATTCGCAGTCACGATCTTTTGACCGGCGAGCGGAGATTCGAACACGGCAAAGTTTACCGACGGCTTTACAAGACGACAGTCGGCTACTGATCACTGCCTCCCCACCAAATGCACAGTACTCGATTGATTGTGGTGCTGTCTTGTCTATCATGCTCCACTCCCACTCCCTCATACCCTTTCGGGGACCTGCCCTGGCAGACCCTGCTGGTCACTGGAACAACCAGGAATCCGATGACTGAAAAACTGCCCAAGCCCGCGAGGTCTATAACTCTTTTTGAGTATGTCTCCGTGCCCCCCGTCCCCTCTATGCATCATGAAGTGACCTCCCTCGCTAGCAAAAGATCGATAGGTCGCATTTCTAATGGTCAAAGATTCATAACTTGCGACATCGTGTTCTGGACTCCGGCCTATGGCGCTTCCTGCCGCAGTTGAGAGTCTTGGGACGGTTGGTCAAAGCTGAGGAAGTGGAGATAATGTTTCGTCAAGCTTCTACAGGACTATCCGCAAAGCTCGGATACAGTGAGGGTTTCATTCATCTATCTCAGCACCACACCACTACATCTACATCACATTGCTCACTGCAGAGTTACGATGTTTTCGGCCTTGAGCTCGAGTCGAGTATACAAAATTGCGTTGACACCGCTAGAAAGACCACAAGCTCTTCTGATCAGCTCGATATCCCGCCTGCCGAGAAACGCAAAGGATTGAGAGCGACTCGAGAGAGAGACAAAAAAACGGCGTTGTCGAGCTCGATAACAGTAAAAGATACCTTAGAGATCGTCAGCCGGCACTTGTCACTGCCCGAGGACCGCAACTGGTTCCCTGTCATCTCTACGCCCTTGATTAGTACGGAAAATTTCGGCACATACAATAACCAGCCAGCTACGGACTTCGTTATTCGCCTGTGCTGGTCAAAGATATCATGGAACTCGCCGTTGCACCTCCACCTCGAGTTGCGGTCGGCGTCCGTCTATGCACTCCACTTGTGGTGACCTTCAAAGGATCCTCCACGGCGAAAGACCAGAGACAAGAAGACCCGAAAGAAAGGACACTTCCCGACCTCAGCGGGATCTGGGTCTACCTGTCGCTTACCACCGCGGACATGGAGAAGAGCTTAGCCCCTCCACGGGAGAACCTATTCTGTGGGAAGCGAGCCGACTCAGTCCATCCAGTCTATCACGAACAAGAAGTTGATAGACCTACGATCGCGTATGCTATCTTCCCTGACCTGGTGATCAAAGAACCGGGCAGCTATCGGGTCAGAGTCAGCATTATCGACATGAATGGGTACGCGTTAGCGAGGCCTCCCATATGAAGGAACCACGCTGATATATGTCAGGGCTTTCAATGGTGTTACGGCAGTGGTACATTCCAAAGTCTTTGATGTGGTTGAGGAGACCAACCACAGTGGCTGCGGTAAGTTGCAGTGCAGATATCAATGCTCATGGCCTAACTTTACTAGAGCCAAAAGTTGACGAAATAATTGAACAATTGAGGTCGATCGGTATCAACTGCTGAGCAGCATTGGCCTCGTTGTCGGAAACGGGTCCGCGAACTTTTCGCCATGGAAAACAGGACCACAGAACAGGCACACGGATATCTCGGGAGCGCTGCCACCCGCGTTTCACGAGACTCGGGGATTGTGGACGAAATCCCACTCTGGGACTTTTTCTCACACCCCTGCTTCTGTCGCAAGGCTTCTTCACAGGAAATGCGAATGGTGCCGTTGTTGATCTCTATCTAGTAACAATGTTCCTGCTTCGGAGGCCAATCCGATCTAAAATGCACACTTTGCACGGCGTTGCGTCGAGGGGCTAGATCTGCAACTAATCGCTTGTGCCCTTACGCATAAGTACCACCCCGCTGATGGGGATCGATCTGTCCCGATCATGTCCCGATTATGGGGCGGAGAGAGATCAGGATCTCCGAAGGGCGACAATTCAAGATCTCGAGGACCGAGTCAAGCAGCTAGCCAGGAGAGGCTATCATGATTCATATCTCACGTGACAGACCCAAGCGTATGATTGGCTGCTCGGGACTCGTTCAACCTGCCTCCTACCCCTTTTGGTGATTCTGCCCCTCGACGCGATGCGAATCTTGTTTCATGTGCATCGTGGCTGGGAAGGTGGCACGCCCTGACTTCATTCGCTCACTGCAACCGATGCAGGGTCTCGACGGTGCCTGTATCTGGTTGTCTTACAGATGCGCCCCGGACGTCGCTGACAGTGTTCCGAAAAAGCATCGCACCAGGAACCGAAGAGTATGCTCACCTTTCGAGGTCCTCTCCTCAAAGTCAATTTTACAACCAAGGACTCCGAACGCGACATGATAACTAAGCCCTTCTTCTCTCGCAGATCCTCATGCTCGGGCTAGTGAGGCTGTACGACCTCGGGTCACACTCCAAGAAGCCATCATGACCAAGTCCCAGGCCGCTCCCTCGACGTCCAGCCGTAACCCGAATTTGCAGCTCCAAGGACCAGGACAAGATGGATCGGCTACAAGGCGGCATCCCCCCTCCTCTGAATCCCCGCCGGGACCTGACGAGCGCATCCTCTTGACACCCCCACTTCCTACGCCTGGAGTCAATCCCCTGGAGGAAGCGTTGTATAAAAACTACAATCAGCAGGCATTCGCGCAAAATGCGCAACTCAATGTCTTCCAGCGGGACTCGTTGCGGATACAGCACGACGCGGCGCATTTGATTAGTGGGCTACACATACGAACAGACATGCAGGCGCCGCGACGGACCAATTCGAGCCAGTCCTTGGACTCGGAGTCGAGGCTGCGATCAAGTGCTTCTGCCGCGAGTCTTCCCCGTCGAGTACCCAGTGTTCGAGCAAATCTACACTCCTTGGCCGGCTCCGTCTCTCCTGGTAGCTACATCTCCTCACCACAAATCGCCGCCATGCTCGATATTACCCCTCTGCCGTCGCCAACCATGGCAGCGTTCGAATCCTGGAAGGCTCTCAGTCTCGCCCGGACAAGATCTCGTGGCTCATCGCTGGGCTCTATAAAAGGCGACGCATTACCGCCCGGCGTCTTATCCTCTCCTACGTCACCAAGACGCAAAGGCTATCCTGGCTTGCAACAGTCTCGTTCCTCTTCCAGATCCGGAACTACAGACAACCATGGCCTATCCGCCGATCACACACGTACTAGGAGTATCAGTGATTACGTACCAGAGCCACTGGCGGTGCCGAAGCCGCGTCACATAGCCGTGTCCAGCTCGGGATCGCCACTGGAGACCACCGAGTCGCCAACGGCCTTGCACCGTGAAGAGTTCCTAGGTGCACAGAGACGAGGAAGCAAATCAGGTGCCCGCCCGGTCACCCCACCGCAGCCTGCAAAAGTAACTGAACGGACGCATGAGGATGAACCAGCTGCCAAGCGACCAAAACTGGAAGTCTTCAAGGCACGAAGTATCTCGAAAGGCGAACTTCGATGCTACGAGGCGATCCGCGAGCTCGGCCAGGGCACGTTCAGCAGAGTCTATCTGGCCGTGCGGCAAGTAGACAACCATCAGAAAGATAACGTCGACTACCTGCAGGACAGCGTCAACATGGCCGGCGTCCGAGCACGTCTGAGAAGACTAGTTGCAGTCAAAGTGGTAGAACACGGGCCCGCTGGGGGCGCTGATGCGGAGAGGATTGAAGTGTCCCTGAAACGGGAAGTCGATGTGCTGAAAGCGATCCAGCACCCCTCCCTAGTGCATTTGAAGGCATTCGGCAACGACGACGCAAACCGCGCACTGCTGGTCATGAACTACTGTCCCGGTGGAGATTTGTTCGAAGTCGCCACGAAACATCGTGACATATTGACTCCATCACTGGTGCGAAGGATCTTTTCCGAGCTCGTCTCCGCCGTGCGGTACCTCCACCAGAAATACATTGTCCACCGGGACATCAAACTCGAAAGTAGGTCGTCTCGTCGGGTAGTGTGTCTGGACCAGAGGCCCAACTAACGTTTTGCAGACGTTTTGCTCAACATCCCCGTCCGCGTTCACCCCGATGTTTCCAACTGGCAGACCCTCGACCGTGCGGTGGTGACTCTCACCGACCTCGGCCTTTCCCGGCGTATTCCCGAACCGCCCGAGTCACCACTCCTGACCACCCGCTGCGGAAGTGAAGATTATGCTGCCCCAGAGATTCTGATGGGACAGCCGTACGATGGACGGCAGACTGACGCCTGGGCATTGGGTGTGTTACTGTATGCGCTCATGGAGGGACGACTCCCCTTCGACCCGTTACCTGGTGCGAGAGGGGATCCAGCCATCCTGAGAGCACGGACTCCGCATCGCATCGCGCGGTGTGAGTGGGCCTGGGTCAAGTTTGGGGATGAAGACGGAGAGTGGGACCCCGTCAAAGGGGCCGAGTTCGAAGGCGCGAATGTTTGCGTAGACGGACTTCTGAAGCGCAATACACGGAGGAAACCTCTGCAAGAGGTAAGAGAACATCCCTGGGTAAAGGACGGCATACAGGTGGACGGCGGCCTTAGGTGGGTTGAGGAGGAATTGTAACAACATCACGTTAGAATACGACCGGCCGGTCGTAGCTGCCACAAGGCGTCCACGTAGCACCTGGATTGTTGGCTTGTAGAATAGGAAGTGAATCGAGGCAAGCAAAGAGCGTCCACTAGAGAGATCAAATCAGTGCAACCTGTGGTCGTGACGCCCAAGGGCGATGCATCTGAAGTGGTCGCCGGTGAGCAGATGATGAGACTCGCGAGATGAAAGCGAACCAGCTTGTCCTTCACCCGTGAGGATTGACTGCTAAAGCACGCCATCCTTTTCCTCACCTGTGCAAGTCCAAGCTATATTCGAGATCGACGTCTTGAAGGAGGCCGAACCTCGTATCCGGAGGCGTGTGAAGCTCCCCGGACCTGCTTGAATCACTCGCACTCCGATTGGCTCCGGTTGCGGCGATGGATGGTCTGGGGAAATCTTCGAGCAGCTTATTAGGGCTTGCGTGCCCGTGAGGTCGGACTGCTGGTGCTGACCTCGTGGTCTGTACACTAGAGTTCGCAGAAGGAGGGGGCCGTCTGTTACTGATCCATCGGTGCGTCCTTGCTACGGACTGCGCTCTGACAAGGCTCGACTGACTGTGTCCGAAAGTGAAGTTTACTGCTCCATCATGAAGTCCTCGGCGGCAATCAGAAGCCTGCGCCTCAGGCAGGCCAGGTTTGCGCCCCGGACTCAGACAAGGTACGACGCGCAGCAGTCACTGAGGGTGGTGCCGCACTGACAGAGAGTGTGATAGCCGTCCTTTCTCATCGTCACCTCTCCGCAGTGCAGACTCGTCGTCCTCCGAGCTCGACGGGCTCAACAAGGTCTCGCGACATGTCACGCAGCCGAAATCCCAAGGCGCTTCCCAAGCAATGCTCTACGCCACGGGCATGAACGAGACGGACATGAACAAACCGCAGGTCGGCATCTCGTCGGTGTGGTACAGCGGCAATCCCTGCAACATGCACCTGTTGGACCTGTCGAATGTGGTGCGAAAGGGCGTGGCAGACGCAGGACTGCAGCCTATGCAATTCAACACGATCGGCGTATCGGATGCGATATCCATGGGCACGACGGGGATGCGGTACAGTCTCCAGTCGAGAGAAATCATTGCCGACTCGATAGAGACGGTCATGGAGGGCCAGTGGTACGATGCAAACATCTCGATCCCCGGCTGCGACAAAAACATGCCGGGCGTGGTGATGGCGATGGGCAGAGTGAACAGGCCGTCCATCATGGTCTACGGAGGCTCCATAGCACCCGGGTGTGCGAGGACACAGAACAACGCCGACATCGACGTCGTGTCGGCTTTCCAAGCCTACGGGCAGTTTATTACCGGCGAAATCAACGAGGAACAGCGGTTTGATATCATTCGGAACGCGATCCCTGCGTGCGGCGCCTGTGGCGGCATGTACACGGCCAACACCATGGCGTCGGCCATTGAAACTCTCGGCATGACCTTGCCGGGCAGTGCGTCCAACCCGGCCGTGTCCAAAGAGAAGGAACTCGAATGTCTGGCCGCCGGGGGAGCCATCAAGAATGCCCTCAAGCTGGACCTTCGGCCGCGAGACATCATGACCCGCCAAGCATTCGAAGATGCCATGACCGTGGTGATGATCACGGGCGGCTCGACAAACGCGGTCCTCCATCTGATCGCCATGGCCGATGCCGTGGGCATCAAGCTCACCATCGACGACTTCCAGGCCGTCAGTGATCGGACGCCCTTCCTCTCGGACCTGAAGCCGAGTGGCAAATACGTGTTCAACGACCTCCACCGCATCGGCGGCATCCCCACGTTGCTGAAGTTCCTCATCAAAGAAGGCGTCGTCAAAGGCACGCACACCACCGTCACAGGCCAGACGCTGGCCAAGAACGTCGAATCCGCACCAGACTTCCCTTCGGACCAGACAATCATCAAACCGTTCTCCCAGCCCATCAAGGAGACGGGCCACATCCAGATCCTGCGCGGGAGTCTCGCGCCAGGCGGGTCCGTCGGCAAGATCACGGGCAAAGAAGGCCTGCGCTTCCAAGGCAAAGCCAAAGTCTACGACGCAGAGGACTTGTTCATCCAAGCTCTGGAGCGCGGCGACATCAAAAAGGGCGAGAAGACGGTCGTCGTCATCCGGTATGAAGGCCCCAAAGGCGGTCCCGGCATGCCTGAGATGCTGAAGCCCAGCTCGGCGATCATGGGCGCCGGACTCGGCAAGGACGTGGCGCTCATCACCGACGGCCGGTTCAGCGGCGGCTCGCACGGCTTCTTGATCGGACACATCGTCCCCGAAGCCATGGAGGGCGGGCCGATCGGTCTGGTGCGCGACGGGGACGAAATCACCATCGACGCCGAGAACCGCGTCCTGGACTTGAACGTCGACGAGGCGACGCTGGCCAAGCGGAAGGAAGAGTGGAACGCCAACAAACCGTCGCCGAAATATACGCGGGGCGTGCTGGCCAAGTATGCCAAACTGGTCAGCGACGCCAGTCACGGCTGTATCACGGACAAGGAGGATGTGTTGGATCTGCACGCGTAGACTAACTAGCCTAGGTATTCGCACCATAATATGCATTGTCGGGACAGGAAGGCGCACAGAGTCAAGATCAAGATGAAAATAAAAGGTAAAAAAATACTCGATACAGAGTAGAGTACGGCGGGCATACATATGCATTTTCTGCGCCTGAACAAATGGGATGGTTCGGATGAATTACACACAGATATCAGGACGAGGGAAATGTCTGTCCATGAACGAAGAGCCTGACGCACTCTACACTCTACACTCTTATGGTAGTTCCTACACGGGCATATCGACGTATCGATGTATCGATGTACCGGGCCCCTCTGAGGATGGACGGAGTACCTCGTACATAAATTACCATGTGTGGATGTGGTACGTGCCACGTGCCACGTGCCACGGAAGCCCCTGTCCAACGTGGCACATACTTGAGTAATTACAGTAGATCCATAATGTATATAGTGTACTTCCGTATACTGTACATACAGTACTCCGTACATAGCTGGCATGGGGGTTCCGCGTTTTTGCGCTCCGCGTTCCCAATCACGAACGATGTGACGTACGCAATATGCCCGAGACGGGCTCTACGTCCTGGACGTGAACCTTCTGTTGTGTTGAGTACCGTAAAGACAGGTTTGAGGTGGAAGGCGGTTCGGTTCCCTTGGCGTTTTGCTCATATGGACGTCCCTTTCCTGCGCCCGCTTATCGACATTTCATTTCATTGATGAGGATACAAGTACTCCGTATTTGATACCGGTCTAATCCATTCCACGTGCACCTGAATCTTTGTACATAAAAGGGGGGTTTCTTCGTAACACGGCGGCTTATCGCGCACTGCCCTTACTGAATGACTGGCGCGTCGACCCCGAACCAATTCCAGCCTTGATCTAGATCGACGCCCGACTGTCCGAACGGGAAGCCCCCAAAGGGAAACCCGGATGATGCAAGTCCAGCGAGCCCTCCGGCCGCCACGGAGGCGTTCATATCATGATGCGGATTGGGCGTGCCTCCAGAGGGATTGTACGGACTGCCCTGGATCGGTTGCGGCGTGAACCCACTTCCACTGGACGATATGCTGATGCCGCCTGCCGAGGGGACATCCGTGGGCGGCTGTGGTGGGAAAGCCATGAAGCTGTCGAATGTGACGAATGGGTCGTCTGAGATGGAGTCTGTGGCGTCCGGCCATTGATCGAGGCCTGGCGCCACGTAGTTGTTCACTGCGTACCCCGAGGCCCGATGAGGCTGCGCATATTGTGGAGTGTGGGAGGAATGCTGGTCGAGGGTCGTGGAGAGAGGGGAAGGCTGTGTACTATTCGAAGCAGCGGAAGGCGGTGTAGGCAATCCTGTATTTGTCATGGTGCCAACAGCTTTGGTGGTCGTGTTGACGGTGACGCCGCCCGAGGTCCGCTGCACGTAGGTCCCGGGCTTGATGGGCACGAAATGCTTCCCGGTTCCGATGGAAATGGTGCCAAAGTAGGGAATCGACACTTGACATGTCTCGCCTCGACATTCGGCAGCCCCGCCCCCGTCATCGGTTCCTTCACGCACGCGAGCTAGCATTTCCATTGCCTGAGCGCTTTGGGCGGCCACCACGCCGCCCGGCTCCTTGGCGGCGTCTTTCAGTAAAGCGATAGTCTTGTCGATGAGGTCCGAGTCTTTCTGGTCTTGCTCGAGGTCGGTTTGCTGGGCGTTGTTCCCACGGTGGCGTTGGGAGTAGCCGCATAAATTCAGGAGCAGGATCATCGCGCCAGTAAATGCTTGGAAGTCAATCAACTTGCAGATGAAAGGTCCAACGGCCTGGTTGGTCCGAAGAGCCTCGTAGACGCGAATCATTTCCCTGGCGGCGTCTAGTGCTGCGTTATGGGAATATTGGTATCTCTTATCCGTCGATGACCGAAGCATAAAGGGCATATGGAGGAGTAGTTTGGCTTGGTGGTGGTAGAAGTGTGCCGATAATCGATCGAAATGGTCCTCAGCGCGAGCCCCGGGAATGAGTTCTAGGCTCCACCAGGCCGGATCTTGAGCATTGTGTAGTTCTTCCAGTTCCTGGTCCAATCGCAGCGTTGCTGAGTACCCCATCGGCACGACACTCTGGTTGCGGTCGATCATTTTCGTTATGATGGGAACCATTTTGCCCACATAGTACTCTCCATCGTTGACTGAGTTGGGTGGAGGTCCAGCTGCCGAGATGTACGGGGTTACGAAGCTCTCGCTGACCGAATATGGCAGGCCCAGGAGAAGCGACAGATACCTGTCACCAATGACCAGATGGCACCAGATATTGACTGAACGTTGGTAATCCAGAGAAGTTCTGTCCGCTTGTGCCGCCAACCTGTGGATCCCTAACAATTGAGCAAACGCGAGTGCTCGATGGAATAATAGCCAGGCGCGACGCGGTCGGCCCATGTTGACGTGATATTTGGCCTCTAGCATCATGCATTCAATACCGTCCAAAGTAGCGGCGATTTCATCATCCGAAGTGATCAGCTTGTCGACCGTCGCAATGTACCGCTCCATCAGATCTGCCGGTCCCTCCTTGATGTGTAACCTCGACCAGTCGAAATGGTTGGGCAGCTGGTGAATGCTGATGGCTATGCAGAGCATAATCTTGGCCAGTTCCGCCGGTTTCTCCGACCGTAGAGAATGTGAGACTGATTCTTTAATGGTTTCGCACCGACTATCTGTGATTTCGGGAAACATCTTCTTCCATATCGTCCACCATTCGTGTGACTGTTCAAGGATAACCTCCAAGTCAGCGGGAGATGGTAGCAACTTATTCAGGGCGGCCAGAAGGGTTTTGGTCTTGTTGTATTGCGCCCGGGACACGACAGGCTGGCTCTCCTTCCGTTCAATGACGGCGTTGTCAAACAAAGTCAGCGCTGGCGCATCGTCTCGAAGACCGCCCGGTAGGAGGATGGAGCCTTCGATGCTCGCGTCGCTCTGCCGCAAGGAGCTCTTGAGGCTTTTCAAGACCTCGGCGGCCTGAGCGTCCACGTGGCTCTTGTCTGACTCTGATCCGGACGGCACGCCATCCCCTTCGGCCTCAACACTGGTACTGGCGCCTTTCTCAGGTAACCGATGCAATACCTGTTTAACCAGGTCTTCGAGCTGGGAGACCCGTTCCCGCAGGCTGTACGATGATTGCTCGGAGGCTGCCTGAGTATATGTCTGGATATCACCGTGCTCTTGGTCAATGCAGGTTGAGCCGCGGGCGTAGCACTCGTTGCATACGGCAGGTCGCCCAGGCTCGAATGTGCATTTGATCTTCCTCCGCCGACATTCTAAGCAACTCTTGGTGCCCTTGCGCATCTTCTTCCTGGGCGGGCCTTGGTCATGGCTGAAGAGGGCGCCCGACGTATCTGGGTTGTACGGGGACGTGGAGCTACTCCCAGCGTGAGACATAATGGTGCGTCGAGGAGCGATTCAGTACCTCCTCGTGAGCAGTTCAGGTACCGGGAAGGCAGTAGGTACGGGACAGTCAAGACTGCGCAGACTGCGGAACTGCGCTCTCTGCTTACTCAGGTATGGTGAGTCTGCGACAAAGCCCCAGACGCGGACTGCTGACAGGCCACCGGGTGCAAGGCCGGGGGGATGCTACCACCGAAGAGTCTTGAATCCTTTCACTCCATCCATATGGCATTCGCCCTTTTAGTGAGTCACTGTTGTTCAGGAACGTTCAATTCGACAGGCGATTTCCTCGACAGCGGTACGAACAGTCATCGGATGGTGGCAGGAGACAGAAGCCACATTGGTCAGGCTGTCGATGAGGAGGGTCTCGGCGCTCAAGCAGGCTGTCTGACGAGCATTTTGGCGTGGATCATAGCGGAATGGTGCTCAGACACACGTCTGGAAGAGTTGCGGCCTCTTACCATGTTAGTCAGCGTGTCACGTGACTCTCATGAGCAAGGACATAATGAATGGGTGATGAGATCGCAGTGAGCCAGCTTAGAAATCCCATGGCTCACTGGCCCACGGCCCACTCCAGGCTTCCATTTTCGTCCGTCTGTTGCACCGTCTCTTCGGCCGAAATCGAGCCTAGCACAGGCCAGGCAGCCGCATTCCATCTCCACGGCCAATCTCTCCTTGCTGGCCCAGTCCAGACACGGGAATTGCGATACACACTGTGACTCTGGCATGCAGCAAACTTTCATCCGCAGACAGTCTCTCGTTATGGTCATGACGCACTCTCATATGGCTGACGTGCGTATCCCCGGTCCTCCTCGTAAGGCCAGAAGCTAACTCCCGTTACCTGCATCAATCACGACATCTACCGCTGTTCGGGTGTCCGTGAAGAATACCATCCGACGTATTCGTGACAGTCTGTGGCTCTGGCCAGCTTCGCATAGCGTGTGTCACGATTCGGCATGGTTCGAGATGGCGTCCACTTGGCTCGCTCTCCTTGCGCTGGCAGTTGCGGTTGCGCCCCTCCCTTCACACAAATGATTGAGCGAACTTCCTCTGCTGTTGCAACCCTGCGAATGGAAAGCCAGACTTCGCCACCCGCGGCTGCCTGATCTCCCGAAGTCTGTCCAGAAAAGTGGGTTTTCTGGTGCTTTCTTTGCGTCGGAAGACGGATAACCACTCCATCCGAACACTTGTTGACCTCTCAAGGCTTCCAGGACGGTGCAGCCTCGTCTCGGATTTCCACGTGGAAGCTTCTCCGTGCCAAACGCGCTCAACAAACGCGGGCCATCCTTGCAGGGGATCTCTCGATAGCGATATTGATATCCGCAATGATTCATCCACTCCTTTCGGCGAATCCACAGCGTTGCTTGGTCTCCTTCCACATGGCGTATATGGCAGGTATGCTTTGTTCAGCACTCAGGTTGAGACACGGACGAATTCGTTCTTCTCCGTCGCTTGGTATGCGATGCAGCAGCAGCTATCATTGTTGCCAGTCTATCGCCGGAACCGACGTTAATTTCATCCCGGACGGGAACGTTAAGGTAGACACATATATATATCTCGAGGTCGCTCCTACCTTTGCTTTGGTTGCCGGAAACGTCACAACTCACAAGCCCATCGCTCTCGCTTGAATTGTTGCGCGTGCTTTGACTTGTCGTTCATCACCTGGGCAATTTCCACAGCCATTTAGCCAGGCCTCAAAGACACCGTTTCTGTGCCAATCGTCAGATCGTGCCTCGCGTTGAGCGCAATGGCGACCGCTCTATCGTCAAACCCTTCCGCCTCAACCTCCAGTTCTGACCTCTCGAAACCACCGCTGCCGGAAGATGCATATGAGAAGCAGCAATCCGGAGTTGACGTCCCAACTCGACAGAACTCTGGCTCCGGTCGATCGGTCCACGCCGAGAAAGACGTCCTCGACGCAGAACACGATGTCCAAATCGATGGCGCCGACCTGGGCCGCGAAATATCCCGGATCGACACTTCCGACTATCCCAGCGCTTTCCCCCTTGCCATGATTGTGGTTGCTCTGGCGTGCAGCATTTTCCTCGTTGCCTTGGACATGACCATCGTCGCGACCGCCATTCCTCGGATCACAGATCAGTTTCACTCCCTAGATCAAGTGGGCTGGTATGGCTCTGGGTTCTTCTTGACCATTGGCTCTTTCCAGGCGACGTGAGTAACGTCCACCACATGTTCCGGCCACATGCTTACAACCAAGCAGATGGGGGAAGCTGTACAAATACTTCCCACTCAAAATCTCGTTCTTGACCAGCATCTTCATCTTCGAGCTGGGTAGTCTGATCTGTGCCGTCGCCAACAACTCGACCACGTTGATTGTGGGCCGCGCCATTGCAGGCATGGGCGGAGCGGGCATCGCTTCGGGGTCATACACCATTATCGCCTTCTCGGCGCCTCCAGCACGGCGTCCTGCGTTTACCGGAATCATGGGTGCGACCTTTGGCGTTGCCTCTGTGATTGGACCTCTTCTGGGAGGTAAGCGTGTCTGTCCATACTCTGGTACAGGATTTATTTGAGCGCTGACAAAAGCACAGGTGTATTCACCGATCATCTCTCCTGGCGATGGTGCTTCTATATTAACCTCCCCATCGGCGGTGTTGCTGGGGCAATCATCTTCCTATTCTTCCGTACACCAAAGGCCGCCAAACCACAGCAGGCTTCAATGCGAGAAAAGCTCCTCCAGATGGACTTTCCCGGCACTTTCATCCTGATGGCGGCCATTGTCTGCTACCTATTGGCAATGCAGTGGGGCGGCGCCACGAAACCCTGGTCCGACGGCAGTGTCATCGCGGTCCTAGTCCTCTTTGGCGTTCTTATCCTTGTTTTCATCGCCATTGAATTTGTTTCCGGAGACCGCGCACTGCTCCAACCTCGACTGCTGAAGGATCGAACCATTGGCGTCATGTCAGCATACATCTTCACCGTGGCTGGAGCTTTTTTCATCCTCCTGTACTACCTGCCCATCTACTTCCAGGTCACCAAGGACATCTCGGCATCGAAATCAGGCATTGACAATCTGCCGCTTGTCCTCGGCGCCAGCATCTTCACAGTCGCCAGTGGTGGCCTGCTGACAGTATGGGGTCACTACGTCCCTCTGATGGCGCTTGGGTCGATTCTGGCGTCCGTCGGTGCAGGGCTCATCTACACCCTGGAAATCGAGTCAGGGTCCGACAAGTGGATTGGCTATCAAGCTCTGGTCGGTATCGGTCTGGGCCTCATCTTCCAAATCCCCGTCATCGTCAGCCAAGCGATCGTCAAACCCTCTGATCTCAGCTCTGTCTCTGCCATCATCCTCTTTTTCCAGACCATCGGCGGCGCCGTCTTCATCAGCGCCGCCCAAGCCGGATTTGCCAACAAGCTACTCCATCAACTCCCCAGCAAAGCTCCCACAGTGGATGCAGGCAAAGTCCTCGCCACCGGCGCCACGGACCTGAGAACGGTGTTTACGCCGGCTCAAATCCCCGGCATCCTCGACGCGTATATGGAAGGTCTAAGGGTACCGTTTATCATCGCCATTACCTGCGCGTGTCTTACCTTCCTCATCGCCTTTGCGCCCCGGTGGGAGAGCATTAAGGGGAAAGTGAAGTTGGACGCCGGTGCTTGAGGGCGACCTGTTACGAGTTTGATGTGAAGTAATGTAATGCGCGTGTTTATGCGTTGGTTTCGTGGGCATTCGTCGCATGACCTTTCCGTATTGTCCCGTGGAGTCTGGACTGTCGCTTTTTTGGCTGTCACAGCTCTCTTCTCATTTTCGTCCACGACCTCCCTCTCCGCCCGAGATTTTACGGTCCGCGCGAACATTGCGGCCGACATGAACTGAGCGATTATCCATGTGGAACTCTATTTCCTCGGTATAACGAACTGCATTTTTAAGTGGCTGGGTGGCAACTGGGTGATCAGTACATACAAGGACGGCGGGCTTTTTTTACAATATCAAAGTTTCAATCTCGATTTCATAGACGGCCTACCTACGCAATCCATACGCATAGAATTGAAAGGTACACCCTTGAAGGTACTCAGGTAGGTAGGTAGGTAGGTAGGGAAGTAGACATATGCAGGGCAAGTCAATCAGTCAATCAGTAGGCGCTTTGTCTTTTGAGAATAATATACTTATACAGCTATGCTACGGCTATCAATGCCATGCTATCCATCCCATGCCGTGGGGTATCTTTTTCTACTAAATAATGCGTAATCCGTAGTCCGTAATCCGTAACTCCTCGAATCAGTCGTTCTGTTCGTCCCTGTATCTTGGCAAGACCTTCTGGACCAGTTTCTCATGCAATGCAATGGGTATCTGCGTCGAGTACATTTGGCTCGGCGTTTTATGCGACACCCCTCTCCTTTCCTTTCCTCTGCTGTCCTGTGCTGTCCGTATTAATCCAACATGTATGTATGCCCCGATTATGCCAAATTATCGTAATGCCATGCCCCTGTTATGCCCCTGTTATGCCCCTGTTATGCCCCGTTATGCCCTGTTGCGCCGTGCCATGCCGTGCCATCTCGTGTTATCGAGTCGTTGTATAATTCCGATATTCGTGGGGTGTGGGGGTTCGTCCCTGCCTGTCTGTTTGTTTGTCTGTTTGTCTGCCTGACTGACTGACTGACTGACTGACTGGCGATGCGGCCGATGCTGTGCTGTGCTGTTCTGTGCTGTGCTGTTCTGTGCTGTGTTGTGCTGTGCTGTGTTGTGCTGTGCTGTTTGTCCTTTCTATCTCCGTATCGTGAAATGCTATGCTGTGCTGTGCTGTGTTGTGCTGTTTGTCCTTTCTATCTCCATGAAATGCTATGCTGTGCTGTAGTTGCCTTTCTTTCTATGTCGTCAAAGTCGTGAGGTCGTCATGTAGTAGTTCGTTCGCTTTCGCTTCGTTTTTTTCGTTGCTTCGAGGGGTCGTGTACGAGGTAAGTGCGCGCCGCGAGTCACTTCATCGTCCCCGGCCGCCACGACCTCCCCATCTGCCACCGTTGTTGCCGTTGTTGCCGTTGTTGCCGTTGTTGCCACCGCTGGGACTTCCGTTGCTGTCACCGTCTCGCCAGTTCTCCCAGGAACCATTGTCGAACGAAGCAGTAGAAGTCCATGGATCTGAGGATGCCGACCAGGTAGATGTCGCCGCTGCAGCCACGGTGACCACCGTGGGATCCGCAGCCACAGACGGCGTGTTGTTGATTGCCGTGACGGTCACAAACCTGGTCGCTGATGGCGTCTGTATCGGTGTGGAAATGGTGGTTGAGCTAGGATTCGTGAATGTGGCGGCCCCGATCGCAGTCTCGGTCGCTGTGCTGCTTGTAGCAGCGAGTGTGGCGATACTCTCGCTGGACGAGCTGGGCGGGGAATTGAGAGTGACGAAGGTAGTTGCTGTAATGACGGTAGAGAACTCAGCCAGACTTGTATGTGTCGCTGTGTGAGAAGCCGTGACGCCTGTAATGGCCGTGGTCTGCGTTGGCGCGGCACCATTGTCGGTGTATACCTTCAACCCGTTGATAAGCCAGTACGTCTCCTGGAATGCAGACGGGTTGTTCTGCACATAGGCCTGGCAAGTGGAGCCCAGGGCAGAACATGTCGAATCCGTGGACCAGACCGATCCGGCCCAGTCGCCGCAGAAGGTCACATCGAAGACCAGTTGTTGGTCCTTGACATGCTCGTCGATATCGCAGCCGCCGGTGAATTGACCCTTGGGAAGACCCCAGTTGGACGGATCAGGTTGGCCGTTGGAGATGTCGGATGGGATGCTGTTTCTGGGGAAGAACCACATGCTGATTGCCTCGCTTGTCCATTCTGTCGCGTACACGCCGCCCCCGTTGGCATTGAATCCGCTGCCGAAGGTTAGGTTGTCGTCGCTGTCGATAGCACAGCCAGCATTGGTGGCTTGGTCAGGAGCGTTGACGTCGCAGTTGTCGGTCTGCAAGCTACCTGAGAAAGCTCCTGTGCTGGTGATGGAACATCCCGCGTTCGTATGCAAAGTCATGGTATTTGCCGATTGACTGTTGACGCCTTCAATGATATCTATTTCTCCGTTGACCGGCCAGTTCGGCCCAAGCATCCAAAATGCCGGCCACGACCCGCAGGCACCGGCAGGCATGTGTGCGAGATCAAGGATGATGAGACCGTGGTTGTAGACTTTCTTCGTGCTGAGCCGGACGCTGTCTCGGCCGCGACCAGTGGCGACGTTCGTAGAATCGACGCCCATGTAGACGGAGCCGTTGTCAGCTTTGTACAGACCGGCGCCTGTGGCTTGGTCGTAGGAAATGTAGTTGACGTAGCCATGGGTAGGGTCATCGTCCTAGAAGATGTCAGTGTGGGCTATGCCTCGTGGAAGATACCAAACATACTGTGAAGAAATCAAACATGTCGGCAAATACGTCTAAGGAATAGTCATCCTCCAGGAGGTAGGAAGCAGAGGCAGAAGCTGCCAGAACAGAGAGATTGATCAGAGAGGTGCGCATTTTGAAAGGTCAGTCTCGGGCGTTGAACGGACTGTTGGAAAGTCAACTGTTGGAGGACTGTTGTATCGAAAGCCATTCTGTGTATGAGAAGCGCCCTTATATAAACCGTCGTCTCTCATATCTGCGAAGATCAGCAAAAGAAGCGAGGTTGGTGAAGAAGATCATAGCAGCGCAGACGCCGTGCTGGGTGAAGCATAGGGAGGATGGGCTGGGCCTAATCGGGCGTATGCCAGGAATAGGGCGAGACTGGCAAGCCAGCAGTCGCCATGCGATGCTATAGAAGTGGAGACACCGCCTGCATAGCAACCGGTTCACTGGTGTGTTGACACACTGGGTGGAAGGTTAATTGTGTCGCTAATGGAGGCTGGGAGCCCTTTGGGGCGTATACCATCAGATAAGCGAGGGGCCGGAGGATCGACGCTGGAACGACGACGCGAACCATGACGCTGCGAACACGCAATTTGATGGCGCTAGCAATAACCTGGGGCTTGTAGAAGTATGGAAGACAGCCGCAGAACGCCTGGAGGGCTGTAAAGTCCCGCTTAAACCAGGGCAGGGAGTCTTAGATGGACTGACGAACGGTGGCGGCGAGCAGGTGTTTGTTGACATAGTTCGCGACTGACGCAATGCTCCACGTGGTCGTCGAGACCAGCACGCTGAAGGCAGACGGTGGCTCAGCTTCCAGACCATCTCGACGCAGAGTACTCCAGCCATCGTGGAGTGTTCAAGGAAGTGTTTGCAACCGAGCCGGTTCCTACCGTAGAGGGCTGAGACGCGTCGCATCCGCCTGAGAAGAGCGCATCGGACCAGGCAAGCTCCTACCGTCCGCACCGCCGCAGTGGTGGGCACAGCGTGGCGGAGGAAGGTTGTGTTGTGGTCGTCGAGGCAATTGTTCGGAGAATAAGGTCTATCGGCGTGGATAGAGTTCGAAAGGAGATTGCGTCCTAACTACTAGCGGAGGGCTGGAGACGTGCCACTCTTCTTGTTCCCGAGACGAGCCTCTGCCGATTATCGAAGGGCGTACGTCTCGCACGTTGTATTGCATCATCGGCGTAGACTGTTGGTGTCCGTTAGAGTGTGATGGTTACCGTGAGAGAACGATGAAGATGAGGCGCACAGTGTTCGTGAGCCATGTCACGTGCAGTGTGGTGTGTATGCTGCACGTGATTTTGCCAAGCCTCGACGCGATCGGGAAGGTTATCCGATCTGTAATGACAACCGACGCGCCCTATATCTCAACATTATGGCATTCCATGACTATAGATTCAAGCGTCTTCCCAGACCCCTCTGAACAGTCAGGTGCTTCGGAATGAGTCACATCAGTGGCGAGGTGTAACACACTGTCAACAGTCATAATGTCGTCTTGTTTCGTCAACTCTGGACTACCTAGAAATACATGCCTGGAAGATCATTTCTCTGTCCGTTGTCTGCTTTTCCGCCTGCCACATGCTCTGTGGAAATGCCACAGTGCATATCATCCTGCTTTTTACACGTGCCCAAGCGTCCGCGCTCGTCGTATGGTCGATACCGAGTCCAAAATTCGCGTCCAGTGCAGGGCTTCTACACCTTTGATGTCTGCTGTGGCACATACGTGTTGGACCACGTCGACCTGTTGGGCTTCAGGAACCGCATCAATCCGACGACGGGTGTATTGATGGGCGATTCGCCGGTGAATAGGAACATGTCATAGAGCCATCCACCGAACGTGCATCCGAAGAAAGGCGATACCATGGGAACCTATGAGGTGTGTGAGTGCACAGCGCCTGCAATTGGCGCATGTCCAGACTCACCCAGAAGTAATGCCCGCCCGCAGTCCATACATGGGGACCATATCCCAGCATGTACGACATTAATCTTGGTCCGAAGTCTCGCGCGAAATTAATCGCGTAGCCGGTTTCCCAGCCGCTGGCAACGGGGACCAAGTCAGCGACATCTCAGCGAACCATGCGCTCAGAGAACTTACAAGCAAGCACCAATTCCGAAAATAACAAAGAACAACCCCAGCGGTGTGAGATTACCAGCACCCAGGTTCCCGTCGTCCTTGAGGGCATAGATCAAGAACATCAGAAGAGCACTGGCGATGAATTCGGAAAAAAATTGGCCCGTCTTGGTCATGAAGGGGGCGGGATATGTGCAAAAGATGCCCGCCGTGGCAGTATCTGAGTAGCCAGGCACAGTCCGAATGTTGGCTCCGCCTTCAAACACATCGATGGCCGACTTGTAGTTGGCATAGACAACACCAGAGGCACACAACGCCCCCAGGGTTTGAGCAACCATGTAAGCAGGGAATTTCCGCCACGGGAATTTGCGGAATACGCAATTAGCAAAGGTGACGGCCGGGTTGAGATGTGCTCCGGAGATGCCAGCCGTATAGACGCCCAACATGACACCAAGCCTAGCCGGCGTCAGTAGAGGCGAAGTCGACGAGCGTAGTTTGACTCACCCCCAGCCCCAGGAGATGGATTGATAGTCACCTTTGGTGCCGTTACTCAAGACAACTTGAGCCACCACACCATCACCAAACATGATCAAAATGAAGGTACCCATGAACTCCGAGAATGGCTCCCGCATATAATGTCGGATACGGCTCCAGGCGAGATCTGGCTCCGACTCGACGACATCTTCTTGAGGGACTTTGTGATCGACGAGCGGACCATGCTCGGCGTATGCGGCCACACCGTCTACCGTGGTGTGGCGGTATTCGTGGGGAGTGTGGAATATGCCATGCTCGTTGTGGGTAGCTGGGGGTGTGGACGAGAGGGATTCTTTCTCAAGCGCCATGGTGCTGGGGTCCTTGGATTTGGATGAAGCCGCAGGAAGGGGAAGAGGAAGAGAAGTAGGTACGATCTGGTCGCTAGCCATCCTTTTGTGTCAGCTAACCAAGAGAGAGCAGCCAGACTCTTATGCCTTTGCCCGGGGTGCAGCACGAGTTTATGGCTAGTGCGTGATGTGCCATTGCATGGCCCAGCTCCAGGTCCGGAGGCGGGCGGGTACGAGCCACTCATCTCGAAGGAATACTGGAGACTGTTGACGCTCCAGCGGCGGAGGTGCATGCAGGCGAACCAGCTTGGTGGAGGGTACGAGGTACGTTGCATGCATCACCGCGCAAATGGAAAGGCTGAGGAGCAGCGTATGCTGATCGATCTCGGTCCACTCAGGCCGAAGGCGAGAGCGCGGAGAGGTCAGCAATTGTGCAATCTGGAGAGTCTGGGGAGCCTTGTGACTTGTGACTGTGGCAAGTACCAGGCCCGGGAGTGGTGACGCACTTGGCTGGCCAGCTGGGCCCTCCAGGAGGAGGTGGTACCTCGTTGCGAACCTTCACTCAACACAGTAGGTCCTTGCTCTCCGTCGGCTGGGCAAACCATAGACTGGCCAACAAGAGACTCGGGGTGAGTCAGACCGAGGCTGACGTTCCCAGCTGTCCCTTTAGAAACCAGTTGCCCGCTCTGGGCGCCGTATGGGGGACTAATCATCGCCACCCGAGCCCAGGTAAAGGTGTCACTCTACTGGGACTGTATACATCTCCGAGCTGCGGTTCAATTGCGAGAAGGTGATCCAGGGCTCTAGCTTCGGCAGATCTAGTATCTCCGAGCGCTAACTAATGTCCCAAGATGCATGGGGATGTCCCTGGATACCTACGTACGCAGCGCTGGAGAAGAAGCCAAGCTGCAGCGTCTCTCCCAATGCATTTTGGGAGGCGGCGGTGGCTGGGTACCCCGCGGGGCGAAAGAGAAGGGTCGACGAAGGGGGTAACCAAAGCTTGCTGCGAGTGCCGTATGGTCCCTCCATGCCACCCAGAGCTGCTCGGAAACATACCCAGTACGAGATACTGTGTAGTGGATTCGTATCCTTCTCTGAACGCGCTGCGCTCAGCTCAGCTCAGCCTCCGCAATGCTGCCGGGAAAAGCCGCCGTCAAGGGAGGAAGATTCGAGTACGAGGTAGAGTTTGGCACTGAGGTGTCCTGCTGTGACTGGCTTTGCTGATGTTGCACTGGCCATGCCGGAACCCCTCCCTCCCTCGAGCGGTACGACTCAGGAATGGCTGGCCTGATGTACATTAGTCTGCACATCCATGCATGACTGATGCGTGCTAATGCATCCGTCGTTCTTTTTCGCCCGTCTTCCCCAGACAATGCCACAGTAGTTCACATCTCGTGCGTCTCGAACCCTGATCGGCATATAGCTGATTGCACGATGCACGAGATATACCGCTCTCCGCTACCTTGGCTCTCTGGAGATTTGACTCAAAGAAGAACATCCCCTTGGCCATCACCCGCTAGTTCACGTGGGCTGCCACGGGCTCTCCGAACCCCGGATTCCCTCAGTCATTGATTGTCACTGTAGATCGGGGTTTTGACATCCGAGCACAATTCGAATCGCTGGCAGAGACGTGACTTCGGGGGGTGAGAACTTTCTTGAGTCGCTTCCGAGCTTGTCCCACAACACCAGACATTGCTTGAGCCCTTTACATGGTCATAAAACATCCTCGCCATCGGGCCAGACATGGGCCTTACTGGCAGCGGTTCCGGGTATCATGATGTCGACCGAGGTGTGGTCAACTTCTCACCCACTTCTACGTATCGGCGCACTCAGGTTGTCATATTCGATGAAAATCGTGAGCCATCATTTCCCACCCAAATTGACTCAACAGATCTCCCGTAGTTGGAGCCAGCTATGCGTGGGCCCGAGTCCGAAGGCAGAAAACTGTACGAAGTTTCGTCTTACTAAGTCTGCTCTCATCGTAAGTATGAAGGCGATCGCGCGCGATCATCCCGTCCGCACGAGACCCGCAGAGCGAGAGCCACGCAAGTGCAGGCATGAACGGGACACAACAATAAGATCTTTCTGGCCGCTCACTGGAGTGCCTGCGCCTTGTCTAGCCAATCATCCAGACATCCCGTTGGCATTTCTCCCAAACCGGGTTGTCTGAAAGGGTGGGACTGGCTGGCCTTCGTCACAGCGCAATGACCTGATGCCACACTCATCCACGGCCTCTCGTCCATAAGCTCAAAACGATGCTTGGACCAGATGAGTTGTAAGAGCTCTGTGGCATGGTTCTGGTCATCTACACCAAGTGTAGGCAAGTTTTGATTGCTCCTTTATAGGAGCCCTAAGGTAAAGAAGCCTGCAAGGCTTTCACAGTCCCAGGACATTCGAAACTTGGCATTTACAAGCCGGAGCGTAAACCGAAAGCAGATTGTGATGTCCGCTTTTTTGGATATGAAAAGGCTGGATTACGATGAGACGCTCCTCGATTCCTTCCGGCGAGGCGCCCATTTCCCCAGGATTATCAGGAGGCGCACAGGTCATCTGGAGTATGAGCATTCTGTGATGCACCTACACCACCCGCTAACTCAGTGATCAACCGGCTTCATTGGCCGTGCAGATAGGGGACGCTCCGGGGAAGAGCCAAAAATACCTGCCCATCAGCCAAAAACCGGTCTCGCCCACACTCGGCTTACTCGGCAATTTCCCGTATGGCTTGAAAGGCAAGAGAAAAGTGAACGTGGATGTATGAGGACATCATAGCTCTTGCCGCATCCAGCATGATTTCTTGATTGATAATTGTGTACGTGTGGATTCGCAGGGCAAGATTGGCCAGGTCGGCTGCAACAGCAGAGGACAGCATCCGCTTCGGCTTCGTCTTCGTCACCGCCTCCGCGGATTTTGGGCACCATATTGGATCGATGAGGCCCGAGACCACCTTGGTCATTACCTTCCGAAATATCCATATACTGATTCCCATTCGCATAGACAGCGCACGACCCATTCATTGCGCGGGACGACCCGCATGAAGCATTCAGAGCAACAGGCACAGGCAGGTATGCCAAGACAATGGCTTCTCTGTGTGACATCAACTTTAGTCACGTTCATCAAGTGTGACAGATTGCACTCCTCATTGCGAGCGATGATGAGGTTGACTTCACCTTGGACACAAGCAGACTTGATCCAGATACTCGTGCGACGACCGCGAAGGCCACACCAAAGCTCTCGGGGCGGATATTGCGGTTGGTGGCCTATGTTGTTCCAGAAGTGGGCTTCAGGGACAGCTTGATTGTTAGCTGTTGCTGCTGCTTCCTTTCTGGGCCATTTCTAGCCTGGACATGCTGCGTTGGTCGTCGTGTTTCGTCAGCCTTTTGTCGAACCTCGACGGTGTGAGCGTTGTTCCACTGCGAAAAGGGACTGATTCGGAATGAAAACCGCCTCCGGGAGCTGAGGGCCTTTGGTGTCTCAACCCATGCGCTCATCGGGCACGCAGAGACTGCCCTCCTGCATATGGACTCAAGCATCTCGCAGTGGCTTCTCGCTATTATTGGACACGGAGGTGCTCTTCCAGCTGTTGAATGTCCAAAGGAGCAAACGTGGCATCGGTGAGAAGCGCCGGAGAAGCGCCAAGCCCGGTGTGGTTTGCGGCCTGTCTTTTGTCATTACAGCCTGTGATACTGGGATTTGTCCATCCCTCAGCGGAAGCTTAGTGGGCTTTCGCGTGGACAGGCCCCGGACAATACCCTGCATTACACCCCTTTTCAAGCCAGCCAAACCCCAATCGAACGGTGGTCGGGTGTTCGGCACTGATAAAGGTGAACTACCCCAAGAAACCACACCGCTGTAGCAGATACTGACGAAGTTTCCCTGCAGGCGGCCATTGGAGATGCAGTGTAATGCAAACATGTGTATCGGGTTCTGCTCTGGTGATACTCCGATACCCGTATGTGTCGACAGTCTTAAAACAGGCCGTTGCCACTCGTCCACTGAGTTCACCACAAATGCTTTCGAAAGCAAACTCCCGCAATGTCAAGTCAAGATGCATCAGAATGCGAGAAGGACGTCATAGAAGACCAATCTGTCGCTGAACGCCGTCTCGGGAATCATGCATCGACCAAGGAGATCACGCACCCAGAACTTCGTCGAGCCACAAGCACTTTGAGCCGCATCGCGTCACGTCTAAGCACTCGAGAAGATATCGATCCCGGACCGCCACCGGATGGAGGTCTCAAAGCATGGTCTCAAGTTGCCATAGGCTTTACCGCCTGCTTCTGCACCTGGTGAGTACATTCCCATTGCGAGGAGGTTAGCCCGTTGTCCACAGAGACTTACACTTTGCAGGGGATTCATCAATGCAAGCCTCCCCTACCCTTCGGACAAGTGTTCTTGTTATCCTCCAGTCGATATCGGTGGGGCTAACAAAGATTGACAGTCGTTCGGGGTATTTCAGACCTACTATACAAGCGCGCTGGGTGAACCACAGTCGACTATCTCCTGGGTAGGATCCGTACAGTTATGGGTCGTCTTCTTCATGAGCGCATTCTCTGGCCGGGCACTTGACGCAGGCCTCCTCATACCCACGTTTATTGTCGGATGTACGATCCAACTCTTTGGGATCTTCATGACAAGTCTTTGTAAGGTGTTCTGGCAGCTCGTCCTGGCGCAAGGGTTATGCACCGGGCTTGGAGCAGGGATCTTCTTCACCCCGACAATGGGGCTTGTTACCACGTACTTCAAGAAAAACAGAGGACTCGCTGTTGCCATTGTGTCTTCCGGTAACTCGGTGGGTAAGTTGTTCTGGTGTCTAAGATCAGAGAGTTCGTGTCTGAACAGCACTACTTGGACATTTTCCCTGCTTATTCTTGCCCCACTTCCCGTCACTATGAGTTGCATCTGACTTGTCTGTAGGCGGCGCAGTATACCCCGTCATCGTCCGGCAACTTCTGCCCAAGATCGGGTTTGCGTGGACTATTCGGGTAGTTGGGTTCGTGAATGTGGTCCTTCTGGGACTGTGCCTGGCGTTCTTGCGACCGAGACTACCTCCTCGAAAGGCTGGTCCGCTCGTCGAATGGAAAGCATTCACCGAAGCGCCGTACGTGTGTGTTCTTCTGGGCATGTCATTTGTTTTTGGGGGACTCTTCTTTTCCTACTATTATCTCGCCAGTTTCGGCCGCGACATCTTGCACATGAGCTATTCCGACTCGCTGACTTTGCTCATCATCTTCAACGGGGCAGGTGTCCCCGTCCGACTTGCGACGGGTTACATTGCAGATCGGTACCTGGGACCGCTGAACGCAATGGTGCCGCTCCTATTCATCAACGCACTCTTTGCTCTCTGCTGGATTGCGGTAAGATCGCAAGCCGGCATGTATGTGTTCGCGACATTTTATGGCTTCTCCGCGGGAGCTTTCCAGTGCTTGATGCCGACCGTGGTTACCAGTCTGAACAACGACCTGCAGCGAAATGGTATACGGATGGGCATGGCTTTTTCACTGTTCAGTTTTGCAGGACTCGCGGGCCCGCCTATAGGAGGCGCGCTGCTCACAACCAACGGCGGCGGAAGGGGAGGCTATCTGGTCGCACAGCTGTGTCTCGGTGTTTTGACGGCGGTAGGGGCTTCGTTGATGTGCGCTGCCCGTGTGTACAAGGCGGGATGGAGTTTGAAAGTGAAATGCTAGCGAGTGCTGAACACCCTCTGACACTCAATTCATCCTCACGATCGACACGCGTCAGCCGCGCGCAAGGCGAGACGCGCATATGACGTCATCTCTTGGCGGCCGAATTGGCAACTCGCCCATACTGGAGCCTGCGCTGTGAGAGTTTTCACACCATGACCATCTTCTGTTCATCGTCTATAGAGCATGATTGTCCCTTATCTCGAATATTGTCACCTTTCCCACCTGACGAACTTACATCTCAACGAACGCGCTCCCCATTTTGAGCGAAAACCAGCAAATACAGATGCTCGCTGAGTTACCACACGAGAACCCGTCGCTGGCGACTGCGAGGTCGATCCCTCAGCCTTCGAAAAGCCATGCCGTTTGAGCGGAAAAGACACTGTGAACGTGGTGTCGCTAGATCATTTTGCGAATTTTGCGAGTTTCCTTTTTCTGGTTCCACAGCGAATCCGCACTCATTCACCTTTCGTTTCGCCACGTGCTATCTAGCTCAGACGGAGCCGTACATAATGGTATTTACCGATCACGGAGCGTGAGACGGGATCTGGCAGCTCGATGGGCAATGTAACTCAGCCTAGGATGGAGAGCAATGTATATCAGCGCTCCATTCCACGCAGAAATGCTTTGGACTTTGAGACTCGTCGTGCCTGCCGAGCTCTCATCTTCCTTTGCATCATGTTGGTACAGTTGGCAACACTCGTGGTATTGTTGGGCTGGAGGTAAGAGACTGGCTTCCACTCCATTATGTCACTATACTCATCAAACAGCGGCGTCTCGACAGGAAGCTCGCCTGCCCAAAGTTCGGATTCCTGCGACTCCATCTGGGCGGGATATCAGTGTCAACCTCAGATCTCTCATTTCTGGGGCCAATACTCACCCTACTTCAGTGTGCCCTCTGAGATTTCAGCCAAGGTCCCCCACAACTGTGAGATCACGTTCGCTCAAATTCTCTCACGTCATGGTGCCCGAGACCCGACCGCGTCAAAGACGAAAGTGTACAATGAGACGATCGTACAGATCAAAGCGAACGCGACGGCCTTCAATGGCCCATCCGCCTTTCTTGCCAATTACTCGTACACCCTGGGCGCCGACCAGTTGACCACTTTCGGGCAAGATCAAATGGTCAGTTCGGGCATCAAATTCTATACCCGTTACGCGTCATTGGCGAGGACAGTAAAACCATGCATTCGCTCATCCAGCGAGGACCGAGTTGTCGAATCAGCTATGAACTGGACGGAAGGCTTTCACACCGCTAAACTGGCAGACAAGTCTGCCGCCGGCGGGGATCAATATCCCTATCCGATCGTTCTGCAGTACGAAGGGGATGACCTCAACAATACGCTGAACCACGCAATCTGCACCGAGTTCGAGAGCGGCACATACAGCGAAATCGGTGACGAAGCTCAAGCCGCTTGGGCTAAGATCTTCATCCCGCCAATCCAGGCACGTCTCAATGCCGACTTACCGGGTGCAAACCTCAGCATTGACCAGACCATCTATATGATGGATCTCTGCCCTTTCAATACGGTAGCGGAGGAGGACGGCCTTATCTCTCCCTTCTGCGCGCTCTTCACTGAGCTCGAATGGGTCCAATACGACTACTACGAATCACTGGGCAAGTACTACGGCTATTCATACGGCAACCCGTTGGGCCCAACGCAGGGCGTCGGCTTTGTGAATGAGCTCATTGCAAGGCTAACAGACACGCCTGTCCAAGACCACACGTCGACAAACCACACTCTGGACGACAGTCCTGCGACGTTTCCCCTCGGCCGAAAGTTGTACGCTGATTTCAGCCACGACAACGACATGACCGCCATCTTCTCCGCTTTAGGGCTCTACAACGACACCTTGCCATTACCGAATACCACGGTCGTCGAGGCTCAAGCTGCCTCTGGATACAGTGCGTCGTGGACCGCCTCGTTCGCCGCCAGAGCATATGTCGAAAAGATGCAATGCCACGGCCACCCCGAGGAACTGGTGCGTGTGATCGTGAACGACCGCGTCCAGCCTTTGACACAGTGCGGAGGTGATGATTTGGGTCGGTGCTCGCTGACCAACTTCGTTGGAAGTCTGGGGTTCGCAAAGGCCGGAGGACATTGGGATCAGTGCTTCGCCTGAGCGGATTTACTCTGGCAGAGATCGTCCTACTGAGGCTCGACCCCGATCGATAATCTACTTCACCACATTCACCTAGTCCTTGTTCCATTAATGCAGTCTGCATACCACGTCTTCAGGAGGGCGGATCAGCATGCAATTCCGCCCACTCCGCAGCATACACAGTACATACATACATACAGGGACATAATGTGTGGACCATCCCTGAATCAATCTTGTTGGTGCTGCGCCGTGGACCGAGCTTGGAGGGACCTATTAGTACGGGTCCTCTTGTGAACCATATGTCCTGAGGTATCCGTACGTGGCTACCGTAGCTTCCACGCCTATGCCACGGAGAGCTTTCGAAAAGGTAGAGAGACCTTGCATTTCCCTCTCAGACACAGTTGTGGTGACAGTCCCGTAGTTGCACTGGTCACAAAAACCAAAAGGGGTTGGAAGATCTCTATTCGACCATAACAGGCCCAGCCATGGTATTATGTATTCTCATTCCTTCATAATGTATCTCGCTTCGAGGACGATGAGTCTCGTTCGACATTAGTAACCATCGTGGTCAAACAGAGGTTCTGCGAATTAGTTAGCCTCGCTTCGGGGGCTACCTCTTGCAGGACCGTGAAGCGGTCTAATGTTCTAGGCACCGCCAAAGACCAAGAGGCTCTGGATATTGATTCCGCCAAACCCACGCTGACGCAGCAGTTCTCGACCACGGTGCACGGGGAACTCGGCCACGACCATGACACTGACATGCTCGGCCCGGACGCCCGCGTTGAGTAACAGCTGGAGGACCGCGCAAAGCGTCTCCCCTGTGGAAAGCACATCGTCCACCACCACGACTGACGCGCCCTTGGGGACGACAGCCCGCTCCATCTCGATCCGCTTCTCTTCCGATTGCGCAGATTCCAAGGAGGAGATATGCGACCGGGGCTTGACGACGGACACCGTTGGTGGCGGCAGCTTGCCGGCTTCGCGGATGAGCACCAGGCGCACATCGACACGCAAGGCCAGTGCCGACGCATAGACAAAGCCACCGGCCTCACAACATGCCACTGCATCTACTTTGGCCCAATCACCGGTAAAATGGGTTTCCAGCAGAGACGCGCACAGCGCCAGTCCACCGGGCTGCTGGGAGATGTCGAGCACGTGGCGGAACTCGATGCCTGGGCGTGGGAAGTCGGGTACCGAGCGCACCATTTGCACCAGTCGCTGCAGGTCTTCGTGGACGAAGCGAAGCAAGTAATCTTCAGCAAACGCCTTTGCCGCCTCGTCTCCAGCCGTGTCGTTGTCGAAGAAGAAATTTGGATGGCTGTCCGAGGCCGTCAATTTTGAACCCCCACTGTTGCTATCGTGGTTCTCTCCGTCTTGGTGGTTGTTGTTGTTGTCACCATGCAAATTGCCACCGTGGCACCCTCGACGAGCCCGCCGCATTTGTTTACTAGCTTGCACACGAACCTCTAGCAGCCTACTGTCTGGCACCAAATGTGACAAGGCTGCGACTGGCGCCTTGTCTCTCATTCCAGTGATCAGTAGCACGTCCACATGCTCGGCGCCGTGCACCACCTTAAGGAAATTCTCCTCTGGCAGTTCAGGATTTTGCCGCACCCGTTCTCGGAAAAATTTCGTCAACGCTGGTCGGTGTTGCTCCTTGAAGGCACGGTTCTCGAGTAGAGAGCCCAGGTCGGCTCCGGTAGCCGCGGCATATTCTCGCTTGATCGCGTCGCTAATGCTGACTGCCCGTGCTGTGATGGCTTTGAAGGTACGAGTCGTGAACATGGAGACCCAGACGTTGGCACAATAGTCCTTGCCGGCGCAGCTTTCGCCGGTGACAAGAATGATGAGCTTCTGTCTCGCCGGCGCTTTTGGCAGCGGGCAAGCGTAAGCCAGCACGTTGCGCGGATCTAAGCTGTGCTTGAGCCGGGCCAGACGCGGTCGATTCTGCCCAAAAGCGTGGGCTGCTAGCGCGGCGTCTCTGGGGTCTGGTCCAAGGTCGGCGCCGTAAGCTCCAGTACTCAAGGACAACAAGTTCCCCGCGACATTGTAAACCCACCGTATGGCAGAACGTGCGACTTCAGTGTCGTCTTTGTCGCGAGGCCAGACACCGGTTATCACACAGGCGAAGTCCCAGTCTCGACAGCCGAAGGCAGTGGCATCGGCCGCAACATCGCTGACGGCTCCGCCGCCCTGCAGCAGATGGAGATAGCATAGTCGGGAGGGACAGGTCTCAACAGCCGCCACCAGACTGTCCGCGACGTTCGTCCCTCCGATGCATTTCAAGAACAAACATCGCTTGAACGAGGAGGTCTTGCCGCCTCCGTGCCCGCCGTGCATCCCAGACATGTACATCTCGGTCTCGAACAAACCGACGCTATCCACGACTTTGGAATCGACTCCTGGCCCCCATAAGGAAGCCACGGGCATGGACGTGCGTGGCACACAATCGTTCGTAGTCGTGGAAGATTCGAACATGGTCACGCCAAGATGCAGCTGGCCGGCGTCCCAGTACAAATACCCGTCTGCAGAACAATTCCGGGGGAGCTTCCTAGCGACTAGGTTTTCGAAATCGGCAAGCCTCAGTCGGGCCTCGAAGTTGTCGCTAAGCGGGACAACCCAGGTTCGAGTCATGTAAGTCGAAGCAGGGTGAGCCTTGAAAGTCACGCTGACAACGATGCCAAAGTTGGTTCCGGCGCCTTTCAGGGCCCATAACAGATCAGCTTCGTTTTCTGGGCGAATGGCATCTGCTGGCCGGTATCGGCTGGGGACATGGCCGACGCAGAGTACCTGGCCAGAGTCGACGCTGACCACAACGGCACCGACAATGGCGTCGCAGGCGAGCCCGTGCAGCCTAGCCAGATGTCCGATGCCGCCTTGTAGCCAGAGCCCCGCACCTACGCTTGGGCGAGCCCCTAGGGGGACTGTCAGCCCAGCCTCCATGGTCTTGCGGACGATGTCCCCTGTCTTGCAGCCGGCCTCGGCGACGATCAAAGAAGCGGAGTCAGAATCAGAATCATCATCGTTGCCGGCCGCGTGAATGTGTACTTTGTCAAAGGCGCTCATGTCGACCGAGACAACGTTGGGCCAGAGACAGTGACCGCTATGACCCCCGCCGACGACTGTCAGATTTACCCCGTGCTTCAGAGCCCATCGAACGCATTGCTGGATATGTTGGACGTCTGTCGGTGCGACAATTGAGGCAGGGCGGTGGAGGCGAGCCTCCCGATTCTTCACTGTCTTGTCGCCCTCAACCAGGGCGACCTGCGCCGTCAACTCCGGCAAGGTGGTCGCATGTTTGGTAAAGACCATCATGAGGTCGGGCGCGCTGAACATGAGGTGGTTTGGGCAAGCTTCCTCGCGACGGCCCAAAGCGCGACACACTTCACGCCACTTAACTCGGATAGCCTTGTCTGCATCCACATCCTTCATGACATAACCCGCGATGAACGACGCGAAACTGTCCAGCACCTCGTCGTCATCTGCCACACGAACGACACCTGTAGGGAAGGAAGCCGTTCGATGGCATACCAAGCCGTCGAGGTGAAGGTGTCCGTCGCGATGGAAAATTGCAATGATTCCGCCTTCTGGCTGCTCAACAAGCACTTCCAGCGCCCGTTCGATGAATCTGCGTTTGGGCTTCATGCCGTACATACTGTGGCAGAATAGAATGACATCGTATTTTTCATCGTCGTCGCTTGTACCGGTCCCGGTCCCGGTCCCGTTCTTGACCCCTAGGGCGAATGGAATCCGACGGATGTTGGGCAGGTTTTCTAGACAAGGCAACGGGCACTCCGTCCCGGATGTAGAGCAAAGCCATTCTTCCAATCTTGTGGCAAACAAGCAGTTAGGTTCGAATGCGGTGTATCTGGTGATTTTCCGTCTCAAATGGTCAGGCAGATACCCGAGGACGCTCTGGGGGCCGGGTCCGATTTCTAGTGCTGAGATATGGGCACGCGAGTTGAAGAGACTGGTGAGCAGCTCTGAGAGTTGAGGGATGACGAAGTCTTGGTACGAGGTCCATCCCGAGCCCCGCACTAAAATATCGAAACCGACGCTATAATCTCTGTCGGACAACGGCTGCTTGGCCGTTGCCGTGGCATTCTGCCTCAAGGTCCTCTTTAGGGAGTCGAGGGTGGCCATTTCGGTTCAGCATGAGAATGTAAGTTGGTACACTCGAAATGACAAAAGTTCAACTACATTTGAATGTAGAAGCTACTTCACTCGCCAAACCACCGCGCAGGTTACACAGTCCTGGGCATACTGCCTTAAGGGCTGTTGGCGCGACCGTAGTGGGGCTATCCTGGTGAGTCCACTGGCGCCTGCTCTAAGCTATTTCCGGACTAGCCGGGTCAAGTCTTGGCGGCAGCGCGGACATTTCTATCTGCAGCTCCCTTTGCAAACCCATCTTCCTTCTCTATTCTAGTACGTGCACTCCAAGGCGACCCCTACCTTTGGGTCTTTTGCTAACAATGATGAACAGGTGCACGGGCATTATCTGCGCGCGTGAGGCTACAGCCGATGCCAGATTTTTGCTAGGTATGTTCCCTTCACCTTGTTGATGCGCTTCTCGAAACATGCTAACAGGTGCAGTTGAAAACTATACAACTGACCGCTCCTTGTGGACTTCGGTTCGCTTGGGAATCTTTGGAAAACACATCTACCTTACCTTTTCATCATTATCGGCGCCTTGAGCGAAGATCTGGAGAAGAGGAGAAGAGACCATGAACACGTTGCACTGAGTTGGACGGTTCAGCTGGTCGGCTTGAAGTTGATGTAGACAGGATGAAGAGATGGTGAGACGAGACAAGCTACTCTGCCAGATGGAGGAAATATAGGCGTAATGTACCTATCTCCGTGAGGTCTGGGCAAAGGCTTTGCAAAAGACAATGCAGAGATAGAGAGGCTCGAAGGACGCGTTCGAGAAACTGTCATAAGCCAACCAACCGATACTGCGTAGATGGCAACTTCAAACTGAGCGCGTCACTTGACATTCAGATTTCGCTCATCAGACTGGCCGAGTAGAGTTCGTGAACTTGGTGCTTGTTGAAGTCCATCAACTGTGAGAGTAGATCATCCAAAAGTTGTCTCCGAGCCAAACCACAACTTTCACTACAATCCTCGTTTACTGACAATCCAAAATGCCATCCGCCCTCATCACAGGCGCTTCAGGCTTCCTGGGCCGGCAAGTCCTCAAGACATTATCAGACTCTGGCTGGGAAGCCACAGGCACAGGCTTCAGCCGCGCCTCAGGACCGATCCGCAAGGTCGACATCCAAGATGCCGAAGCCGTGACCCAACTCTTCGATCAGGTCAAGTATGTGCTCTACGGGTTCACTCCATAGGAGGCGTCGAGGCCTGCCTCCTCACCAAGTCAGGACTAACGACAGCTCAGACCTCAAGTCGTCGTTCACTGTACTGTAGAGCCGCTTCGCTTCGTCTCATATCCTCTAACTCGCAGAAGACTCCCCTCCACGTACAGCCAGAAACTAGAGCTAACCCGCCATGACCGAGCACAGGCGCCGCAGACAGACAACCGGACTCCTGCACCAAGAACCCCGAAGCAGCACGTAAGCTCAACGTAACCGCGACGGAGCTCCTCGCCTCCCGCGCAGCCGCTCACGGCGCCTTCCTCATCTACATCTCCACCGACTATGTCTTCCCCGGCGTGCAGGGGCAAGCACCCTACAAGACGACCGATAGACCGGACCCGCCCAACGTCTACGGCCAGACCAAACTCGACGGCGAGACCGCAGTGCTCAAACATGAAAGCGGCACTGTTGTCCTCCGTGTGCCTGTCCTCTACGGGCCGACGGAGCCAAAAGAAAACAACGCAGAATCCGCGGTCAACGTCCTGATGGATAGCCTGTGGAAGTCTCAGAAGGAGAAGGTGAAAATGGATGACTGGGCGATCCGATATCCCACCAACATCGAGGACGTGGCTCGTGTGTGTCTGGACATTGCGAAGCTCTATACCTCGTCCTCGCACCCAGAGCGGTTACCTCGAGTGCTGCAGTTTTCGAGTGAAGACCGCATGACGAAATATGAGATCGTGCAGAAATTCGCGGAGATCATGGGACTACCTATCGACGGCATCGTGGCGGACAAAGATGGAGGCAAGCCAGGCCCGGACGGGACGCTGAGGCCATATGATTGCCACCTCGACACGAGTGAGTTGCAGGCGTTGGGGATCGATATTGGCACCGTGGATTTTGTGGCCTGGTGGAGGAGGTGGGTTGGTGCCTTTCGGCATTGAATGAAAATGCGCGGGCAGAGGAGAGGGGACCAGACAGACAGCAGAGAGGTGGTCGAATCTGTTCAGAACGGCGTTCAAAACGGCAACATATTGTTCTATCCAAACTCGGTCGAGGTCATGACGACAATGTGAGACGTAATTCGGCAGACAGAGTAAGTCGGGTGAATGTGCCAGAGCAAAGCAAATGTGAGTTCAAAGCAGCCTGCCATGCTTTGTGTCGCAGCACAACTTCTCTACCGTCCACGATGCATGCTCGTCCATGTGCCTTCGCCTTGATTGTGGCAAGCAATGTGTTCGATTTCCCCCGGTATGGCTGCCATGTCGTATCGGCCACGACACCGTGAGCCTCCAAGACGGGGCTCTCATGATCCCCTCAAACCTATCCGGGTACCGTCGAGGAAGGCAAGGAGATTGGATCCACACAGACGTGAGATTCAGGAAATCCAGAAAAGATAGCCGGGGTCATCAAGGACAAACGTGACCGGTAGCAGGAGTCGGGAAGCCGGCCAGTGTAGTGGGAGTCAAGGCAGCCGAGTGAGTATCGGTGTCCGTGCTACTTGTAAATGACCCAGACGAACCGCCACGACATGGGCAGGCACAATCTGCTAGCGTGCCGCCCTCCATGATAGACGGCGAAGTCGTGGGACGACGACTTGTGGAGACGAAAGTCGGTGGATTATGTAGAAGCAAGTTTCGAATCCTGACTATTTGTTTACCGCAGGACTCATGGCATATTCCCTATAGATAATTATCTATAGTAGCACGAATGTAGTGGGTAGCAGACAGTGGCTCTAACATTGGACGCTGATCTAGGATTCTGTCTGTGTCCTCGAACGAAGTTAAGGTCCGAGGCAAAAGTAGCACTTTATTAATAGAGTAGACGCTCGGAGGAGAAACTTTCAAAAGCTCGTTGGACGCTTCTGACCGAAACATCAGAATTGCCAGCCGCTGTAGTACCGGTTTCTACGGTGGGAACTACCTAGAGTTACCACAGTAGGCCTCGTAGGCTGACTCCCACATCCCATTACTTAGCGGCAGGGCTGATCATAGAAAGGCCCGCTTGATGGCCCGGTCCAGATTGCTTCTCTCGCTGTCAAGAGTGTTGTGTCGTTCCATGCGCAAGCACTGCCATTTTAGCCCGCTCCAAGCAAGGACAAGATTAAACACGCGGTCTCTGTCCGCAGGGTGCAACAGTACCGTGAGATCTGTGTCATCCAGGAACCTGAACTGCAGCACCTCCGCATATCGAGAGTGTAGACGGCTGAGATTCTTTAGCGTCGAAGTGGACTGGACGTCGATATGATCGAGCTTGCGAATTTCGACGAAGGAGGAGAATGGCCATTTTCGTTCGGATCCATCTTTTGCAGAGATGGTGAGGCATTCCCTGGCAACCGTGAGTTGACACCTTCCTTCGACGCTGTCGTGGACTTTGAACGAATAGGACGAAGCCAACTTCTTTGGTCGCACCGCTCGCCGGTCGTCATCTTTGTATTCAAATTCCTCGAAATTCGCCTCCTTTGAGGCTGCCTTCCTTTGCAAGGTTAAGATGGCTAACTCTGCGTGTGTTGGGATATCCCAAAATACCCATCTCCAGTGCGACAGCAACAGCCTATACTTGGGGAAATTCGCAGAGATCGGATATGTCAAGAAGAACGCGCCGCCTGCAATGAACCAAACCAGTTTCATGCAAAACTCCATATCCGCACACAATGAGATAAGCAGAGAGCAGGAGAAGAAGAAGAGTGTCGCAAGCGTCAGGCTTGATCGTTCCCAACGATGGAAATTGACAAGGATTTCGAGTAGGTCGGCCAAGTCGCCTAGTTGCAGTTGGATCATCGGCCCGATCTCGTCGAGAAATTGTTCCAGCCAGTCATGCTGTCCGTGTCTTTGAATGAGTTCACCCCATGCCTGGACTCGTGCTTTACGATCAATAGCCCTCCCGACGCTCTCTCGTACCGTCCGTATAGAGGTTTCGCGGAATCTGTTGCGTAAGGTAGAATAGATGACGTAAAAGTAGAAGTAAGCCACGATATGCTGAGTGTACCACAAGACCAGATACAGCGCCAACCATTTCGCCGTCTGTTTTGGGTCTTTCCACATGTAGACCTGACGCACCTTGACGAGAAATGATTGCCATGGTGCAGAAGTAATCGCAATCCGTTCAATGATTCGAGCAAGATCTTCCAGGTCAAAGGGTGGAGATGTGAAGTCATCGATGTACCCTGATGTGAAGTTTCGGGTATAGTAGAGGGCCATATAGCCGAGATACCTCTCCCACTCGAAGCGATCTTCCTTCTTGAATTGTGATTTGGCTGGGCGAGATAATGGACGCACAACTTTGACACGGGAGACGTGCCGACTCAAGATCCAAGCTGTTTGTAGACTTTCTCTCTGCTGTTCGACTTTCTGTACGCGGCCGTGCGCTTCGTCCAGCTCGGAGATCACATTTTCAATGTCCGAGGTATCCGACGCATTGCTCGACACTGCTTGCGAGAAAGCATCATGTGCGTCAAGCAAATCCTGGTCGCGGTCAAGCGTCAATAACGGGTGTTGCCGGCCTAGTTTCTCAGACGCGATATGTGTAGCTTTGCTTCTCATGACCCTCCGAGGATGGGTAACCAGATATTTGGCGCTCTTGAGGTCATCTCGAATTGCTTCGCTGGTTGACCTCCCCCGATTCTCCGACGCTTGTTTCAGGGCTTGCGCTGAGTCGAAAGCTGCATCAGCAAAGATATCATCTTCATCGTCGGTAAGGGGTCGAGTTTCAGCCGGAGAGAACAATTGCTTAGTTTTCTCCTTGGCCTTGTCTTTGGCGCGTTTGGCACTATCGACCAGGTTGCCGATGTGATGCTCTGTCTCAGTCAGGCTTTCACGGTGATTGAAGGTCATCACGAGTGACGTCTGGAGAAGAAATTCAGAGTAGTCACTGACAGAAAGTCAGGAAGATCGTGCCTCATGTTGAGAATATGCATCACGGAGGCCATAGTGAGAAGAGAGCTGAATAACAAAGCTTCAACGGCGCCATCTTGCTTGGCTACCGTCTTCCAGGTTTTGTGAACGCTAGAATTGCATGTTAACGGAAGCTCTGGAACAAATGATTGGCACGGTCCAAGAAATGGAATCGGAAAGCGAGATCTCGTCAAGAACCAGGCAGATCGATGCGCGCACTTGCAGCCACTGACGACGATAAGCGAAGGAAATCGGAATGTGCAAGCGAGGACAATCGCACGCACTCCGCCGTATTAGAGCGGTGAAGCACTAAGCCAGATGCGCAGGTTTCTCCGTTTCTATGAAGCGGAGGTGAGCGGTCAATATCTGACAATCACATACACCACAGTTCAGCATCACCAGTAGCTAGAGTGGCTCCCGATCAGTAAACGACTCGCGAGCGTAACCGGGGGCGTAGATGCCTCTCGAACGCTGTAGCATGATCCTTATTGGTAGGTTGACGGCTGTGAGTAAATCTCATCGTTTCGTGAAGCATTCATCAGAGTCATTTCTGCCGGACCTGGATGGGAAAAATGGTTCTGCCTTCACCGCTTAACATTGTTCGCTCATGAACAACTGACGTTTCCTCGTATCGACCGTCTTGTTTGACGCCTTCCTAACTTCCACTCACTTCATCAACCTAAAACCTCCTAACCAAGCCCATCGTTGAATCTCTGGTGGTCTGACGAGCACACACCCTGCCCTCAAGATGAGCGACAATCCACCTCCAAAGAAGAAGTCTCGCTTCTTTTCGAATGGAATGAGCGTCGTTGATAACATTCTGCGTCCACTTAACAAACAGGCTCGTAAAGGCGGCGAAGGTGATGGCTCGGCTGAGGCAGAAGCCAACGACCCTCCAAGAGATGGTACTCCCTCGACTGAGCAAGGTCCCTCTCTACTGTCCAACATTCGGCCTGCTGTTCCCTCGACATTGCCAGCACAAACGACAACACCAAATGAAACTCCGGCGACTGGTAGTGCTCCTGCCCCACCGAGCGCGTTTCTAGCTAGAGAACATCACGACCACCGACAGAGCCCTCCACCACCGCGACACGCCCCGGATAGCGAAGCCGAGACAGAGGTTGAGTCGATTGCAGATCGCCGAGAAGATGAAGCAGATTGTGGTGCGAGTGATGAGGAGAACACCAAACCGAGCCTTCACATTCAGAGACAACGACACCAGCGAAGACAAGCCATCTACGGCGCAGAGGCTCTTCTCCCACAAGGGTCAAAAATTGGTGGACAGCAGACTTCTCAGCCTCCAAGCTTCATCTACAATCCTCATAGCATCCCAGCACAAGGTCCGATCCTGACCGCTCCCTCTGCCCTAGCACCTCCTGGCAACAGCTACACATTTAGCGGCGTCCCTACAAACCCCAATGCCACCACAGCTGGAGGCCAATTTGCCTTCAACTTCAGACTCACGCAAGATCTGCCAATTCCTTCCACGATCCAGCAACCGGCTTACAATCAGTACCAACACCCCATCGGTTCCGGCTTGGCACGCATCGCTCACCAAGCCGTCCACGCTGATACCGGGCCTCTGAATCGGCATGGGCAACAAGATCCGACGACACCCAAACAACCCTTCCAAACAAATGTACTTAACGCACCTTATGTTGACATGGACCGTGACGAACACGGCCGACGGCTTCGAGACTACGTCCCCCGGCCCACAGCCCATCACGGCATCTGCCACTCTTCTAATACCGTGGCTCCTCGCCTTCGCGGGACAGACCTCGACTCCCTTATTCCCGAACACATGTACACGTCGCCCAACCGTGTGGAGCGCGCCCAACAATTCGCACGCATCAATCTCAAGCGCAAGCGTCCCGATGCAATACTCCCACCAGCCAGCTATGTGTACCAGCACACGGGGTCCCCAGACTTCAATATCTTCCACGGCCTGCTGCTCTACCCGGAACTGTGCTTCGCGCTGGCCGCCCACCTACCAGTCAAGGACCTGATCTCTCTGTACGCCATCTCCAAGGACTTCCACGTGATTCTGGACACGCGCTTCACGACGGTGATGCTGAGGCAAGCGGTCTCCAAAGCCCCGGACTCGGCGCGCACATTCATGTTCCGCAGCTACGCGCACCTCTGCCGGTCCGACCCGGCGGCGCGGATTGCGCACCCCAACGCGCAGCTCGCCGAGCAGGGCACGCCGCGCAAGATCCCCTCCTTCCGCTGGCTCAAGATGGTGCTGCACCGCGAGAAGGTGATCCACGAGCTGATGACCGTGTTTGCCGAGGACGGGATCCCGCTGCCCGCGCGCTGCGCGCTCGCCCTGAAGAGGCTGTGGTTCATGCTCGACATCCCCGACAACGCGCGCCGCATTGGATTCGTGCACAACAAGACCCTCATGACGGACCTGGATCTGTACTTCTGCGCGTGCTTCATCACGAAGCTGGACATGCGACTCAACGACCCGATCAGTGGCGAGAAACGCGACGGAATGCGCAAGCTATTGCTCGCGCAGCGCAGTTTCACGCGCATTCTCCGTGTCCTGAAGCGCGAGGTCTGGACGATCAGGTTCGACGTCCTCCGCGAGTGGGTGAGGATGAAGCACGTGATCACCGAGGAAGACGAGGTGGGCCTCGACATGTTCGGCGTGCCGGCCAGCGAGATCGGCCGCGGCAGATTGGAGTACTGGGGTCTGAAAACCGAGGAGGACATCGGTCGCAAACTGCACGGCCTGTTGCGGCCCGACCAGCTGATCGTGCGGGAGGCGATCAAGCGGGGCATGCGCTTCGAGAAGCATTACCTCCGGTTCTTGCTATACGGGTACGTGAGGCCGGACACGCTAGAGGACTATGCGCCCAGGACGTACGGCCGGCGGATCAGTGAGATCCAAGACGATGAGTACGAGGTTGACGATCTCGTGGGCGGAGTGGCTGCGCTGGGTATGGGCGACGAGGGCTTCGATCCGTTACTGGACTTGGGCCAGCCGAGGGAGACGAGTCCGTACACGATTGTCAAGGAAGAGACGAGTAAAGCGGAGGTGGTGATGCGGGAGCGCGAGGACCAGTTTCTCGACAAGTGCATTAGCTGGTGGGAGGAGGAGAGACGAGCGATGCAGCCACTGAAAAAGCATGCCGCGTGAGGAATCGTTGGGACGGTGCAACTACTGTCTACAAGTGGGCTAATTGTCGTACCGGAGCGCACAGCACATAGACACACGGTACTCCGTACTGTATCAGGGTCTCTGACCAAAAGGCGAAGCGCGGCAAAGCGAGGCATGGAGAGCAGATCAGATCAGATCAGATGCTTTACGTACACCTAACGTATTAGTGAGACACCGACACTTCATCTCTCTGTCTGGAGAACTGCACGTAGTGGCGGTTACAAGTTGCAAGCGCTGTTTCCAGGAAAAGGCCACCGGAGCAATGTACACATGGCACTGCACGTCTGGATGTTCATTCCTACTGTAGACAGGCGTGTAGACAGGCGTGTAGACGGGCGTGTAGACGGGCTTGTAGATACGGGTCTACGTAAATATTGGTGCAGATAAGGCAGGGTGTAGACATACGTGTGCCTGTGTGTGTGTGTATGGGTGTGTGTGTGTATGGGTGTGTGTGTGTATGGGTGTGTGTGGGCGGGCTCGATGGTGGCGCACGGATCTCTCTTTACTCAGGTAACTGTACAGTACAAAGTACGTAGTACACAGTCCACAATACACAGTAGGATGAGGGATAAGGGATGAGGGATAAGCGGACGGACCGTCTTTCAGCCTTGGAGCCACACGCATGGCCTCGGTCTGATGGATGGATAGGGCGGTACCACTGCCTGGTACTGTGTACTGTGTACTGTAGCAACGTCGTATCAGCTTGCTTGACGGTACGGAGCACAAACTGGGGTCCCGACAACGGTGAGACTGGCCACCTTGGGACCAAATCCAAAGCAGGGGCAGAGGACTTTCGTCCGTCATTAGTATCGAGGTAGGTAGGTAATGGTACTCGTAGTGGTGGTAATAGTGGTGGAGGTATTGCGGCTACTCGTACTAGGAATGGTACAGAGTACAGAGTACAGTACTCCGTGCTGTGGTAGTAGCAGACTTGGATACTGAGTAATAATACAAGTGAGGATTCTTGGATCCTGATTTGTAGGAGAATTCTCCCCCCCTCTGATTAACGCCTCGCTGTCTATCTAGATGGCAGATGAACTCCAAGATATTATTGATTCGCACTGTCGGTGGGATGCGCGGTCCGAATTGCACCCCATGCAGCTTTTCTGTGACGACCTCTTGCCACGAGGTGGTTTCCCACGACTAGGCGAGGTCAAAGAACAGGAAGTGGGCAGGATCCTAGGTAGTCGGAGTGTCACGCTCCATTGAGGACGATGAAAAAGACATTACCCTCCTCGCGGCAGATTGTAGGTGTTGTGGTTTGAGCTTCTCCTGCTTCCATGTGCATTGTCATCGCTTGGCGACGAGTGGGCAGTCAATCGGCATAAAGTTGAGTGAGTAGCGGATGGCCTGGGGATATCGGATGGGTGGTGCGACATTGGTGTGCTTGCACTTTGTGTTGCTTCTCGTCGATCAGGCGCGGACTCATGTGGATCGGTGAACAGCCAAAGCAAGGAATGTGCTGATTGATGCTTCATCTTGTTGTCAAGATCGACATAGTTTGGCGTATCCAGACGTGGGGAAAGCCATCGTCTGATTACGTCGTGGTTGTCATTTCTTCGACTTGGTTCCTGTAATAATCTACCCTGGAGGCTTAAGGGCGGACGCTGTACCGAGGGTCGTTAGCATCTGGCGGTGCTGAGACCGAAGAGGTCAGCTTCGACTTTGGTGGAGGGTCGAATCGTGTTCCAGCTGGTGTTGAGATGGTGAACAAGGCGTTCCGTGTAAACTGGTAGCGGGCATGTTGACCTTATGTCGCCTCCTCGTCTAACTCCACGTTGGGGGTATTCATCTCCCATCAGGATGGGAGCTTCAGGACGCTTTCCCTCGGCTCAGTCGAAGTTCGTCATGCCACTTCTAGGGCTGTGATACACCGCGAATCTTTGAATTCAGCTTGCCTTCACCGCCAACCACTGTCGTGTCCTCCGAGGACACCACTGTGTTGGAATCACCCGGCTGATGTGAAGCATGGGACCCTTCCACCGGGGTCGGTACCCAGTCGCCCGGTAATTCTTGTCGAGGACCCCAACGTTCGTCTCCTGGAGCTTCCACCGGCGTCATCACCGACGAAGCAATCTCTTGGGGCATGGCTGCGTGCATCTCGGTCGCGATCTTCTTTTCATTCTGTGGCAGCTCGGAATAGGGCGGTGCAGCGGGTTGAGAATCAATTTCATGAGCCCTTCTGGCTTCCATGTCTGCTCTCTTCCTGCGGTTGCTTCGAACGACAAAGAAAACCAACAGCGCAATGAGTCCTAGCCCCACAACCGCTGCGGCAACGGCGATGCCGGCTTTGGCGCCGCCAGATAACCCTGTATCGTCACTGCTGATCCCGGTGGAAGTACCATTCGCGGTCGAACCAGTAGGATCAGGTGCTCCGGTCGGAACCACGGATGGCACTGCCGAAGTCGCAACTGATAGGTCCTGACAATCGACGGAGAATTGGCTCACGTTCGTGGCTGTCATACAGTCGGAGAAGGGGGCGAGGAATAGGGTGGTGGAACTGCAAAAGGCCACATCGCTGCCGTAAACCGTAACTGTGTGTACGTTAGTATGGTTTGACGTTGCGCCCAGCCCGCTCCCACTTACCTGCACACGTTTGGTCCAGACTTGTGACCATGAAACTGAGATAGCCCTGCACGTTTGTCGGGAACGGTGTACATGTTCCATCGTCGGGACCGGTCTTCCAGCCTTTGAAGGTCTGGCATGCATTGTCCGAGTAGAAGGTGATATTCGACAAGGCAGTGGCCCGGTGGAGGTTAAATGCGAACCACGCAACAGCGCCAGCGAGGCTGAGGAGCTTCATACTTTGCAGCAACGACACAATTCTCCAAACATATGGTACAGGAAGAGCAAGCGGGAAGAAGTGACGAAGGTGTTGTTGCTTGCGGCTCAGGCGAAGATACGTAAACCAACCGGCGGTGTGGATGGGGAACGAGGGACTTTTGAGTCTCTGGCAGATCCCGAGAACGGCGGGGCCAGGGAGATCCGTAACGACGCAGTTGCCCATGGGTCATCAGACAGACGAGTGAATGATAGCGTCAAAGCACTGAGGCTGATGTCGGGCGGGGAACGCGTGTCGAGGGAACCGAGTCAAGGAGATTTGAGGTCCGCTGGGGGCTGATCCTGCGCCTTCGTGTCATGTTTCCGGCCAGAATCCCAACGGGCTGGACGTGCTCGGCGACGCAGACGTGGCTCGATTTGCAGTGGGAGAGCAGCTATCGAATTTCCATGATGGGAACCAACAAGTGGTCACCGCCATGCTATCAGCGGCTAGCGATGCCAACGGGGCTTGAGGATGTCACTCACCCTGAACACAGTAGGTGTCCCACAAAACCCGGCCCCCTACGAGTTACTCGCATGTACCTCGTAGACGGTGAATTGATAATCAGATGATGGTTGGGTGATCAGTACCTCGAAACGGCCGACAAAAGACGACGGAACAACAAAGCCGTCGCCGCTGAGGCATAGTTGCCTCGTTCAGTAATCGGTTTCTTGCCAGCCACAACCAGCATGCATGCGTGCCGTCAGCGTGAGTGGTCAGAAACACCCGGAGGATCGTTACAGGAACCGAAGCCAATCTCGCTAGCTACACAAGCTTGCAGGTACAACACCTTGGCGCAGGGGCTGACTTCATCCAACATCAGCCCTACCACTGCTGCGTCCCCATAGGTGCCAAAAAGGAAAGAGTCGGATGGAACAGGACTGGTGCTCGTGCTCGGAGACCGAGTCGATAACTTCAGTCAGCCACCTTGAAGCCCCGAAACTGCCGAGAAACCTGAGGAACATTGTCAGGACGCCAATATAACGCCCGTGGTGGTCGCGTTCAAAAGCACACACGGACCAGATGCGCCTGGTGTTTCGTCTCGTCTTGGATCTGACCTTGGCCGTCCTCATTGGCTATCCGCCTCTCTGCTTAATGATTACAACATGGTGGTCTTACATATCCAGTGACCTGGCGAGCCTGCGCAGGAGCAGGGGAGGGCAGGGCAACGCAGGGCGCAGGGCAGCTGTGGCAAATCTTCGGCCGTAGCAAAAGAATCCCTCCGAAAGTACCAGGTTCGCTAAGTTCCTTGCGGTCCTTCTCAGCCTCATTCCCTTCAGGGTTGATCGACGATCAATCCCCCCCAGGTCCTCCAAAGCATGTGCCATGGACGCACTTGCAATACACCGCATGCAACCAGTAAGCCAGGCGAGATATGGAGCCAGCCTTAGTTAATGACCTGATGCACACCCTTTTTGCGAACCCATTCTCGAAACGCGAAAGATGCAGACAACCGTCGGGTATCAAGATCGTGACCCTCTCCCTTTCCAAGACGAAAAGACCCAACGCCACGCTTGATGCTTCGGAACCACGCCGCCACGTTCTCATAACGCTGCGAAATCCCCCTCGAGCACGGCTTTGGCGAACGGTATATTGCCAGAGTCCGCTATTCTTCCGCCAACCACTTCGCCAAGAGTTTCAATGAGTTTGGCTCGCATGTTGGCAGCAGAGGCCTCTGAATGGCCGTTCATCATCGGGATATCGTCATCCACCAGTGTTCGCAGAGAAATCAGAATTGCGGCAACCACTTTTTCTGCTTCGGCTTTCTTCACGCTGCCTTCTTGAATATCCTCTTCCAGGAGCTGACCGTAGACTTTGACATTGGGCAGAATGAGCTGGCGGGCCACTTCGGCGCCACCGACGGCTTTCAATCCGAGGATGGCACCGTAGTGGCTTCCGTACGGCTTCTTGGGGTCGAGGAAGGTCTTCAGACACGACCGTGCTAGCCGAGGTTTGAGATTATGTGAGTATTTGGCGTATCTGTTGCAGAGGTGGCCCAGCAACGCCGCAGCTAGATCTCGCAGGTCGTAGTGATCGAGTGCTCCTATGCCTGTGCCCAATGTTCGTCCGATCAAGCAGGTCAATACGGGAGGGACCATGGATGCCACCTGTTCGACTGTCAGTTATCCCTCACCTTGGCCGTTCCTTGATCACATACGTATGGTGTCAGATTGAGCTTCTCATTCCTTGTCAACGCATCCGTGACCAGCATCATCTGAGTCAACACAAACAGATCCTTCAAGTTATGCGTGACCTTTTCTGCGACGAATTGCACAAAGTACGGCACCAGCTGGTGTAGACCTGGATCTTCTTTCAAGCTGGCCAGCCCCGCCGTGCGATATTCCAGTTGCGTCTCATCCAGGACCGATGAGCAGACCTTCTCAAAGTACAGTTGTAATTCTTTGGAGAGGATATGTTTGACCTGAGGTTTGGTGGTGGTGTTGTCTGCGCCACTCATAGCAGCCAGCGCGTGGTTCGCGTTCGGTCCCTTCGGTATGAGTTCGAGATTCCGCGCTTCATTTGAGGTTGGGTTTTGAGGTATTGAGGGTTGGACGCCCTCGACGGCAAGCCAGTGCGCTGTAGTCAGGTCAGACGCAGCTCATCACAATGGTAAAGAGCGATCACTCACCTGTGAATGTCACTTCTCTGGGCACTTTCGGTAGCGGCGCGTTGATAAGCTTCTCGAAGTCCATCTCTTCATCCTCGACGTAGAACAGCGGTTGCCCAGGACCCAGTGACGCCTGGCCATACTTCAGCGGTCTGGTAGATTCATAGCCGTAGAGTGGTTCAATGTCGAGCACGCGAAGGGCTTGCGATATATCTTGCGACCAGAGAATCGTGCGGCGGGCATGTTTCATGAACTTGAGGGCTTCTTGGAGGACTTGCGAGATGCGGTACTCCACATCGCGGCAGAGGGAGGTGTTGACTTCCTTGTTGAAGTTGTAAATTCCGACAGATTCAGCGACATCTTTGACCGTGTCTTGACCCCAGAGAGTCATTGCTGCATCGGTTCAGAGAATTGAGCGGTGGTCGCGATCAGATTGGGATAATGGGAATTATTCTGTTGTCAATCGCTTGCCCGCCACGGGGAACGCCACAGGATATTGCGGGCAGGGTAAGTGACGCGGTTTTAGCGGGCTTGGAAATAGAGATATATATTTAAGAGAAATATTCTTCTTCGCAATCGACCATAGGATGTGGAAAACAGGGCTTCCCGTTCGCTCAGCCGTACTTAAGCCACATGCCGGTTAGTTAGTACTAAGGTGGGTGACCACTTGGGAATCCTAGCTGTTGATTGTTTTTGGTTTTGTTCACCTTTCTAGAGCGTAATTTTTGGTTTACTCAAGATACCTACACCTTGCACGACCTTGGTGAATACGTATATCACGAGGGGTATTCTTTGGTTATCTTGATGCTCTCAAAAGGCGACATGAAAGCATGCCAAGTGGTGACAGCAAGAATTCATGTGCCAGAGGAGCCTTGTAGTGCGTTGGCGCGACAGAGACAAGTCGGAACTGGGACGTCAACCAATATTAAATCTCCTCGAAGCTCAGACTGAGCTCATTCGACGCATACCGCATTCATAACTGGATTCTCGAAACCTGTCCTTCTCCCACTCCTTCATGTCGACTAGAGTCGAAGGACAAACTTCATATCATCCACCATGCAGTTAATGTCGTCTGTTCAGGCCAAAGCTCGCGTTGACACAGTTTCCGTTCCGAACGAGCACGGAAGGCAATTCGTCGTTGATGACGAGCTCGAGATGAGGTGCCCCTCCGATCTTGATAATAAGTTTGGACGCATGGAGCCGTGCTACTTCCGCACATGTTTACCCAGCGATTGGCTGGACCTCGAAATCCATGCTAAGAGCGATGACCTCTGGGAGGACAGTAACGCTTGAATGCCCATCTCCACTCCAGATCGCAGTTGCGGTGTATATGATAACCAACCAAAAATGGACCAGGAGGAGACCGTTAGCGAGTCGTCGACTTGTAGCGCGCATGAAAAGCTCGATACCGGAACCGTGGAAAACTGAAAGACGTCAAAATCCTCTGCTACGGGTCGATTGCCATTGCTTCTCACACGCGTGCCGTTGCTGATATTCACCACGTCTCCGAGCGTCATTGTACCTCCCATCCCCTATCTTGTTACGATCTTGTTGATAAGCATGGATGATGAGGGGTTCAAGTGCGGCGCTGGGAGAAGGCTGGCGTGCGAGTAGCGAATTTGTATAGATTCTACCAGATGTCTGGGCGGTGGGCAGGGTGGTGTTGACCCATCCGACATTTTGACTCACCAGCTATGTCGTGCTCGCATTCGTCCCACGCAAAGGTCAAATCTTCTGGTAGTCAGGGTCGTTGGTGGAAGGTGAGTGAATTTATAGATGTAGCTTGCAACAGACCAACCAGCGTACATGGAGCCGTCACAACATGAGCCTTGGGAGGCATGCTTTCGCCAAGGTGTTCATGGCTCCGTTCACCATGAAAGCGGCTCCGAGTAGAAGAGTCCTCTCACCAAGACCTGGTGGTTCTACCCAAATGCAGCGAGGGTATTCCGCGCCCACCACATCTCTATGAGATTGACAGAAGCGATGACATTCCATGCCGTCGCCGGCCCCGTTGAGTTGGCAGTATGCTTGACCGTGAATTGTGGCTGGTATCGATGAACCCGTCTTCCTCGAAGATGTCGTTGAAGAATTTCCTGCAACGGTGCATCGCAAGTGAAGGAGCAAGTCGATCATTACCATCCAATATGCCGAATGTTGAGAAAAGGTGATAGCGATCTTGGACATGGGATAGGAATACCTTCAGCTCTGCCACAGATGCTCCGAATCTTAGACTCATAGGTCCGTCGCATAATATGATTGACCACCTGGCGAAGCGGGTGCACTTCTGGCTTTTGGGGTCTTGCTGCTCAACGAGCACAGATATAGACTCCCACAGAAGATGGTAGTGGAGATGTACAGTGTGCAGATGCTCAAAACGCAAGGCAGTCTTCCAGGGTCCCATAGTGCAGCAGGGATGGACCAGACGGACTCTTCAAGCTTCGAGGAGGCTCACAACACGATCCGTCATGCTCGAGTGAGCGTGGCTTGTTATCAGAAATATGCCACACTTCATCCTCTCTCTCACGTACCTGGCTTGGCATCACCCGCATGGTGGCAAAATGCGCAGATATCTAACTTTCCAACTGAACAGTGACAGCAGGAAATCAGGGGGAGCAACACTAGTTACTGTAATGGCTGGCTGTTCAGAGCTTGGGGAGAACACGTAAACTTCGACACGATCAAGAAATCCGACCGGGTCACGAGGCTCACTGTGAATCACGGCTCACAGTAATTACAGAGTGCCCGTGAGAGCGGCTTGGCTGGCTCCCCGAACCGCTAATGGGGGCATTGGCGCTCAACGGGCGGTCCAGTCAGGGGGCTAGGGGGCATTGAAGCCTGTTTAGAAGGCACGTCTAGGCCTAAACTGAAAACCGTAGGTGAGCCGATGCCACAGTCAGCCACTTTCTCTCCTCCGCCGAGGTAAGTCCATCCAGTTCATCAATACTTCTCGTCCCTCTCGAGTACACACCTTCCCACAGTCCACCCACAAGTTCATACGTTCTCAACAAGGGACTTAATTCGGGATGAGATGTCGCCCATTGATCCTTCCCGATGTATAGCACCATTGCTCCTTCCAACCGACCATCTTCGACGACTCCCTCGACAGCGGATCGCGCTTGTGATCGCTGTCGTCGGTTCAAGATCAAAGTGCGTTCAAAGCCCGCGTGTCCACGGATTGCCAGTTGACGAGCACCCTAGTGTCGAAGCTTGACGCCTGCCAAACACAAAGGTTCGGTGTCGTTGCCTTGTGACCAATGTCGCCGGGCTGGTTCGATATGCAAGTACGATGAGAAACGTCCCAAGCGAGGGCGACCTAGCAAGCAGTATGCAAACAAGTTCTTGCCCCTGTCAAGTCGATACTGTCTAATGTGTACACAGAGAATTACACCGCTCGAGCCTTCCCTATGATGAGACAGTGATCAGCTTTAAACCCTCCCCACTAGTAACGCCGCGGAATTTACCGAGCGTTCAATCCAGTCTTGCAAACTCTGACAGATCCGAGCTTCCATCAGACTCTTCTTATGGTCACCTCCAATCAGACAGTACGCTCGAGCGACATGATATGGTGCACAGCACATCAGATTGGTGTCTGGATCCGGTCGCAGACGCTCCCAAGGACCATCAGCGTCTCGATGGTTTCTCCCTTAGCAGCTGGGCTCTGACGCCCGTTCTAGACACCGAGCAACCTGCATCCAAGGATTCCGAAACGCTGGAGCCGCAAATACTGCCGGACCGCCTCGACAATGCAGCTACCACCGCTCCGTCACCGTACCAATTGCCTATTTCCCCGACAGTGGCAATGCAATCACCATTCGAGCCGAAGCCAGATACCGAGATCTGGCGGAGCGTACAGCACTTCTTCGAGACCATGCACGTTATTTTCCCGGTCTTGACGTATACTGACCTTCTTTCTCGCTTTGTTCTCGAGCCCCAATGGAGCGTGGCACCCGACTTCCGGACTCTTCTCTTTGCGGTACGTATGGTAACGGCCGCTGGGGAGCATCGGATGACTTCCAACAATGCGGAGAATCTCAAGAAGTTCATCGAGCAAGTGGAGAGATCACGGCTTTGTTATGACTTCGCCGAGTGCCCAACGCTAGACGAGGTGATCATTTCGCTGTTTTTGTTTACATCTTACAATGTGCTCGAAAAGCACAATCGAGCGTTCTTATACCTCGACGAGGCTCTGTCGCTAATGGAAACAGTGCAACCTGTTGGTGCTGAGGAGGAGGCCAGGAGGATGCACATTGAGCAGGTCCTGTACAACACCGAAGCGGCAAGCTTCGCAATTTATGCAGGCAAAGGCAGGAGACGTCGAGCCAAAAAGCCAATGGTGAACCTCGAACACTCCTCGATCAAGCCTTTAAGAATCGAGACCAGTGAACAGTCTGAGCAGGTTGCACTGCACCTGCTTGATCGACTTACAGAGATTCACGTCGCAGAGGACACAGAGGCGCTACGGATCATTAGCACCGCATCAGAAACTGACATGAAAACGCTATTTGGAGCAGCCTTTGAGATGCACCGTTATTGCAGGATCCAGGCTGCTGATGTTGCTGTTAGTCGACAATGGCAACTCTCGTCTAAGCTTGTATCCGGCTTTCGCCAGCGAACAGGCGTCGAGGAATTGAGGCAATCAACCATTGAGGGTCTGGGCAACGCCGCCCTAGCTTGGATCTGCTTGCTCAAAGAGGGCGAGCCTAGAATCGTGGGTTTGGGCAAATTGTCAGGGCTTGCGAAGAACATTGTCGCCCTCTCAGGAGGCAGGTGCCCGTCCTACCAAGTTGCTGGTCTCGTGAGTGCCATCATCAGGGAGGACCATGAAAGACAGTTCGCACCTGAACTTGCGGATGTCGTTCTACCCATGGTCTCCACAATACCTTCAACGCTCTACCCGGTCATCGATGGACCAATGGAAGGTGGCCCCGATAACGAGCCGACGCTGCATTCCTACCTTTGCTCGCCACAGCAATCATCATGCGTGGCGATGCCGCTGTCCACATATACGTGCGCTGACGAAGATTTTGACAATTCTGGTGTGGAAGATCTAAACTGGTTGGTCGATCTAACTTGAATGTTCATGACCGCGATTATTTGCGCTCTTTCAAGAAGGCTTGCCCGCGAACGCTGCACCAAACGCATCCACCTGCCTGGCTAACCAGGACTTCGTCACCTCGGCATTGACAGGAAAGGTGAAACCATGAGGGACACCAGGCAGGACCTCCTCAACGACCTTGACCCCAGCTGACCGGAGATGTTGCGCATATGCCAAGCCCTGGAACTTCAAAAGATCGCATGCAGCAACGGTCACATGTGTGGGCGGATGACTGGCGTCAAGCTTTGCCATTAGGGGGGACAGGAGAGGGTCGCAGGGATCAGTCCGACCGCCTGTGTACAGTTCTGAACATTGACATTAGCAACGACATCGCTTTCAACGCCGTGAAGCAGGACCAACCGTATAATTTCTCGAAATCCTTGACAACGGCGTCTGGGGCACGTTGAGAATCATCGAAAGACAGTCCATTCTGACTCTTTCCAATTGTGCGGTCGCGCTCGAACGTAAGTTGCGCTTTCGGATGCGCAGTTACAGGGACGACGAGGCTGACTAGCCGAAGACTTCGACACCTCTCGGATGACGCTGCTTGTGACAGCCGTATTGCAAGAGCCGCCGCAAGATTCCCTCCCGCAGATGCACCCCAAATGCCTATCCTGCTTGCATCAATATTGTATTCTGAAGCATGCCTGGTCACCTAGATCGATCATGTCAACGTCTGGTACAACACTTCGGAGCGGATGCCTACCCATTCCAATGCCTCACAACAGTCATCAAGAGCAGCGGGATACGGATGCTCAGGGGCCAGCCGGTAGTCGACACCAAGCACCACTGCTCGCAGTTCTGATGCCAGATGAATCGAAAAGGCTGCAGTATTGTGAGCGACGAAAAGCAGGGTGTATCGAGCGTGACAAAGCAGGACTAACCTTCGTCGCCTTCCGGCTTCCCATGGATCCAACCTCCTCCATGTAACATCAGGATGGCAGGCATTCCTTGCGCTTCTCCCTCGTTTCTTGCAATCCTCGGGACATACATGCGAATCCCGAACTTGTGTCCACTGCCATCGGAACATGGCACAGAGATGTTGCGTATGTCGATCGGAACTGGTGGCTGTTGACATTTGAGATCACATTGTAGTCGAGCCTCAGCGAGCGGCCCGTGCAGCAACGTGCTATCTATCCACTTCCGCATGTTTTCCACGTCAGCGCCATTGGGGACAGCAGTAAAGTCCACAGGGAGTCTAGCCATATGCTGAACAAGTCAGTGACGAACCAGTGTGCAATCTGGAGACTTCACACCTGTAAGAAGTCGACATCAGGCGCCTCTAGCGGGTTCTTTGCGTGCAGATCCATGCCCAACGCTTTACAGAGCAGTTCAAGAGCCGAGACATCGCTTGGGGGCTTGTCCTGGCCTTGTGCGTGGACGGGCTCGGCCACCGCGATGGCTGGCTCTTGCAGAGCAATTTCAGCCATCTTCCTGGATTTGCACTGAAGTCGAGGGTTTGGTTTGCTTCGAGCTCATTGAAGACTTTGATCCCAGCGCTGTCATGATGTGCTTTCCCAAGATGACCTCGGCCCTTGGTCTGAGGTTGGAATTTTGACGAATGGAGAAATCCCGATTGAGGAAATCCTCCAAGCGGCTAGCGTCTCCTTTGCCTCAATCTTCTCGCTTCTTGATACGGCGACATTGACCCCAGGTCCCCGCGTAAATCCAGAAGGAGCTGGACGACTTGGTCACGCTGGACTGGAAAATTCCCCATGGGCAAGCGAGGTGGACCCAGCAAGGGGGCTAGAACAGGAGCGTTGCCATTCGATAGCGAGGTATATCAGTCCCCTTACCCCGGAGACGTCGCCCCGGTTGCGATACACTGCATCGATCACTACCACACAGAACATGGCGTTCACCGGGGCCAAAAACCATGCTGCTGCGCATGAGGAGCGCGTCGACGAGGGTGTCCATGCCGAACCCGCCTTGGATCCCGTTCACCATCCTACTGGGTTTTGGAACTGGCGGCTCATCGTTAACAGTAAGTGCAAGCAGCCTTCAGCCGAACCCTCCTCTGTATAGTTCTGACACGGATTGCCGCAGTGATAATTATCGGGCTCTCTCTGGGTCTGTACGGCTACGACAATAACTTTGTCGCACCTCTTCTGGCGCTACCTCTCTTCATCCTCAAGTACCAGGGACACGGGCCCGCATTTACTGTGAGTGTGATGTTATGGATCCTCCTTCCAATACTGTCACTGACTTCCATATTGGCCCGGAACCTGGACTTGATTGTCACAGTACCGCTCGTAGGAGGTAGGTTCGGCCAATCTACCTAGCCATCTGTCGAAATCAAATAGCCCCATCCACTACACATTTGTTCGGCGACGTCATTGCCTCGAGCATTGATCAGATCTGGACATTTCTGATGGCTTCACAGCTGCAAGTGGCTCTTTTGTTGCTGTGCCTCTGATGAAACGCATCGGGCGGAAGAAGACCATGATGTTGGCATACTTCTGCCTGTGTACGCCTGGTTCGATCCTGCAAGTCTTTGCACCCAACATTGGCGCACTGGTGGTAGGCAGGTTCTGGAACTGTAAGCAACTCCCGGAATATCAGCTTCCTGCGTGCCCGAGCTGATTCTTCTAGATGTCGGGATCAGCGTCTTGACCACCACGGCACCACTCTACCTCACTGAACTGGTGCCTGCCCATATCCGGGCCCGAGCGGTTGGCTTCTGTGTTGCGGGAGTATGTGTGGTGGCTATTATCGCCACTACCATCGTTTGGGGGACCGAAAAGATCGATGACAGTCGTCAGTACAAGGTGCCCCTTGCCATCCAGGCCACCTGTCCTGTTGTATTTGGCGTTCTGATGCTGTTCTGCTACGAGTCACCGCTCTGGTACGTTCAAAATGGCAAGCTGGACGACGCGCGACGGGCGCTCATGGCACTTCGCAATAATGCCACGGAGCTCGTTGAGACTGAGCTATCCCTCAGCCAGGCGGCCGTTGTTGCCGAGCGTGAACGGCGTGAGCAGTCTAGATTCTGGGACATCCTGAATCGCACCCACTTGCAACGCACACTGACCGCTGGCACGCTCCTATGTTCCGGTCAGGTAGGCGGCCAGATCCTCATGCAGACATACTCGACAGTCATCCTTGTGCAAAGCGGCGTCGCCGACCCATTCCAAATCACCATCATCATCACATGCTTGCAGTTTCTCGGCACCATGGTCGGTCCTGTACTGGTTGACAAGGTCGGTCGAAGACCCGTCGCACTGGCGGGGTTCTCGATTCTCTTCGTCTTGGACATGGCCGCGGGCAGTCTCGCTGCTGCGGGTTTGACGACGAAAGGCCAACAGCTGGGTCTCGCGGCGGTATTCATCGTCTTTGCTTTCTTCAACGCCGCGTCATTCCAGTCACTGTAAGTCTGCCTGCTCCCGACGAAAGAAGTCAAGAAACTTGAGGCAGCTCTTTTCGGAGGTATGCAGCTAACAATTGATACCACCAGGGCCTTCCTTCTCCCGGCAGAGATCCCTACGCCGTCCCTCCGGGAACCGACAATGGCGTGGTCGACCTTCTGGTCATACTGCACGGCCGTGATAACGACCTTTGCCGTGCCACAGATCACCGCCCCAGATGCCGGCAATCTCGGGGCCCAAGCCGCGTTCATCTTCGGGGGGTGCGTCTTCGTCACGGTCATCTGGTCGTACTTTTACATCCCGGAAACCATGGCGCGCTCTGCTGCCGAAATCGACGAGATGTACGCTGCCAAGTTGCCCATGCGGAAGTGGAGAGGGTACAAGAGCCAGACCGTGAGGGAGGTGATGGTGGACGTGCGACGAGAGAGCGTGGAGAAAGAAGCCGCCCACCCAGGAAGCCCGGCATGAAATTGTGTGTCCCATGCCGAGTCAGTCTGCCTGGATTCTGGTGAATCACGGAAGGGGCATTGCAGGCTAGCAATGGCAAGGGGGGGTAATGGATCGGCCCAAGCAAGAGAATAAAAAGAAGGGTTCGAGAGTTGGGGACTGAGGAGCGAGGTGAGGAAGGAGTGTAGTGTGTAATATGTGTTCCGAAAACAAAAAAAACCAGCATCCGTTCTTCAACAAGTTCGTTCAATATCCTATTTACTGTAAGTTCTTCTTCACCCGCACGCTGCACTACCCTCACGCCTCAATCTTCATGACTGTCCGCAACCCGCCACACCAGTCTCTCCCCACTGACCTTCTTGTCTCTCAACAAGGTCAACGCCTTCTCTGCCCTCTCGAGCATCGTGGCGCCCTCGACGATCAACTGCTCGTTCGGCTCGACAATGCCCCTCTCCAGCACCGACGGCATGATTTCGCTCTGCAGCTTGTCCTTGAGAGCTGCGTCGTCTAGGTAGAAATGCGTCCTCACGCCCACGGCCTCGACGCCGACAGGCCAGTCGGCCGCCGCGAGCACGTCCATTTCGTAGACTGGCTTGATTCCCGGGGAGGGGTCCTTGACGATGATGGGGAGGAGGATCGCGACTTTCGTACCACGCGGCGTCGCTGTCAGCCTGGCGATGCGTGAAACGGGGAGGACGCTGCCTTGGAGGCTGCCGATACAGTCGAGGATGTATGCGATGCCGTTTTTTGCTATAGGATCAGCTGTGGTTGCGCACTCATGAGGCTCCACAAAGGAGATGATGTCCCGCTCGACGTCTGGATCTCGGTAGTCGAAACACCTTGCCGCGCCGTACCGGTGGTGTAATTTCTCATGGTGTGTTCTACTAGCTGTCGTGATGACGCGCCTATACCCGTAGTGCTTTAGGATTTGGAGCGCGAATTGTCCGACGCTGGAACTTCCTCCCCAGATTAAGATCCCTGCGTCGCGTTCCTCCTGCTCCGGCAGGTATCCGTCCGGTTTGGGCCACGGAAGGTCGAACCCAAACTCCTTGGTGAGGGTGTGCCATGCTGTGACGAAGTTGTTGGGCAGCGTCACGGCTTGCTGCATGGTGAAGTTGCGTGGCAGCTTGCCGAACAAGAACTCCGGCGCCACGACGTACTCTTGATGCGCCTTCTCGGCCTGGTTGCGCCAGGTGAAGCCGAAGACGAGATCCCCTGGCTGGTACTTGGTGGCGAGGGGTCCCACTTCGACTACTCGGCCTGCAACGCCGTCGCCTAGGAGTTGGGGATGTTGGACCAGGAGGCCGCCGTCTGCTTGGTGGAGATCGAGGGGCGTGGATGCCGTCCAGAGTGCTCGTACGCGGATTTCGTTGCCGGTCGGTGTCGGTGTGGGGACTTGGAGGATCTCCAGAGGCAGGCCTGGCCCAACTGTGACGACGGCGGGATGGGTTGCCATGCTGGGGCTGCTGTGAATGGTCAAGGCTCTCGATCGCGGTGTGAGTCGACGAACTGGTGAAAGCTGTGTCTTGGGCTGATGAGTTGTGTAATGGCTGACTTCAATACTCATGGGAAGAGGGCACCTTATATAGACGAAGTGCCTCGAGCATGACTGAGCACGACTTCTCGCATTTCCAAACCGCTGTGCTCATTCTTTCTGCCTCCTTCTTACAGGACCTGGACCCCTAGGCAAGCAAGCCTCATTACTAAGACCCGTCGTCATACGGAGGATCATAGAGGCCTGAAAATTCGTCCGTGTCTTGGGTATAATTCGACAAGATGACGGGGGAAGCCCAAAAAGCGAACTTTCGTTCCATATATCCTCGTCGACGGCCCTGCACCGCCACTCAGCAGGCGCCTGGGTGATCTCTGACAACAGTGTATGTATCTTGCTCGTCACGGTGGCGACTAACCGTTGCCAACCTCCACTTATTGTGAAAGACATTTGCGATTAAATGCGTTTACTGCTGGTCTTGAGGGCAGACACGTTCAAGCAGGTTCCGGCAGTATTGCTGCGTCTGCATATCGAGTATCTGGCTCCTGCAAGCTGTCTTCAGGTTCGAAGGTCGGTATGTCCGCAGCCATCTTCATATGTGTGTCACCAATCTGGGTCAGTTTGCGGACCACCCAAGCTCTCTCTTGCCCTGGCTCAAACACCATCAAGCACAGTCTCAAGGCGAAAATGACAAAGAAAGGCCCGAGGAAGGACGAGGTCAACATGAAAGGCGTGGTCCGACAGATTTCCCGGCACATCTCTCGGTTTTCCATCAGATATAGCGAGTTCTTCTCGGGCGCAATTTCCTTTTCATTTTCCTTCAAGATGAGATTGAGGATCAGCATGATTGTCCAGTGGCCTGTGTATTGCGATGCGATGAATACGTTGGCGAAAACATATTGTTTAGGAAAGACTGGATCCATGGTGTCCATTGATACCGTCTCGAGTCCGTTTCTCGTGAGAGCCGCTCGGAACCTCAGATTGATAGATTTCAGATTTGCCCTGTGCAGTCGTGCTCGCGCCAGCACCAGTTCCGTGTGGGCTGCAAACTGCTCAGGTGTCATCTTTCGCTTGGACTCGTCCAAATGCCTGGCATCCCTGAGCGTCGTGGGGATTTGCACATGTTCCAGGTAGAATTCTTCGGCTAGTTCAAAGATTTCGAGCCGCTCGTCAGTGATGCCCGAGGCTCGCAGATCGTTGTGGATCTTCTCAGCCATCTCAAGCCACTGTGGCTCGGCCAAAAAGCACGCTTCATCTCGCATAAATGCATCGATGATGATGGTATGTCGATACGCAAGATAGACGTCCCGGTCCAAGCCGCTTAGATGTCGATTCGGCCCCCGGAGCCGCATCAGCAATCCGGCGCCCCCGGAGTGACGTACCCATGAATCATTCGAGTCAGAAGCAAACATCTCGTAGAATGAGAGCAGGATGGTTGCAGACAGCGTCTCGGTCGACATGCCGTCTGTGTCGTTGGTCAGGGATTTGTTGAGCAGACGGAGAGCGTTGCCGTAGAACCGCCTCGATTCTTGCACGAAGAGTTCTGACTGCTGGACTCGACCTAGGTGGACCAGCGAAACAGCTCGAACGGTGCTGTCGAGGAGTCTCGAACCGAACATGCGTGGTAGTTGGGAGAGCCAGTTCTGGTGGCTCCGCATCTGAGGAGGAAGGAGAAGTGGCCCATGACCGCTCAAGGAGGACGAGAAGGTGCTGAGAAGCTGTTCTTGCGCCAGATACGGAGAGTAGACACTGCCATTGAGCGCCATAAGGAAGGTCATGTCAAGATTGATGGACCCGCCGTTCAGGGGGCCGGCAAGGTCTGTGCCAGCCTGGGTCCATTGGCCGTGCTGATGAAGTTGCTCGTCTAGGTCGGGAGTGTTGATGCGGGCGACTACCCCTAGCACTTCTTCTGGAGAGGATTCCGAGGACTGACTGTGGTGACTCGTCGATGTCGCGGGCGACTCGCTATCAACGCTGAGTTGAGCTTCGGTCGCATCCTTCTGAGCGAAGCGCTTCCTGAGCCTCGAGCCTTCGTCGTGGATTCTGAGATCGGAGTCGTATCCTGGACAGGGACGATTGCCCTTCTTGCAATTGTTGCAGGTCGGGCGCGTCAAGTCACACCTCACCCGACGCTGAACACATATTCGACACCCCTTGCTTCGCGGAACGCCGACCATGCCTAATGATATGCAGGAGGCATTGAAGAGACCGGTCCTCCTGGAACACGATCCGAGATGTGGACGGCGTATATGGATCGGTGGATGGATAGATAGTTATCGCAAAGCTGCGACTGGAATGGCTGATGCCTGAAATCTTCTGCCAGAACTGCGCTGTGAACGCCGAGCCGACTTGGACCAGGTCAATATTTGGATCACAGCTGCAACAGCGACTCTCCACTAAATCATACGGACTGCCAAATCATAGACACGCACCACGGCACCGTGCAAGTGCTGCCGATGATGACGACGATTTGTGGCGGCAGTCTACCTCTATCTGAGAGAATGGTGATATCCAGAGGCTCAGCCCTAATGAACTAACCGAGGCGAGATAAGCCTGCTGTGCGCAGCCACCGTCTCAGCGCTCTTGGTTTCATACGGACCGCTGGCCTAACTATCGCATTGCCGAATGGCCGCAGCCTCACGGCTAGAGGCTGTCCTGCCTACACTGTAGGCCGCAAAGAGTAAAGTCATCAAACGATGTTCTTTTGCATCGCATCTCTCAGATCGTCACCTATCGCCAAATGTCACCCAGTCAAACTACTCGTATACAATCTCCGTGTCCTGCCAATAGAACCCCTGCTCGTCAGGAGAGGAGCGGGAGACGAGAGACTTTGGAGTCGAAGGTCTCTAGCCTTCGAGCTCATTCATAGGCACATCCTCATCGTCAGGCCCAACAATGGCGTCGGCGACCTTCCACACTTGAATCAGGTTGTCATCCGCGGCACTGCACACCACCCAGGGACTGTTCTTGTTCCAGGCAAAGTCGCTAATGCGGTTGGTATGCCCTCCGTGCATGAACAGCAACTCAGGAGGACCGTCTTCGCTGTCTTCGGGTGCCTGCTCTTCTCCGACTTTCGCGAGATCCCAAAACATGATTCTTCGATCATAGCTGCTGGACGCGAGCACCGACTCCTCGAACGGATGCCATTCCAGAGTTGTCACGCTGTCATTGTGCCCCTCGAGGACGTGCAATTTGTCTTTGAGGTTCCGCAGGTCCCAGATGGCAATGGTCTTGTCGGCGCTTCCCGTCGCCACCACCGTCTCCACAGCCCCATTGAATGCGATCGCATTGATCGCGTCGCGATGCTGGTTCTCGCCCTTGGCAGAGGCTCTCGTCGTGTCAGGCTGCCGCAGATCCAGAAGCTGCATAGTCAGGTCGTCCGAGACGGTTCCCAAGAGGTGTGGCAGAATGGGATGGAATTGGACGTCGTTGACGATTCCGCCATGGTGCGTGTATCGCCGCGATTCGTTGAGCAGCTTGTTCGATTTCGAGGCTTGTGAGATGTCCCACAGTCGAACTGTGTAGTCTTCGCTAGCTGTTGCCAACCGCCCACTTTGATGCGGATCCCAGCTGAGTCCGTAGCCTTCTTTGGTATGACCGCCGAGTTCCAGCGTCGGCTTAGGCGTTCCCGTAGGTATTGAAGAAAATTTTGTCTTGTCCCAGATCAGAATACGTCCATCTGTGACCATGGTCGCAATAATGTTGGGGTTTTGTGGTTGGTATCGAGCTTTGTTCACCTCGCCAGGATGGTCGATCTTTTGCGTAATGGTGAACTTGACTTCGAATTGGTTCTTGCCCGATGGACCTCCGCCATAACCGCCAATCTCCCCCGTCTCTTCATTGTAGTCCTTGACGTCCGGCTTCTTTGGCTTGGGTAACTGGACGTCGGCGATCTCAAGGTAGTTTGGTTGCCCCTCGGCGGTATGTGTGCCAATCAGCAGCCGGTGTTTGGAGTAGTTTGCGTCGGGTGCGCTGCAAGATGTTAGCAGTAAGCCAGGCGGCTCATAGGGAGGAATTTGGCTGACTCTGTGATGTCTGGGAACCATTGGGTGGTCAAAGTGGGCCAGTCTAAGGCGGTGCTGAGGATCATGTCATAGAGAAATGGCGCATTCTTCTTCCATGTCTTGTATTCTTCATTGATGATTTTTTGCTCAGATTCAGCGTCTTCCTGGTTGAGCTCCTGCTCGCTCACTGGGGGTTCAGAACCTGGTTAGTGACTGCATGCAGGAATACGAATGCGCCTTACTGTTCTCATCCTCGTCTGCCATGGTGGCTGAAAAAGCAAGGCGGGCGAAGGTTCCAGGGCGCAGAGAAACAAGCGGCGACAGGCGTGGTAGTATGAATAGCCAAAGGTGTGCTTGACGTGGTTGAACGGTTCATGAATACCACGAGACTTGTATGTGAGTTCATATTGCATGGAACGCGGCGCGGTCGCGTAAATTTATACGGTGGAGCGATCGCCCAGAGATGACGTCCGAAAGAGGAAAAGATGCCGAGCCCAAATTCCCCAGATCTGCCTTTCGCCATCGAGTCGACGACTCATCATCGAACCAACAAACAATTAGCTACTATCTGTCACAAATATCTAGGCAGGATATCCTTCATTCTGCCCTGCGCGTCTGGTACCTGCGCATCCTGCATGTGAATTTCAGGAATCGTGGTCTCATCATTCGCCCTCTCTTTACCGACATCAACGTCTCTCGCGTGGTTCCGCGCCCACCGCCACCATGGGTGTCCCGAAGTTCTTCAGATGGATGAGCGAGCGGTATCCGGCCATCTCGCAGCTCATCGCCGAAAACCGTATTCCCGAGTTCGACTGTCTCTACCTCGACATGAACGGCATCATCCACAATTGTACCCACAAAGACTCGGACTCTCCTTCGTTCCGGATGACGGAGGACAAAATGTTCATCGCCATCTTCAACTACATTGAGCACCTCTTCGGCAAAATCAAACCCAAGAAGCTGTTTTTCATGGCAATCGACGGTGTCGCACCCCGCGCCAAGATGAACCAGCAGCGCTCTCGCCGCTTCCGGACGGCCCTTGACGCGGAAAAGGCTCGGGAGAAAGCGATCAAGGAGGGCCTAGAGCTCCCCAAAGAAGAGCCCTTTGACAGCAACTGTATCACTCCTGGTACCGAGTTCATGGCGAAACTCACCAAGCAACTCAAATATTTCATCAGCAAGAAAGTCTCCGAGGACGTCGAGTGGCAGGGTGTCGAAGTCGTTCTATCTGGCCACGAAGTACCCGGTGAAGGTGAACACAAAATCATGGAATACATCCGCCAGGCCAAAGCGCAGCCTGGTTACGATCCCAACGTCCGTCACTGCCTCTATGGTCTTGATGCAGATTTGATCATGTTGGGTCTTCTCAGTCATGATCCTCATTTCTGCTTGCTTCGAGAAGAGGTCACCTTTGGGAGGCAGTCACAGAAGAAGTCGAAAGAGCTAGAACACCAGAACTTCTACCTAATGCATCTCTGCGTTGTACGAGAATACCTTGAACTGGAATTTCAAGATCTCCAACAGGAAGGTGCCCTTGATTTTGAGTATGATATGGAACGGATTATTGATGACTTCATCCTCATGGCTTTCTTTGTCGGAAACGATTTCTTACCGAACCTTCCTAACTTGCACATCAACGAGGGTGCATTGGCGCTTATGTTCCAGAAGTACAAGCAGATTCTTCCTACACTGGGCGGGTACATCAATGAACACGGTGTCATCAACCTGCAAAGAATGGAAGTGCTCCTGGATGAACTGTCCGAAGTGGAGCACCGCTTTTTTGAGGCAGAGTACGCCGACTCCAAATGGATCGATGCAAAGCGCAATGGTCAAGCTGCGGACAGGCCGCTCACAGCGTCGCGTGGGCCCGTCAAGATTTCTCCTGAACAGAAGAAGATTTTCAACGACGTCAAGAAGTTCTTCGTTTCGCCTGTCAATAAAGACCCTGCCACCAGGCAGCCCCTCAATCTTCCTCCTACGCTCCCTGCGAGAGACCGGAAATTTGTGCAGCAGCTGGCGACTGATCTAAACCTCCAATGGTCTACCCAGGAAAATGAACAAGGTGACCGCTTTCTTCAGCTCGAGTTCCCGCCCGCGTCACGGGCGGATGACTCGGGCGATGAAGAAGACGAAGAATCCCAGTTGGCTATCATGCGTGTTCTAAAGCGTTACGAACATGCCAAAGTTGAACAGGCTACCGATGAGCAGGCCCAAAAGGAGATGGAGCAGAAGTACGACCAGAAATTCCATGACTGGAAGGATACATATTACAAGGAGAAGTTTGGCTGGGGTCTTGAGAACGAAGAAGGCTTGCGGCATCTGACAGAGAACTACGTGCAGGGTCTGCAATGGGTTCTTTTCTACTATTATCGTGGAGTTGCGTCTTGGCCATGGTTTTATCGATATCACTACTCACCCATGATCTCCGATGTCAAGAAGGGTCTTGGGGCTGATATGAACTTCCAGCTTGGACAGCCATTCCGACCGTTCCAGCAACTCATGGGAGTGCTTCCAGACCGAAGTAAGAAGATTGTTCCTACCGTCTACCATGATTTGATGACGTCGAAGGATTCGCCTATTATCGACTTCTATCCACGAGATTTTGAGCTTGACATGAACGGCAAGAAACAGGAATGGGAGGCTGTTGTCAAGATCCCGTTCATCGAGGAACAGCGCTTGCTCAGTGCTATGGCGCCAAAAGATGCTTTGCTCTCGGAAGAGGAGCGCTTGCGAAACGATTTCGGCGTCAGCCTCAAATTTGTCTACTCTCCCGAGGTAGACTACATCTACCCATCCTCTCTTGTCGGTATCTTCCCTGACCTTCCACACTGTCGCTGCATCCAGAACGAATTCGAATTGCCGACCATGGATGGACTGGAGCCGTATGTCGGTCTAGTCGAGGGCGTTAAGCTTGGGGTTGCAGCTTTGGCTGGCTTTCCGAGTCTGAAGACCCTGCCTTTCACTGCGTCATTGGGCTTCCATGGCGTCAGTGTCTTCCAGCAAGACAGTCGAAATGAGAGCATGGTGGTCACAGTGTCAGATACCGAGACGCGCGCCAAGGTGGAGTTTGCCAAAGTGCTGCTTAACAAGCGTGTACACGTTGGCTATCCATTCTTGCAGGAAGCGAAAGTGGTGAAGATTTCCGACGAGCTCTTCGACTATGTTCCGATCACCACTGATGAAAATGCTCCCCATCAAGTGAGGGCCATTGAACATTCTGGAAAAGAAATTGACGACTTCCACAAGAAGGCGGAACGAATCGAGAAATACTACAGCAAGCGACTCGGGATGTTGATCGGTGACGTCGAGTCCCTTGTTCACGTGGAAATGCTCAAGGGCTTGAAGAAACTGGATGACGGGTCGACTGTCAAGGAGTTTGCAGAGATGCCCGGCCTGGAAACGATCCACGCCACACAGGTTGTTGTCGAGAACGTGATCAGCCAGGATGTTCGCTTTATCGAACAAGCCGCTCTGCCTATCGAGGAAGAGTTTCCCGAAGGGACTAACGCTTTCTTCTTAGGTGACTACGCCTACGGACGGCCTTTGAGTGTCATCGGCCACGAAAATGGAAAGGCAAAATGCTTGATTGCGTTGTCAAAAGGTCGTCAAGTCGAATTCGGACGCGACATTGCTCGGCAAGCCGAACGACTGTCTCCCTATGTGCCATCATATCAAATCGCGCAGAGTCTAAACCTAAACGCGTTGGCATTGGCCAAGATCACCTCGTCCTTCTCGGTTCGCGTCGATGATCAAAGAGTGAACCTCGGTCTCAATCTGAAATTTGAGGCGAAGAAGCTGAAAGTCTTGGGCTACTCGCGCAAGGGCGGCAGCGGCTGGGAATTCAGCCAGGCTGCAATTCAACTGATCCAGCAATACATGATCAAATTTCCACAGTTCATTGCTGGAATCCACAACAACCCTCAGGGCGATATGTTACCGGCTACTGCGTATTTCCCAGGCAGCTCACCTGAGGAAGCCAAGGCCAAGATTAAGGAAATCCAAGCGTGGCTCAAAGAGATCGAGTCCAAGAGCTTTGAGAGAGTGCCACTGGAAGCGGAGCAGCTCGATTCAGAGATCGTGAAGCTCATCGAACAAGCGGCAGATGAGGCCCTGCGCACTGAACCACCCCCGGAGAACAAGACGCTTGGCGGTGTCCCGAGAAATGGCCTCTTGAAGCCATCAGATGCACAATGGCGTCTAGGAAACCAGAAATTTGGTCTTGGAGATCGTGTCATCTACGTGGCTGACTCGGGCAAAGTGCCGATCGCTTCCAAGGGAACCATTGTGGGCCTCACCCTGACAACAAGAGAGACGTGGCTCGATGTCGTTTTCGATGTTTCTTTCATGAGTGGAACATCCTTGGGCGACAGATGCTCCCCATTCAGAGGCTCAACTGTTCCGACATGGTCGGTTCTGAATCTAAGCAATCGTCAAGTTGTTGCATCGTCTCAAGCGAGTGCAAATCGACGGACGAATGGAGCGGCCACACCGCTGACTGTTGCGGGCTATGGCTTGCCTGGGATCAATGGCCAGGGTCAACTGCGCCCAGCTCAGACACCCCCAGCTCTGAGAGGATCATGGCGAGGAGCCGTATCAGGACAAGCCCCGGGCCGTGGAAACATGAACGGCAGTGCGGGTCGTGGCCAGCAGAATGGAAGAGCAATGCCTCTCCGGAACGGACCGCCTGCCAATGGAAACCGTGGTAATGTCACAAACGGCCAGTATCCTCGCGGCGGACGTGGAGGCATGGGACATGTCAGTCGCGCCGGTTATACAGTCGTTGATCGCGGCGACCCTCAAGCTGGTGTCGTGCAGCAAAACCCGAACTTTCGGCCCAAGGCGCAAAACCACGTCCCTCCGCCGTCGAGCCTGGATCAACCTTCCACCCCACGAGGTCGTGGACGTGGACGAGGTGGTGCATCTCGAGCAGGAAGAGGTGCAACGCCGCGGGGAACTGCTTGAATTTGAACTCTTCGCTAGCGAAAGATTGTGCGGGCAGCCTAAACCCCTCAGGCTCAGAGCACCCATTGTGCGTGGTGATGGCGTCGAGGTGACAGTGATTGCTGGTAAGTAAGGCGTTTCAGTCACACAGAGGCGACACTGTTATCGCTCCAGTCGAATGCTTGCTGCCAGATGGAGCCTCGAATGATTGGACCTTCGGCGAGGCTAGCAATCCTGGCTCCCGTCTGTGCATAGAGGCGTAGCCCCCGCAGTTCGAGCATGACGCCCATCTCCACACAATACCAGCAACCACTACTCCGTACATGCTCGAGGACATGCGGAAATACCGCCTCGCACTACCGTCGTGCCCGCGAGAGAGGGCACAGCCTGATAGAGAGCAGGACCGCCATTTCGACACTGCGGCAACCAGATCATTGATTAGTCGGCCGATCTACTGTACTTCCAGCTGCCGCTTCCACTGACCCCTGCTCTCACGAATCGACGCCTACGCAACGCAAAATGCACGTCATTGCCACCCTGATTGGCCTGAGGTTGTCGCAGGTCTCCCCCCGTGTTCGCACTTGCGCACTGCTCCGCTAGCTTTTCCGAAGGGCGCCCATTTTCGTCGAAAGGGTTCACATTCACCCGAGCGTTTCAACGCTGGCCACATGTTCCACTCGACCACCCCTCGCCCTGTCCGATGCTGATTCGACGAGCCTGCGGCGTTCCTGACATTCTCCACGCCACACTTCACTCACGTCAGAACTGCTCAACAGCTGAGGGTGGGTGCTTCCCCCACGCTATCGAGCGTCAGACACGTTCGCTGTCATGCAACTTCATGTCGAATGACCGAATGCCGGGTTCCCCACACCGTCAACCCACGTCGAGAACTGCGCCCTCGCCATGCTCACATCGGATCAACATGTTCACGGGCTGTGCGTTCATGGCAGCGCACATGGCCTGAGTGTCGATAGGTTCGCAGCAGGATTTGTCATTGTCGCGAAATACGTGACTTGCGGCCTGAAAAGCTGTCGGGTTAGTCTTCTTCCTGCTCGCACAGGATACACGCCTGCACCGTCCGATACCGCAGACGCAGTGGAACTCGACAGGTGGCAGCCGCAGAATACGAGCAAATGCCATAAGACTCTCCACTGAATTGCTCTGTTACATGTTGTTATTCCCGCGTTCCTTATCGCATAGAAGGTAAGCGTGACTAGCTTTCTCAATCATGCATGGACTTGCCAATCACGTTTATGCAGCGGTCCGACCCACGATCACACGTCGCTGCTGGTTTCCATTCTGCCTGCGTAGACCTTGTCTGTCCTTCGCCGTTTTCTTTCCTCACACGTCCTTTGGACCGGAGCAGTTTCCCTAGAATAGCCATACTACCAGAATGCGGACCTCGACCTTAACTTTCTACAGACCACCGTCCAGTATCAAGTGAAGCAGTGCTCTCGATCAATGCCGGACCGCTGATCCCAGGATCGCGACTACATCTTTGAGGGCCCATCGGGAGATTCTAAACGCTTGAAGCGACCGGAAGAAGATTCCGCCGGTGGTGGAATAACCGAGAATCGTGTCTTGAGCGTATGACCACGACGGCGACATGACCGACTCGATGAACCTCATTTCGGCGCAGATATCATTCCTGGTGAGTTTGCAGCGCTCCGCCGCGGCTTGCCTGTCTCATCGACGCGGTTTCATCCCTGAACAGAGCAACCGGATTGACTTGGCCCTCGACACGCAGGAACCGCACCTCGCTCTGATCCATATTCCCATCGAGCTGTACGCACTTTGTTTACAGCCGATCTTACGCCTTTTGTTCGGCGAAGATCACGATGAAGACGCCGCGAAAATCTCGTGGACGAATCGACACGATTTCCTCAACATTTCCATCACTCCTGTCGAGTGTTCCATCATCTGCTCGAGATATCTTGCGGATCGCTACGTGCGGCCCCACGCTGATCTCTTGAACAATCTGTACGCGAGCAGAAAGGGCACAAGCCAGCCGGAAATCCAAATCAGCGTCGAAGACTATATCGTTATCCAAGTAGACGGTCAAGGGCTCGACGCTGGTCAAAGAGTATTAGAGCTCACTTCACCGCTTGCAATGGCTGGAATGTGAGTCTGCGCACCCCCTTTTGATAGTGCTGTCTAACGATGGGGAACAGAAGCATTTTCTTCATCACGACCTATTTTTCCGATTACATTCTCGTTCCACTTCGATCACAAAGGACCGTCACCAAAGCTCTGCAACAACGGGGCTTCGTCTTCTCCAAGACTGTCGATGCATTTGTGTCGCAGCTTTCGCCATCGTCACCAACCTTACCACATAGACCCGCCACGTCTTCGACTTTCTACGAGAGCTCGGTTCCCACGACACCGCCGGCCAAGGACATCCCTGAACTTCAGATCCGGACTTTCACCAAGTTGAAGCGGAACAACGTGAGTCCAGCGGTGGACGGCCATATCCTGCTAGCAAACTGTGCCGGAAGTCGGGAGTACAATCAAGCATCTGAGGAACGATTAAAGAACGATCTTCTTCAAGTCTTGCTCGCAACGGCGGCACCAGGGAGCGGCGCAGCAGCGAAGTCAGTCGTCGGCCTCGGGTTGCCTCCATCACCGTCACCGGAACTGAATTATGCCGCAAAGTTTTTGTCACTTACCATCACCTCAGGCGAGCCGATATCCGTGCTTCTCGAGCATCGACTAATGGACCGTCTGGGCGGTTCTTTGTTGGGTGCGAAGTCGGAAGACGATGCGCTGCTCCCTATAACGCTTGACCTGCGCGAGCTGCCTCTCGAGGCTACCGGCATTGTTTGTGGGGTGGCAGGCCGGCTGGCACAAGGCGATACGGATCCTACAGAGCTGAGCTTGGGTCCCGTGTCCACAGGCGCGGGAGATCCGATCGAGATTTCATTCTTGAGCACGGCGAGGGCTGGCACGGTCATTGTGAGAGCGAATCAGCTGGAGAAGGCGCTTGGGGCATTGGAATACGGAATGAAGCGAGCCGGTGACGCAGAGCCGTGATCCCGAAGATGGGGTGAGCATTGCATTTGTTGGCGGAGAAAGGAAAATATGCATGGCACGTCGGGTCATTCAGGCTCTCAACCCATGGAGTTGCTCGAGGTTCCTTTTTTTTCATCCCTCAGCATATATCTTGACCGTACCGTCAGCACCGCCTCCGGCCCATAGAGCTTGCCTTCCTTGCGCCTGACTTCCTTCGCGCCATTTGACCACGCTGATGACCTTACCGGTAGGACTGAGTTGCACGCGTCCGACGTTGTTTCCGCTCAGCACGTCCCAAGCCCTGACGTCGCCATCGGTCTCACTCCCACTGAGCACCAGCCCGCCATTCATGCCGAAACAACTCTTCAGCCTCAGGCTCTCATTCTTGTATCCCGCCTCACCTTCTGGAGGAAATGCCCTTAGACAAGTCCCGTCACTGCGGTCCATCATCCTGATCCGTCCGTCTAGACATCCTACAAGCAGCGTCTTCCCATCCCCGCTGATGTCCAAGCTCGTGACCGCTCCGGGCATCACATCCACCGTGACCTTTCCGGTGCGGATGTCGTAAGCGCGGACCCGTCCGTCAATACTACCCGCGACAACCTCGTAGCCAGCGTCCGGGACGACCAATGCTGAGATCCCATCCTTTGCCTCTTCAAGGACCATCAGCGGCCGTCCGTCGCGGGACTTGACATCCCACATGCGTACACTGGTGTCGTCACTCCCACTCACCAGCACGGTATCCCCCTCCCCCGCAAAGGCAACGCAGGTTATGCGACTGGTGTGGCCTTGGGAAGTATTACTGCCGAACCTCCGACTCGTGCCCTCGTTGTTCTGCACATCCCACAGGAAGACACTTCGATCGCCGCCGACACTCGCAAAGGTCTGGTTGTCCGCCGAGACTGCGATGTCCAAGATCGGGTATCCATGCGCTGCGTACTTTTGGATAGGTCTCGACGGCTGTGCGGAGCTGGAGCTGGAGGCCGAGGGCTCTGTGCGCGAGAGGTGGACTTGGCGGTCGGAGCTGCCCGTGAGGATGTAGGTGCCGCCGAGGGAGGAGAAGGTCAGGGCGTTGATGGGGCCTGTATGCGAGGCGAGGGTGTTGATGAGAGAGGACGGAAGCGGAGGTCTGGTCATGCCCGCGATTTATACAGGGGGGGGTTCTTCCTGTAGATGATCACGCACATGAAGATAGGTACTGTAGTAGGAAGGGACAGCAAGACGTCAAATAGGCCATAGTGGTGAGTTCGACCTACCGTTGGGAGGCAACTCGTCAAACAAAGTCGTTCTTGAGGCACATACAATCGTTCGAGGGCCCCAACACTCGCGTTTGGATAGACAAGCAGTCCGATCCGAATTACACTGACGGGCGTTCGGCTTGGTCTCACGGCTCGTTCATGACGGGCATGATCGCAACTACCTAAGGACCTCACTTTTCGTGCCAGTTTTGTGGGCTTCGCAACGGTGGCCCAGATTCAAATGACGGTCAATTGGAAATCCGACCAGAGTGGCCGTACAGTCACAATCTACAGTGAGCAACTGCTCGGGTGCCGCGTACTCGTTCTGTAGTCACTCTCATGGAGAGACTTGAAGCCCAATGCGGGACTGAAACTATCCTCAGCGAGCTTAGCTACCCTCTGAGCCTCTGTAGTCTGCTTGACGGAGCCACCCCTCAACCTTCAGATACTCTAAGTCCCTCTGTCAGACATGGCTCAATCTGCGGAGGCTAGTCGACGAGGCTACGAGGCTGATGAGAGACTCTTTCAGTCGGTGCAAACACAACAAACTCGCCAAGCCAGACGCATTTCTCCCACCGACAAATACATCGATCCCCCAGCCCTTATGTTGGAAAAAGACCAGCTCTCTTTGGCTCGGGCTGTACGTATCACATTGTCCAGTTTATGAAATCAAGAATCACCCGTTGACAGCCGCTACAGTAGATCAACTGTTCGTGCTCCTCTGAAGTTACTTGCCTCTATCGACTGCCACTGCGGTGGAGGGAGCTGGAAATTGCTTACTTGCTTCGTCTGTCTGCTGTTGGTTGCATCTGAAGTGTGCACAGTGCTTCGGCCAACAACAGCCAGTCAACCTGTGGTGCCACCTTCTTTCATCGGACTATCATCGCCGGATCAGAAAGGTCTGAACGCTTGTGGATGAGAAAACACGGACTGCACTCTCCTTGATGTGGGCATATCTTCGCTGTGAAGGAATGGAACAATCCAAAAGCATATGTGACTCCACCGAGCTTCGGTTCCGAGTATGATTTCGTTCCCTGGCCCTGCGGCGTTCACGGGTTTGCCTTCACCCATGCAGCTTCGACTGCCTGAGCCATCCGCCAACGTCAGGCCATTGCCGCGGCGCAGGCAGCAGCCCGTCGTCGCAAGACTCAGCAACCCCCCAACAGGCAGCAGCGTGCAGCTTGGTGTTTATCCCTCTGGAGCCTACTTAGATCAGATATAAATATTCCTGTCCCTCCACCACAACACTCGTTCCTCTCTTCTCCCAACGCTCTTTGCCTATCCGGCTCAGATCAAGTGTAGTAACTGTTCTTCCTTAGCTTGACCGCTAGGATGTCCCTTACGAGGGGCCGATACGCTCAAGATATTCTTTGAAATATGGCAGGAGGCCAGCCATGCCTTGCGCAGAGAGGCCCCTTGCCTTGTGTGTCCGGGGCCTTCCACTATCGCCTTGTGATGCGAAACGCCCCTTTTCATCATTGACTTTGCCTGGAGCAAAGGGTTTGGAGAAGAGGTGCGAAGCCTAGAAGCTTGCTCGGCTGCAATTGCAGGATTCGGTCGGTCACAAGAAGGGACAGATATACCTGTTCGGTAACGTCGACGTCGACATCGACCACTATCTCGACTACAAGCGCATGTCCCATCTCGCATGACCATCTGATCCACGAGGATGTGCAGAGTGTAGCCTCATACCATGCAGGCCTTATCCCCAGCTCGATTGGTAACGCCGATCTCATTGAGTTCAATGCAGACAGCCCTATGGTGGTGGCGACGTTCAGCTTTTCAGTCATCGACAGTCGATGCGTGCTTACATTTCCCACACTGGAAGGCACAAGAACCTTAGCTATGTGATTGATAACGCCGGTCCGTTCCCTGCCTTGCACTATGTTTACAGTACGGAGTACGGAGTACACGCTGCCAACTTGCAGCCTGGCGCTCTTCTCATTAGCTGCATTTCCCATTTTGCCGGTTTAAGACATAGCTTGCTGAATCGGGAGCTCGGCTGGGGATCCTGCTGTACGTTGATGAGATCCTGGCGCATATCTTGTCTCGGGCTATTCTCTGAACTCGATGACACTTTGCAGCAGTGACACATTGACAACAGCTTCTGGAGCTTGTCAGTTGACGATGCCCAGAGCATTCATGCCGGCCGATACGACGTCGCTATCGGAAGCTTGAATCCCCCGCCTCTTCCAAGCCTTCAATCTTGGGACAATCAACCTTCCTCGCCAATCAGCAGGGCAGTCACCGTGCATGCCAATGTTTGCCAATGCCCGATCGACCAAGTGATGCTCTGTTCCTCCATGCGCGACATGGTAGCTACCTTCCTCAATCTATCTTCTCCGGATGGCCAACCTATCCCGCCTGCCTCAAGCGTACAAGCTCTCCGACCGCCAAGGGCTTATGCACGCTTCAAAACCAGCGAGAGACGTGTTCCTGGCCCTGTCTACAAGATCATCCTGCTTCCTTTCCGCACGACTTCCGGATCAGTCAGAAGTTGCACAAGACCGCAGCATGGCCGGGCACCCCGTGGCCACGCAAATCTGTGCATGGATGGTCGCAATCCCAGCTCCAAGCTCGCGTGATCGCAGCGTCCGTCAAGGTGATAAAAGCAGGATGAACCGCCTCCGAGGCACTCATCAGTCTTGCCCGCCTCCAATCGTTTGACCATGCGCCCCCTAACGCTTCCTGTCCTCGCTGCGCTCGCAGCATCATGCGCGGCCACTCATCCCACGTTGCCTCCCGTCACCAGTGAGGCATTACAGGCGCTGATATCGCTCGATGAGCTCACCAGCGGAGCCAAACAATTGCAGGCAATCGCCGACGCAGCGGGCGGGAACAGAGTCTTTGGGTCCAAAGGCCACAACGACACCGTTTACTTTCTCTACGACACCTTGCTTGCCACGGGCTACTACGATGTCTACCTCCAAGACTTCGTCGAGCTGTTCTCCGGCGGGACCTCCTCGTTGACCGTGAACGGCGAGACTGTGCCAGCCGACTTGTTCACCTATGACAGCAGCGGTTCGGCGAGCGCGAATCTCGTGGCAGTGAGCAACCTGGGATGTGAGGTCACGGATTTCCCGCCGGAATCGGCCAATGCGGTCGTGCTCATCTCGCGCGGCGAGTGTCCTTTCGCACAGAAGGCGGCCAACGCCGCCGCCGCGGGTGCTCTGGGCGCGCTGATCTACAACAATGTCCCCGGCGCCATCTCCGGAGGCACGTTGTCAGAACCAGGCGACTACGCCCCAGCACTGAGCATCTCGCAAGAGGATGGCCTGGCGCTCCTCGCGGAACTCGAAGCCGGAGCGCCCGTGGCGGTCGAGCTTGAGGTCAACGCCGTCCTCGAGAACCGCACCACCTTCAACGTGATTGCCGAGACGAAAGGCGGAGACCACGACAACGTGATCGCCCTCGGAGCCCATACAGACTCGGTCGAAGTAGGCCCCGGCATCAACGACAACGGCTCCGGCACGATCGGCATCCTCAACGTGGCCATCGCGCTATCCAACTTCACCATCACGAACGCCGTGCGATTTGGCTTCTGGAGCGCCGAGGTGAGTCGATGTTCCGCCCCAGACATCCGCCGATCAATCAAATGCTAACCTCTTCGTGTGTGTGTGTGTCCAGGAATTCGGCCTCAAAGGCAGCACACACTACGTGTCGACGCTCAACCAAACGGCCGGCGAAACAGCCAAGGTCCGGGCGTACCTCAACTTCGACATGATCGCCTCGCCGAACTACGCCTACATGATCTACGACGGCGACGGGTCGTCCTTCAACCTGACTGGCCCGCCTGGCTCCGCTGAGATCGAAGCCGACTTCGAGGCCTTCTTCACGTCCGCTGGCGAGAACTTTACCTCGACCGCCTTCGACGGGCGGTCCGACTACGGGCCGTTCCTCGAGAACAACATCCCCGCCGGCGGCCTATTCACCGGTGCCGAAGACACAAAGACCCCTGAGGAAGTGGCGGCGTTTGGGGGCACCGCCGACGTGGCTTACGACGCCAACTACCACCAACCCGGCGACAACATCGACAATCTCAACTTGGACGCCTTCCTGCTGAACACCAAGGCGATTGCCAACTCGATCGCCCTGTATGCTACCGATCTGAGCAAGATTCCGCCCGTCAGTGCGACGGCCCCGACAAAGCGCGTTCGCCGCGTGTATTCGAGAGATGCCGTGCGGACCACGCCTAGGCAGAAGAGGGCCTCTGGCTTGAAGCCCCACGCGCGAACCAGGAGGGGACCAGCGCCGACTATGTAGGTGCGATAGGGGCCTAAATATCCTATGTAGTAAGTATGTAGATCGCCAGCTGCGGAGTACTATCGACTTACCCTCTCTATGCTAATATTCGTACATGTACTTGTCCTTACTGTAGTATGTGAGTGAGTGAGTGTGAGTAGGCGGACGATGCTTGCGTGGCAATGTACTCCGTACTCATGGAGCTACACTGCCTACACTGCAATGCCCTGCCCTGCCAAGCAAAGGCGATAGTGATAGAAATAGCAAGAGTGATAGTAATAGCAAGAGCGAGAGCGAGAGCGACAGGACCGTGCCTCGGACCGAAGTGGACAGATGAGAAACCGATCCGGATCGGACACGGACCAACCCAACGGGGGAAGTCCATGCTGGCTCGAACGTACAGTACACGGCACACGGATCTAAACATGGAGTACGGAGTACTTATATACAAAGGATCGCATGTAGTATGCGTGCGTGCATGCGTGCGTGCACATCGGTACCTGCGACCATTCGATGTCATACAGACTCGTGAGTCGTGCATACTGTGCCGTGCTGTACCTACTACGGGTACTTGTCGCTGCACGGTATACCGGTATTGTCGCGATCATCGAACTGAATCCTCAGTGCTGGATAGGCTAGCTAGCTCGGACCTGGCCTCTGCACTGTCCCCTCTCGCAATCAGGGGATCTCATCCGTTGCATTATCTGCCTGTACAGTACCGTCAGAATCATTGAATCGCAATGTCGGAGAATCTACCTGTACCATCATTATGGCTGAATCTCAATGCCGGAGAATCTACATGGCAGTAATCCACGCAGCACCCTTTATACGCAATGACTGTGGTAGAGGAGACACGGTATGAGACACACAGTATCGTTCTGCTCTCCCTCCTTTCGTCCCTCCCCTACAACGAGTACTCGTACTGATAGACCTGCCGTCAATGCAGTAGATACTGTACTGTACATAGTAGTGCATCCTGTATCCTGTATCCTGTATCCTGTATCCGGTACTGCGTTCCACCTTCATTACATATTCGGTACTGTAAATGGCCACCATTGTATATTGTATATCGTAATGCAGTACGGATTGTAATAGATACCATGGTACCTAAGTACCGTATCTATGTCGATTGTATGTATGTATGTATTTGATCTTCCCTTTCCAGTCTTTCTATCTTTCTAACCTCCTTTCCATGCTACCTGCATGTCTGCGCCCCCTTTCTACTGGATCGACATATTTATCGTCGGCATCGGCACCTTGAGCGCCTGGGCCACAGAAACAGGCGTGCAGGCAGACAAACAGGCAGGATCCAGTTCAGCCGAGCAGCGCCAGGCCACAGTCAGAGCTACTGCAGTACTGTATCACTGCCTCTGTGCTTGACCTCATACGTTCCGTGCGTCCCCATCTCCGAGATCTCGAATACAGCACATCAAGTCGTAGCATGTGCTCTCGGAAACCACGCTATCCTGACGATAGTCCTTGTGGATCTGCACGAATCGTCTCATCCAGGTGGCTGGTGTGGGGATCTTTCCTGAGGCCCTGTTGCGGATCATGGCGAGGTATTTTAGGAGTTGGTTGGCCCCGTGTTCTTGGTCGTCTCTATGTGGTGGTTCTTGTTCTTGTTCTTGTCCTTGTTCTTGCTGTTGTCCGTGTTGGTGTCCATGCTTATGCTGGTGCCCCAGCTCGTGTCCTTGTTGATGATCCTGCTTGTGATCATGTGTATCCTCGGACTCTCCTGCGTAGACTTCACGGACGTATCGTTCGACTAGCGGGATGAGACCTTCGAAGGAACAAGAAGATGAGGATGATGAGGAGCAGTTGCCACACTGCGATCCGTTTGAGCATACACTTTTCGACCCGTTCATGATCTCGTTAACCGTCATTAACGTATATTCCGTTTCGATGGGCGGATAGGTTCCTTTGTCTTTTGCATTTGCCGCCGTCGCTGCTGAAGACGACGACCACACGTCCCGCCGAAAGAAGAACTGCTCCTCCCTGACGGCATCGCGCGTGTGCGCTCTCGTCATATTCTCAGCCACCTTCTCGATGGGAATGTAGAAGTTGAGATCGAAATGGAGGATCGTGCGGGCCAGAAGCGCCACGAAAACAACAAAGGCCGCATTGTCGAAATCTGTGAGCTGAACCTCGAGAGGACGGAGCTCGACTCTCCAGCCTGCTCGCCCCTCCTTCTTGGACGGGAGTTTGAAATCGACGTGCGGCCAGACGGCCGAGTGGAGGATCTCGAAGACGTCAATATCGGTATCAGCATCGCCATCGCCATCACCATGCGCGTAAGCTTCGAGGTCCTTCTCCGTCATGGCGATGGGGTCACGGGCTAGAATGGCGGCGTAATGCGATGCGAGGAGGGTGTCCATGCCTTTGTTTTGGAGCTTTTCGGCGATGGTGCGGTTGGGGTCGGGGTTTGTGCTTGAATTATTGTACTCTGACCGAAGTCGGGCGTCGTCGGCGAGATACATTGCTGTGGGTGCCCAGCGAGGTTGAATTGAAGCCTCTTCTGTCTGTCGGGATTGGAGTATTAGTCAGGGTGAACCGATAGGCTGGTATACTCACTGGTATACTACTTAGACAGACCGCAATACCTTTGAAGATAGCTCATTTGAAGTCCTGTCGTCCACCGCTGCGGCAGCGTGGTTCCATCTCACGTCTGTGTCTGTGAGAAAGCCGCGGAAAAAGGGCGTTCCAGCCGTCAGGGCCATCAGGATCGGCCCAACCGGACAGAGTTGGTCGTGGAGGTAGCGTGCTTCTCGAAGGTTGCGAGCCTGTAACGTGACCTGGAGACCGCAGAGGGTAGGCCCGAATGACATGCTGTCACCGTATATGAAGTTCTCTGCATTGTGTCCGTAAATCCCGGCGTCGTGCTCTTGTGCGCCGTTCGCTTGGCCGAAATGGTTCGATTCTCTCCAAGGCCAGGGCGTCTTCTCATCTTTGAATATAGGAGCCTTGATCTTGAAGGCACGTCCTTCTCGGCGCGTGTAGATGTTGTCGTGAATCGCGCCATATCGCTCATACGTGCTCACCAGGCCATCGGGAAGGAATTGGCTCCGAAGTAATAGCCCCCCAGACGGGAGCGGCGGCTGGGTGAATGTCCCTGGAGCGCCTAGGCGTGGGAAGCCCGGTATCGTCACGACCGCCTCGTTCTCGCCTAGCCGTTCCTGGATCATTCGTCTCCTGAACGGTGTTGTCAGGCTACAGGACCGAGCAGACGAATGCGAGGACGTCGCGTGAAAAACAATACGCCGCCTTACCGCCTGGCCATGTTGCCCTGGACACTCAACATGCTCGTGAGACTGTTGTCATATGGCACTCCGGGCGTAGCTTCGACCATAAAGCTCCCGAATTCGGGTTGGAAAATGGGCTTCGGCTTCTCACTGCGAGACGTGAGAAAGGGGCCAGTCTTACCACCGTCTGGCGTCATACTCTACCTGGGGAGAAGGTTGGGGGTCTGCGTCTTGACTTTCATCCCGCGGACCGAGCAGATGACCACGGTCTGCTTCTTGACTCTCCTCCCGTCGATGGAGTCTGTTGAGCACGTTATCTTGCTCGAGCAGCAGTCTTACCGTCCTGTTGGATTCGTCAAACGACAAGAGCTGATATTCAATCTGGGGTATAGTTTGTCCGTGTGAGCGATACAGTACATTTGTACATGTCTGGTCCTGGGCCGAATATAATTACTCACTTCATCTCCCCACAAGGGCGGGTAATTGTCAATGTCTTTGTACTCCAAGAAGACGTCCAGAAGTTGCTGTCCGTGCGGGAGCAGATGTCAGATACCACCGTCGCACGAATCTGTAGACGTCGTGCCTCACCTGCATGGCGGTCTCGCGAATGCGCCCTGAACGAGACTGGACTTCATCCCAGCGAGGGTTCGTTCTGCTGGAGTTCAGCGAGAGTGTGGCTGGACAAGCCTGGTTCACTCACTTGGGTTCCATTCCAGACGCGCGAGTTGAGATGCTATCGCGCGCTGCCTGCGGACTTCGAGATGCTAGGAGCAAAGAAACGAGGTTGATCATCCATCAGCTGTCGAGCCTGAGATTACCGAGCTTCAACGCGACTGAATCTGCCGTCGTGTGCGTTGAGCGTGGAATAGAACCGGTGACGTCATCGGCGGTATGCAGAGATTTGTGGGTGATTTGCACCCCAATTAGAAGTGAGTTGGAGGTGAGTTGGAGGTGATTCAACCGATAAGTGACCATGAACTGACACTGACTGACCTTGAACTGACACTGACTGACCTTGAACTGACACTGACTGACCTTGAACTGACACTGACTGACCTTGAACTGACACTGACTGACCTTGAACTGACATTGACTCTGACACTTCGACACCGTAGCTGCTGCAAACTGTAGAGTATCTACTATAGCATGCAAATTGATCTACAGACTCACATCTCATCGACGCCGGTAGCAAGCCAGTGTTTCAAGAAGAACATTGACCCAGTTTTCTGATGACGATTTAAACCACAAGACCAATCCATCGTGCAGCTAATTACTCAGTCTGTCTGTGGTGTCGGCGATAGTGGATGGCGCCAGCAGCAGTCGACCACACCAACACCAGAGAAAGAGGAAGACCAGCGCGCGAGCAATCATTGCCGCCAACACTGACAAGCAGACGCTTCCATGGCATTGCCATTGGCAATCAACCAGCAGACTACAGTAGGTGCATACAGTACTACGTACCTAGGGAGGTCTTCGATGTCCCGAATCAAGCCGTGGTCGAAGAAGTCGAAGACAAGACGCCGACTCTCCCAATCACATCCAGATGACGTGACGACCTCGACCTCGACCTCGACAGAGCAGCTTGTACTAACTGTATAATTACGGGTGCGTACCAGTCCAGGAACACACTCGCAATTCTATGTACTTACGTATGTACGTAGTGCCTCGCTCGCTACTGTACATACCTACGCGTTGGCCCTGTCCAGCACCCCACGCAAATCTACCGCCGGGTCGTCATTGTCAACCACGCCGAGGATGCTGGTCGGTTTCTTGTACCCTAGCAGGGAGAGCATCTTCTCACTCATCCCGAGGGCTACACTTCTGGGCACGGCGAGGAACTGGTTTTCCTCGGTGCGTAGATTGCCCCGCGCGAAGAACAGGCCGTGCACTCGGCGGACCTCGTCGTGCGTCGAGTTGTCGCCGCCGCCGTGATAGCAGGAGGCGAGAAAGATGAGCGCGGAGCCCGGGTCCATCTCTGCGATTTGAGGTCAGCGAGCTGTTCGAGGCGATCTTGACATACGCACGCACACGTGGACCGTGTGCTTGGGGTCCAACGCCCCGGCGCCGATACATATAAAAACACTGACGGACTAGGCGGACACTGGACACTGGGCAGAAAAAGACTCACCTGCAAAGCAGACTTCATCGGGCCTCGGCGCGCGCGTGTCATCCCATCGATGCGAACCCGGGATGAACATGGTGGCGCCATTCTGCCGCGTCGTCTTGGACCCGGCGATCAGACAGCCAAACTGGCTGGCCCTTTTCAAGTCAAAGACCCCGCCGTGCCTGATTCCATGCACGTTGTCGTCTCGGTGCAGTCTCTGCCGGGGCGCGCCGGGTCCGATATAAAACGTGATGCTGATGCTGAGCAGCGGGTCGATCGTGTGGTCCTCGACGATGTCCTCGCGGATGACGCTGAACTTCTCTTCGAGAATCGACGTGCGCAGTTGTTCCAGGACTGGCGATTCGCAGCAGATCCGCGCAATGGTCGGCGACTTGCCCACCAGACCCGGCACCGCGAGCGTTTCCTTCGGGATGAGTTTCAGCGCGCCTTTATCTGTCGAGCGGGTTTGCGTGCGGTGAGCCTCCACGTCACGGTCGATGGCCGCAAGGTCCTCCGGCGTCGCGAAATCGGTCAGGATCACACCTCCATCTCTTTCGATGATCGCAAGGATGTCCTCGATCGGAGAGCTCGCTGGGATGCGCACAATAGATGCGGATGGTTGATAGGACGGATCAATTGGTGTCGGGGGGTCAAACATTGTCAGTCCCATTGTTGCTTGCCGCACGATGTCCACGACGTCTCCCGCCTGTTGGCCATCAGGACTACTAGTAAACTGCCGGAGAGGTCTATATATTGCGACTCAATCAATTCCCTGATGCAATCAGTGGCTTCCCCCCATGATATGTCATGGGCCTTGAAGGAAATGGCAGTCAAGTCCACCGTTCCACTGTCCACGTTTCTCTGTCCACCACATACAAGTAGGAGCCATTGGCGCTCAAGTCCGAGGTTCCGATGCCAGGCCCCCTGGAGCCTTGCTGGACTGCGAGACTGCCCAATCGGATGGTCGAAGCAGAGTTGGACTCGATTTCCTGTTTGGTCTTGTGTCCTCCATGGCCTGGACTGAGGATACTCGCCAGCGTAGACACGGTAGGCCCGCCTGGACTCGTCGCCGACCGTGGTGAGCCGGAATAGTTTTCTTGTTCATGCAATACCACTAGAACAGATGGCGGTCCGATATCCGAACCGGCAAAACGACAGATAATTCATGTAGCTAGCTATCACATGCTTATCGGTACAATCTGGGTGGCTATGATGACCTAGCAAAATCATTATATCCTAGAGACGATTTCTCCCTCACCTGAACTTCGGTGTCGACAACACACAAACACGGAACGCGCTCTCGACCGACGCGTCGACAGCACTTGTGATACTCGACAATGGCAGAAGTCGACTCAAGACCGGCAGTCCACAAGTTCGACATCAAGCCCATCATCAAGGAGAAGCTGAGCAGCAGCGCCAGCACACGCTCATGCCGATCTTTCCAGCCTGACACCCACCTGGCGTACCGCGAAGCTCCCAGAGTGTTGACGTTGAAGGACATCGGGCTGCCGGGGGATGTGGGGATCTCGCCAGTAGCCATCTCCGAGCCGTTCCCGCTGTTTACCGAGGAAGCCATCAACATCATGAGGGGCGAGATCTTCACAAATGAAGTGTGGGACGACTGCATGCACAGCACCGAGTTTGCTGGGTGTCAGCTGAGGGGACATTGTCCAAAGTCGGTTTTTTAGATGCCCTCTTTTTCCCTGCCTTGCGCCATGTGGGCTCTACAGAGACGGGGCTGCAGTGGTCCTGAGCTGACTTCTGTTCTGTGAAGATATGCTCCCTTCATGTACGATGCCTGGACGAACCCCAAGACGCTCGCCATCGTCTCGGAAATCGCCGGAATCGACCTGGTACCCATGATCGACATTGATATCGGCAACATCAATGTTTCGGTCCAAGAGCCATTCAAGAACCACGACGAGTTGGTGAACCAACCCAACGATGACATTCCCGTGACCAAGTGGCACGTTGACAGCTACCCTTTTGTGTGCGTAGTCATGATGAGTGATGCTTCCCAGATGATTGGAGGCGAGACAGCCGTCAAGACGGGTTCTGGCGAGATTATCAAAGTCCGTGGACCACAAATGGTAGGCTTCCCCCGCCTTGATTTGGACGTAGGTAACTTACTGATTTTGTTCGATAAAAGGGCTCTGCTGTGGTCCTTCAGGGCAGGCACATCACCCACCAGGCACTGGCCGCCGTTGGAGGGGCTGAACGCATCACCATGATCACATCGTTCCGGCCCCGTGATGCACTTGTTCCAGACTCGTCCGTCCTGACCAGCATTCGACCCATCTCCAATCTTTCAGAGCTGTACTTTCAATGGACAGAGTACAGGGTTGAAGTACTGCAGGCACGCCTGCAAATCATGCTAGACACGCTCCGAGAGCACCATCGTGCCGGCAACCCAACGGATGTGGCGAAGATCAAGGACTTCCTGAAACAGCAGGAGGAGTGGCTCTGCTGTACCAACAAAGAGATTGTCCAGGCTTGAGGTTGTTGCGTTCTGTTTGACTCAGCGAGGGAGTTCGGAGAATTGGACGGTGCCACATGCATGGCGCGAACTAGGGGGTCATACTTGTGTCATGACAAGCGGGGCGTGTTGGCTGTAGGCTACTCGGAAGCGATCCAATTGATCGGCGTTGAAGCTCTCTCGCAGTTGCATTCAGCGTGTGTGTGTGTTAGTGCATGGTTGTTGGTGATGTTGAGTATTCCGTCAATGCCACTGTGGACAAGTAAATGTTTACCCATTGAGGCACGATTTGTGAGAAATCTCCGGTAGGCACTACAAAGTTATCAACTGCCACAATGCCCGATCAATGTCAAATCGACAGCCCAGCACAGGGTGAGATAAGTCAACACTGCATTTATGGGGATCTTCGGACGCCAATAAGATTGTGATGACAGCATCGGACTTTGCTTCCTGTTCAGGCAAATGTTAGATACGGTGCGGTAGCGGAAACAAGGTCATTGGCCGAAGCGCATCCAAAGCGGCCTCACCAATCCGCGACTTTCATGTCCACACACTTCCGTCAGGCAGTAGGGCCAGGTTGCAATTCGTTGCGGCGACGTTGGGCTCAGATTTACTGGCCCCGTCGATGACGAACAAGGTGTCATTGACGAGGCAAGTGGCTTGTTTCCAGCGCAGCACTGGTTTTGCCTTCTGGGCAAACCCGAAGCTGGGTCCTTGAACTTGGGTATCTAAAAGAAGCCCGATCAAGCAAGCCGTCCCAGAGTGGTATCAGCTTGCTTCCCTCAGACCCAGAACGTACAAGACCCGGCATTGTGCGGACGCTGTCGACGATGTGGTGGTGGTACAGATTATCTGGCCCCAAGAGCGGCCCAAAGAACAAGTGATCCGTTCAGCCCAGAAACACTAGGGTACGCAATTAGCATAAGCAAATGTGCCTAGATCGCCTCGTCGCGAAGAGTCGAGAGGAAGCTTACCATGCCAATCCCAATCACTCATGACCCCGAAGCAGTGCAGTTGGCCTTTCACGGTGTAGTGCAAGTGTCCTGCTCTCGTCACTGGGTCTATGCCCTTCTTGAAGGCGGCACTGTCCGGGAAATCCAGGTGTTCCGCGCACGGTGATGCATCCGAGCCAGCACATTTTGTTTCCTGTAGGCCAGGCTCCAGGGCACTGGTGTCGGGCGTCTGGCCAGCCTTGAGAGGACTGCGTTCTCCTATTGAGGGTGAATTGTAGTGGGACCTCGAACGCAGTCCATGGCGTATTTCATACTCATCCCGCCGACGCCAGACCTCGCTAGTGATCTCTTTGCACCGGTCGACAATCCCAGTAATCATGCATTTGGACATGAGACTCCAGCGCTCGCGCACCCAGTCTCGATCATCGTCCTCGGTAGCCTCGCATCCAGCTAACATCAGAGGGAAAGTCTGCACGATTGTGGTGCGGGACGAAAGTGGAATTGTAGCGAGAAAGACTAGGCTTTTCGATGCCAGCTCCCAGAGCGAATGTGCCCACGGAAGCTCAGGTACAGCTTGTCGCAGAAGAAGAAGGGACGCCCATCGGTACGCTTCAGCCGTCTGGATCGAATCCGCGAGACTGGTGTTGAGTCCCACCGGCCCCTGCGAGGTTATCAGTGGGACCCATCCCTCTATCGCCATTCTCAACTCGATGGCTTTGGATACGATGGCTGGAGAATTGCGCCTCTCGGTCCGCTTTCGAACGCGTCCAACAAGTTCTGCTAAGCGGCCGATCAGCGGGAATAGTGTGATTGCGCAGCCCATGAGTGGGTCAAGCTGTTGTTTGCTTGGGATGGAGCTGCTTAGCATACTGCAAGCTGCCATGAACTCGCTATCGTGAGAGCTTTGGGGATCGGTGCATGTCAGACGCGCGATGACATCCATATATAGGCAAGTGTTGGCAAAGAAGCTCAAACGACTCAGTTCGGTGGGTCGCAGCTCTGATATCCGCTCCTTGTAGCTGGCTTGCCGAATCAATATTCTCGCGGCATTGGTATGGTCGATGACGGTTGACGACTTCTCACGATCCCAGGATGCGGCGAGCGCCAGCGCCAACCTTGTGGCGACAATTGTCTCCACCTGCATGTTGCCGTCGCCACTCAACGATCTCATGCTGTGCTCAAAATGCTGTAATCCTGGGAGCCGGAACTGGGGCTGGAGCTTGCACATGTGTAGACAAGCCATTGCGGCAAGTGCATGGTAGAGTGCAGGACAGTGGGTAGCGAGTGGCCAGACCAAAGTCCGCCATGGGTTCCTGGTCTGGTCTTCTTTTATAGAGAGAATACCGCATGTTCGGTTTTCAAACAACTGCTGGATCGTTTCTCGGGTCACAGACCCAGCCTGTGTCTCCTGGGTGGACACAACGCCTTCGGACGGCGCCACGAGCGATATAAGAGCTGTCTCGTTGCCGAGCTCGGGCTCGTGCTGCTCCAGAGCCATGAGACCAGTGCCTGGCTCCCATGCTACTTCGGTGCCTCGAAACAGATCTTCAAGCCCATACATATTCCAGTCGCTGTCGTCGAACCCTAGGCTTTCGCTATTGCCCTGCAGTGCGGAAATGCTGAATGGTGACGATTGGTATGGACTCCTGTCCGTCCCTAGTGTCGAGAGAAGACGACCGGCCTCAATCAGAGGTGGCAAACTCAGTGGCTGTTGAGCTTTTGGAAATGGGACTCTGCATTCGCCGCCGATATTGTGACCATCGCCATCGCCATCGCCATCTGGGATCGATTCTCTCCGCTCGACAACAGTAGTCTCGTTGAATGACCGCTGCGTATCTGCAGTGTCATCAGGAGAAGACCTGACAATTTTTCTAGACCCCCGTTCGGATCGCTCGTGTGATGGTGCTGAACAGACGTAATGCGAAGTCGAAGTACCGCTCTCCAGGGGTTCAAGGCCGAGTTGGTCCTCAGCTGGTAGTATGTGGACCTTTGGCAGTCGAGGTAGGCCATTATCTTTGCTCGGACCGACTGACTTCCACCTGAGATACTTCGGATAGCCACCGCAGGGGACCCCACGGCGGCTGCATTGCTGACATGTTGGCTTCGACTCATCGCATTTCATGCGTCTGGCCTTGCAGGTGACACAGCCATTGCGACTTTTTGGCTGCTTGCGCCTGGAGACTTCCTCACTGCTCTGGGTCACGGTGCGTGGAGCGAGAGGCAGCAGTGGTTGTGACATGTGGTCGGTGCGGCAAGATGGGCATCCTGGAACAGCTCGAAATTACAATGGTTGAAGTCTAATGCCGTCAGCAGGAAGAACCAATTTGCGGGGTGTATAATACTGTAACCGAATATATTACTTATCAGCCAGGTACCTGTATCACGGGGGTGATAAGCCGGTTCCTAGTTAGTCCCTGGCGGGCCGTGCAAGGGAGGGACTACCCAAGACGAGGGCATAACACCACATTCAACGCTTTAAGCCAAGACTTTGGTCGAGATCAAGAATTGAGAATTAGAATCATTGAGGTGCCGCTGAAGACAGAATTGTCTGAGCATCTCAGCATGGCTGACTGGATGGTCACGTGGATTGGATGGTGGGGCGGGGGACGGCCACCAATCAAAAGTCCCGACCGTCGTTTTGCAACTCGGGAAACTGCCGCCGTGAACGACCTAGTGCAATACATCGCTGAGACAGACCGAGACTGAACAGAGACAGTTGCTAAATGCGAGGTAGGCATAGGCAGGGACTGATACACAGCTCGGATCTTCAACTGGCACAAGTCCCTCAACACGTCCGTCCATACCCAGGACGACGATTAGACCGTAAGTCTGGGGCGGAAGTTCCAAGACGATGAAGCTCCAACATCATGATACTCGAGATCCGATCTTCAGTCAAAGGACATGGTCAAGGCGGCCGCAAATGACTCCTCCCTACGTCCATGTCGCGTCGCCGCAATCCGAATCGCACCCTGCCGATGCGGGACATCTTCTCCAGCACCACGGTCTCCATGCGCAGCACCGTCTCTCGCCAGAGACATTGATTCGTCCAGTCGTACGAGCACAGCACGGCGCGTTGCATGCCGCCCTCGGAGCCGCAGAGGAGGGCGATCGTAGGGGGCCGGGTTGCGCGGAAGGTGGTTACTGTCCTGATTTTGACTGATTAGTCTCATGCATGACGAAGCTGGACGAGCAGGTCATACATAGTATTTGTATCAACGAGTGTGAACAGCCTCAGCTTGGCTCCTGATCGCGAAACCATCACCTCGGGCTCGCTTTCGTTCGCAAGCAGTGGATCCGTCCCTTCGCACTCGTCGGCCAGAAATTCGGTATTAACTCGGTGGTGGGACATGTTACTCGCGTAGGGGGCCCACGAAAGACGTTCCGAGGGGAACCCAAAGATCTTCATCTCGATCTTCCGCAGGGACATGTGTCCTTCGAAGCCGAAGAGCCACGGCTGCGTGTTCCAGACTTTCCCGCCGTAGATATGCAGGATGAGCATTGGCGAGAGGAGGACGGTGAGAAGTGCAACGACGAGGAGCAACGCTCCAATGCCCGTTGTGGAGGAACTGCCAGCCGCGAGCGAGAGAGTCAACACGCCGGTGAAGAACCACGCCGGCGTGCCTCGCACGAAGTACCGAGCCAGGGTCCGGGACCAGGTTTCACGGGTCGTAATGGCGACGCGGCGGAATCGATCCCAGTGGATGGTCGCGGCGTGGGCGCCGTCTAGTATGACAGTGTCATCGTGGCCGATCCCCGCGACTTGGCACGTGGGCTCAATGTCCCACAGTTTGGCGCCCCAGTAGTCGTTCATGTTGGCCCAGTAGTGTCTCTGACGGTTGTCTTGAGGGCCATTCAAGTCCCGGTGGGAGGTAGCATCGAGCCGAGTGTCGTTGAGCTCCTCAACAGGAAGGAGGCATATCATTCGCTCCAGCAGCTGATCGCTGTCGTTCGCGAGGGAAAGCCGTGCGAACGCTTGAAAAGCAGAGTCGGTAGGGTCAACTTTGGGCCGCTGTCTCAGCAATCCCATCAGGGCGTACGAGAGGTCGCCGTCGAGATACTTGGTCGTTCCCTTCTCGACGCGGGTTTTGAGACATTCAAGCGCCATGATGACGAGCTCGAGCCGACTCAACGTCAGAGTACCCTCGTAATTGTCGATCAGCTGCCTCGCGACTTCACCGTCGTCCCACACTTGCGCGGGGAACTCCATCTTCGAGATCTCAAGCGGCGCATTTATATCGCCTCCGCGTGTGTAGACCTGGATCCTTTCTCCTACCGGGCCGAGCAGAACTTCTGGCCATGTCCACATCCTGGTGCCCCATTCTTTGAGAAGGTCAAGCGTGGTGACTCCGTGGGGAAGATGGTTCCGCCCCGAACGGCCTACGACCACGACGATCTTCGCAGCTCCGCGGGTCACATCGCTGATTCGGTACACGTCATCCTGCAGTTCGTCCTTGTCAGTGGACATGCAGCATTGGTCTGTCCAATATGCCGCGACCCCGGCGTTGCGGGCTGCCTGATAGGCTATCGCGTGCAGTGCCTCTGCATCGGCGGCGGCGTAGCGGCATGCATCACAGGCACAGCTAGAGGATCCAGTTCCTTGAATGTCCCTCCTCGCGTCACGACACCGCCGTTCAAATTGTTTCTCAGCAGTGTAAGAGACAAAGATGTAGGTTGGCTCGACACCGCCGCCGTGGGCGTCCATCCACGTCTGCGGATCAACGAGTCCTCTGGGATTGTCGTCTGTTTGCGCATCCAAAAAACAGAGCAGTCGAGGTCTGAGGCATCGATCAGACAGTCTGAAGTCCTTGGTTGAGCTTATGAAATGGGAATTCAGCTTCTCGCCCAGATTCTCACGGAAATTGCGCGCCGTAACTGGATAAGACCAGTATCGGTAAGGCACAGGATCGTAATTGCCGTGGTTGCGGACCTGACCCTCTATATCGGTTGGGTAGCTCATGAGGAGGAGCAGGCCGAAGCAGGCAGGGAGCCACCGTACACCAACATGAACCCATTGTTCTTGCTTCCACGCGCGAATGCCGGAGGGGGACGTTCTGTGAACTGCATAATCCAACGAGTATGGTCGGTTTGGATCAGGCATATGAGAATATGGCCAATAGGCCAGGCGGATTATCCACGGGCTGACGTTTTCGATATACGTTCTCCGCCAAGTGGTGTCGTTGTCAGTGTCGTAGAGCTCACTGATAGTTTGGACAAATAATTTCTCTACTCTTCCATCAAGCGGGTCAAGATAGCGGTCGTCATTCAAGCCGGCGTGCTTCCGTCGAAATACATCGCGGTGCTTCCAAACGTCGATCGGTTTGCCACTTACCGGTTTGTAGTAATGTCCCGGAAGTTGATAAGAATGCGGAATACCCCAGCCAAACCACGCCCGCTCGTGAAAGAATTTCGGATCGACCCAGTGAAAGGCGGACTTGATGCGCAATTTGCTGGCGGCCCGGTTGAGAAAGGTATCGGCGTCATAAATATAAGGATTGTCGTTGGCCGCATCTTGGACCTCGTAATGGTTTGAGGTCGGTTTCAAAGGAGTGTCAGGAGCATTGTGTGCGGACAGGCCGTCATTGAATGACTGTAGATCTTTAATGGCTTGCCGCAGCACTCCAGCCACAACAAGGAATACTCACCACATTGTTAGTGGAAGCTGCAACACTGGGAGCATAATGATCGGATGATGCACGAGAGTGGGCTGTAGCATCATACTGTTATGGTCAGCTTCGCCAGTCAGGCAGATGATGGGAAGGAGCACCTACATTAAGTGGCGGCGGTGCCAGGTCGTTAAAAGAAGGCAGCATATAACCTGTATCGTGGGCGGACAGAGGCTCGTATGGCGACCCTTGCTGGCGTCCTCCAGCAGTTGGTCTCCGCGGTATCCTGCCATAGCTTTGCCGGACTCGCGCAGGCTCTAGTGGTTGAGCGTAGTAGTGGGGGCTGTACTCGGTCGACTCATCTGTTCCCCTTCTCTGTCCATGGGGCCTGTGCGAAGCAAGAGGGTAGCTTGAGAATCTCAGCCTTCCACCCCTCTGCGGGCGCTGGTGAATGTTCTACCTTTCCTCATTACTTCCACCATTCCGCCAGCCTTGTTCCTGGCTTCCCTGTCATGCCTTGCCTCAGTTGAAGTGTCAATTAGTCCTATTAGAAATGTTGCTTACCATATCGATGGTAGGTTCAGTTCATGTCCATTTTGGACAAATGGGTGGAGGGGGATTAGAACCGAGAGGAGAAAAGGAAAGCCTAAAAGAGAGGAAGAGGCATCACAGGCTCAAGCGAAGTATATCAGGCTACGCGCAAGTTGACGCTGAGCGCATTTGTGCCCACTACCAAGTCTCGCTAATTGCCTGAGGTGCATGAGAAACCGTAAAGCTGGAAAAGATATCAAGACAAGCAACGACCTAGACGCAGTATTCGGAAAGGAGAGGGTATGTGATTGGCTCCAGTCTCGCGTAAAGGTTGCTGGCCCCGGGCGCAGGGCCGACACTTCGTGTTCACGGCTGAATCACAAAATACATGATTTCTGGGTGGTTGAGCTCGAGTCAAAAGTGAGAGTCCTGATCCAGCACGAGTCATACCCTAACCAGGACCCGTCCGAGACCACCTATTAGAAGCATGTCCCCAGGAGAACCGGGTCTTGCACTCTGGATTCTCTCATAGATCTTGGTGATGGTTGGGTTTGTAGGCTCGTGGTCCAGATGGGGCTGGAATGCTGGATACGAGGAGGCGTCGGCAAGTCTTCGTGATGGACAAACCACATCATGGGAAGATTTCTCAGCCTCGTAAAGACGGCGAATACCAAGCTCTGCGGCCCCAGGATCCTTTTTGAGTTTATGAGGTCGGCTGACGTCTCGAATCACAAGCCGTAGATGATAAGATGCGCAGAAGGGAGAGTTCGAACCTGTCGCAGTTGAAGCGATGGGAAAGTCAAATGACACACAGCTGTTCAAATGACTGTCTTGGCGCACTAGCCTCGATTCGGCGAGTCCAACAGGCGGCTTGTACCAGGTAGAGACTCAATATGCCTTTTGTTTGTCCTGCGCTTGACCTCACTCCTTGCTACAACAGGATGGAGAGATATAAGGGCTGCACTCAGAAAGTTGGGTCGAAGGATACAAGTCTACCTGCATGTTCTTCCACCGTCTACCGCGGTATATTCCGGTGTTTTTGCCCAGGGGAGTGGGCCCGCGCGTTATTCCTTCCTTTTCAATGAACTTCACCCTCGGCGCGTTCCAGACTGCAAGAGTGAGCTGCGATCTGTACAGTTCTGCAGTGTGTCTGAATGTGTGTCTGAATGTGTGTCTGAATGTGTGTGGTTGCCGAGCCGTCCTCGGGGAATTGAGATTGAGGCTAGGATAGCTTCGGTCGCGGGCGGACTCGTGTCATCAGGACGGTGTTCAAACAGCGTTTACCAGCCTAGCTAGGGGCGCTGTGCCATGCGGCAGTGAGAGACACACCACACCCCCTGTGAGGGATGAGAAGATCCAAGCTACTCTCCAAAGCATTGGAAGTACGGTGCGGACATGTTGGAGGCGATAGCTGAAGTACGCCTGAGCGCATGCTCCAGTTTTCACATTTCAGGCCTACTTCCGGAGGCAACGTTACACTCACATTGTTGTTACCAGGACGTATGCTGAGAAATCCGACGTGAACGCTGTAGTCGCGTGTTAACCCGTGGTTTTCAAATTCCTGAAGCTGACGACAATCGGTACGTGCTTCGACACTGATGGCGCATCAAGAATGGCTGGCACCCGGCACGGCAATCGACAGCACAATCGGGTTCCTGAGGGTGGGAAGCTGAAAGCCGTTTCTCCAAGTGGCATTGTACAGATATGCTGACCACCGCCGAAGAGCCCGGACGGAGGGAAGGGTAAGGTAACGAAGGTAAATGCTATGTACGGCAAGATATCGCGTAGGAAGCTACACAGTACCTGATTTCCAGTAACTAGACAGCCCTGTCACCTGGAAAAGGCAGCGTCTTTCTGAGACCTCTAATTGATCTGTCAAAGATAAGGTCGTACCATTACTCAAGAGTATAATCAGCATGCCCATCTGGGGGGTGGAGATCCACTGGTAACGCGCAATGAGATGAGACTGCGCTCTCCCCGTTTCCTCCCCGTGTTCTTCCTTCGATCTCACGAGACCTGACGCGACACATGCGTCTCCTTGACCGAGGCCTTGAATGTTGAGACTCTGTAGACTGTGGCCCTCGTTACCTGAGCCGGGGTCTTCCCCAATGAAGATCCCTGTGCAAGGCTCGAGCGAGCGACTCAGCGGATCTCGCGCCGGATCGGCCTAGACCTGTTGGATGACACACTATCCCTGTCACCATCCGGGCAGGCAAGCGGCCGAGTGCCATCAGTCGACGTACATAGTGTTTGGTAACACGGGACAGTGGTGTCGGAGGTTTCGACAGGAACGGACTTTCACATTCACTTCTGAATGTGGCTGGCGTCTCAGGCTGGGGATCGCCCTAAGCATGCACCAGACGACGGGGTTGCAGGGATTGCAACCCAAGCGAGCCGCTGCCTTGTTGACCTTGACCGAGACAGCTCGCAGTCTCTGTAGTGGCAAATACCCGGTAGCGGGCTGTAAATAGTAGTTGGTTGAAGGGGCTCGTAATATTTGCCCCAAACAGTCATGCATGGCCCTGGCATCGGCCCAGCACACTCTCCTGTCAGGCCTATGGTCCTTCGGCGGGTAGCGAGCAGTATCGCCGACTGGTTAGTGGCAGGAGAACTCCCACGTACGAGGACTCCAGCGCGCGTGTCCTCAGCCACTCAGCGCTGGACTCACTGTGTCACAGCCGAGGCATCTTGTCTCGCAAACACCGTCGACCACACCCGCTCCGATCGTAGGTTTTCGAGAAGCCATACTGGATGTGATGGCGGAGCCGATGGTTTCTGGGCGAGCATCGTGATTCCCGTTATGATGCAATCAAAGCCTGCAGGCACCCCGCCAAGTGTATAGTCTTGACAACTGATGCAGTCGTCTGGGGACTGGTTCCACAGAGAAACTGGACTGAACGGCTGCCGCCGGCGCCGATCCGATGTCCCTCGGTGATATATTCGTGAGCCCCCAGGGTGGGGAGTTCGAAAGGATCCAAATGGCGGGGCTTCTCCAGCTCTACTCAGTAGGCTGGGACAACGAAGCTGCCCCGGTGGACGAAGGATCGTGTCTGTTCGCGGGGTAAGAGGCTAGGAGATTGCGTTCTGATCCGGCCCGGTGGCTGTGCGAGCAAGACGAAGAAAGATCGCAGGTGGTGAGAAAGTATTCCGTAGCTTCAAAGTCTGTCCCAGGGACATGCATCTGTCGGTCGTACGCCGCTTCCAGCCACTGTGGGGATTGTATAAAAGCTGACATTACCGATTGGTCAATGGAATATGCGACGTTGTGATGAGATAGTGCACAGCAATCTCAGTCCGGCCGCAAAACAGATCCGGATCCGAACGTGGCATCCTTGGGGGGTGGTGACCATGCGGACGACTAGCGGAATAGCATCGTGTCATGCATCCAAAGAACCCTTCAGATTAACAATGGCGAGAAACAGAGGCGTGGAACAGGCAAACCCGGGCGGGGCGTGAAACCAAGTCCTGTGTGTGTTGAGAGGCCGAGAGCTGATGCTTCACGTGCAATGGATATTGCCTCTATACGAGTATGTGGACTTTCTATAAGGGTCTCTCCTCGACAGTCTGGAAAATAACCCTGGCGATAACCTTGCCCACGGTTTGCCCTCCTTCTCAGCTCGTCACAGCTAATAGGTGTAATAAAATCCCTCGAGACCCTCGATGGGCTTGCCGCCAGCCCTAGCCCGCTTGTTTGCACGCCAGAACTTGAAATCCATGGCCAAGGTGATGAGGATGATCAGAGCACTAGACAGCATGCAGGTGAGGATACCTGGATGGTAGCCCGGTGCGTCTTGGGAGCGGAAGACCGTGCCTCCGATGATGCCTCCAATACCTCCGAAACCGACCAGGGTTGCTGAGCAGAGCGCTCTCTTCCACTGGCCTCGGATGTTGTTGGCCTGCCACGTCAAGACCGCGGGCACATTCGCGTTACAGGCGGAAACGGCGACGAAGACGCCGAAGTAGCGGACACCAACGTTGTCCAGGTAGCCGAGAAGAGGAAGCCCTATGAAAGTGTCAGTATTGAAGCAAGACAGTATCGCTCCCAGAGAACCTACCGATCAGGAGTAGGACTCCGTTCATCAGGACAAAGGGAGATCGGAGGTGCCATCTATCTCCCAAGACTGCAACGCCGTACATGAGGATGGCGGCCAGCACGTAGGGCGGTGCAATGAGACACTGAGAAGCCGCCACACCGAAACCCATGCCCTCGTTGAGAATCTGAGGCAGGAAATAGGCAATTGCGTAGGTGTTGGTGGTTGTCAGACCGAACAAGGACGCAAAACCCCAGACTTTCAGATCAAGGCCGCCCTTGAGGTACTTCCAGATGTTGAACTCCTCCGGAATGGCGTCGTGTCGGTCTTTCTCAATGCGGGCAACCACAAAGTCAACCTCCTTCTGGTTCAAAAACTTCAGTCCGAACGTCTGGGTAGCCTTTTCCGGAAAGTCCACAATGAAGATATAGCCACCAAGACCGACAACGATAGTGAGGACGCCTTGGAGGATGAAGATCCATCGCCAACCGGCAATGCCAGGAAGAATGCCTGGTTCGAGATCCGGGTTTGCCTCTGTAGGGCCGTAGTGCTGTCCCCACCACCTTGGTCCAGATCCCTTGTTTTTCAGTTGGGAGAAGCCATAAGCGAGGATGCCAGCGAATGCAGATGCCATCGATCCGATCA